CAGATAGTACAACAATTGAATTTGGAGACAGCTACAGGGAACTTCAGGAGATGCGCACCGCCGCCTAGAGCGCTCGATGAATACCAGATTGTTCGGATAGATTGTGCTTTCCGGCGAGTCTGTGGCCATAGCCAGTCAGTCAAGCGCCATTGTGTGGTGGTGATCGGGGCTTGAGACACGAGCTGCGATGTGACGATTGCAGAAGACGCTTCCATTATCTAGACCCATACCTGGCTCGCCATATCACATTGGGCGGGGTAGGACAATGCCTCTAGGTGATATGTGCGGGATCGGTCAGCATCATTCGCTCATGCGTAGCGAAGGAAATGAGATTAAACGTACTCGCAATCGCAGGCACATTTTCCCGTGGTAGGCATGGGGAAATTACGCTGCAAAATCTAGAGACTAGGCACGAATGCTTGAAATTCATCATATGGTCGCCCGAGGGAGACAGCTCGCCGTCGAAGTCAAGCGTGACATGGACATCTGCTCGGTGATCTGTGTATCTCATGAGATTAAATCGTGTACACAATTATTGTCTACCTTAATGGCGTAATTGAGCCGATGAGGCGAGGGAGAGTGGGTTGAACACTTTTGTTATGCACCAAGCCACCATGGCGGCGGGAAGTCAACGTGGTTGTAGGCGCTCGTCGGAGTGTCGAATTCTGGCCCGATTAGGAAGTCGCATTCAAGTTCGCCTTGAACGGCGCTCGCCATCGAGGCTTGCATCCACTCCACCACCTCGAGCCCAGCTGCTTGTTGGACTTCTTCCATTGTCTGCCTTTGTCGGCGACCTGCGCTCACACTCCCTGGCTGCCATATCTTCTCGATCGAGCCGGCCAACCGCAGCTGGGCTAGCTTAGCCACCCTCCCGCTCACGGCTATATAACTTGCGCCAACTCTCGAACAGTGCGTCTTCACCTCTTTCAAACTTGCCCATCATGAGTAACACTCCTGATATAGAATCTGACCCACCAGCTCCCATAGCTTACGTCGGTTTACCGGATCAGAAGTGCAGCCCGTACAAACCGCGGCATATTGCCAACTACCACCCAGGAAAACACGGGATCAAACTTCGCCACAACGCAACACTCGATCGTCGTCTTGAAGGAGACTCCAGCATGGGGACTACGGTACTTGTCGAGTTCAAGGATTTCATGAAAAGTGACGTCCTCCCGGCCATACCCGACACGCAGTCCCGAGCCACTCTTCCGGACCAGGCAGTGAGCGACGCGCGGGACACGTTGTCCGCGCTATTCTATGACAATACCGACCCCAACAGACCCAAGAAGCTTTTAAATGTGAAGGAGGATGCCATCGCTGTTACTGTGGTACGTTCGCTCGTTTTCACGCCTTGGCCCACGATTGACGTCGAGGCACTCTAGGTGAACGTCATCAACACCGCCTTGTCTGCACTCGAATTGCCCCAAGTCCGCTCCAGGTACAAGGCGACACTGTCGAGGTACAAGGCAAACCCATCGGACGACACGAGAGCCAAGGTCGACGCAGCGCTGTATGAAAAGGACGATGCGCCGAGCGATGACAACCAGTGTCCGGACTGGACCAATTGTCGCTTCTATATCGAGTTCAAGATGGGGGACACTGGAAACGACCCGTGGGACGATCGCACCAGCAAGGCTGCGGAGAACGAGGCGAACACCCGCGCCGGTGTGCGAGCCCAGCTGATCGCGTACGCAAAGAATGTTTTCCTCTATCAACATCGGACGGCCCTCTTCTCCTTCCTCATCATCGGCAATTCCTTCAGAGCTGCGCGGTGGGACAGATCCGGCGTGATCGTGTCGAAGAAGGTCGACTATGCGGACGACCCGCGGTCCCTTCTAGATCTCATCTGCCATCTTGTCCAACTCGACCCGACTCTGCAAGGCTTGGACCCCACTGCGGACTTGATCAAACCGGATTGGAAGGCCTTCAGAATCATGAACGAGTTGGCTGAGCCCAACAGTGCGCAGGATATGGAATACATGGAGGCGGGCACTGAGAACTATATTCCCCCACCAGCGCACCCCCGTCCTGTCAAACCTTCTCCCGAAGCGTCTGCAACGCCGTCAAGCTCAGCTACTGTCGACACCTCTCAAGAAGGCATCACACACTCAGCGCGCGCTCCCAAACAGCGCACCCGAGTGAAGCAGCCTGCTTCCGCCACACCTCAGACCGCTCAAGAGCTCCCTACAGGCATATCGGATGCGAAAGAAGCTCCGGATGCTGATCTTCCCGAAATTGAGGTCGTCCCTGGAGAAGACCTGCGTGTGTTCAGATACGTTCGGGAGAAGTTCCGAGAGTCGCTGGTACCCGGATGGCCACGCTACAAGCTCCGGATCAAGGTCCGAGTCGGGGACAAGGACGAGGTGCGAGTGTTTCTTGTCGCAAAGCCATTGTTCGAAGCCTCTTCCATGTTCGGTCGTGCGACGCGAGGGTACGTCGCTATCGACGCGCGCACGCGTCGATTCGTGTTCTTGAAAGACTCCTGGCGGCCTTTCTACAAGGACGTCCTACAAGAAGGGACTTACTTGGAGCGTTTCGCCGGCGACGACCAGATCATTGTACCAGCCATCGTCTGTCATGGTGATGTGGCAAATCAATGCACCTACACCGCCCAATACCAGGAGCTATCGAAGAAGAAGGCCAGGGAAGCCGCACGTCTCCGCATCTTGAAGGAGCGCGAGGAAGCCGCCTCTTCCACGGCCGCTGTGGAGAAGAAGGTCACGAAAAAGAAGCGTGGTCGTCCCGTAGAGGTCGAAGGAGGCGACGTCTTCAGTGACCCTTCCTCACTTGGAGACGCAGATCTTTCCGAGGTTACCTTGCGCCACCACATCCATTATCGCATGGTGGTGAAGGACGTCTGCCTGCCTTTCGAGATGTTCAGATCGACGGAGCAACTCATCCGTCTGATGTCCAATTGTGTCGCCAGTACGTCCCGATGCTATAACACGTCCAAGACCACATACTCATCACTTTCATATAGCGCATCATTATGTGTACGAAAAGCACCAGCTCCTACATCGCGACATCAGTGCGGGCAACGTTCTTATCCTTCCGCGACTTGTGAAGGACCACCAAGGCAAAGAGACCGTGCAATGGTTTGGCCTATTGACTGATTGGGAGCTCGCAAAGACCTACCTCAAGAATAGGTCCGATGAGAAGGCTAGGCAGCCGGAGCGCACAGTACGTCATCGCGCATGTATGTTGTTCGATTTTGGCTAACCCTACCCCAGGGAACCTGGCAATTCATGTCTGTTGCATACGTGGATTCACAATGGACCCGGCCTATCTCCTTCGCCGACGCATTGGAATCCTTTTTCCACGTGATCCTCTTCTTTGCCATCCGGTTTCTTCCTCACACCTTCTCCAACCCGACAGACTTCGTCGTGCAGTACTTCGACACCTTCGGGGCCCTCAGCAACGACGCACGCGAGTGTAGCACACGGAAAGCGATGGTCATGCATGCTGGCAAGTTTACGTCAGGCACGGACAACCTCCAGTTCCTGAAGACCGACCGCCGCCGCGGGAATCCTCTCAATACGTTCATTCGCGAAATACTCCAACCCTTCAAAGCAAGATATGAGATCCTGAACTACGAGGCGCAGCTCGCGGAGGAGCTCTTGCTGAACACGATGAACCCGCCCGACAGCGCTGCGGACATCCCGGCCGACGATTTCGCGCACCCGCGATTCCTGTCCGAGTCGGATGAGGACTGGGAGAGCGGCAGCCCATCCGATCCCGCTGGGCCTGTGTGCAAAGCCGCCACCCTCACCCCACCTACGCAGGAGACCAGAGATCTTGCGGCGCTTCTGGACACGCATAACTGGGTGTTGCGGCTGTTCAAGAACGTACGGCGTCCGCCGATGACCCCGCCATCCGAATGGGTTGGCACCTTGGTCGTTCAGGACCAGCTCGTCAACTACGAACCCAGGATCATGCTGATGAGGAGGGTCACGACTACCCACCACACCGGCACATTCGGGAGTCGGATCGAGACGGATGACGGAGCCAATAAACGTCCCAGGAACGCTGGATCCAACTTCGCGTCCAGCTCCAACCAGTTGCCGGATACGGACTCATCCTTGTCTGTCTTGAGCAACGCTGGTACCGCTTAGTCGTGTTCCTTTCGCATAGGCTTTCCGCAGGAGGCGCATCCGGGCTCGCACTGGTGGCCGTCTTTCTCTCCTTGGGTTTGTGCGCTCGCCAGCTGCCTGCGTCGCGCCTCGTTCTTTTCTCACACATTTCATCCCTTCGTCGCCCTCTTACCCCGCTTACTCTGCTTCGTCATCGTTGCGTTGTTCCTTTCGCCCTCCCTCCCTAGTCGCTTTCACTTCTAGGCCCGTACCGAACGCTCCTACCCCTCGTATTCGTCATCGCTTCGCTTGTATCGTACTTACAGTCCCTCATGATCATACACATCTCGCTCGCTTTGCAACTTGTCGCCACAGAGCTGATCGAGAGGTCGCCCTTGCGAATCGTGGGTAAGTACTGAAATCTACCATCCGCTAGAAAGCACTTCTTCCCTTTTCCGCCAGAGACCCCTCCTCTTTTCCCTCGTGCACGAGCTCGCTCTCCCGGTCCTCGTCCTCATATGAAGTCTCCGGCTCGGATGGCGCACGCATCGAATGCTCGAGCGGCCCACCCAGCGACTCCACGAAGCGGCTCGCGGTGCTCGCGAACACGATCGAGCCACCGCCCGCGGAGTGGCCCCCCGCGCCTGGGACGGCGTGCCACGTCCCGGGCGCGTCGTTCGTGGAGGTCTGTCCAGTCTGTTGGGCGTCGAGCGCGCGCAGGTTCATGAGGAAGCGCGAGACGAGGATCGAAGTGAGGCTGCGGCACGGGCGCGGACGTGGTAAGTATGGTGGGGCACGGAAGTGTAAGACGAGAGAGAGGGGACGTACACGTCGGCGATGTCGCCCATGAAGGAGACTTGCTGTGAACACGTCGCGCGCTGTCAGAGCGCGATTCGAGAGGCGAGGAGGCGCTAGCAAATTTGGCGCACCTCGACAAAGTTAATGATTATATGAAGAACGTTCAAGACGAGCATCGTCCTACACGAGCGGTGCCGCGGGTCAGTTGTCACGTCGTTGCCCCCTGAAACAGGTATCCTTCGCAGGCCTCACGCACCCGAAGTAGATCGTGCCTAGTGTCGATCATAGGTCAACTTACGTGCGCAAACAAGTAGATGACACGCACCATCGCGAAGGAGAAGCTCGACGATAGACGTCTTCATGTGCGCCGCGTCCGCCGCCTTCTTCAGCCGGTACGTCTTCCACCACGTCACGGCGAGCACGAGCGCGTCACCTGCAATCAGCGATATCCTGGACCCGAGCACGACTGCGCTGCTGTTAGCACCGCGGCCGCATGGAAACCGGGGCACCTACGTCTGCAGGCTTGGTGAGCGGCATTCCTCGTGCATGAGGAGCGGAGGGCGACGCCGGACGTACTTTGTGTGCAGCGCAACCGTTACAGCGTTGTTGACCTCGCAGTTGTACGGCTCCGGCAGGTTGACTGGTGTCTGCGTCGGGATGTTGTACTGGACCAGGGCATACTTATCAGCGTGCGTGTACCAAGACGGAAAGGCGCTGTATACGCTACTCACCGCATTAGCGATAATGGGCCCAGTCATAAGCAGGCAGACGAGCGCGGCGATGCGCCAGTCGCGCCCGCAAAGCGCGTACACGCGCAATGTCGAGAAAGCTGCGAGTACGCATGAGCATTTCACGCGCACAAATTTGCGTGAATGGAGGACACGCACCGTTCCAGATGAAGTATGGAAGCAGGTTGAACACGATCGCGAACCAGCCGAGAACCACACATCTGGTCGTCGACGTAGGATCTGAGTCTATCGTTTGCATAACTCGTTGAGCCAACTGCGCTACTTACGACTGGAAAGGAATCGAGGCTCTGAGGAGGGTGTATGTGAGAGTTCGAACAGAAGCGACGTACGAGGTTGCTAATCGGCCAGTACGACCCAACCGTGATCGCATTATCGAAGATCATGATGTAGCGGTTGAGGAAGAACAGCACGCTCGCGCCCGAGATCTTGCGCTGCCATATGAGCCTAATCTCGTTGTCGATTGTGATGCAATACTCATAGAATATTAGTGCTATGGGGATGATACCGGTATTAGTGTCGCGTTTGCGCCGTCGGAGAAGGCGGAAGGGAGGGAGACTGACTCGCTTCTGCGAAGTTTGCACAGTCGTCGATAAAGCTACATCGTGTCAGGTCAGCGGACGCGACCCATGAATGAGAATACAGGAAGAACGTACAAGAACGCGCGGTTGGCGATAATCTCCTCTGCGGCGGACACGGATTCAGCCATCTTTTCAGCCTTCGCGAGACAAATTTCGGGTTCGACAACGGGCGGGCGTGCGTGGGGGGACGCTGGCTGCATGTCTACAGTCACCCTCTATATGATGGTGCACATCCGCGCCGGCAGCACGTGGGACTGGCAGGGCATCGAGGAAGAAAGGTCGGCATAATTGACAGCGAAGTCCAGGGAAGCATTACAGGCGCACCCGTGTACCTCGGACGACGCCCGCTGCGGCGTTCTGTCATGAGGTAACCTTTCCTGCTCCGTGGAGAGACGAAGAAAAGGATGAAGTAATCCAGAGGCTGCGACGCTCTCGCAACAAGTCGATCCAGCCTCCGTGTACAACTTATAATTCCACTTGATGTCGATAGTTCGTATGGATGGATGGGGCGCCAGTCGTGGACTCTGCATCCGAGGAAGGAAATGTGCCTGACATGTGCCTGAAGGTGTCAGACAGATCGACGTAAAGGACAGTGCTGTGGGAGGAACTTCGCAATTCGACAACGATGAAATCAGGAAGCTGCCCGAACATGAAGGGGCAAGTGCGGGGAGGTCATTCCGAGGAAGTTCATGATCATCGCCACCATGGACGCGTTGAATCTTGATACGGAATGACTCAGTCCCATGAAGACGCGGTCCTGGCGGCAGAGATACTTGGAGGAGATGAAGTGTATAGCGGTGACTATCAGAGTATTGAAGTTAGCGATCTAATAGCGTACGTTGAGAGTTTAAACAGATGCGAGCCCGCGTGTCCCGGAATGATTGGACGGACGTCTCGGAGATTGACCGCAGCTCAGTAATCCTCCGCGGTGAGTGTACTCACTTGATACTCAGTCCTTAACAAGACAGAAACAGGGCGTAGTATCTTGGTGAGATGCCACGGCAAAGAGGGATGTTTCGGAGATGGATTATACTGACGCGGCCCACGGACGCAGGGCAGCGAGACGGTCGTGGTGGTGGAGAAAGACACAGTGAGGCAAGCTGACCCACTGTGCCTCGCGTGGCAAGATTGATTACGTAACGCATCCCGCCACCCCTCCAGTATTTTATAAACCGCTTCGCTCCTTCCCTCTTGCCATCTGGGTATGCACTATGGAACACACTTCGGTGCACGTCTCTCGCAACATCTGCTGCATGGTCTCTGAGCTATCTGCTGGTGTGTGTCTTTAGGAATTGCTTGGTGTCGACACCACTGCCACTTACACTCCGCGCTAGCACATTCTTGTTGAATCCCAGCTGAACCACTACGAGATTCGTCAAAACTGTATCTATGATCCACGGCCCACCGGAAACAAGCACATCCATGCGGACGTGCCCAATGTCACTTCCATGCCCTGCGCCCCTGCTCTGTCGCGTTGCACGGCGGGGAGGGCCGCAGTGGGCGGACGCTATAGTGATGTAGGTTGGAATGAGTGCGACATGCTCAGAAAGCCTCTATCGCCATCAGCCTACATGATCCCGCTCAACTCCCATGGTACGAAGAGTCTGATACATGTCATGCCCGCCGAAAGCAAGGAATGCATGCGCGTTTTAGGCTGGTGCTAGCAGGCACGCTCGTCCTGCATCAAGGCTCAGGCTCATGGTAAGTTCAATCATCCCACAACTGCTGTCGAGAAAACGAAGTACTCATCACGGCACGGAACACAGCCACGATATCTCGGAGTTCCTTTTGCCAACGCATCCCAGTCGGTGGCAGAACGCCTGGCTAGCCAACTCGGTCAACTCGGGATCTAGGAAGCGTCGTGCTTGCCATTGGAATCATCATCTATCCCTCAAGACCTCATCCACATCATTGCGGCGTCCGCTCAACAATCATGTAGTACTTGAAGGCCGTCAACTACGGCGGTGACACGGAAGACGGTTGGGTAAGTTTTGGTAGGGAATGGTACTGCGTACGCGTACATGCAGTCGTTCTCACCTTCGCCTTGATTGTTAGCTGCCCTAGATCGAAGCCGTCTCCCCGCGTCCAGTGCAGCTGCGCTATGACGTGATCCCCGAAGGTGATATCTCACGTCGAGACAGTTCTTCGCAAATGCGGTAATCCTACCTTCGGTACCGGTCTATGAACCAAACATAGTATTTACCTACAATATCCGTCAATACCGCCGCATTCGCGGTTCTTCCGCTAAAGCAGAGCTACGGTCGTGACTTGTAAGTGAAGAATGTTTCCAGTGCCAGTGCCTCGATCACCACTCAGCACGCAATCTCTTGCTGGTTTGTTTTCTGCGTCCTAACGCCTACTTCAGATCCGCCGAACCTCTTGGGAACCCGCCGAAGACCACGGACATATGGCTCAGCGCCCCGCCGCTTCTCTGAGTGTTGCAAGTACAAACCGTCCCTGTCGCTGATCAACCGATGCGGCCGGCGTAGCTTCTGTGACTTGGGCATGACTTTGAAGGTATCCGTTCTTCGCGGGGTGTCAACACCGAAGTAGTGGAATTGAGTACGCGGGGTATATCAAGTCCGCCGCTCACAATAAATTCTTGAGATGCCTCGAGCCTCCCTTTGACTCCGCGTAGACTGCAGCGCCCCTCGCATAGAAGTTCGTGCAAAAGCCCCCTCAACTACAATGGCATCCTCAACGTCCATAACGCAGGCGGAGCAAATTATCGCCAACCACGCGTTCTTGCAAGTCTTATCTCCCGCCGCACGCTGTATCTCATTTTGCTCACAAATCATCGTACAGCTTCCTGGACAACTGTGCAGACTGGGCCGAAGCAAGTGCGAGCTCTTTCGTACTAGGGGTTACTGATGGGGGCGAGCTCACGATATGGCCACGGCCATCGCTGCAGCGGTGATCTTCTACGAATATGCTATCACGCTTGACAGCGAGGTCCGGCTCATCTGGCGGCGCAAGATCACGGGCGCGAGCATCATCTTCTTCCTCAATCGCTACCTCCTCGTCCTCCAGAACGCGCTCACCGTCGCGTCGTTCTGGCCCATCTCCACTTCCGTGCGTCATTCTATCACTCCCCGTCCCTCGGTGCATAAGAGAGTTTACTCACGCGCCTTCCTCGCACGGACTCGCAAACACTGGTAGGCGTGAGTAGCAGTACGCGATCTGGCGCGCCACTTCGTGCTCATCCTGTTCACGAAAGGTGCCACATCATTGGGTGGATGGATCTCGTCCTCAGCGTCTTACCCTACTTCATATGGAACGGTTCGTTGCCTCCCCCCTCTGTCGCCGCCTGCCGCTCCGCTAAGCGTTGCTCCCTCCTATTCGCACCACGTAGCGTTTTCAACTCTCCGTGTCTACGCGCTCAGCGGGCGCGACTGGCGGTTCGCTGCGCTGGTGTGCCTGCTTATGATGGGACCCGTCGTCAGCAATGTTGTGCGTGCCTCTACCCTGTTGCGTCTCCATATATCGAGGACTAACGCGCTGCATGCGCATCTGACCTGTCGTCTTTTCCCAGTACAACCTTCCAACGCAAAAGCCAGACAACATGCCGCCGCCGTACAACTGCTCGGTCGACAACGCGTTGACTGTCGCGCAGCATACCGCGTACGTCCGCGCGTCTCGTACTCTCCTTCTCGCCCTACTAACGTGGTGGACGTGTGCGAATTGTCATTTGCAGACGTACGGTTTCCCCGTTCGATACGACTACTTTCCGTGAACATTCAGCTGATACACATCGCAGTGGTGCTGTTGTCGCGATGCACGCTCATCGCAGGCGATGCCGTCGTGCTCGGCGTGACATGCTGGAAGACCTGGAGCATCAAGAAGGCAGCCGACGCAGCACACATCGGCACGTCCCTCGTCGCCCTCCTTCTCCGAGACGGTACGTCGTCCACGGCCGTCCTTGTTTCGAAGGTCCACTCTGACTGCCTCGCTGTGTCCGTACTCGTGCAGGAACTATGTACTTCGGGTAGGTGCTAGTGGCAGAGTGGCACACCTGTTGCTCATCGTGAAGCGCGCAGCGCGATGCTCCTCTTGAACGTCCTGCACATCCTCATCAACTTCATCGTGGTGCGTGCGCCCACCGCCCACATCGCGTCCCGCACACTCTGACACGCGCGCCGCGTCTGCAGAAAGTGTCTTTCTTGGGCGATATCGCGCACGTGTACGTTCTCACCCCATATCTCCCGCCCCGGCCAGAGCTCCTTTGCGCCGCCGAGCGCATCCCGCACGCGCGTCTCCGCTGACTGACTGCGTGCACACCACAGACTCACATCCGTCCTTGTCTCGCGCTTCATCATGAACCTGCGGGATGTCGACGGCAAGGACACCGGCACGGACACCGTCAGCACCGGCGGCGCCGGCGCGCTCGAAACCTGGCACGCTGAGCGGGGTACGGCGGGCGGGGGCACGCTCGTCTTCGCGAGCAACTTGAACTTCGTCGAGTCGATGGGCGGGCCGCTCGACCGCATCGACGGGGGGCCCGAGGATGATTCTGAGTCGGACCTGGGAGCCCAGCGACAGGACGAGGGGTCCGTTGAGAGCGGCGAAGCAAAGGACGCGGTGTAGGCGGTGGGTCGCGCTGGTGGCATCAGCATCTTGACAGGCCTGGAGGGTTCCCGCAGTGTACAGTTGTGAGATGTGCCCTTGATGGATGTCCATGGATAGAGTATGATCTATGTAACATGTTGGTCAAGCGAAGATCGCCGAAAAAGGAGGGTCGGAGCGTGTAGATGGCTTGTTCACAACGGCCTAGCCACCTGCAAGCACCTCGTTCGCGAGCTGGCAAGGGCAACCAACGAGGGCCTCATATCCCCTCCCGCAGTATCTCGGAGATGGCGGTTATACTGCCATATCAAGTCCCGGAGCGCCAGCGAAACGTTGTCCACGACAAACGCTTCCTCGGCCATGACCGATTCGCCCTGCATCGTGTCGAGCGCCACGGCCCGTCCGCCGACGCACCGCCAAACAACTGGCAGAAGATCGTGCGGATTCACTGCTGTTGGCGGCCATCGTCGATTATGCTGCTGGAGAGGAGCTTACAGAGAACCGCGTAGAGCAGAACCCAGTACTAGAAGGACTCCATGTCGTCCGCCACTCGTGACTGGATGGATGTCCCGTCTCGGTAAAAATGCCGTACGAGGCGACGTGACGTGAATCGCAGTGTGCCCTAGACGTCTGGGAGTTAGCTACATATGGGCTCCATTAGTCCTGACGTTTCGCGGGGAGCATTCGCACCGAATTGGCTGCTTCACCTGGTCCGCGGTCTCCCCCGCGAGCTTGTACGAGGGCGACGTCTTCCGCATTAACAGCGGTTCGATTGACGCCTACGCGTGCGTGCCCAGGAGGCGTCGGAACGCAGACCTGACGTGCGACATCACGCAGCGGGAGCTGTTCGAGCACTACGTCAGACATGGCCAGGGCTGGTATGGGCGAAGAGACCTAGCGGTAGAAGGAGGGATGGACGCGTTGCTGAGGCATGCAAGAGTGACAACATAGATCTAGATACGGGGAGGGTATACGAGGGACAGCGATGGTCGAATTATGCAACGTCGACGTGGCCTCCAGGCTCCTCTCGTCGATTGCCTATACTACTTCGTCGTAGTGAAATTCACGACCGAGTTGCAGCCGTTCCAGCACGTCCGCCAGTCTTCTGCACATCGCGGAGTGCGTGAACTGGTACGGCCCCGCGGCGAGCCGCTTCCGTTCCTTCTTCTTCGCAGCCTCGAGAGCGGCCTCGACCTTGGCCTCGTAAGCCGCTTCCTCTTCCGTTAGTGGTCGGGGAGCACTAGTCTCGGGGGCCATGCGAGACGTCAACGCCCGGACCGCCAACTGGTCGGACATGTGTTCCCCGTAGCCAATCAATAACTGCACGACGGGGTATGGCACGACCTTGTGGACTGATCGATAGCTCGCCAGCTGCGCAAAATGCAACGTAGTCCTTCGGAGGTGAATATCCGCAGCTGATGTTCCGCCAAAGGTGGTCGTGTATGCGTCTTTGACGGATTTCTGCTCCCGAGGGGAATCGCCGACGCCGTCCACGGAAAGCCTCCGCATCAAGGCGTAGAGGAAGATCCAAAGAAAGGACTCTAAGGTGTCCTCAGCTTGAGCAACGATGCTTTCGTCGCTGCGGGAGAGTGCCTCGAGGTGTCGGCGCGGCAAAAACCGCATCGTTGTGGGCTGCCCATGGGGTTTCAGCTAGCGAGTCGCGACACCGAGTCGAACGTCAAATCCGCACCGTTATGATGACTTCCCGCACATACGGCGCATAAGTAGCCTCAGCGCTACAATCTTCCGTGCTGAGCCTTCTTATGTGAGTGAGGCTCGTCCGGGCGTGTTCCATGTCGGTGCGAACAAAACTCGTGTCTTCAACTTGTTCTCTACTGGCAACATGAAGAGCCTTCGACATGAGCGCGTTCCTGGAGTATATGCCGGTGGCCATGTATTCAGCAGGGAACAGAGATGGTATAGCAGCCGTCGAGCGAGAGACGAAGGTCTCGCGGACAGCTTGGGGAGAACGCGATGGAGGTAGCAGCGCGAGAGTGAGCAGCGCCGCCGAGGCGCGCGAGGATTGCTATAAGCGCGCATTATGTCATGGTTTGTACTCGTTTTTACGTCATTGCTTGTACGCCGTTGCTTTTGCCTCACTTCACTCGTACTTCAAGTTGCCTTCCACCACACCCATGTACCGATACCAGCCAGAGCCGCAGACATGCATGAGTACTACCTCGATACCACCGTCTCCCCGCCGATTAGTCGTCGTACTCGCGATACTAGTACTGGCCGCGTTTGTGATGCTCTCCCGAACAAATCCGAGGCGCCAGAGAGATGGGAGGAGAGATCAAGGAGATTGTGAACGAGTGAGGCTACCAGTCGCGAAACGTGGTGAGCGTTAACTTCGACAGCTGCGATTTCCTTCCATGTGTGGATCGTCGTCCTGCTGCCGTGCCCATATGAAGATGTGGTTAGGTTCCGAGTCTGCGAGGGAAGCAGGTTTTGCGACATTTGCAGTAAGCCCTCTATCCGGGATGTGTTCGAATGCTGATAGTTTTCTACCGCAGAGTACTTGACAAATGCGGGGGTCCTGTGCTGCTTCGAGGCCGGGACTTCATCATCCCTACGGTGATCTGCCATCGCTTCACCCTCGACGAGCGCGAGCGCGCGGAGACGCTGCAGCCCTTCAGGATGCGCCATCTCCGAACCTCTTAACTCTCTCCGTTCATCTCCCCGAAGACAGCATCGGAGCACGTAGGCTTCGGTGACAGTCATGGGGAACAACTACGTCGACGCGCATTTGTCGGCCGCCAATCGTGAGATGCTCTAGTACATGTAAGCGTACTTCCTCGCGATTCCCGCTCGTACGTGTACTGACAACTTAGTTTCTGAACTTCACATGAGTCGGCCTTGTAGCTCCACGTCGGTCACTTCGTCAGTCCTCACGGGCTCCCTCAGCCGCTCCTGCTCGCATACCGAGCAGTGAATGCGACACCGATAGTGACAGTGTGTCCGCGTCCGCGCTGGCACGTAGGGCCTCGAGTAACCCAACATATCGTCCACGTCCATCCACCCCGCCAACTGCTCCACGTCCCTGCCCATGGACGACCGGAGTTACTAATACGGGGAAGAGCGAAGCTATATGGGGTATCGATACAGCCGAGCAACCGTCAGGGTGTCGTTTGGTTCACTACGTGCCTTACATCTTCGTCCACTAGCTATCATGTTCCATTTCACGAATGTATATCATCGGTTGTGATCTTGTTCACGCGTTTCGGGCGAGAGCATTCCGAACCAACGAACGATAGTTGTCAGCATGGGTGCGCAACGGTGTACGCGGAAACTTGAAGGCTCATGCAGCGTGCAATACCATCGGCGGACATTGATCATGGCTTCCCGCGGGCCAGTAAGTACCACCCAGGCAATGCGGCGACGGTTAGTACTGATCCATTGATGCGCGCCAACTTGAACGGCTACTACTGAGAAGTCAACGCCAGGAGCCGACGACACCTTCGCACGCGCACCAAACCGCACACATCGAGCCAAAGTCTGTCCGTATCGCTCGGCCGATGACCAAGCGAGAGAAACATGTACGTCTCTGCGACGACGACGCACTCGAAGGAGTCGCACGCTGTCCCCCAACGCGCACGGTCAGCCATCGTCCACAACGTTCACAACACGACGGGCGTGACTCACCTGCAGGACCGCGAGGTAGCGCAGTCGAGCGCAGTTGGCTTCCCCGCCGTCTTGAGGCAGCAGGTACTGTTCCCGGGGGCCACGAAGAGGCCGATTATACGAGCAACGGTCCTTGCGACGGAGTTTTAGTGGGCCACTGTGCGCAGGGGAGTAGAGCATCTATGTCAGATTGTCAATGGATCAGCTATATATGGCTTCTTGATTACAGTATAGTAGTAGAAATATGTACGGCAAAGTTCGTATAATATAAGAGCGTGCAAGCGAAGACACAGAGGGCTATGCGGGATAGACGACAACATCAGGGAGGGGGAAATGGCCTCAGGGCTGCACGCTGCACGCTGGGGACGTTGGCGAAATGACCGGGGCTCCTCGGTCTTGACGACATGCGAGCAGAGGCTGGAGACGAAGGAAGGGGGACTCAAAGAGTTCAGGCACGACCCTTTCCCTTCCTGCTGCGTGAGACCACCAAGTTGGAATCGGTCTCCACGCCTCTGGTGCGGACAGCTCCCAACGACGATCCACTTCCCGTCTTAGCCCGCTTGCTACTCGCCCTACCAGACGACTCACGTGTACCCCGTGCGCGCCCTGCTGTGCTCGTGCCTGCCTCCTCCATGGCCACGATGATCGCCCTGGACTCGTAGCCTGCGAGCTGATCGATCCCAAGGGCATCCGGGTTGACCCAGCGTTTCCGACCGAGTTGGAGTACGTTCGCAAAGCGATTGAGGAAGAAGTCGTGTGTGTTCAAGAGCGACGCGGTCGCTGAGGTAGCCGTGGAGGGCTCCTCCGCATAGACTGCTAGGTCATCGTCCTCCTCGTCCTCGTCCTCGTCCTCCTTGGCGTACCATGGCTTGTTGTAGTTGATCTCGAAGTCATCGTCTTCCTCGTCTTCGTCCACTTCGGTGAGAGAATCGACCGGAGAAGGAAGTTTGTCGTGGGCCTCGTTGGCATAGTCCAACAGCTCGTATCTTGCTGATAAGGCGGTCAAAAACCTGGCGAATAACCGGTTGAGCGGGTTGCCCGATCGCCCCGTGGTCTTCTTGAAGAGGAGACGGCGGCCCTTCCCATAACGAATCATTCTCCACCTCATAGCGTTCCACTTTGTAGCACTACAAAGTCGGGTCCCGTCGTTGTCTTGCTCGAATGTATCAAAGTACGCGATGACGAATTTGGGGACATTGACCATCGTGTGCGGGAGGTAGCGCACGGCGTAGAACAGCATCACGTGGAAGAAAGACTCCAGTTCATCGGCTACGGAGATAGGGAGCGTCCATTGCGATGCGACGGACGCGACGGACATGAACTGCCAAGTTCCCTAGGACAAGAAGGTCAGCTAGCATTCTCGAACATATCATAATACACGCGCACCGTTCGCTCAGGTTGCCTCGCCTTATCATCCTCGCCATCCTTCGGCACGATTTTCGCCAACTCCCAGTCCGTCAAAAGGCCGAACCATCGGACGACCTCTTTGCCCTTCTTGTTGACAGTATGCCGCGGGAGAATAAGTACGTTCCCGGCGCTAATGTCACGATGCAGCAGTCCGAACTTCAGGTACGCCTGTTGATGTGCTTTCAAAACGACACAATAGTATATCAGCGATGTCCAGGTATATCGAGATGCAAATGACTAGGACGTACTCTGCACGCAGTCGAACATCAGGCGGATGAACTGCTTCGTCGAGCAGAACTTGTCGAAGGGCAGACACACGTCCTGCACGACGGTGCGGTAGTGGATATGGTGGCGCAAGCGATCTTCGTTTTCTGCAAGGGGCGCGGGCGCGGTTGTATCGCCGGATGACGGCTCAGCTTCGTCCTCTTCCTCATGGGGACGTTTCTTGGTGCTGCCTCGTCTGACGACCTTGCCGGCTGACGTATTCTTGGCCTGGGCGGCGAGGCGACGTTGGTTGTCCCTTATTTTCCTCTGCGGGTCTCCCTCATAGATAGCTGTGAACGCGCGCTGTCCCTCCACGTCGCCGTGACAGATGAGGGTGGGGACAACCATATCGTGTTGATTGGCGAACATAGCGAGGTAGGTGCCCTCCGGCTCGACACCCTCGTAGTAAGGTCTCCACGAGTCCTTCAGGAAGACGAACCGCCGCGTACGCGCGTCGACGGCGATATATCCTCGAGTGGCGCGGCCGAACATCGATGATGAGCAGAATATGTGTCTGCCGACGAGAAAGACGCGCTTGTCTTTGCCGACGCGAATCTTGTAGCGTGGCCAACCCTTCTTGAGGGACTCCCTGAACATCTCCCGGACGTACTTGAACACGCGGGGATCGCCGGTGAACTCCTCGACTACCGCCAGGTCGGGGTCTTTACCCACAGGGGGGGTGTTCATGTCTTCGGCTGGTGGCGGAGTCGGAGGCGGAATGGGCGGTGGCATAGCAGCCACCTTCGACGATGACCTCGTGCGACGAGCCCACACCCCTTCCTTATCACCGGGAGTAGAAGGCGGCAGGCCACCGTTTCCACCGCCTGTATCGGACGACGTGCCGGGAGTGCTGTCAGCTACTGCAGACGGCGGATGAGAAGTGTTGGGTGCAGTAGTTGCAGAGCTTGCGGAGGGAGGAACAGAAGGCGTCGGCCAGTGGGTCCCAGGTTCCATGTAGTCAACGTCCACGGACGGATCGGGTCGAGCGAGGTAGTCCATCATCCTGAAGGCATGTGAATCGGGTTCGAGCAAGTCCACGGTCGGATCCATCCCCTGCTGAACGTCGTCGAGATGTGCGAAGTGCCAGAGAAACTGGAGCAGAAGCTCAGGGTTGACGACGTAGTTGACCTTCCTGGACACAATGACCCCAGACCTATCCCAGCGGGCAGCTCGAAACGCGTCCCCGATGATGAAGAGCGAGTAGAGCTTCGTGCGGTGCTGGTAGCGAAACGTGTGGTGGGCGTACGCGATGAGCTGCGCACGGACGGCGGCGCGCGACTTCCTTTCCGACTCAGCCGACACCCCTTCTCTATCATCCCACGGGTCGTACTTGGTGTTGCCTACTTTGAACTCCATGTAGAGCCGACAGTGCGTCCAGTCTGGTCGGCCGTTTGACGGGACCTTGCCTTTGGGATAGAGTGCAGCGTCGACTTTCGAGCCGGTCTCGTCGGTCAGATCAGGCATGAACTGGGAAAGCGCGGCCTGGTAGCCCTTTGGCAACTTCATGTCGTTGATGATTTTCACCTGCAATACGATCAGTCATCAGCTAGCGGAAGTGGAGGTGAGAGGGGTGGACGCACGACCGCGCATGCTATAGCATCCTCATTGGGGTTTATAGGTTTTTTGTCCGGCGTAAACTTGTAGAACAAATCAAGCAGGTCCTTTTTTGCCGTCTGAACTGTTTGCTTGGGGAGCTTCGACTTTCTGGCCCGGAGAGGCGGGAGGAGCTCTTCGACAAAGGTTTGAAACTCGACGAGAATTGTGGTTCCCATACTCGACTTCCCTTGCAGGCGGCGGTCGAGAGTGGTGTTCGGCTGGAGGTCCTGTCCGTGCTTTCGTGGGTCGTGATTGCTGATCGTATGAGCCTTATACGGGCTGGCCTGGAGGCCTGCGGGTGCGTTGTAGACGACGGGACCTGGCGAGCGAGACATGGGTTCAGCTTTATCGCTCATGGCTAAGGAAGAAGTGGGGTAGACGTGGGACAGACCTAGTCGCGAAGCAGCGCAAGATATAGGTATACGCGTGTGGCTAGTAACTTAGCCACTGGCACTGGCAGCGGTACGGCGTCGATATGGCTAAAGGCTATGAAATTAAGACCCAGCAGCTGCAAACAAAGGACATACTTTTTTGAGTGCAACAGACAATGGTGTGACAACAATCGACTTGCTCGAGTTGGTGGGAGGAGGACGCAAGGCGCACGGGCGGCTCATATGGCGAACTTGGTTGGAGTTGCCTAGTTTGGACGTGATTCGATACTCCGCTCGCCTAGCGCCCTGGCTGGCTGAACTGCGTGGCCAGCACCCTCCAGTACCTCGATCCTACCTCGATCCTACCCCGGGATCTGCAGCCCATGGTTGGATGGTTCAGGCTATCAATGAGGTGCACAATGGCATTTTGGTATCTCATTCCATCTTTGAGCACCTGGGACCCCCGCGTAAAGAGTAGGCGTCGATGCATGAGCTTCGAATGAGTTTTGCCAACTTTTCACAAGCGAGAATATAGCTCTGACTATATTTAATCACTCGTCACGAGCCGGGCCAGGCCAAGAGTACACAATGGAGCAGAACAGTGGTGTCCACGGCTCCTCAGATTCGCGCTACGAACGGACGAACTGGATATCAAATTGGAGGATCTACGAAGCGCTGAGCAAAGGCCCGGGAACAACACCGCTCAGCCACGTTGAGAATATGCGGGGATGGTCTGCCCATAGTACCAGTGTCACTCTAACCGCCGGCGGACATCTCGTCCGTGAGCAACCCCCCAGCAGCCGCAACCCTCAAATTGTTCATCAGCTTGTCGTGGTTGAGCACCCTAGCTACAACCTCGGTGTCGGATCCATCCTCCAGGCCGTCCTCGCCGCTGACATCGGCCTCGAGCGTGGGCATCTCATCCTCGACGTCAGTATCTCGGAGATGTCGATTATACCGCCACAGCAGCACCCAGGGCGCGTGCGAGATGTTCTCGGCTGGGACACGTTTCCCGAGAAGCTTGTGCAGTCGGATTGTGGTCAGCCCCGTGTCCCGCCCGTCTAGGATCTCTGTCGCTGATGTCCCTCCGAACGTCGTCAGGAAGGACGTACGGATGAGCTTGCGGTGGGGCCCACGGGGACGCCCATATTGGCGGCGAGGTTCCTGAGCACGGCGTAGAGCAGGACCCAGTAGAAGGACTCCACGTCGTCTTGCACTGCTGCTTGGATCGCCATGTCGGTCGTGATTTTTAATTATTTACGGGCCCCATCACTAGTCCTCAATAAGTTCCCGCTATGGCTTCTGTTTGCTGGCTGGTGGACGCGAAATCGAAAACGGCAGAGAAATTGCTTGGTGAAAACATCGTCGTCGAGATGTAACGAGCTACGGAAACCTGCCTAAGCCAGTCCCAACGTGGTCTATCCAAAGCCACGGTGTCCTAGTCATCGACAGACATATCCGAGTCGTCCGTGCCAAGCAACCCCCCCGCAGCCGCAACCTCCAGGTCGCGCATCATATCCGCGTGGTTGAACACCTTGGCCAAGGCCTCGGTGCTGGGCGCAACTTTATGATCCTTTACGCCTTGGGCCCGAGGCCTGGGGCTCTTGACGGCAGTGTCTCGCAGATGCGCAGTATTGTAGTGCCACAGCAGCACCCGGAGCGCGTGCGAGATCCGATCTGCCGCGAACTCTGTCGAAAAGAGATTGTCATCGTCAATTGCCCGCAGCGCCGACGCCCGTCCGTCGAGTATGTCCTCTGCCGACGTCCCACCAAACATCTTCGAGAAAGATGCGCGGATGAGCCTTCCTTCAGCGCGAGACCTATCAACGCCGTCCATGCTGGCGACGAGCTTCCCGAATACGGCGTAGAGCAGGACCCAGTAGAAGGACTCCACGTCGTCCGCGGCGCTTCTCTGGACCGGGGTGCGGCCTTGGGCGATGTGCCACAAGAGGCGGCGCGACTCGAACTGCAGTGGGCCCGCGCCCTAGGTATCTTGAGCTCTCGCTGGACTGCGATGTATGAGACGGGCGACGAAGCGCGTACCGTGTCGTTCGCGGCTACCACAGAGGGACTGGCCGCCACCGCGTCTTCCTCTGTGAGTCGCATCGAGGAATCCCGCAGCACCTTGCTCCGAGCCCGCGACGGCCTCGACAAGAAATACAGTCTCGGGGCTGATGCGGCCGTGCAAGACGCCCTCGTCGCATAGGGCCTTGTGCGCTGTGGTATTGCGTTAGCAAGGTACACGAGAGTGATTCGTATAGGCATACCTGCCAGAGCGTCTAGTAAGCCCTTCAGCAGCTGCTGGTCGGTTTGGTACTCCCATACGGGGATGCGGCGGAATGTGTGGAACCTGCAGTCATCAAGTGCCAGCGGTAGGGCGGGACGCGGAGGTTGGAAATCGCGTGGACGTGAACGGCGTGGTGAACACGAGGGAGTGGCTGTGCATCATCGTCTGTTTGAGGCAGGCGTTGTGGATGGCGCAACGAGCTACGGGTGAGCGACCTTGTAAGATGAGAGGAGGAAATGCACGGGGGCATCGCGCAGCGTATCACTTCTCGGCCGAAAGAGTATAGTGAGGAACGTGATGGTATACAACCTGGCACGGGCGACATGCCGCGCCAACAATCCGCCCTACTACTGGACCCAAACCATAGTACAGGCGACAGACGCGTCGTCGTGGTAAAATGTCCTCGCTGACGCCGTCTGGAAACTTCATATGGCATAGCGGGTTCACATCTGTCAAGCCAGTCAGTACTCTTGGTTGAAACTACCACCCCGCTCGCAGCCCTATCCCGACTCACCAGCTGCGCATACAACCCGCGCCACATCCCCAGCTCGACCGGCTCGTTCTCCGGGCCCGTCACCGCCCCACCCTCCGCCCGCCGATACACCTCGCCATATACCGCCCCGTCGTCGTCGCGCACCGGGTCGCCCAGCTCGTGCACGGTGAACGACGCGAGCGCGGGGAGCGTGGCGAACAGCAGGCGCGCGTACTCGGTCATCATGCGGTCGTCGAGGCCGTCGCCGCCGGGGGGCGGCCAGTAGAGGTCGTCGGCTATGGAGCTGTCGACGCTCCACATGATCGTCTTTAGCGCTGGGCATGCTTCTTGCAGGCCGGGGACGGCCATGGTTTCTTGCTCGCACGGCAGCTGAGTGGGACCAAGGTTAGCGAATACGGGTGTGCGGGACCGCGGGGGAGCACGCACGTCGGTAGCGGGCCCATACAGGTCTGTGACCTTGACGTGTTCGAGTTTCGGGAGGTGCGCGTTCCGGAACATCGACGCCGGCCAGTAGCATTCTGGGGTGCATTGTTCACCGATGAGCCGCAGTATGCATACCGTGACGAGAGTGCTTCCGAACAGCTTCATGACGTGCGCGATGTCGTCGTGGCTCGCGGCCATGATCGAGAGGTGGGCGATAGGGTACGGGTGGGTGATGAAGGTCAGCGGGAACCGGGAGGCGAAAGCGGTGAGGGTCTTGAGCTTGGGGAGGATGTCCGGCCGCGAGAGCTCGGGTTGGACCTCGTCTTGCGAATGTTCGGGGATGAAGACGAAGGAGAGCCGTTCGATGTCCGGTTGACTTGCCAAGATGTCCTCCAAGTTTGGGGCATACCGTTCTCCGCCAATGATGAACGTGTGTAGCCGGAATGAACAGTGCAGTAGGATGTCGAATATGGACGGTTCGTCGACAACGAGCTCCAGGGATGAGAGGTTCGTGAGCAGGGGGAGCGCAGTGTTGAGTGGCTTTTTGAGGGTCGTGCCGCCGCGGACGGATAGGACCAGTTTCCGGACAAAGACAGCGCGGTAGCGCCTCTTTGAGATCGCGCGACAGAGTGCGGAGGCATACTTGCACGTTCCAATCTCGATATCCCTATACAGAGCAGCTTCGATTTCGGGAAGGAGCGTCTTGCAGAGAGTGGCCAAGGTTGCGAGCCATGGCTTCCTCTCGTCTGCAAGGTAGTCGAATATCATCATGTGTAGCTCTGTGGGGAGCTTCAGAATGTGCTCATTCTATGAAATCCTAGACTGTTTGGTGAGATGTGGCCAATGGTAACGCGAGAAGTGCGTACCGCAAATGCTGCTTTCGCTTGCGCATTTCGGCGGGTCTGAACCATCTTATAGAGAGTTACAAGGACAGCGTTTGGGAGAAGTGAGCGTTCCGAGTTCCCGCAGAAAGAGATAGACTGTGAGAAGAAGAGGGCTTGGGGTAGGTGGAGGTTGCTAGGAAGAATGCAAGAAGAATGAGGAAGACAGCCTGGCCAAAGGTCGCTCAGGTAGTGATGTCATCTCCATCCTGGGCGTCTAGGCGGCTCCGGGCCTTTGTCCCGATCAAAGTCTGTTTACCACATTTGGGTCGATCGAGCATGCAGGCGCGTGCGCTAATTTCGTGCACTTTTCTCTTCTCCGCCTCCCACTATACCTCTCAAGATGGGCAGAAACAGTAAGCGGACGCGATATCGATGCTGTATCGTACTCATGGTACTGTAGAGAGCCGAAAACTCGAAGTTCCCACAAAATCCAGTACGTCTATGCGTGAGGCAAGGCACCCGCATACCCCTCATGCCTCCTAGAACTCAAGAAGGACCCCGGCGTGCCTCGTCTACCCAGTCTGAAGGCACGAAATGCCGGGAAACATGTACAACCTGTGCGTAATCGAGCGCACACATCATCGAGGCGAGGTGGCTCACTACAGATCGCCGCAGCCTCCCCGCCGAGACCCGGACGCGCAAATGGCCTCGGAACCCACTCTCTCCTCCCTCGCCGCGCTCGCAGAGACCTCTGCGGCCGTAGACGATGAGGGCTTCTCTGCGGACCCCTCATCCTCGCGTGGCGCGCCGAAGACAAAGGAGCAGCTCCGCCGCCACTATATCCGTGCCTTGCACAAAGTGATCGACGAGAGCGACATCGTGATCTTGGTACTTGATGCGCGCGATCCGGAGGGCTGCAGAAGCAGGCTCGTGGAAGAGGAAGTCCGCCGGAGGGAAAGCGAGGGCAAGAAGCTGGTCTTTGTGCTCAACAAAATCGGTACGTCTCCGTCCTGCTCTCTCATCGCACCCGATCATCCAAGAAATATGCCATATACTCGTATTTCTCCCCTACACTTGTCCCCGCACTTCTGGCTGGTTTTCGCACTCCCAACGGAATGCATCCGAGCGGGACGCCGCTCAGCGGAATACCTCTGCGCAGATCGCTGCGGCTACAGAGATGGCGGCTACGTTCATCAGCTACGAACTCTGTTTTTGTGCGCGCGTAACTGACATAAAGCCCATTCCACAGATCTCATCCCGCGCGAGAACGCCCAAGCATGGCTCCGGTACCTCCGACATTCCACCCCCACGCTTCCATTCAAGTCCGCGAATCAGAATCAACGCACGAACCTGTCCTCGTCTACCGCCCCCGGCCTGATGCGTCTGCTGAAGGCGTACAAGCCCAGCGCGCAGAGCATCACCGTCGGCGTCGTAGGGTACCCCAACGTCGGAAAGAGCAGTCTCATCAACTCGCTGAAGCGGTCCAAGGTAAGCCGCTATAGCCACGCATCGGAGCCCCTAATTGATCGACATTTCGCAGGCTTGTGCGGTGGCGGCTCAACCAGGCTTCACGAAGGAGCTGCAGACGGTGCAGCTCGAACGTGGGCTGAAAGTCATCGACTCACCCGGTGTCGTGTTCGACGACGACGATTTCGACGACGGCAAGGGGAGCAAGAAGACGAACATCCTTCTGCGGAACGTAGTCAAAGTTGAGGATGTGGACGACCCCATGGTGATCGGTACGTCGCTCCGTCTTGCTACTTCGTAGATCATGCCGCGCTGACAACGCGCGCAGTGGAGGAGATCCTGAGCCGGACAGATCCCGCCATGATCAAGAAGCTCTACAACATCGAGGGCTTCACCTCCCCCCTCGAGTTCCTCACCATGCTCGCACTCACCACCGGGCGCCTTCTCAAGGTACGTCCCCCCTTCACCCCCCCTCACACTAACCCCCTCTCACCCGCTTTCCCCACCCCAGGGCGGCACCCCCGACATCCTCGGCGCCGCGCGCCAAGTGCTCATGGACTGGAACCACCAGAAGATCCCGTACTTCTCATCCCCGCCCGCCGTGCACCCCTCGCTCATCCCCTCCACCGTGCCCGGGGCCAGCCACCAGATCGCGCCCGGGGCGGAGACGGTCGGGCAGGCGCAGATCGTCGCCGCGCTCGCGCAGCCGTTCGCGCTCGACGGGCTCTTTGGCGCCGCGGACGCGGGCGCGTTCGGGTTCGCGCCGCCTGCGGACGCGGAGATGGGCGATGAGGAGACGGAGGACTTCCCTGAGGAGATGGACGAGGACGGGTAGGTCCCCCTCCCCCTATCCTCACTGCTTCACGTCATACTCACGCTCAACCCAACTGCAGAAAACAAATGGAGTCCGATGACCTCGCCCCGCACATCCCGCGCAAACGCTCGCGCTCCCCCTCCGTCGCCTCCGTCACCTCCACCACGCGCACCTCCACCTCCCTCTCCGCCCCAACACCAGCGAGCGAGGGCGCGCGCCCCCGGCCCCAAAACGCCTCCGGCGCTCGCACGACGTGCCCGCGTACGACGCGCCGGTCGAGGAGCACGCGCGGCGCGCGATGGCGAGCGCGAACCCGCTGGGCCGGCGCGTGCTGAAGCGCGAGGCGAAAAAGGCGCGGCGCGCGGCAACGCGCGCGCTCGGGCGCCCGCTGGGGGGCGGGATGGACGTCGATGATGTGGGGCTGGGGGCGACGTTCATGGATGCTGAGGATGCGTAGGCTGGGGGTCCTGTGAGGTTGTATGTGTTGGTTTTGCGTGTACGATGTGATGCGCTGCGAGTGTTCCAGCTTTGTACGATGGGGTCAATCATGCATATGCATACTAGGTAGAGATCGACAGCGGGTTATAGGCAGCATTACACAGAGATAGCGCGTGGACCTGGGCAAATGTGCATTACAATGTCTAACGGGTCTGTAGTATTAATCGGTACACGCATAGTCACCCTCGACGCAACGGTGCTTCCTGCGCATGCAGTAATGTAAGATATGGCCGGTCTCGGTCGGCGCTCGTGCCGTTTTGAAGTCGAGGTTGCGCCCCCTTAGATCTCAAAGGGGTACTCGGCATCGAACTGCTCCTTGTCGAGCGTGCGGCCGTGCTCATTGACGAACTTCGTGCACTCCGCGTTGAGCTCTGCGCGCGTGAATCTCGTTATGACGCCTTCACGGAATACTAGTAGTGTATACGTACCATCCAGCGTCATAGGCTTCGTGCACTGCAGCGAGTAGTGGTCTGAGTGCTCGTGCAGGATCTGCAGAGTGTCGGGTAGGGGCGTGCCTGCACACGACGCGTCAGCACCAGGGCCTCGGAAGACACACCAAGCAAGGCAAAACGCGCACACACCTTCCTTCAGAACATACACCAAAATATTCGCACCCCGGAAATTACGCACGACCTCCTGGAACGTCGGCGACAGCGGCTCCCTCAACGAGCACCCATTCGGACCTTCAAGCACCCCGCCCCCACTTCAGCTTCAGCCCCGCCACCCTCCCTTTCCCCCACTGAGTATTGAGGACGCACCGATAAAATTAGGCCCGTCCGCGACGCGCACCTTCCCGTCGACGAGCTTGAGGTCGTAGCTGAAGCGCTTGAGCGCCTTCTGCGTCTCGTAGTCGCGCAGGCGGACGTTCCGCCCGGACTGCACGCGCGCGAGCTCGACGGGGACGTGGTTGTACCGCCCGATGAGCGGGCGCCCGCCGCCGGGCGCGGAGGTGGAGGCGGTTGCGGAGAGCTGGCGCGACCAGGCGGGGGTGGGGCGCAGCTGGAGGCGGCCGTGCGCGCGGCAGGCGTCGAGGACGGTGGGGGCCAGCATGAGGAGTGTGAGGCAAGCTGGAGGAAACCGTACGGTAGAGTGCTGCCAGTGGTAGGTGCGTGTTATGTAAGTGGACCCTAACCCTACGTCTCTCTCGCTCTGCCAGATCGAATCTGCTCGCGTGCGCCGCTGCTCTCTCCGCGATGGTTAGTACATATTGCTTTCGCATGAGATCGGTGGACGACGATTTCCTTCGTGCTAGTGAGTTCTCGACCAGTGGCCGCACCACTCCGTACACTCGCGCGTTTCATGCATGCCGCCTGAAACGAACACCCCGCCCGAGCAGCGCGAAGCCCGGCGCGATGTGTTCCTAACGGTGCGGCCGTCATCCCGGAGTGCCCGGGCGCATCGCGGAAAAGCATAAGTACACCGAGCATATGTCCAGGGTTCGAAAGCCAACACCGGAGGTCCGTATAATACATCAACATACGCATCGCGATACAAGCAGACCAGAAATTAGGCGAAACACTGCAGTAAAGGTACTTCAAGTTCTTCCATTTGCCCGCGCGCCCGTCCATCCAACCATCCATCTATCCATCCAAGCAAACGAGACATTACAGCGGGCGGGGCGGGTAAGGCAAGATATGGCAGGGCGCGGCACCCGGCTCAGCGCGAGAAGTCGGAACGCGAAGGCGAACACGGGGAGCGGGGCGGGACGGAGCCGGAGCGCTATGGGAACGACTGCTTGTCCTTCACGCTCTGCACGGTCTCGTCCCCCAGCCCCGACGGCGTGCTCCCTGAGATCACCGTCGTAAACTGTCCCACCCACCCAGCGTCAGCCTTCCACTTCCCGCGTCCACAAAACAAAATAGCAGCGCACCTCGATGTTGTTCCCGCCGGCCTCGGCGCGCGAGGCGGGGTCGTACGAGCTCGTCGGGTCCGTCGAGAGCGTCGGCGTGCGGAACGCGATCTTGCTCACGACGGGGCGCCGCGTGCGTCCGCCGAGCAGCGACCCGCGCGCGTTTAGGGTCGCGAGCAGGGAGTTGACGTACACTGTGCGGGGCGCGTCAGATCGGATGGGGTTTAGGGTGGGTGTGATCCGAGTCATGTGAGGAACGAAAGATGGGAAGGGGAGGGGGGATGGATGGAGGGAAGGGACGTACGCTTGCTGAGGACGAAGTAGAAGGCGAAGTAGATGAACTTGGTCGGGTCCGCTGCGTACTAGAAGCGCACAAACGGCGTCAGTCGCGTCTGGGCAGGCAATGAAGGGGAAAGTGTACCGACCGCGACGAGGGCCCCGATGGCGCACAAACTGCCAAAAAAAACACAACACCCAAACATCAGCGAACGTGCTCCCGATCTCAGCGGGCGCGTCCACGCACCTCGTGAGCACCCCGGTGTTGATCGTGTAGGTGATGAGCACCCTGATCACCAAATCCGTCCTGCAAGCGTCCAGCGGACGTTAGCTATACATCCGAGTGGCCAGGACCAAAGTTGTGCGGGGGACGCACCTCCGGATGCCGGTCTCGAAGCCCTTGAGCAGGAGGCACTGCGCGACCGCCACGATCAGGTCAACTGTCGCTTCCACGGACAGACCAAGATACAGGCTCCACTGCGTGATGCAACGTGGTCAGGCCGACGATGGGGCGAGATGGACGGGGTAAAGAGAGACGCACGGAGAAAAGGCTGATGTCGCTGTACAGCGGAATGCGATATCTAGAGCGGGTGAGGGTGAGCATGAGCAACGGGGCGGGTAGGTGGGGACATTCAGGGCGCTCGTGCTTACAGTTTGACAGCGAAGTCTGAAGGACGTCGGGGCGGACATGAGCGTGTTGGTGGGGCGGAAGTAATATGGAGACGGGAGCTTACAGGTGGCATCCACTGCGGTCGGTAGAGACACGCCTGTCAGCGAGTGCAGAGGTGGGCCGATGCGCGTCATCTACATACCGAGGATGAAGACGGAAAAGAAAGCCTGCAGCGAGGAGGGTGTGACATATGGTCATTAGATGCTGGCGTGGAGTACGGGCAGAGAACGTACGATGACCGCCGGCACGATTGGCCTATGGTTGCTTACTGAGTGCAGCAAGTTTAGCGTCGTGGCCACGCCAGCCGGGTGGGGCGATGTACTCACATTTCCATAGGCGGTATCCGAAGATTCTACGGACAGGAAGCGGGATTCCAGACATGAGCTTTAGTTTCGTGGACGTGAGAGCGAGGCAGCGTACTCACGCGCGTACTATCGAGTTACTGGCGTTCTAGAGGGAGGTGAGTATGTCAGTACGAGGAAGGAAACGTAGGATACGAACCGAGACAATAATCATAGTCTGACATATCAAACCATGTAAGTAAGTGCATATACAGCTGTGCAGAATGACGGCAGCACGCACCGGTATCGGCCTGTGGAGTGTTATCGCACGTTTAGCTCGCATGTCTCCGCGTGCGCATACACCCACTTACCAGATTGGCCGTTGCACCGCGCGCAAGTTGGTGAAGCTCGTGATGCAATACCAGTACATCGCGCCTGTAATGAGGCCTGCATGGAGGCTGTCAAGAATCCTAGGGGGACGGTCGCTCAGTCTTCAGTCGAGGGGTGCGGTTTCACTGGTAGATTTACCAGATAACTGCTACCTAGAGATACCGATTTAGCATAACAGCCATCGAGGAGGGAACGAAACTGCCATGTAGCCTCAGTCGCCGTAAAGTTGAGCCAAAAAACACTTTGCATTTAGCACGCCGACGGCATCTACTGAAATGGTATCCCGATTGAGCTTCGCCGCGTCTCGTTCACACGGGCAGCTCAACTCCACTCCGCACTCTTCGTGCGGAAGCAAACGCGAGAAACGGAGTGCTGCACTCACCGAGAGTTTCAAGGCCCTGCTGTCCTTCTGGTTCCTCCTGTAGTACATGAACGCCTGGAGCGTAGTGATGCCATAGAGCCTGAAGACGTCGCGAAGGGTAAGATAAGACATTGCGACCAAAGCGAGCAGCCGTACAGAGTAGTGACGAAGTGGCCGAGAAACGCCGCGCCGAGGGTATCATCGAGCTTTATCGCGCCTGGCGGTATCTGAGGTATCTGTGCGGGACTGGCCATGCCGCGCGAAGGCTAGGGTGGGACGTTGTGCGAGCGCAGAGGCTCAGACGCGTCGGAGAGGGACTTGGCGGGGTCGCATGTGCAGCGGGGCTCCGGAGGGAGCGGGCGCAGGCGGGCGCAGTACTTATAGCGAGGGCTGGCGTCCTTGGGGGGGGGGGAGATCTGGGAGCTAAGCGAAGAGAAGAAGCAGAACAAGGGCCGTACAGATTGAGTACGGGCCTAACCCAGTTAATAACGCGAGATGGGAAGACGCGCCGCCTTGATCCCCGCCCGTTCCTGGCTCTGGCCACCGCAACGTGCTCCCGCTGCCGGAGACTGCCGCGCGCGGTCGCAGATCCATTCCCCCCTCCTCCGCACCCGCTGCGCCCCCATCGCCATCATCCCCGGCGGCCCGGCCCTGCGCACGCTTTCTCTCGCGGCAGCTCATCACGAACGCAACGTCAGTTTGGGCGTGATTGATATGTCATGGCAGCCCGAGAAACGCAGCCACGCCCTCCCGAGCCGCACTCTTTTTCGCGAACCACCCCAAGGGCGCGTCGCCCGCACCACTCGCATGCCGCTTGCGGGATAGCGTTGAGCCAGGACAAGTCCGCCGCGGGCGGGTGGGCGCGGGTGGCCCGATGTTGTTGACGCTTGTGGGGTCGCGCCGGCCAGGGGCTACACCTGTCAAGCCCCCGCCGGCAAGCGTGGTTTGACGTATCGGTCGTCGGGATCTATAGAAACTGCCTTTGACAACGTGTTCAGCGTCGTCGTCGACGAGTGCCTCCGCTCCGCTGAGCACCGCCTCGATAGCTTTCATCGCGAAGTGAGCGACACTCCGTCTGCACCGCATCGATCTGCGTCCACCACGACGGGAGTCGTGTTGATCACGTCTTCGGACTTTCACCAACACCCTTGGTAAATCAATAGCTTCACTGTGCTTAAAGTTACAAGTGGCTCTCGATTCCTAGTTTTGTGCGGACTGATCGATGATCTTTGCAGCTGGCCTCCGCAAGATGTGGCAACGCTAGCACCTGTGGCTTCGGAACGATGATCCGGGTTGTCCCCACCCAGAAGATAGCCTCTGAAACGCGCCGGTCTGTCAGGTATGTTTCTTCCCCCGTGAACTATCACCTGCATTCTCTACAATGCGTTCCAATCTCGTCCGCCTCATTCTCATCCACGTCGCTTACTCTTACGGGTTCACACCTCCGTGCGACATACGCACTCGCTCAGCGGCGCTCTCGGCAAAATGGTAAGTACACAAGCTCAATCTTCCGTTCCATGAATGCCACTGATATACATGTCTCGCCTCGTCGCCCGACGACGGAGGCACACATCGCCGGAATAGTTCTGATGATACCTCCTCCTACCGAATTCCGTTCGGGGCAGATAGTACCACAGGGCCCGCGACGTGCGGCCCGCCATTGGCTGCCATGCCCTGCAATACAGGGCGTCGCCGTTTCCCTGGAGACCCAGCAATAGGTGTCCTTCTGCAGCGCCCTCGGCCAGGCCAGGGCCCGCGAGGCATTGCAATGCGAACTCACTCCACGAGCGAGTATGTTTCGTGCGGCGATTTCTCTCTCTGGCCAGCGTCGCAAGGTCCGAGAACCGCGAAGCGTGCGCATCTGTGTTCGTCCAACACGCATGCCGGTGCTGCGATCGCTGTTTCCGGCTCGCGCGAACGCGTTTCGAACCTAAACAGCGAACACATCCGCGTCTTCGCACTTCGCGCCCCCTGCGCATACGGCAGTCCCGTCCTCCGCCGACCTGGATCCTGCAGCGCTCGATATCTGGCTCAAACTCATACTTCTGACAGGTAAACAACAGTTCGATCGCCTCGCCGCCGGCCTTCTCGTCCACATCGACCTTCGCGCGGGATCGCCCCCGCCATATCCAGCTTCCAGCACCCCCTTGCTACCGCGGGCATGCACGTCAACGTATCTCCATCTCCCAGCGGCGCCCGCCACCCCGCGTGCTCGCCCTCCTTCGCCGTGTACCTCGCGACGCGTACGGCATGCGCGCGCACATTCCTAGCGAGAACTCAGGCTTTGACAAAGACCGAAGCACGGTCGGCCAGAATTATCGCCTTCGACGCTGCGGCGCACAGCCGGCTGATATATGCGCTTCGGTACGCCCACGGGGCGTGGGCGCGATCCGGCGAGCATGGGCTCGGAGGTTGCGGATGCGGGCATCTGGGTGCATCATGGAATTTAGAAGAGGATGCTGTTGACGAGCAGTCCGTGCTCCTCGGCTCGCGGCTGGAGAGGGTCAATGTGACCTCGGTCTTGCGTGTGGCGAATAGGGACGGGATGCGGGGGGGAGGGAGCGCCTTCGGAAGGTCGACCCTGCATGCGTGCGGGCGATCATCACCCGAGCGGGGGCGGCACTGCTCAGCCGGGGCGAGCTAGGTCCTGGTGGGCGGACGGAGCGCTCGGCCGCAAACTCAAACGCAGATGGAGAGTGGGGTTTGGGGGCAGGGGGGCGACTAGAACCGTGTTGGCGGCGGCCCCGAGTCCGCGGCTGGGTACCGAGCATCCTGTCAGGCTGCGCGCGGGATCCAGGGAGTGGCCGATGGCGGCGTTGGGGAATTTGCGGGAGGCGAGTCTGACCAGCGAGGTGTGACAGGGGTCACCGTGTGTTGTTGGGTAGGAGAACCCGCGAGGAGACAAAGAAACGCGAGATGCTGCTTCGGAGAGCCTGGGGTATGTCGAAGAGAGCCGGCCACTCAAATCATCCCAGAGTCAGTCCAAACATTTATTGATTCAAGCGTACCAAAGGGTATGATCATCGCAAAAGCCGCGTTCCTGTGGATCACTGGTCCCGACTCATCAGCGCCTTCAGCATGCATATCACAATGTACTGTGGCATAAGGTGACAAACTTCACTTGCCTGACCTGAACTCGTTGAAATCATAATGGCAAGACGGTCCTACGGGCGGCATACCTGCTATTAGCGTCTCATCTGTAAGCATGGGGGCAGTGATCTAACGCACCATCTTACTACCTGAAATATTCAGTGTGGACAAAATGAAAGTATGCGTGTACATAGCTACCTCAGTCACGTGAATACACAAGAGTGAGCTGCGCGTAGTCGTAGTTTGAGGTTAAGCTGGACTCGGGCCAATCACAGGCCAGATCTATGGGCGCTTATGCACTTTCCCCCATCTGTCGTCTCAAATCTTGCTCAAATCCCTGGCTCGCCGTTCGACTGTGCGCAACCTGCTTTTCCACACCATGAATAGCGCATCGCTGCGTGACTTTGGCGATAATTTGGAATGCTGAACAATCCTCGTCATGTCGCGGGAAAATTGTTGCGAAACGCAGGAGTTTGGTTGGTGCCGCGCGCGCCTCGTGGCACGATGCGCAACACCCAAATCCTCACTCGCTCGTCGAGGATGCGCCTCCAACCCTTCTTAAAGCACGCCGCGACGCCGGTAAACGACCCATTTATCGCACACCATGTCCACCACCACCTACGCTGCTGAAAAACAGGTCGCCATCGCGGCCGTGCGCCGCGCGTGCGTGCTCACCGCGTCGGTCTTCAACAAGCTCGTCAAGCAGGAGACGATGACCAAGGAGGACGCGAGCCCCGTCACTGGTGCGTGTACACGACGCCTGGAATTGGTGCAAGGACTGATGTATGCGTGCGGGGGTGGGTAGTGGGCGATTACGCGGCACAGGCGGTCGTGAACACGATCCTCGGGCGGACGTTCCCCAAGGACCCCGTCGTCGGGGAGGAAGACGCCGCGGACCTGCGCGTGGAGTCGGGCAAGACCCTCCGCGAACGCATCGTCCAGCTCGCGAGCGAGACGTTGGCTGCCCCGCTCGCGGAGGGCGAGCAGGAGGAGTGGGGGCTCGGTCCGAACCAGGCGCAGACGGCGGAGCAGCTGCTGGACGCGATCGACCGCGGGAACTACGAGGGTGGCAGGACAGGACGTGAGTGTTGTATTCTTTATTTGCCTCTGCGCCAGGTTCTCTTTGCACACGAGAATGTCACCGAAACGTCCCGTCCGGTGGATATCTCTTCCAAACGGAGAGAATGGAAACTCAATGTCGCCCTTCTCGACGGACTCTCACCGAGGAGGTGAAAAGATTACCACTGGGTCAGACTTCTCGGCGGCTCTCCGAGGGCTTCGAGCATCGCAATCCCCGTCGTAGCGTGTGGGAGTCGACTGGTCGCGTAGAGAGACACACTCAGCTAACACGCTTGCCTACAGGATTCTGGACACTGGACCCTATCGACGGCACGAAGGGCTTCCTGCGCGGAGAGCAATACGCCGTCTGCCTCGCGCTCGTTGTCGACTCCCGCCCCGAGCTCGGCGTCATCGGCTGCCCGAACCTCCCCGTCTCCGCCGCGGACCCCTCTGGCCCGCGCGGCTGCATCTTCGTCGCCGTCCGCGGACAAGGCGCGTACCAGCTCGCGCTCGACAACCCATTCTCGGCCCCGGCGACGAAACTCACGATCCCGCCGTCGACGGGCGAGACGCTGAACTTCCTGGAGAGCGTCGAGAAGGCGCACGCGAAGCTGAGCTTCAACGAGCGCGTCGGGCAGGTCCTTGGGATCACGCGCGCGCCGACGCGCATGGACAGCCAGGCGAAGTACTGTGCACTCGCGCGTGGGGACGGCGGCGCGTACCTGCGCATGCCCACGGGTGTCGGGTACAAGGAGAAGATCTGGGTAGGCGGGTTTCTCTGATCATTTGTTTGCGCTCGCTGACGTACGTATGCAGGACCACGCTGCTGGCTTGATCCTCATCGAGGAGGCGGGCGGCGTGATCACCGACGGTCGCGGGGAGCCCCTGGACTTCGGCCTCGGGAGGACCCTCGGCGAGAACTTTGGTGTGGTCGCTGCGGGCAAGGACGTGCACGATAGGGTCATCGCGGCGATAAAGCAGGCGAAGGCAGAGGAGGATGCTGCTGCCCAGTGAGAACTTGCTGTATGATGTACGTTGCCGTCTGTCTGTACGTGTATGCGCTTGTAGAACTCGCGATGTCACTTCGCGTGCGTCATTATGAGGTCTAGGAAAGCTGACAATGAGATTATAATATAGTTTTATTTCACTGAGGGCAGCCGGCGTGTAGACGCCCAAGAGCAGAATGACATTGATCACTAGCACAGCGACCTTTGTTCAGCTTTCGTCCTAACAACCTCCACCTCTTCAACCCAAATATTGCTGTCCCCTCCTGCGGCGACCCGGAACTCTACTCGCTTTCATACACTCTGCTTGGAACTGCACAAGATGGTCCAGACCCGTCGAAACGCGCAAGTGCAAGCAGCATTTGCGGTATGCACTTCTCGCATTACGGCTGGCCACATCCTACCAAGCAGTCTAGGCATCCCTACGACGAGCACATCCTGAGGCTTCCGACGCAGCTACACAGCATGATCTTCGACTACCTCACGGATCTCGGAGAGGAAGCTATGGCTCGGCGCGTCCTTGACCACTCTCCGTAAAATGCTCCTTCCCGAAGTCGAAGCTGCTCTGTACAGAGAGATCGAGACTGTAACCTGCAAGTATGCCTCCGCACTATGTCGCGCAATATCGAAGAGGCGCTACGGCGCTGTCTTCGTCCGGAAATTGGTCCTATCCGTCCGCGGCGGCACGAACCTCAAACAGCCACTCAAGACTGCACTCCCGCTGCTCACGAATCTCTCGTCCCTCGAGCTCGTAGTCGACGAGCCTTCTATATTCGACATTCTCCTGCACTGCTCATTCCGACTACACACGTTCATCATAGGCGGAGAACGGTTCGCTCCACGCTTGGAGGATGTCTTGGCATCTCAACCGGACATCGAACGGTTCTCCTTCGTCCTCATACCCGAACACTCGCAAGACGTGGTCCAACCCGAGCGCTCGTGGCCCGACATCCTCCCGAAGCTCCGGACACTGACCGCGTTCGCCTCCCGCTTCCCACTCACTTTCATCACCTACCCCTACCCTATCACCCACCTCTCGATCATGGCTGCGAGCCACGACGACATCGCGCACGTCGTGAAGCACCCCAGCATGCTACTGGCCGAAGTCCGCTTCTTGAGACACGTTGGTGCGCGCAGTCACTTTCTCGGCAAAGGTGTTGTGCGACACGGCCGCCGCACGCCATGATCATCAGACATACGTGTAGAGAGGAAAGGAAGGTGTGCGGGCACGCGGCGATGACTCACGACTCGTGTTGGTTGCTGTATTCGCCTACCCGTTGGGGAACAAAAGGCTTCGTCCCGTTCTGTGTAATCAGCCCCATCAGGAAAAACCTCCCGCCCGAATTACCGGGAATGTCGCATGTTTTCTGTACTTTTCCCCGTAAAACGCTGTAAACCGCCGAAAAATACTGAATTATGAACAGCCCCCATCCAAAGTGATTACTTTCTGTCGGTTTACAGCGCAATTTGCGAGTTTATGACCTGCCCATCTGAGTCGCTCACCATCAAGACAACTCTGAGTGGGTGCAACACAAGGTGCCGGTCTCCCGTGGTTCATTAGGTGTGCACTTCTTAGTATATATGTCGTCAGCCGGCACTGAGCGCGGCGGGTGTATAGCCTGGCTCTGAGGGAAGCTTGCTGTAGTCTGCAACATGCATGATATACCCGGACGGCGCTGCATCGTGGTACAGGGGGGAATGTATGCTACATCAATATACAAGTCTCGCTACACACATACGACTAATGAAAGTCGAACACAAATCCAAATAGCCACAAGAAGCACTTACTGGTCTGTCCCATTTCAGGCCGTTTACGAACAATCGATCGGGTTCTGCTGCTGGTCCGACATGTCGTTCTGCGCGCGCGTGCAGTCCGTGCACAGCAAAGGGGGACAAGCTCATCGTGCGGATCCGGTATGCCGGGAGCATGGGCTCGACCATGGCGCTGTAGCTCGCGCCAACCGTGATTATCCAGAAAAGGTCGGGCGGGTGGCCGATGGAGGTGCTCGCGCCATCCCCGGTGGTGTACGAGGAGACCGACTTGAAGAAGGCGATGTTGCCTGGCTACGACAGAATCAGGGCGACAGCCGCCATACGCAATGTTACACAGAGACGGGAGAGATCACGAGCGAGTATATGCGGGTGGTCAAAAAGCCAGTAGACAACAAGTAGTAAGAGACAGAGAGGCTGAGAGACGGCTAGTACGGGACGCGCACACAAGTCTCACGAAGCCGGCCCTAAGTTTGTAGACGCCGGTAAGGTAGCGTCGGACATTGCCGAACTGACCCAGTGCACAAGCACCACAGTGCCCACGTCACTCTTTCCCTCGTCCTCCTCATCCTTCCTCATCCTCCTCCGTGTCGTCTCCTCCCCATCCAAGTACGCACCTATGGTTGTCTGTCGTGCGACGAGTTCCGATTTGAGCTCTACCGTGTGCTCCCCTGTTGGTCCCATGGGGCCCCAGCTCACGGCTCGCGACGAAGCTACTCTGTTTGAGGATTAGCTAGTGACGTGGCGGGTATGGTCAGGCCGGTGAGTTGAATCATGTTATTGGCTATCGTATCTTTACGTGAGGCGAATGCATTAGGGTCGTGGTGTGTCTGGAGGACGCTCGTTGCGTTACACGTCATCGTTCGCCGCCGCTATTGCTTTTCACAGGTCAGTCTTGAGGATACATTTTGTATGCTTTCCGGCCCTGCCGATAAGGCAGTGGTGACCGTGCGCCCTATTCGCTCTACTGGCGTATTTGTATGACAGGCTGTCAGGCATTGCTTGCTCTCTTTGTGGTACGCGCGCTCCCTCTCTACCTCTCGCCCTTACTCTGCCGCGACTGAGCACGCCTTCCTCGTTGCTGCCGGCACCGGCGTCCTACCCTTACCCCTCCTCTCCCTGTACCTCTAGCGATACCACATCTACGCGGCGCACGCCTGCCCGCGTTTCCTCGGCTAGCTTCTCGTGCGCGTCCCGTTCTCCTCCCAGTACGCGCTGCAGAACGTGCGTCGCGAGGTTGCAATGTTCGCGGACGTCGAGTGCGCGCACACGCTGGACTTCAGGCGGTAGCACGAGCGCCAGGCGACGCGCGACTATACGGCGGAGATGGCGTGCGTGGGCCCCTTACTTGTGGGAGGACAACAGGTTTGTGTTCCTGCTATCATGATTTAGCATACATTGACCCAAGATCGCTCTCCAGTCACTTTCTGCAGCTGCCTGCATCGTAATAATTGTCCACTCGCCCACTGTCAGGTACGTCTGCTGTGCCTGCCTCCGTTCTCTACTCCATCAACTCATTGATGCTCGTAGATTTACGTGTGAAAGAAGTTGCGTTCCCAGATGGCGATGGTGCACCTTGCGCATGGGAACAGGATGGGGTTTGGGTGGGGCCAATGTTCGTTAGTAGGGACAATTCCGTGATCCTGTACTTTGTCGTTCTGCCTTCAATATATGACTGTGCACCCTCCGTTACATATGTGTGATATGAATGAAAGTGCCATAATATGCGAGAAAATGCGCTCAAACCTCGCCAGGAATCCATTGTAAACTGCCGTAAAACAGAGTAATTCTACTGCAACCGGGACCGGTCAGCTCGAAAGCGCTCGTACCCACATGGTTGTGGCGTACAGGACACCGAGAACCTCCAATCACGCATATCGCATATTCCATTGTTAACGTTATATCTCATACATATCTCGGGGACTCTTCGATCACAACCTGATCATACTCCTACTTATGGCGCAGCATTGGGGGATCGGTCCTGAATCCCATTCTGTCTATGATTACGAGGAAACCGCGGACATGCGCGGGCCCCGCTCTTGCATCCCAGCAAGGAGTGCGGAAGGGCGATGCTCGCGTACCGTACGCGCGGTCTTGCACGCCGCGCGGCCTTTGCCCGCCCTCTGGTGTAATCGTTGGCGGCGTGTCGAAGCAACGTGAGGAGGGAGACCGGTGAGTTCGACGATGTGTCGTGCATGCGCGATCAATTTACTTACCTGGTGTTTTCCCAGCAGCGCGCATGATGCGACAGACACATGTCGAGGCGGTAGGCACTTTGCCCAGAGCTGCCTCCCGGCGCGAGCGTCGAGGGTAGGAGGAGGGCTTCGGCAGCTTCATCAGCAAAGAGAAAGGGCCTTTTCTGGACCTGCATACATCAGAGACGTCACCAGGGGTGTAGTGAAGTGGGCGTATAAGGCGGCATGGCTTCGGGGCATGGGACGGGCGCGGGGCACATTGTCGCGAGCTCGATCAAGACATGAAATCGGCTCAAATACTTTCTCCTCAGATCGCGAAGACACGCAGAGGCGTGTGGACCCTGATGTAAGAGCCCCGGGATTCCGTTCTGGGCCGCACACCGCTCAGTGCGGGCGCGAAGTCGAGTTCAACGATGGGTTGTCTGAGAATACCCCGTAGTCGGCGCAGTTCACGCATTTCCGGTTTGGGGAACGCACCTGATGTGCACCTAGAATAAACCTTTGTGCCTGGCACGAAGGGAGGCAGCAGAGTGTGAGGTCCGCAGAGCGAGGTGCTCGGTGGTGCCCGCTCGATCGTCCATCCCGCCACGCCGCAGGGGAGCGTCGACGGTGTCGGATGCACTTTGTGATGAAGGATGGCCGTCGCGGACGGCCACGGCGGTGTGTTGCCCACACGGGGTGTTCATACGGCGCGGAAAGGCGGGCTTTGGACGTGAAATGTGTGCGCTGTGCACATAGAACGCGCCGAAGATGGCCTTGCGAGTGCGGTGAAACGGCACCGGAGCTCAGAGTCCGACCAGAGCATGAGGCCGCGCCCGTCGTATGGCGTCTCGTGGGTTTCGACAAGCGGCATAGACTTCGTGGCGGGTCGTGGGTCGATCGTGTCTTTACAATGTTGGGTGCAAATGCTGGCGAGCACCTGAAACGATGCGGGTGGCCTGTGATCACGAAGTTGTGAGCGTAGTTCGTGTAGACACAGAGCGTCACTTCCCGGACAGCGAGATACGTGTGCTAGTGATTGGACCTTGGCATCAAGTCAGAATGCACGCCATGATGTCGCCCGGCTCGCAGCTCCTACAGGAACATTGAACGTGCCATGGCGTTGTTGATAAGCGCAAGAGTGCAATCTCCTGCGCACGCTGGCCGTACCTGGAGATGTCAAGGGTGAACGTAGTACACTGCTAAGTCGTAGTTACTAGTGGGAGGCTCATGTGAGTGTGCGCGCACCTGTAGCGTCTTGGTGCCTGTTCAACGGCAGACGTCACATGAGTAGACACATCCCGTGCTGGATATAGATCAACGCGCTGTGCGTAACTCGAGACACGGAGAGCAGGCTGACATTGAGAAGAGAACGCAGTGATATGATATGATGACCGTCTTCGATGGTCGTCGCGAAAGCTCAGAGCTCAACCCTAACCAGGATGAAATGCACTGGGCCATAATATTCTAATCGAAGAGGGTGCCAGAAGCCGAGATCAGGAATCTCGCGTGTTTAGAGCGTTTAACGGGCGTTTAATGAGCGCTTTCGAGCTGACCGGTCCCGGTTGCAGTATAATTCGCTACTTTACAAGGGGGGGACTTTTGTTTCTTGCATAAAATGCTGTAATCCTGTAAATGGAATAAACTCGCATAAAACGCAGAATTATCGCGGTTTTTCGAGGAATTCCGGCGGGAGGTTTTTCCTGATGCCAGCTATAGCAGGCTTGTACGTACGCGTGCTCCATGACCGGGGGAGTGGGGACGGTTCAGTGGCCTGAGATGGCAACACCGTACACGATCGACACCCACACTGGCGGGACTAACGAGTGTCTTCCACCCCGAACGTGAGGCTGGTTTACGAGCCTATGGCAGGACCTGCCTTAAGGAGCAGGAAACGCACAGCCACCGCCTCCTCGTGCTGTTCAAGTTGGTTGTACTGCCAGTGGAAGCCGGCGTTCAGCGCTCAGCTTCTCTTCACCCACACCGCTGTTCGCCATCGCCCTTTCCTGACATTCCTGGACTTGCTCTCGGGCCTTGCTCTGGCGGCCCTTGCGCGGTGGACCCGCTGAGCTACACCAATTTGTACTGCCTGTGGGCCGTCCGAGCCCCCGTCACGACCCTCGCTGCACCAGCCATAAAAACGGCAGAGCACAGGTGAGCTGTTCCCAACATCCCATTCACTCATCATGTCTCAACCGTCAGCACCCGCAGATCGACAGATCAGTATCAACCCCCCGTCCCCGATCATCACCCGAGCTACCGCCCCGGAGTCACCCAAGACACCGGAGCGCCAGTTTCTCAAGCCACTCACCCACCACGACCACGGCAGCGATTCCCCTCGCAAGATGACCGTCGGCGGAGTAGACAGTCCTGGGTCCAATAGGCTTGAGTATCCCGTCACGGCTTCCCACAATACGGTCAAGGTCGAGCTTGCTGAAAGGGTCGAGTTCGACCAGACGTCTGTCCTGGACCGCTTGAAGATCACGGAGCTGGACTCTGCGTTCGTCAGGGACTGCAAGAAGAGCCTGCTGGAACGATGCGCGAGAAGTGTGAAGCGACTGAAGAAACTATCTCTTACTGCGGACAGGATGAAGACGACGAACCTCGCACTCGAACCGGTGTTGGACGCTGATGAGACCACCGCGAAAGGGACCGCAAGAGAAAAGGAAATGTATAAACCCTTGGTGAGCATCTGTGAAGTCATTGTAAGTATAACACTGCTAACGCTTGTTTCACGCATAGACAGACCTCTTCGACTACATCCGAGGTTATTCGCAGCCGGGCAAGCAGGGAGCTGACGATGACGCAGTCCGCTTCGATCGGTGCTTCATCAACCAAACCAGAGACCTCATTCCGGACCAGCACCACACACCCGGTTTCCCTCGATTCACCCCAGACTTCACTCTTTTCCACGATAGCGAGATGCTTCGACGACTGGCCAAAGGCGACAAGCGTCGACGTCATTGGCGATACCAGGACGCGTTCATCGAAGTGAAGGCAGGGTCCAAACAGCACCCATTTCCGAACGAGAACAAAGAAGCCACCCCCCTCCTCACCCAAGTCGCCAATTACGCGCGCTTGCATCTGTCCGCCTGGCCCTTCTCCGCCTTTTCCATCGGGCTCATGATATATGGTCGCAAATTCTGTGTTGGCATGTTCGATCGCTTTGGCGGTCAGCTCTCCCCGGAATATGATCTTTGGGACCACCTGGACGTCTTCATCCGCATCGTCTATAACATGACCCGTGTCCTGACCGATGACGAGCTGGGCCGCGATCCTTCCGCCGTCCTGTCCTGGCAGGACGACAAGATCGTCTTTGCGGCCGTGGAACCGGTTGGGGACGATGAGCGATGCTGGGCAGTAGACATCGAGAAGCCCTTGTGGTCCTCGCTGTCTCTATTCGGGCGCGGCACCACTGTATGGCATGTCCGGGCGCGCAAACAAAATGGCGAACCCGACGGACCCACCTTTGTGATGAAATCCTCTTGGCGCTCTAGCAAACGCAATTCCGAGTCAGATATCTATCAGCTCATTGCTAGCAAGGGGTGGCACTCGGGTCTAGCAAAATACGTGACTGGAGCGGACGTCAAGTTCCCTGTTGGGACACGCTGGGGGGATCGCTCCGGTTCGCCAATCACCATACATCAGCTTCGTAGGGCGTTTCTCCCTCCCGAGGAGGAAACTATGTTCCTCCACCGCATCATTCTGGAATCTAATGGGAAGCCGATCTGGGAGTATGAAGACGATGAAGAGCTACTCAGAGGCATGCTAGGTGCCCTTGCCGGTACGCATTTACTGTGACCTTGGTCTCGCTCTACGAGTCCTGGTGTGATCGCTCATTCTGCACCCCAGGGCACAAATTCCTTGCAAAGCATGGGATACTGCACTGCGACGTCAGTGCGGGGAACATCCTGCTCTCTGTGAATCGCGACGAGCAACAAGCTTGGGGATTTCTCACCGACGTCGAGTACGCCCGCATGAGGGATGAAACCCGTACAGAAGAGGTCGTTGAAGCGCCCCTCGGATACGGGCCCGTCAATCCGAAGTTCTCAGGGTCCATGATCAGGGTGAAGACCGTATATACGCAATTCATGAACGGTGCAGCTATCTCGGTATAAACTTTATCTACCAAGCTTCGACCGCTGGTCCTTGTTAACACACGAATGCACAGGGCACATATCAATTCATGTCCCGCCGCCTCCTCTCATATCTTCGTATGGGCAAAACATCAGTTCGCTCCGAAGAAGAAGATGACGTCGAGTCCTTCTTCTGGGTTTTGCTCTATGCAGTCTTCAGGCAATTCACTGTCAGGGCAGTTGGCAACACGGTTATGGAGCAGGAAGCCCGCAGCTTCTTCGTCAAGATGTTTGGCGCAACAAACATCCAGGAAGTCTTCACTTTGCGGCAGGATCCAGCGGCACTCAGTACACTCATCATCTCAAACGTCCCTTTCGCCGACCACACTACCCTTGCACTCCGTTCCGTGCTCCAGGCATATAAGATAAAACTCCAGGCAGATGTGCCACTGGTTCACGGCGTAGCTGCGGAGAATAGGAAGAAAGGAAAGGACAGAGGGAAGCTGAAGACAACGGCCGAATTCACGCCTTTACCGGTGTCTCAAGTGTTCACTCACGCCAAGTTGGAGGAAAGTCTGCAGACGGCGGTTGATGAGATCGTTGACGCGATGCTCGTAGACTCCGACTCAGGCCAGGCTCTTGTTGCTTGATGGACCGTCACCTTGTGCATCCATCCGTTCTGGGATAGACACGTAGTACGGACGGTCTACGTCATAGCTCGCTAACTCGCACTCGCTAGACCGTGTTATAGTATACCACAATGGGAATGTACATCTGTCTCGCAAGTGACGTTTTGGATGAAGGCACGCCCCTACCCGACACTTTGCAGCCCCAACCGGCACGCTACGAACGCATTCTGACGGGATCCACACGCGCAGAGCTCAACGCGGAGTGCACGAAGTTCGTCAATGAGCACGGCCGCACGCTCGACACTGAGGAGCAGTTCGATGCGGAGTACCCCTTTGAGATCTAAGGGGGCGCGACGTCGACTTCAAAACGGCATAAGTGCCGACCGGGATCGGCACTATTTTACACTACTGCATGCGCAAGAGGGCCCGCCGCGCTGAGGGTGCCTATGCGTGTACTGATTAATACTACACACCCATTAGACAGTCTAATGCACATTTATCCAGGTCAACGTAGCCCCGGAGGTTGAGCTGCTAAAACTCCATGCTAACCTGGCTATCTCTGTGTACCACCGCCAACAAACCTTTGCCGGTCTCTACCTAGTATGCATATGGAAATTGACCCCATTGTACAACGCTGAGACACACAGCGCATCACATCGTACATCGACCTCTCAGCCCCACAAACCCGGCCTACGCATCCTCAAGGCTCAGCATCCATGAATGTCGCCCCCAGCCCCAAATCATCGACGTCCATCCCGCCCCCCAGCGGCCGCCCAAGCGCCCGCGTCGCCGCACGCCGCGCCTTCTTCGCCTCGCGCTTCAGCACGCGCCGCCCGAGCGGGTTTGCGCTCGCCATCGCGCGCCGCGCGTGCTCCTCCACCGGCGCGTCGTACGCGGGCACGTCGTGCGAGCGCCGGGGGCCGCGCGCCCTCCGTGGCGGAGGTGCGCGTGGTGGAGGCGACGGAGGGGGAGCGCGAGCGTTTGCGCGGGATGTGCGGGGCGAGGTCGTCTGACTCCATTTGTTTCCTGCGGTGGGGTTGGGTGTTAGTTAGCGTGCGGATGTGAATTGTGAACGGGGGACCTACCCGTCCTCGTCCATCTCCTCGGGGAAGTCCTCCGTCTCCTCATCGCCCATCTCCACGTCCGCGGGTGGCTCGAACCCGAACGCGCCCGCGTCGGCGGCGCCAAAGAGCCTGTCGAGCGAGAACGGCTTCGCGAGCTCGGCGACGATCTGCGCCTGCCCGACCGTCTCCGCCCCGGGCGCGATCTGGTCGACGTTCCGCAGGAGGATGTTCTTCTTCTTGCTCCCCTTGCCGTCGTCGAAGTCATCGTCATCGAAGACGACACCGGGCGAGTCGATGACCTTTAGCCCACGTTCGAGCTGTACTGTCTGTAACTCCTTCGTGAAGCCCGGTTGCGCCGCGGACTTGAATGGAAGCGTGGGGGTGGAATGTCAGAGGTACCGGAGCCAGGCTTGGGCGTTCTCGCGCGGGATGAGATCTGTAGAATGGGGTTGGTGGTCATGCGCATGCAAAAACGGAGCTCATGGCCGATGAACGTGGTGGGCGGTCTCTCCAATAGCTGCAGTCTGCGCAGAGAGATTCCGCTGCATGCGGAATACCCGGGCAGACATGCGGCCCGTTCGGATGCATTCCATGAAGAGTGCGCACACCACAATTGCAGGGACAAATGTACGGAATCATAAGGCGTATATCGCATATTTCTTGGATGATCGGGTGCGATGGGGAAGTAGAACGGAAACGCACCGATTTTGTTGAGCACGAAAACCAGCTTCTTGCCCTCGCTTTCCCTCCGGCGGACTTCCTCTTCGACGAGCCTGCTTCTGCAGCCCTCCGGATCGCGCGCATCCAGCACCAAGATGACGATGTCGCTCTCGTCGATCACTTTGTGCAGAGCGCGGATATAATGGCGGCGGAGCTGCTCCTTTGTCTTCGGTGCGCCACGCGAGGATGAGGGGTCTGCAGAGAAGCCCTCGTCGTCCACAGCCGCAGAGGTTTCTGCGAGCGCGGCGAGGGAGGAGAGTGTGGGTTCCGACGCCATCTGCGTGTCCGGGTCTCGGCGTGGAGGCTGCGGCGATCTGTAGTGAGCCACGTCGCCTCCATGATACTGTACGAGCAGTTGAGACACACTGGTTGTACATGTTTCCCGGCATTTCGTGCTTTCAAGCTGGGTAGACGAGGCACGCCAGGGTCTTTCTTGAGTTCTAGGAGGCATGAGGGGTGTGCGGGAGCCTTGCCAGTGCCACACGCATAAGCGTACTGGATTTTGTGGGAACTTCGAGTTTTCGGCTCTCTACCGTACCGTGATTACACCATAGCATCTTTACCATGCACACGTACTGTTTCTGCCCATCTTGGCAGGTGTTGAGCAACAGAGTGTGGCGGAGAGAGAGGCGGAGAAAAAGTGCACAGAATTAGTGTTCGCGCCTGCATGCTCGATCGACCCAAATGTGGTAAACAGACTTTGATCGGGACAAAGGGCCGGGATCGTGTATAGACGCCCAAGATGACATCACTACCACAGCGACCTTCCTCCAGCTTTCTTCCTCTTTCTTCCTAGCAACCTCCACCCCCGCGCCCACTGCTGCAGTGACTGCATCCTCCAACTCATCTCTTTGTCCTCTTAGGGTCACTATAAATTCTTGTTCATCTCATATACTACATTTGGAATCATTTACAAGATGGTTCAGACTCGCCGAAACGCACAAGCGAAAGCAGCATTTGCGGTACGCACTTCTTGTGTTGTACTTGGCCACATCTCACCAACCGTCTAGGTTTTATAGAATGAGCACATTCTCAAGCTTCCTACAGAGCTGCACATGATGATATTCGACTACCTCGCAGACGAGAGGAAGCCATGGCTCGCGTCCTTGGCCACTCTTTGTAAGACGCTCCTGCCCGAAGTCGAAGCTGTTCTGTACAGGGAGATCGAGATTGGCACCTGCAAGTATGCATCTGCACTCTGTCGCGCGATATCAAAGAGGCGCTACCGCGCCGTCTTCGTCCGAAGACTGGTCCTATCTGTCAGCGGCGGCACGACCCTCAAAAAGCCACTCAACACTGCGCTCCCGTTGCTCACAAACCTCACATCTCTCGAACTCGTCGTTGACGAACCGTCCATATTCGACATCCTGCTGCACTGCTCATTCCGTCTACACACCTTCATCATCGGTGGCGAACGGTATGCCCCAAACTTGGAGGACATCTTGGCAAGTCAACCGGACATCGAACGGCTCTCCTTCATCTTCATCCCCGAAAACTCGCAAGACATGGTCCAACCCCAGCTCTCGAGGCCGGACATTCTGCCGAAGCTCCAGACCCTCACCGCCTTCGCCTCCCGCTTCCCTCTCACCTTCATCACCTACCCCTACCCTCTTACCCACCTCTCGATCATGGCCGCGAGCCACGACGACATTGCGCACGTCATGAAGCTGTTCGGAAGCACCCTGGTCACGGTGTGCATACTGCGGCTCATTGGTGAGAAATGCACCCCAGAATGCTACTGGCCGGCGTCCATGTTCCGGAACGCGCACCTCTCGAAACTCGAACACGTCAAGGTCACAGATCTGTACGGCCCCGCTACCGACGTGCGTGCTCCTGCCGATCCCACGTACCTATATTCGCTGAGATTGCTCTTCCGCAGTTGCCATGCGAGCAGGAAACCATGCCCGTCCCCGGCCTCCAGGAAGCCTGTCCCGCACTAAAGACCCTCATGTGGAGCGTCGACAGCTCCATAGCCGACGACCTCTACTGGCCGCCGCCCGGCGGCGACGGCCTCGACGGCCGCATGATGACCGAGTACGCGCGCCTGCTGTTCGCCACGCTCCCCGCGCTGGCGACTTTCACCGTGCACGAGCTGGGCGACCCGATGCACCGCGACGATGACGACGGGGCGGTGTATGGGGAGGTATACAGGCGGGCGGAGGGCGGGGAGGTGAAGGGCCCGGAGAACGAGCCGGTCGAGCTGGGGATGTGGCGCGGGTTGTATGCACAGTTGGTGAGTCAGGATTGGGTTGCGAGCGGGGCGGCAGTCAACGGTAAAAAGTACTGACTGGCTTGGGCAGATGTGAACTTGTTATGCTGTGTGGAGTTTGCCAGACGGCATCAGCGAGGACATTGTACCACCATGGCGCCCATGTCGCCTGTACTATGGTTTGGGCCCACTAGTAGGGCAGATTAGTGGCGTGACCTGCCGCTTGCGCTAATTTGTATATCATCACTTTCATCACTAGATTCTTTGAGCTTGGAAGGGCGGGCCTGAGTGATACGATGGGTGACGACTTGCGTTTGCTCCTTTCCCCTTACAAGAACGCTTACCGTGATGCACCATCTACTACGACGCCTGCCTCAAACAGCGGATCACGCACGGCCACTCTCTCGTGGTCACCACACCATTCACGGCCACGCAATGTCGCCAACCGCCGCATCCCACCCGCCGCTGACACCGTATGACTGTATATTTCACGCATTCGGCCGAATCCCTGTGTGGGAGCTCCAGACGAACCAGCAGTTGCTCCGAGGCTTATTGGATGCGCTCGCAGGTACGCTTATACAGTTCACTTTCGCTCGGAGCTACTGTGCATACTTTGCTAACGCGATATCATAGCGCATAAGGCTTTGTGCGACGAGGGCGTTTTGTATGGGCGTATCAGCCCCGAGATTGTATTCCTTGTTGAGGCCGCCACAGAGCAAAATTCTGCAGGATTCCTCGATGCAACTCACAAAGAAGAAGACGCGTTGGCGGTCCAACCCTCTATGCTAGGTGTAAACGACATGGTACGAGCTTCGTCATCCGTATCACACAGCGCAGCCCAGCGATGACTCAAGATATCATAATCTAGGGCGCGGGTCCACTTAGTTCGTGTCGCGCCGCCTCTTATGGCATATTTCCCAAGGCTGCACATCGGTCCAAGGAGGCGTTGCACACGACGTAGAGTCCTTCTACTGGGTTCTGCTCTACGCCGTACTCAGGAAGCTCATCGCCAGCATGGCCGGCACCGTCGGCCGTCAACAGCAGCGCATCCGTACGGCCTTCTGCAAGATGTTCGGCGGCGCGTCCGCAGATTATATCCTTGACGGACGAGCTGTCTGTCTCCCCACACTCCGACGGTATAGGCTTTTGTGGAAGGGCAAAATCGCCAGGGACAACATCTCGCTGCCGCTCCGGGCGTTGCTGTGGCGGTGGAACCTGTATCTCCGAGATACGAACGAAGGGGATAGCGCCGTGTCGACGGACTCGGAGGACGATGAGGACAGCGGCGAAGAGGATCATGATGGGCCCGACGCCGAAGGAGTTGCGAGAGTGTTCAAACCATGGCACGCTGATGAAGAGCCTGGAGGATGCGGTCGCTGGAAAGCCGTCCACCACCGCGATGTCCGTCGACGGCTAAAGCACTATGGACAGACCACGTTGTGAATGGATTTTATTTCCATTTACAAGTACTGGGGATGGATATGTAGCTCGTTGCAATTCGACGACATGTCGGACGACGTCGGGCGACGTGCAGACTGAGAGAGAGCGAGGTGGAGAGAGCGACCGGCCGGCGCCTCCACGTGCCACTCGTCTGACGACATCGCGCCCGACACCACGCGCGCGTTCCTCCGCCGACTGAGATTGCCCACTGGCACTTGCTCTCCGACCACACTCTTCTTTTCCACGACATGCACGCACCGTCCATCGTTCCGTAGATTGGAGAATAATCGTGATTCCTGAACGATCCTCGTCTTGTCGCGGCAAATCCGATGGACTCGGAGGCACGAATGGCGAGCGGGTCCGTTGAATACGACGTGACGCGCTACCCAACTCTCAAATCCTCACTCGCCCGTCGATGACTCGGATGCGCCTCCGACCGTTTTCAAGGCACGCCGCGACGCCGGTAAACGACTCATCTGTTGCACACCGTGTTTACCACCATCTACTTCGCGGAAATCCCACATCGCCATCGCATGCGGCGTTATGAGGTTCGTAACGATGCGACGCCGCCTGACCTCGGAATATCGCAGGGTTTGATCGCAACTTTGCAGATCCACTGGCAATGAGGTTGGATTTGACAAAGAGCCAATCTACTTGTTCGACTAGATAGGGGCATTAACGTAAGATGTGTGAAAAAGCGCTCATGTTCGCTTGTCTCTTACCGTCATACAGTTACTACGAGCTTAACTCAAATTTGTGCTAAACAGGCCATTTGTGCAGAATCCGCTTGGCGGAAGGATACCGTGCTCGAAATGGTGGTGGAGACGCGTCGGCGGGCACACGCGAAAGCAACATACGAGGTACGCAGCCGTTCTTGCTTATGGGCGTCAGAGCTGACGTACGTGGACACCTCGTGTGGACAGCTGAACATAGCAAACGGCTCCATCCTCAAACTGCCGCCCGAGCTTCTGCGGATGATTTTCGACCACTTCGCGGACCGACAGTACCGATTTTGGCTGGTCTGGATATCCACGATCTGCAAGGCGCTCATGCCAGAAGTCGAGGCTGCGCTCTACAGCACAGCGGCAGTCTCCTCATGCAAGAACGCCACGCGCTTCTTTCGCGCGCTCGTCAAACGCCCGTACCGTGCCCTCGCCGTCCGGAGTCTTGTTGTGTATGTCACTGGGGGCGCCAGCATCAAGCAGCCACTCAAGAGCGCGCTCCAGCTGCTCACGTCCCTCAAACATTTGGAGATCACCGTCGACGACCCGTCGATCTACCCGCTCCTGCTAAACGCCCCGTTCCGTCTCCGCACGCTCCTCACGGGGGGCTACTACTACCCCGACTGCGTTGAGGATATCCTGGCGAGCCAACCCAGCCTCGAGCGGTTCTCGACCATGTTCACCCCAAGACGTGAAGAACCCCTGGACATGGAGCGCGCCCATACGATATCGCGCCCAGACATCCTTCCGAACCTTCGCTCTATCACTGGGTGGGTGGCCCGCTTCCCTCTCACGTTGATCACACATCCGTATCCTATTGTGCACCTGGCACTCGTGGGGGTGACTCGTCGCGACATCACGCACGCGGTCAGCCTGTTCGGCAACACGCTCGTGAGGCTCATCCTCATACGACTTATCGACGAAGAAGCCCCGCCGGAATGCTACTGGCCCACATACATGTTCCGAAACGCGCACCTGCCAAAACTCGAATACTTTTTGGTGGTCGACCGGTATGACGAGGAGGCGGACGTATGTGTCATTCTCCTATGTGTCTCAGTGTGACCCTCTGGGATCTAATGATATTTTCTCCTCTAGCTTTCCCTCGAAGGGGACACAATGCTCATCCCAGGGCTGCGCGAGATTTGTCCCGCGCTGAAGACAATCGTCTGGGGCGCCGACGGCACCGTCATCGACGACCTGCATTGGGACTTCGACGGGCAGGCCTCGCGGGGGTGGGCGATGTCCGTGTATGCCCGTATGCTCTTTGACGCTATCCCCGCGTTGGAGCGCATAAGCGTCTATGATGACGAGGTGGCGAAGAGTCGGGAGGTGATGGGCGAGGTCTTCACGCGCGCGGAGGACAGGACGGTGAAGGGCCCGGAGAGCGCGTCTATCAGTCTTGATGAGGACATGTGGACGTTGAGGCCCGAATCCTGAGGCTTTAGGGGCGACGTATTTAGAGCTGGTGAGTCTCGGTGCTCTTGGTGGGCGACGCTGCTCATGGGCTGAACGTTGTTGTTTGTTAAGCTGAGCGCGCCATAGAACCTACTTTATAATCCTCGTAATCTGTTCGCGGCACGAACATGAGATAGCCCTTAGGGCCGCTTTCCAGATACTCGCGAACCTTTTAAGGCACCTAGCTATAAGCTACCTATCCCATGTTATAATATCCCGTAGCTGAGAGACATGTTCATCCACCAGACCTGCCCGAACGGGAACACGCACTGGCATAGCCACACGCCCGCCGGCGCGTCGCATGGCAGTCCTTCCGCCCATGCCACAAGTTGCTTCCTCCACTACCACCACTGTTGGCAAGTCTCCTCGGCCGTACCAGCACTGGCCATATGTGGTGGAGCACTCGGACAGCCACCGCTTTGTAGAGGCGCTGCCCACGGAAAGGGCGGGGTTCAACCAGGCGGCTGTCCTCCGCCGCTTGCGGGTCAGCGAGCTTGATGGCCGTCTCGTAGCGTCGTGCAAAGAGACGCTCCTGAGAGTGTGCGCACGCAGTATATGGATGCTGAAAGTGCTGGTTGCAGCCACGCGCGCGGTTACGATCGAGGACCTCGAGGTCAGGGTTGCCTCCAAAGCCGACTCGACCTTGTGTAGGGACACTGCACAGGAAAGAGTGATGTGTACACTGCTTGTGGGTTCAAATGCCCACGTTTATCACATTCTAATTCAGTGACTGATTTCCCGGGCAACATAGCAGGACCTATTCGATCATATTCGAGATCACTTACAGGCGGAGTCGTTGCACGGAGGCACTGCCAATCGTCGTGGCATACTGCAAACTCGTAGTATCACCCCGGAGGGCCGCCAGCACTGTACCACTCACCTCCCACAATTCGCATCGAACTTCATCATTACGCGGGGCCGTGACGAGCTCTCCGCATTAGAACCGGAGACGTCGCATCAAGGGCAATGGCATCCGGACGCGTTTGTGAAAGTGAGGGTGTCTTCGAAGCAACACCCGTTCTTGGGGGAGGACGGAAAGCCCACCCCTCTCCTGACGCAAGCCGCTCTTCACGCACGCGAGCACCTCTCCACCCGCCCCTTCTCCCTCTTCTACATCACTCTCATGATTTACGGGAGCGAGTTCTGCGTCGCCATCTTTGACCACCTGGGCTGTCAACTTTCCCCGAGCCTCGACATGTGGAAGAACCTGGACACGTTCATCCGCGTCGTGCACAACCTGACACGCGTCCTCACGAATGCGGAGCTCGGTCTTGACCCCTCAATCACAGCGATCGACATCGGCGTTCCCCTCTCATGGCAGCCAGATCCTGACGCTGTGGTCTTCAGCATACCGCCTGTCGGGTCCGACAAGCGGACCTGGCTCACTGTTGACACTCCCTCACGGTCCTCGATGTCTCTCTTCGGTGACGGCACCACAGTATGTCACGTACGAGAGGACAACGGGAGGCACGAACCCGTAGGACGCGTCATGACGATGAAGTCTTCCTGGCGCTCCGACGAGTATCGCTCCGAGTCCGAGGTCCACAAGCTTATAAAGGGCCAGCATCCGGCCCTGGGCAAGTTTATCACAGGCGCAGACGTTACATACAACCGTACCGGACGCCGCGGGAGCCGCACCTCATCGCCACTCACCATACACGCCCTTCGAGGGGGTCCACTCGGGCGGGGAGACGAGCCCATGGTCTTGCATCGTGTAGTGCTCCAGTCTAGGGGGAAACCGCTCTGGGCATACGACACGGACGAACAGCTGTTTCACGGGCTACTGGATACATTGTCGGGTACGTTCCGCACTTTTAGGGTAGCCATGCGTCTGACACACACATTCTAGCGCACAAGTTTCTGTGCGACCAAGGGATTCTGCACTCGGCCATCAATGCGGAGAGCATTCTTCTCGCTGCAGATCCCAAAGAGCAGGGAGCCATCGGGTTCCTGACCGGGCTTCAGGACGCTCGCGTCGGGTTCAGCAAACACACTATTGCCGTGGAACGCGCCGCCCTCAATCAAGCTCGCGGAGATGATTTCATTCGTTCTCGCTTCATACTCGCAGGACGAGGTGATGCAACCATCTCGGTGCGCATATCGCGTGCAAATAGCAGTGCTTGAAGCCCACACTGAACTTTCAGACATCAAGGGAGCACCTCAATTTATGTCGCGCCGCCTCCTGCGGCATCTTGCCAGCGGCGAAACGTTGGCCCAGCCTCCCAAGGTGGACGACGACGTAGAGTCCTTTTTCTGGGTCCTGCTTTACGCCGTCCTCAGGAAGCTCGTCGCTACCATGACCGGCGACGGCCCCCAGCAACAACGAATCCACACGATCTTCAGCGAAATATATGGCGGCCCGTCGGCAAGCCAAATCCTTGACGGCCGGGCGGCGGGGTTTTCCATTCTCCTCGAGCACGACCTCCTTAATGGCAACATTTTCATCCACAGCACCTCCCTTCCGCTTCGAATGCTTCTATGGCGATATATCCGTGATAGCAGCATAGCGCGTATGTTGGGTTGCACCAGGCCCAGAGCTGCACCCGGCTACGTGGGCGTTTGGGCTGGCCCCGAGGCCGAGCCGGTGTCCGAGGCGTTCAGTCACCGCAGGCTGAAGGAAAGCCTGGAGAAGGCCATCGTTTCCCTCAGAAACGAGATACCCGTCGACGTCCGGGCCATTGGTATGAACAAGTCGTTACTTCGCGATTTCACTGGAAGCTGGGGCTGGCGTGCGTAGTAGCTCGGTGGAAATTGACGAATGTGATCCTGTTAGACTAACGATAATGCTCCCCTTCCTACACGGTCACTATGTCGTACCCCGACTCGCACGAGATTCCCAGCGATCATGGATGGGTTCGTCTATACCCAGCTAGTACCAGCATGGAACCGGGCGGAGCTCGCAAACAGACCCGCCTTGAGTTGCTCGGCCCTCTCGGTGTCTTCCTCGATCTACAAACGCGGCCGTCAACGTGTGCACAAGCGCCGCACCAGGAGCAAGAAGACCTACATTGTGTCGTGCTTCCCACGGGCGGGGTATGACCCAGCGGGTGCCGCGGGGCTCGTTGCGCGTCACCGCAAAAGCGGTCATGTCGATAGCCTCGGGCACATTCGAGGCGCTCCGGACGGCGCTGCGCGAGTTGAGTCTGCAGACGAGCGTCAGTGCAATGTCACCACTTCACGGTTACTTGAGGGAAGCTGAGGGGCGACGTACACCGCGAGCAGCGAATTAGCATAAACTGAGATCATCACGCGTCAGCGTAGCGAAACGGGGCCTTGGCGGACGTGGAGTGGCGTTGCTCACTTTTGTCACCGACGGCCGCAACTGCGAAATACGCGAGGTTGCTGGTAGGCAATCCGAGAGCCTGCCTAGCTCTGTCAGCGGAACGAAATGCGACGTCGGTTGAACGCAGTTAGACGCACCAGTATCAGGCCGAGGAGATTCACCGCTCTGGAGCAAAGTTGGAACGTGTTCGCGTAGGGGAACATTCACAGGGGATTCACTTACACTGTCAAAAGGCCTGTTGCAGATGCACAGATGAGCGCAGCATAAACCTAGCCGCCTAAGGGCGTACTTACCTGTGTTAACTGCGAAGAAAATGAGTTGGTCAATCATATGATCCGTTCTGCGCCAACTAGGTCAGCGATGAGTCTACGAATCTGGTTGTATGCATACCGTTTGAAGCCGGTCCGGCTGTTCCTCAAGACAAAGGTTAGAGCGCCAGCCGTGAGTGTGTCCGAGACCACCGCAGCACCGAACGCCGCAGAGTCTAGCCACTACGACCTCGGCGTCAGCCTGTCGCCCTGACTAATTGATAGCTCTGAGTGACTTACGGCGTATGGTCTGAATCCGTCAAGCGTCCCGACTCTGAAGCTACGGCCTGGTTGTGAGGATCAGGGAGTCGAAGACGAGGGGACATAAAGATTACCCTTCTGCGGTAGCGGCTGAGGTAATACGCCATCGCGTGGTGTGAATATCAGCGAAAGACAAATGTAATATTGGACGAACCTGCTCCGAAAGCTAAAAGTAAGGTGTGATGTTGTCGCCGCAGACGGCTACTGTTGAGCAACGCTACTGGGAGCACGTAGGGAACGGTGCTCACCAAGCACCACGAAAGCGAAGAAAATCTGGTGTAGGATCGTCAGAACAGACAGCAGGTTAAGTACAAGGGGGGAAGACGTACCGCGACCGCAACTAGTGACTTGTATGCGGGCCGAACTGCGATGATTTAGCAACGGTGCAAACAAGGGCTATCAAAGCGGCCTACGCAAGTACACCCTGTACGCGAAGAAGCTAACTGAATTTGTTAGAAAGGTGGTACTCGGCATAGCGGCGATGTTGGCTCACATTTGCACCATAAAGCTCGTGAAAGCCTAGAAGTATCCGCATTAGAGAGAGACCAGAGAGAAGCGCTGGGACGTACGCATACGACTCCCAGCATCTTTGAGTGGTGGTGGCATTATGTATTGTCTCTCGTCGAGAAGGATGCCATGCTTACATTGATTGACCTATCGCCGTGTTCGAATCAAAGAACGCATCCTGAGGCCGATATTGCAACATACCAGACACAGCCTTCAAGACCAGAGGGATTCAAGTAGTTTTTCACAAGATAGAAATAACTACGACGTGCGTGAGTTTTGACGTGCGAGCGTGAACTTGCCACATGTCCCCAACGTTTGGAGTAGGTGGACTACGTGATCTGCTCACCAGGTATGCACGCATAGCGCGCTATGAACCGTTTCCACGGCCCTGATAACCATGTCAAAGAACATGGACGATCAAGCGTTCGTAGAATGCGCTCACAAGATGAGAATAACCTATGGGCGTCGTGAGCAACAGTGATACTTCCACACATTTTTTAAACGTACATAGGCTTTGTGCAAGAGACGATCGTGAGGGTAAGTCTTGAAATAGTTATGCCCTTGATGGAGAACAAATCCATAGAAGCTGATATATGACGGTCAGACGCGATAGAACGCAGCAACAATGTGACGGAGGCGGACGTACATGAGACTGAGATATGTGCCCAGTATGAATGCGCCGAAGGAGTCATCGATGGAAGGTGCCGTTGCAGGTGTCGAAGACGCGGTTGCCTGAGCTGAACCGTCGCTGGAGCGCAGGGCGTCCATGTTCCGCAAGCTAGACGAGAGTCCGAGCTGGCCGGCGGGCCATCCAGTACCTTATATCCCGACCCTTATTGACCGATCCCGCGCTGACGGTTGCGCTGCTCGGCTAGACATCTGCCACACCACGAGGCTAGCAGTACACCAAAGACAGATAGCAATGCATGTATGACTTCAGAGCGCCGCCGGCGACTCCACAACCGGGCGTACTGGGTGCTCGACGAGTAGCGAATGTAGAGCCACGCGGCTGGACACCGGTGTCTGAAATCAAACTTACAAGGGAAACTGGCAGATGCGCTGATGATCTGTGGATGCCTCGTATTGTTCCAAATGACTTTTTTTGCGCGCCGAAATGCTGAAAACTTCGTATTACGGGAACGAGTCCAACGTGTGTCCGTGCTGCATGGCAACACCACTGGCTGGGTCCCTGACCAAGTTCAGGGCATTGCGGGTGGATGCCAGTGACTCGCGGAACTCACAGCCTTTCTGTCCACATGTTTCAACCTATTGCCAAATCACGCCGTAGGAGACCAAGTGAAAGGATCAGTCCGGGCGGTAGCTAGGTATGGACAGCGGAAAGTGCAGAAGGAGGACGCAACCAGGCTGCGAACTTAGCGCCAGCACCTTTAACGCGGGCGGCTAATCTTGAACCGGGCTCGCTGCTGACCGCCACGCTCACTTGGGGCTCTGCAGAGCTGCAAGTATACTAGATTCACGCGTGTGTTCTCGACTGGTGAGGTCTCCCACAAATATTCACCTATGGGTCCTCTTGTACCCTGAGGGTGATATAGTTTGATGCCCCAGGCTTGTTCTAGCCTGTGCTGCTAACCCAGTGGAGCGAGTGGCAGCGCTCAGCGCAGTGAGTTCATGACTGCGGTATCTATCTCCCTTCTTTCATGCGCTACCACCTCAATCCTTCCTTCTGTAGCCCTTGTACCTTTCTACGTTTTGATTCCTAACCATGCTCGATGACTGCATCGGCACATGTCTCACGGCACTAGCGATGTGCGTATGCGATGCGTGCTCTGGCGTCTGTCTGGACTTCTGGACGACTCGTGAGTACCTCAATTACGACTGCCATAGACCTCGGATCTGCATGTGGACAGCGCTGACACCATTTCATTCATACCTCGCGAACAGGCCACACTTGCACCAACCGCGTGTGCAAGTGCGGGACTATCTCTGAGGACGAGGCCGAGGTCGCCGAGCCCGGCGAACGAGAGCCCCTCATCCAGGACGACCAACCCGAGTCGCAACTTCCCATGAAGAGATGATGTTTCCGAGGGAAACATGCTTCTGGTGTAAAGCTCTCGTCTCCGCTATGGTGAGTGGCGATAGCTATCCATCGGATACCAGTAACTCCAGCTGATCTCCAAGCGTTGGACCCTACTAGAATATCATAATCATACCAAACCACCCTGTCTACTATCTCATATACAATCACAATCATCTCTTCCTAGTCGGTATGTGTATCACTACACTATCTGGAGTCGTCCCGAGGGCTCAAGTCATCAACGGACCTGAGCTAGTCCACAACGTCGCGATCACACGGAGCTCGTGTCGCTGGTCTTGAGCTCTATCGCCGTCTCGGAGTGGTTCTTGGGCATCTTTGACAGGCAACACCGCGTCAGTACTTTCCCATGCATGTGGGCGCGGGCCTGAGGTCGGCAGGCGGGACTGACCTGCTGCGCGTTCCACATTCCGGCCACAGTCACGCGCGTCTCGTTGTGCGTCGATACGGCATGTATACCGATGGTACTCCCCGGGTCTCTTCCCTCGGCGCCGGAGTGGCGCGTGTTGAGTCTAGTAGAGGCACCGGCGGGAAGTCAGGTCGGGTGTAAGCGAATGAGAGAGGAAAGGGATACGAACACGGCTAGGAGCGAATTGGCGTAGACTACAATGCATGCGTCAGCGCTGTCCGTGGGGAGTTTGTGGATCGCGGCGTACCTTTAGTCGCGACGATCGAGAAGGCGAAGTATACAAGGTTGTCGGGGTAAACTACGGCCTGTGAGGTGATATTAGCGATGCATAACTTAGGTATCATGCCTTGAACAGGACGACCACGCACGAATATCAAGGCAAGAAGATCAAATACCCTACGTTCGCGTGTTAGGATAAGAAGTCGTCAGCGGAAGTACATCTTCGGCGGTGTGCGCTCTTACCCCGTCAAAAATCCTATATCAGGGTCAGCTGATGCTATTCGAGCACGAATACAGAGCATGGAAACGCACCAGTATTGACCGCGTATAGCGTCAGCCGGTCAATGATATGGTCGGTCCTGTAGAGCCGCGAGTCAACATTCACGGACGAGAGCAGCTGCGTGCATCAGAAGGACATACTTCTTGAAACCCGTGCGGCTAGCTTTCAGGACGTAGATGAGGACCCCAGTTGTGAGCGCGTCCGAGGCGACCGCCGCCGCGAACGCCACCGAGTCCATCCACTATACATACGACGATCAGCCAAGTAGGACTGGGAGGAAAGCGCTATACTCACGGTGTAGTGTTGGAATCTTGTGAATGTGTGGATTTTGATGCTGAATAGCAGTTGCGGTAAGTAGTGTATACAATGGACATTCTCCGAACCTACCCTTGAACAGTTGTTGCTGGCGACAGGATGGGGAGTGAGATGAAGGCAAGACGAAAAATATGTTCATGGCTGACCTGTACCGAAGGCTACAGACGAGCAATGGGTTATGTCAGTAGACGATGTAAAGAAGGGCCTAAACAAGCTACTGCTTACCGAGCGCGACTATGGAGAACGAGACCTGGTATGATGTCGACGTAAATATGGGCGATGAACGCGTCCGAGTGAGAGACCAACCGCGAGCGCGACGACCACTTTATACTGCGGCCTGACTGATGGAAAGCGTCAGCGGAAGCCCGTATCAGCAAAAGAGCCCAGAGCGTACCCAGATACACTCTCCGTGCAAAGAAGCTGGCGCGTGTCGTTGAGCTGCAGTTGGAGAACGCGTACAGCGTACACACCTTTGCGAGAGGAATACCTCGAGTGCCTGGATGCGGCCGCGTTGGGGTTAGCGATAATTTACATTCTGCAGAGGGAGGAACTACAAGCGACGTACGCAGATGACAGATTGGGCCTTCCCAGGGAGACGACACGGTTGAAAAATGGTTAACGAGTAGCGAAAACGGGATATTCACCTGGATAGACCTTCGAAGATGATCAGTTTCGAGATTGAATCATGGCTCGGACAGCAACATACCACACGCCGCGTGCGAGAGCTTGAGGGTCGAAGTAGTTGGTAACCAGATAGAAGTAACTTTGATACCCGTTAGACCGGCGCCGAGATATATAACGCGGATATATGCTTACCAGGTGTGCATGCACGTTGAAATCTGCAGCGTTTCTACGACACTGCATTGCTCGCATGAGCGCCGAGCCACTGGCTCCGGAGAATTGCATGCTCCACTCACAAGATACAAACCACCTAAATTATGCCAGTGAGCGAATGGAACTCGGATAAGATCAGGGCGACTCACAAACACTTTGACCAAGATGCCGTCATTGTGATACAGTCGGATGTATCTGTACGCCTGGTGGATGGTGACTCCATACAGCCTACAAGGCAGGGATCAGTTACGGGCACAGATAGGCCCCTGGCCGAAACATACACGAGGCCTAGAAATGTCCCCAGCAAGAAGGCGCCGAAGGTGTTGTCGAGCGGGGGAGGGGACGGCAGAAAGAGGGCGGTGGGAGCGTCCATAGGTTCGTGGTAGGGTGCGGCACGAGGCCGGGAAGGCTCGCGCTGGTTTATATCGCTTCCGCCCTGCTAAACCTTGTCGCGAGCGCGCCTCCCTGCACATACCCTGCAACTGAGAGTTCGGCGAAGCACTCTTGAACGCGGTGTTGAGAACAGATAGGATCTTGTTGGAACTTATAAATGTGAAGCGATGCGGGAGAAGTCATCACTCTGTTGAACAACAGGTGCGTGATCGGGGGCAAAGAGGGGAGTAGACGCTCTTGAGTACTCACATTTGAGCTCATAGACTTCAACACACATAGGCGATAGCAACTGTGCCGATGAACCTGGTCCTCTGGGCGATGTCGTAAGTAGACGCACTCCGTCACTGGGTACCCAGCTTCGGGAGTCTCGTTTATTTCCATACATAATGGCTCGCCGAGTCGCGTCCATGACGCCAGTGCATCTTCTGGATCTGTCAACCATATACCCTATCGCAGGTGATTAAAACAAGGTTCCTGTGTCCTGCCAGCGAAGAACTTAAAGTCCGAGGGTTTGCGGCCCAGAACGTGACAGCATCTTGAATCCGTTCTCCCGACAATAGCGCACAACTATAACAGACAGCTTCAGCTGGAGTGTAGGTGGTAGTAGATGAAATGTGTACTAGCATATGAATCAGGGTTCTGCGCGGACAGCAAGTGAGTGGCCACACGACTTTGCAGCCAGACACCAGATCAAACTTTGCGTGCGACTCATGCTATGCTATGCGCCAAAGTGATGTCCCTTGTGGGGCATAGATTGAGGAGATAAGGCAGGCGGTATCATTGGTTCCGCTGGTTCGGGAAATACAGCCGCTGTTCGGGTACTAGGGGGAGAAGTTGATGGTCGAGTGGTTCGGACACAGACTTGGAAGTTCTGTGTTGCCTCTCAGCCTCGTGTAGCGTGAGCGCCGCGCTGTGAGGCGGTGAAGATATTCATAAATGACGCTCGCGTGGAATTGCAACTGTCAAGAGCTGAGAGCTTCAAGGTCACGGTTGTCCACGAGCACGCGGGATACAAATGATAACAGACTCACCCGAAGTCTGCAATGCGCTCCAAGCGGCATTCGCAATTTCGACTATGCTTTGAGGCTGCGTACGGCGGCTGCCACGGCAGGATGAAAGTGGCCATGTGAACTTGCTGGCGGTCTAGAGGACAGTGAAGAAATTTAGGGTGCCCGGGGAAGAACACCAGCCTAGTCTGGGATCCGAATCCCCCGGACCCGGTCGTCCGGCGGTGGCAGCCTGACTCGCCAAGTGAGTGAGGAGGTGGTGGTGGTGGTGGTGGTGGTGGAGGAGGAGGAGGAACGTTTCGATTTGCTTCCACGCGGACTCGAAGCCACTAGCATAGGCTCACGGCGTAGCACAAATTCGGGACGCTAGCGCGCAGCGGGCGAGGGCGTGTGTTGTGGCTTGTTGTGGTAGAGAACCGTGTGACTCCAAGAATGGTAATTTTGACCAGGTTCATCTGCTCACTGATTAAATAATACTCACCCTCTGAGAGATGGCGGTGTCGAAACTGAAGGGAGGGCACTGATAGTACGGGCACATATATTTCATATTCATATTCATGCTTGTCGACACTTGCTCGCGACTTCGAGCCCTATTCGTACATGGGAACACTCTGGGTGGGATCACAAGATGCTCAGAAGTACTCTCTGCTCGTAGCACGCAAATGGCGTGTGCCACGCGAACCCCAGCGCTTCAAGCGGCGGCAGCGACGTCCAGGCCTGCACGGCGTCCGCCACTTTCAGCAGTGCCGTCCTGGGCAGCGAAGGCCTTCGCGTCGGCGACACCGTCAAAAGCGATGGCCTATCGGTCAAAACATATGAGCGCTCGAGACGATTTAAACGCGTGCCGGTGTAGGAGATGTACGCTACAAACCTGGGTGCTGTTGCCACCGATGCCGAACCACTTGTCGCTGGCCGGGTTGATCGCCAGGTACTTCTCGGAGCCGTTGCTCGAGGCGACGCAGATCGCGCCGCTGTGCCCATTGACGAATGCCTTGCCGTACATGCCGACGTTCTTGATGGCGCTGATTATGTCCTGCTGGGCCTGGTTGAAGCTCTTGCCTTGTGTGAGCGTGAGCGTGAGGGAGGCCTCAGTATCGTATCCCTGTGGGTGTGCCATTAGCCCTATTCAAGCCGTTCCCGTGGCATTGATTCGTTGCACGTACGTTGGTAATAGTCTTAGTAGTGGTGTAAGACATAGCGGATAATTCGTCAACAATAGCCCGAAGGCTTTCATCAACGAGGGCGGGGACCGCGAAGGTGAGGTTGGCCGTGTAGATTGCTTGATTCGGAGTCTACGGGGCCGCACGGATAGGTCAGGCCTATGACTGTACATTATCACATCTGAGATGAAGATTACCTGAGTGGGCTCGAAGCTGTCATAATAGTATGATGCGCCGCCCCCAGTACCCTTGATATTGCCATCCAAGTCGCGCGAGATTGTGATCGTGGTGTTGTTGCCGCTGAGCTTGGACAGGTCTGCGCGCCAAACGATTGGGATATTTCCCATGGTACGGTCGAGGAACTCCGACTCCTTGTAGTGGACATTCAAATTGGCCCAGACTGTGAGAGTCGGGACGTGGTCAATGAAAACAGATTTGTTGTCTCTGTGGAAGAGGTTTCAGCTATGAGCAGACTCCAGATAAGCAGTATCCGGTAGTAGACGCGTACTGGACTGCGTTCGCAACTAGAACAATTTCCATTTCCTCCCTGCCACCTTGAGCACTGTTACTAGTGACGAAACCTGATGTCCCGATTCTCGTGAGGAAGTCGATCTTGCCACACCCTTCGTGTGCGAGAACATACCGGCTGCGATGCTTTCAACGGAGGAGGTGACATTCACAACGCGACACTGTTTGTTGTTCGGTTTACCGAACGGCTTGATTGACTGTGGATGGATGAATCGACATGGAAAGTGAGAGAAAAGTGCATCAGGACTCACAGAAAAGCTATACAGCGGCGGCGACGCCGTGTTATCCTTGTGCAACTCGGTAGAGTAGCCGGGCTATTCAGATGGTCAATATGATATCACAATGTTCGCAGAGCACACTTTGACGTACCGGGATTCTGATGTAGACGGGTGCAGTAACGACGTCTTGGGCGTCCACGACCGCATGACCACCTGCAAGACTGTCATAGATAATCAGCATGCTACACTCGTGCTCAACTTTGAGAGAGGACTGACTCGTTGTTCCACAAAATGGTCTTTGTGTTGTCTGGAGAATGCAATGTTTACGGGATCGACATCGTCTAGGACATAGCAACTTACTCTGGGCGTTCAGCTCAAAAACCCTGTGATATTAGGGGCATCATCAACAATATCCTGCGCTGAGAGATACGAGCGTTTACTGACTTCCAAGCGACAGGATACATGTTCTCGTTGACATCCTGAGTGACCGGTGCAAAGCCCAAGGTCAGGGTGCACGGTCCGTTGAATTTAGGGCTGCACCGTTTGTGTCAATGGCGTAAGGAGATAAAAGATAAGTGTAAGGAATTCACTCAAGGGAAAAGGTAAGAGTCTTGGTGATGACGTTGACCATTGCTATGAGACTGGCGAGAGAGACGGTTATTGAGAGCGGCGAAGAGGAGAAGACGAGGATGCTGAATACTGGCGGAGAGCTGCGTCCATTTATATACGCTCTCCTCTGATAGATGAGGTCATACCAATCATGATATGTGCAGAGGCTGATGACCTGTGTACGACTTTTCCGGGTGCCTTCCAGTACTCACGTCGATGGTGTCGACGTGGAGTTGAGTAGCGGCGTGGTTCTAGACGAACTAAAATGCCACAATGAGACAGTTCCTCGCTACACGCCGGGGCAATTCCACGAGGATCTTTGTGTCGTACAGAACTGAGAGTTTTGTCCAGAAAAAGGAATTTCGGCTTGCCAGCAGTACGACTGCTTCTGCCTTAAGCTTCAGCGCCGGCAATGGCCTCCCAAATCATACCTGTATAAGAGCTCTGATCGACGTTCAAAGAATACCTAGATGGTCACGCGTGCCATAGACCAGACATAATGAGTCCGGGTACACATAACAGTGAGTGCCGACGAACGGGGGCTGCTTTGTCCTACGGCACAAACTTTATGGTTGAATGTATTGGGGACTTCGGCAGTTTGGGGTTCCCCTTGCAGTGCAGATCGGGTAGAAGAGAATTATCGCATGAAGCGACATTCGCGAACGCCACGGCGCTGACACTGCGAATGGATAAAGTGCAATAAGTATGAACGTCGAGAACGAGATGAAACGATGAAAGAAGGAAAGCTCCACCTGGCGATCGTAGAGTCGACGCAACTGGAATATCTTCCGCCTGGACGGAGGGAGCGGATGTCTGTGCATCGTGCTTCCAAGCTTCGCAGTCGGAGAAGAATTGAAAGTTGCAACGACACTGACAGTGCAGGAGCGATTTGACGCACATGTGGACAGAAAATCGACGACTGCTAGTTCGTCATGTCAGCGACGCGTGTAGCAGCCAAATTCATGGGTAATCTGACTTTGAGCCACTGTATCCTGCAATACCCACTGTATAGGGTTTCATCTGAGCGCTCGATTGACAGCTGCTTCGTAGATCGTATGGCGGAAGCCGGCCCTGCAGCCAGAACTTCGACCTGAAGCAGCCCCCGAGGTCCTGTGGTTGTGGAAGCAACAGTAGCGACATTTCTTCTTCTTGTGGCAAGGATTAGATGATATATTGTAAGTATGGGATGATCAGACGATCTGTCGATAGGTCATTTAATACGATACACGATATAACAGTGGGATCCACACTGACACTGGGCTTCTGAGCCCGACCGCGAGCAATCGGACACCATGGCGTTGTGTGCGCTACGCGCGAACTTGCGGCACAATTCACAGGATTTTTGCGTGCAGATTTTCGTTTGCGCCGGAGGAAGAGTCGCAGCAGAGAGATTTCGAGTGACAGGAGTCTGAGCAGGACAGGACAAGTCCTCCATCCACGTGGCTACGTAGCGCTCGCATCCCAGTGTTGACGTCATGCTTCAGTGCCGGCCAACGAGCGCCCTAACTGTTTCCTTCAAGTTCCCGCCGCAGCGTCGCGCCCGCGTCGACTCGTCTAGCCCATGCCCGCATGGACGGTTTTGAACCACATCTACCTAATATTTTGCGTAGCCTGTCAGGAAAGTATTCAAAGCCTCAACGCGTCCCGATCGAAGCCGCTGCCACCCGCACTGGCACCATTTTAGAGCTGCTCTACGGCGGTATACGGGTCGTGCAGGAATTCTCGGATGTCCTTACCAGAGCTTTTTCCCGCAATGATTTTTCACCACGCTGCCATTATGAGCTGTGAGAGCGCATCAACCGGTGATATAGAAGCCTTCAACGCAAATAAGTAAGTATTCTCCCAAAGCCCAGGCATCGCGCGGTCCAATGCACGGACTCCGACCGCCGTTCGCCATGATTCTAATAGTGCGGCATCTGCCCGTCCGGGCTTGTCTGTATATCGCCAGTGGTACATACGCTGACCTGCCGATACTCTAACTGTCTCGCTCTTAACGCTTGAGACGAACACACATGCAGATGTCAGTGCATATTCACGCTGTACGGGGATGACGCTGAACCTGACACGCCTACTTCATCATGCATCATGTCTAGCCTAGACGGCATGCCAATTGTATCGTCCAAAGGATCGCACCAATGGAGCTCGATCGTCGTCTAAGAGAAGTTCTATGACATGTATAATATGCCCTTCGCGCATGAGTTACGAACTTGGATCGAGAACGCGGCCGGATTTGGCTCGAGAAAACTGACCTGTTGTTCCCTCCATAGTACGGCGATCGTGGTCAAGCGGGTCTCGTTGTGCGTACGTATAGATCCTGCGTGCATTCCTATGCTGCTATCTGGCTTACTCCTTAGACGCGTTGGAAGTACGCGTGTTGAGCCTGAAAGAACAGCGCGAGTGGTTAGATTAGGCTCAGACGGGAAGGTGGAGAATATACGCACACGGCGGCGCAGATCCTTGCTTGTCAAATATTGCCTTCGCCGAGTCAAACGTAAGGGTGACTTGGATGAGAAGTGACTTAGCTCACAATTTGGAGCAACTCCTATGAGGGCGGAGATTATTGCTCGCCAGAGCGAGGGATCTACGTTCCCCTCTGGTGGAGTAGGTTACTATACTGATGACAATGTGCCCAGAAGCCGCGATCCCGCGCACAGCTTGCGCGGGTGTCTTCCAGCGCGTCTATCTGTACCCGCGGACGCCGAGTTGAGCAGCGGCGTAGTTATATGGTCGGATGAGTCGATGGTATCGGCAGTTCCAGGGTAGTGTATGTGTGCTCATCGAATGGAAGTCTCTCCTCGCCCTTCACAGAATCGTTTGCGAGTCCCACAAGGCCCCTGCGCGGAGGAAATAAAGTGCAATGAACGGCGGACATGATGTAGCGCGGTCACAGAAGGAGGTTTCCATCTGGCACTCGCGATGTGCACGGAAGCCGAAGGCGCTCAAGTCGACGGGCGCTGTCGACTCCGCCGCCGAAGTACTCACCTCTTGATCGGATATAACGTCCGGATGTCCATGATCCTCTGCAGCTCCTCATCGGCCACATGAATGGTACAGGCGCGAATTGATGCATTTCAGTGCATAATTTGACGCCTGCCAGGAGTGGTCACGTCAGCGATGCGTGCCTATATCATCATGGGAGTGAGAGGTACCTTCGTCATAACATGCTCCACGTACACTGTACGGAGATTTTGGGTCCAAGAGGCTATAGGTTAAATAAATGCGGAGAGCGAGCGTTGTTCATTGAATTGATATGTTTTGAAAGGAGGCTACCCTAGTACCTCCCGAACCTGAGGCGTGAGGCGGCATAAGCAGCGTGCACTTCGTTTTCTGACAGTAAAAGCAAATACCCAAAGCACAACGTGATTGTGAGGATATGTCCAATGGGCTTCCATACACTACGCAATGTAACAAGGGGGGACCCGTCCTGCAGGAGACGTCCGATGAAAGTTCATGCAAAAGCCCAAAGATGTTCCAGACTCCCAGACCTCGGAGTGCCCAGATTGTTGCCTAGAGCCACAAGTCTTGGAGAGTTTCAGGGTGATTAGCGAGGTAATTTTCTCCGAAGGCTGAGAGCAAAGATGTCGCAACGGAAGATGGCGATAAGTACTAAGTAGTAGCTTCAAGCACTCCGGGCATCCGAGGAGGCACGAGGGTATGCATTCCACGTGGCAAAGCAGTGCACTCATCCAGGAAAGGTAATCTGCCACAACTCTCGCAAACACGGTAGGCGCCCTAGTGAGTTTCCTTGCCGGACGCGCTCAAATGGACGTCACGGTAGATCTAGCTGGCAGCAAAGACAAGGATTCAAACCACGACGAAATTCTATGCCGAGATTCCTGTAGCACTAATGTTTACTGATGCGCTACAAGAGAACTAGTCTGTATGCTCCCTCCTACTAGCTACAGTTGTAGACCAGTGCATACGTCATTCGGAGCGACTCAGTGAAGATTAGGAATGGCCGGTAGCACCGCAGGCCAAGAATCTACACAACTGGTAAGTCTTGTTTGATGATACTATTCGCAAACTTATGTTTCACCCTCCCCCCGCAGCTTCAAACCTTCGCAGATAGTAGGTGCGCGCGCGTTGCCAAGAAGACGCTGCCAGTGTACGCGAATGGTGCGAGTCGTTCCGTCAGAGTGACCGTTCTCTCCGAGGCTCATGTTGCGATTCGGCTCATTTTAGGCTCCTTAAATGCCGGGGCTGAACACAGACATCTTGTATCTTGGATTAGCCGAAGCCCAGAGTAAGCGAGCACTGAGCACTCAGACCGCACCCTCAGTCTGCAGCCTTCCGACTACAGCCTTGGCATAGATTGTAATAGGCAATGGTATGTCTTGCCTGCGTGATTTTTGGTGCCAGAACCATCTCTCACGCTGTCAGTACACGAGGCTAGCTGCGCGCGTCATTGACTCAGAGCCTGAGAGAAGGTCTACGGCCCCGCCGAACCCAGAGACGCAGTGCTCCGAGTCCATTCAATCGCTCGCTCACTCGGCCCCGGGCACCACCTGTCACCACTTCCGTACCCGATGCCAATGACTCGTTGGTGACGGTGAATATGCTCGTGGCTCGCCGCAAGATCGCGGTTCCGTATCAATATCTTACAAAACCTGATGAGTTGTAGTCGACCTAAGTCCTCCCCATCCCATCCATCCCTCTTTCTCATAACAGAGCATTTCTACTCCTCGTTGTGGCATGCTCCAGTACATCTTAGTCATTAGCGTAGGATATGCGCTTCAGAGGCTCATCCGGTGGATTGCACAGCCAAGGTCGCCGCTTGACAACATCCAGGGACCTCCTTCGCCGTCATGTCTCACAGGTACGTTCGCCATCCCGCTCATTGTGTACCCATACTGTCAAACTCGATACCTTTCTGCTTGCTTCATCCAGGTCATATGTCGCAGCTTTATGACACGCAGGGATGGGGGTTTCAGCACGAACTACGGACGAAGTATGGCCCCGTGTCTATGCTTCGGACTTTATTTAGCGTGAGTAATCATCTCGTCTGGGCGCACACCGACATAGCTGACTGTGTTCGTACAGCAACCGATGTTGTGCATATACGACCCTGCGGCTATGAATGCCATCGTTATGAAGGACCAGCAAAACCGCCTGCCACTATTCGAAGAGCTGGAATGGTATATGAAGTATGTCGACCACCATTCCTTAGTACTGGCTCAGGGGTACTCTATATTCACTCTTCGCATCTTTGCAGCCTCCCGCTAGACGTTTTCGGACCCGGTCTGCTATCCACCACAGGTCCGTTTTTCGCGCTACTCGCTATATTCCGCCTCAATCTCAATATAGCGATTCATTGCAGGAGAAACCCATCGGAAACAGCGTAAGCTGCTCAGTCCAGTATTCTCTACGAAGAACCTCCGCCTCGTTACTCCAGTGTTCCACGACGTTGCGCATCGCGTGAGTGTTTCTTTCACAGCATGTCGTTATATGAATACGTCCAGGTACTAACCGCCTATATCTAGCTCACTAGCGCCATATCAGCGGCAGTAATCGCCGATGCAAAGACTGTCGACGTCGCTCAGTACATGACACGCGCAGCCCTGGTACTGATTGGACAAGCCGTGCTCGGCCACTGCTTCGATCCGCTAACCGAGGAGGGCCAACATCCTTACGCGGAAGCCCTGAAGTGCTACATGTATGTACATCATACGCAGCGGTCCCGGAACAACATTGTCTGACTAACCGGCCTCAGACCAGCACTTACTGCCCTCACCCGGTGGACACCACTGTATCGTCTCGCACGACCTCTCATGCCCACCTGTCTGCGGCGACCCCTCATGAACCTCCTGCCTTCTCGACGTGTCCAAGAGCTTCTCCGCATCGTCGACACGATGCACGCAAACGCGATCGGCATTTACAATGAGAAGAAGGTCCTCGCCGAGTCCTTGGAGAAGGCCGACGAAAATCATGAGACGACGACGGACCTGATCACGCTACTTCGTGAGCATATCCCTTGCCGGTCTGTATTTCGCTTCTGACATGGCCCCTGGGACTATCGCGCGCGTGCGCGCGCAGTCCGGGCTAATGCGGGCGCGTCGCAAGAGGACGCGCTGCCGGAAGAGGAACTCATCGCGCAGCTCTCGTACGCAGCGTCCTGCACGCCCTCCACCTACCGTCGCACGTTGACCTGCCCTGTCCAGAATCCTGATGTTCGCTGCGACAGACACGACCTCCAATTCCCTCACGATCATCCTAGACCGCCTCGCATCGAGCCCGCCGGCCCAGGACAGGCTTCGTGCGGAGTTGGTGGCAGCGAAGAGTCGTCTCGGGGGCGGGGACATCTCATACGACGAGCTCATGTCTCTGCCCTACCTCGACGCCGTATGCGCCGAGACACTGCGCGTGTACGTCGCCCTTGCGCATCACATTTAGCGACCTCTCACACCTCGCACAGACACGTCCCGGCCCCGCTCCGTTTCCGAGAGTGCGCCTTACCTCCATACACCATCCCTCGTAGTTCTCACTTCTGCCTTATAGGGCACAGGCGGATGCTCTACTCCCGCTCTCAAAACCCATTCGCGGCAAAGACGGGACGATGATGGACTCCATCTCCGTCCCGAAGGGAACCGTCGTATTTGTCCCCATCCAGGCTGCGAATATCAACCCCGAAGTCTGGGGCCCCGACGCGCACGAATGGCGCCCGGAACGCTGGCTGGAGCCTCTCCCGAAATCGGTCGCAGCAGCGAAGACCCCCGGGGTCTACTCCAACATGTATGTACGTCTCTCCTCGGGGGCAGCGCGACTTCGTGAACACAGGACGTGCGCGCTCATTTCGCGCGCTATATAGTATGACGTTCTGGGGTGGCCGGCGGTCGTGCATGTAAGTAATCGCGGACCCGCTTGCCTCCCGCGTAGGGCGCACTCTGATCTAAGGCATCCCAGCGGCTTCAAGTTCGCTCAGCTCGAGATGAGTGCGTCCTCGTTATTTTCTCTGTTTGCACTCCCGCTGATGTAACACCCCGTTCGGAATCTGCGGCCTCATAGAAGTCGTGTTAGCGGAGCTGATAGCCACGTTCGTGTTCGACAAGACCGACGCGCCTGTGATATGGAACTTCGCCGAGATCGTCCACCCTACCGTCGGGGCTGACTCTTGGCACCCCGAGTACCTGATGAAGGTTACGCTGGCACAGGAAACGTCCGCCTCGGACGCCAGATAGTGGCGTCTCAGCTTAAAAGAGGTGGCATTCCTATCGCTTCGGACAGGGAACCCTGTTCATTCTGTGGACGTCAGTCTGGGAGCGATGGCGTGCGGGGCTCCATCCGGGTGAACGTGATTCTTGGGTTGACTCGGATTACTGCCGACTTGATATATGTACGGTACACAAGTACAATGAGCGACATCGTCTTGGAAGAATCACGATGGTATGTAGTAGGAGCTTGAGTGCGAATGCGGACTATGGTAAGGAAATGGTTAGCGTCCATGGGGGAGAGGCACATGACCTGAGCAGGCCGCGAGGGAGAACATGTACGATACAAGATAACACGATGACTGAACGGCATGCAATGCGGGAGAAATAGGGAGGGCGTGCTAGGAAACGATTACGGAAACAAAATGTTGTTATGGGATAGTAGAGTTCTCGGGGGCAGACGTGTTGGAGACAACTCGGAGTGGGTGAGGCTAGTATTGCCAGTGGCGGTGGATGCTCCTCCACAGTGTAGCTGCGCGGGCGCCGGATGCGGGCAAGGGGGATCAAGGATAGACGAGTCGGAGACAGGCACTGCGGTAGGATCGCTGAGACAAGGCACCGATGCGGCGAGAGAGGTAGCGACGAGCCACCTTGTCTGCGAAGCCGCAAGTCAACCCACTAACGGCGAAATCTGACGAGCGGCCATGCGAGCGGCCTATTGGAAGGAGATTGCGGCGCGTTGGTCGCGGGCACCGAGCCGGAGGCAGTATCGACGCTGGCATCGGTCCGAGGCCTCTTCGACGACGTTGAGACTCGCCCGGTGGTGAGATTGGTCATCATTCCTGACTTCGCGGCAGCGAGTTGCTTCTTGGGGTTGTAGGTGCTCTTGAGCTGGTCGGGGACGACATCATCGGTGGGCCATAGGGATTTTTCTTCCTCTTCTTTTTCCTCTTCTCCGCCTTCTCCGTCGTCGTCGCTGTCCGAATCCGCGCCAAGATGATCCTCGAAGATGTCGATGGTCTCGGAGTGTTCTTCCAGTTTCGCCGCAAGTTCCTTCATCTCCGCTGTGGCCTTAGCAGCTGCAGCATCGTCGGGCGTTAACCTAACACGATTGGGTCTTTTCCGGGAGCTTTTGGCAAATTCCCCCGCGGGAAACGCACGGCGACCCGGAATATTCTTCTGCGCACGGGAAGAGGCACCCGCCAAATGGTTCGCTGCGGCCTGAGACTCGGCGAGCTCGTCATATTGCTGCGCAAAGATGCCGTAACGGGCGGTGAATAGCACCAGCCACTCTTTGAGGAGCTCATTGAGAGGATGCTGCGGATCGCCCGGCGCGCACTCGAATTTGAGGAGTTTGTTGTCGTCGTAGATTCCACCATCGGTCACTGCCCGTATCTTGGTGCTGCTGCACCGGGTTTCGTTTTCGTCGACCTGCTCAAAGGTGTCGAAGTAGTCGATGAGGAAAGGGGTGACCCTTTTGCAGAAGGTATGTCGAAGATAGCGGACTCCATGGTGGAGGAGGGCGTGAAAGAATGACTCGAGTTCATCTGCGACCCCGACAGGGCGCCGAGGGTTCCTGACATATGCCACAGACATGAACTGCCAAGTCCCCTAATCGCCATGTCAGCGCCAGGCAAAGATGAAGAAGGGGTGAGAACAGCACACGCACCGTCCGTTCCGGCTGCCTGGCCCGCTGCCGCGACTTGTCTTTGGGCACATACTTCGCAAGCTCCCAATCGGTCAAAAACCCCTTCCATCGCACTCGCCTCAAGCCACTTACGCCCTCCTCGATACAGGGCTTGATAAGCATATTCCCAGTACTGATATCACGATGTAGCAGATCAAAGTGGACGTAAGCATCGGAATGCGCTATGGAGGGGTGCTGTTAGTAGTGTGCATCTTACAAAAGGCTCATGCTTACTGTAGATGCAATCCAGTATCAGCCGGACCAGTTGTTTGCCGCGCGTGAAGCTTTCCATGGGTAGGCAGACTTCGTTGACAGCGAGACGATAATGAATGAACGTTCGAGACTCCTCCGGCTCATCGGACTCCTCAGCCGCTTCCTCTTCTTCCCTGGGGCGCTTCTTTCCGCGCGCCGACTCGACGGAATGAACCTCGGCGGATTGGATGTCGGCGGGCTGGACGTCGGCGGAAGGTGTCGTGGACTGCGACTGGTCGGCCTTGTAGTACTCCACGACGGAGGTGGTTTGCTGGAGCACATCTCCATGTGCAACGACGGTAGGGACCGTCAGTCTGAGATCGGGCTTTGTTGCCATCGTCTCGAGATAGTTGCCTTCCGGTTCCACGCCCTGATAGAACGGCCTCCAGGAGTCCTTCAGCCATACGAACTGGTTGGTCTCAATGTCACAGGCGATATACCCCCGCGTTCCTCGGCCAAACATCGACTTCGACATGAAGACCGGTTTGGCGACTAGGAACTCGCGCCTTCCCGGACTCTCGCCAATGGAAAGCTTGTACCGCGGCCATCCCTTGACCAGATAGTCTCGGAACAGGTCACGGACGAATTTGAAGACGGGATGGGTCGGCTGCTTGCTTTTCTGCCGGGTGCTCGCCGCCGGACCGAGGGAAGCAGCAGACACGGTGTCGGGGAAATCGGTGACATCGGCGTGCTCGTGGAAGGGCATGTCGAGCGCTGGATTCGCGATCGCCCATGCGTCCATGAGCTTGTAGTCGTCAGAGGTTGGCAAGAGCAACGTGGCGGTGGGATCGATGCCTTGCTGTTCGCCCGACAGACTCGCAAATGCCCAGAGAAACCGGAGGAGCGAGCTCGGATCCTCTGCGTAGTTCGTCGCTTCGCTCACTATGAGCCCTGAGCGATCCCAGTACATTGCCCTGAACTCATCTCCGTTGATCAGGAGGGAAAACAGCGCAGTACGGTGCTGATGCTGGAAGGTCTCGGAGGCGTACGCGAGAAGCTGTTCACGTACATCCTGCTGCGACTTTACGCATTCCTGCGGAGGATTAATCTTGTGATCAAACGGATCATTACGAGTGCCTCCCGGCTTGAATTCGATGAAGAGCCGGAGGTGAATCCAGTCTGGGCGTCCATTCTGTGGGAGCACCTCGCTCGAATACAAAGCAACGCCAGTGTTGGGCTTTGTGCGGTCTTTCGCGCTATTCCTCTTTAGTAGAAGTGCCGCACGAAGGTTATTGGGTAGGGCCACTTTGTTGATGACATCTTTGACCTGCCAATGAAACCGTACTTGAACATGATGGTTTGATCGGTGAGGCTAGCAGGAGAGAGGCGTACTAGAACATTCGTAATTTCACGCTCATTGACGTTTGTGCGCATTGTCCCGACCGCGGTGTAGAAGAGTTTATTTACCGCTTCTGTCATGATGGCTGTCATCCTCCGCGATGGCTTAGGCATGCCGACGCCGTGACGCCGTTCGGGCCACAAAATGTCTTTTTCGAAGTCGTCGAGTGTGATCAGAGTGTTCTTGTCCATGCTGGCCGAGTTCCAAGCTTTCTGTCGATTGCAACTCTGGGCAGCGGTCACGGTGGGGGTAAAGAAGTGGGCGTTCAGTTCCGACTCACCAGCGAGTTCGAATTACCTTTCTGAGATAAGCCACATCAAGCGCCCGTTCCTCTGCCTTCAAGCGCTCAATTCATGTACCATTATAATCAATTTTCGCCTCGTGGAGAATGAGAATAATCCAATGAGGGGTAACATGAATACCATCGCAATACAAAGACAATGTGGGTAATCGAACAAGGGCGTCCAGATGGCGGCGGCAGTCACCGTCTGCCTTCCCAAAACGGTAGCCATGGCAGGTTGTGGTTCACAAGCGCCCGCGCCTTGGCTCTTACTTCCACTACGCCCTTCAGCCAGAGCAGTCAGTCTTCTCATTGTCCTACCCATGTGGTCGCTCTTTGTCTTGAAACACGTGCATGGCTAACTTTCGACGCAGTCAGCGCTTGTCTCTTAGCCACCTCCAAACCACGCGTCTTAGCCACTGCTCGCCGAGGGTATATCAAGCTCGCTCAGGTTCGTCGATTTCCCGCACATGTACTCCTTTCCCGCTGCTTTTGAGCATGGCTGACAAACCTTCACCCACTCCGGCTTCCTATCACAGCAACAAGCAGAGTAGTCCAAGCCGGCTCAAGTGGAAGGCAGTCGACGTCAACAATCTCGGTACGCCTTTGAAGCCCGACGCCGAACTTGACAGGAAACTCGAGGTCTGGGATAGCATGGATTGCAGTCTTCTCGTCAGTCTGGACGAGTTTGAGAAGAAGGTTCTATGGCCCAAGACCAAGGGTGACTTCCCCGAGCCAACGTCAGAGGCCGTAGCCGTCATGTCGGAGGTTGTAAATGAGCTCTTCGCAGACGGAGAGCGGCATCAAGTATCCGACGAGGATGTATTTGCAAGGGCCATGGTGCGCTCTTCTTCACATATAAGTGGTTGAATCCTCACGCGTAGTACATCAGGTCGACCGCGTCTTCGAGAAGATAGCCCTCCCCGGTGATCTTCGTGCAGCACATTCACAGTACAGCTACCACAAAACAGACCCCACGAAATCCAAGGTCGATGCAGCCTTGTATCCGGAGAATGTGGTCCCACAAAATGGCTGTCCCGACTGGACTCATCTCCGGCTCTTCATCGAATTCAAGAGGGGCGGGACCGCCAATGACCCATTCGATGACAAGAGCGATTATCCGGAGGCCTGGGCGCAGTCACGGCAGGCAGTGCGGGGACAGCTAATCGCGTACGCTTCCAACACCTTCAAGTACCAGCATCGCACGGCACTGTACTCGCTCCTAATCAACGGAGATGAGTTCAGGGGCATGTACTGGGATCGATCGGGGCTCATCGTTACCAAAGCGACGAATTATGTGGAGGATCCGCGTTTGCTCCTCCGCTTTCTCTGGGCGTTCGCGAGTCTTTCGAAAGAAGAACAAGGCATCGATCCTAGCGCAACACTGCTTTCGGCATCCTCTGAAGACTACAAGCTCATGGACGCGTGCGCACTCGAAAACACAGCTCTCGATATGCCTTTTCATGAATTCGATGACCTCTCCAAATTCCCCGACTACGATCCCCACGCTTTTCTCGGCCCGGCGGCGGGTACGCGGCGGAAAAAGAAGCAGCCGATGTATCCCGTTTTCAAGTTCGTTCGTGATGGTTTCCGAGAGTCTCTGGCCGAAGGGTGGCCGCGGTACAAGCTCTTAGTGGGCGAACACGATCGCGAATTCCTCGTTGCCCAACCGAGGTTCACGGCCACCTCCATGTTCGGTCGCGGAACCCGGGGCTATATCGCTTGGGATGTCACCGGCAAAAGATTCGTCTGGCTGAAGGACTCTTGGCGACCATTTTACGAGGGCGTAGATCCCGAAGGTACATACCTCGAGACAATGGCGTCGAAGCCCAACCCGCAGTTGGTTATCCCTACTGTGGTCGCACACGGCGACGTGCTCAAACAAACAACCTTTGCTGCGGAGTATACCACGTCTGTACAGGCCCAGCCCGGTGAACCTTCTGCAGCGGATGTGCCATCCGGCGACTCTGCGCGTGCCAATGGGAAGAAACGCCCTAGGGAAAACGAGGAGAAGTTGGAGGAGTCGGAGGAATCTCGACTGTTCATCCACTATCGCATCGTCATGGAAGAAGTATGTCTCAAAATGGACGACTTCATGTCCGGCATGCAGCTGGTCCGGTTGATCTTCGACTGCATCCTCAGTGAGTAGCATCTTATTTCATCACCCGCAAATAACACACTAACGCAAGGCGAATCATTTTATAGCGCACTCCATTGCATACGAAGAGTTCGGTCTCCTCCACCGTGACATCAGTACCGGGAACCTCCTCGTCTCACCCGGAATCAAGAAGACCCCAGACGGGGGCAAAGAGGTAACTTGGCAGGGCCTCCTGACTGATTGGGAACTCGCCAAGTACGTGCCAAAGGATAGTTCAGCCCAGCGTGCTAGGCAACCGGAACGGACGGTCAGTTCAATATTCACGTTGTTGTTGATAGATGACTGACGCTCATACTTAGGGGACATGGCAGTTCATGTCCGTGTCGTACGTGAGGCATCCTGACCGTCCAGTTGGGGTTGCAGATGAGATGGAGTCGTTCTTCCACGTGCTCCTTCACCACTCTGTTCGCTATCTTCGTCACTCCCTCGGCGGCCTCGTCAGCGACTTCATCATGAGCTACTACGACACCTTTCAGCATCGGGGGGACCGGCCCAACTGGACGCGATGCAGCGCCACGAAGGTCCAGGCGGTCACGGACGGTAAAATCTGCATCGACGAGACACATCTCCGATTTCACAACAAGAGAGGCAAGCCACAGCATCCTCTCAACGACCTCCTCGCGCTCTGGCTTCCTTTGTTCAAGGCCCGTTATAAACTACTTGATCTGGAGGACAGCAAGCCTTCGCAACCCGCAGTCCAAGAGCCCCAAGAAGCAGACGATGAAGAATATGCCGTAGAGGACGTCGCAGCAAGGTATCGGAACCTGAAAAAGATCGCCATCACCGCACCCGCAAATATCACCAAGGATTCCTCGTCCGATCCCGAGACGCTGAAACAGGTGGCCGCGCAGCTAAACACACACGAGCAGACCAAGGCGATGTTTTTCTATCATCTCTCGGAAAAGCGATGGCCGGCAACTGACAAAGTGGGTGACCAGCTTGGAAAGGACTACAACCCCAAGAAGCACTTTGCCACCATGAAGTCGATGGTGGCGTCTGGCCTCGCTAGTGGGCGAATCTCAACAGCTTCGTCGAAGAAGCCTAAGCTCGATCCCAGCGTAGCTCAGGCCGCAGCCTCGGGCTCGGGAACTGCGCCGGACGCCACTCCTTCTCCAGACGTCCGCCCGCCGAAGTCGTCGAAGAAGAGTCTTAAAGTGATCCGTCGGGGTGTCCATCGAGCTCGGAAGTAGATTCGGAAGAGGGGCTTGCAGGTTGTCGTCTTCCTACTGTCGGTGCCGTGTCTCTTCGGCCGCGCTGCAATGACTGCGGTGCCCTTTTCTATACTCCCAACAATCTCGCCCACCCCCAGTATCTTTCACTCTTCCAACCTAGCTGCATTCCACGACTCGATGTTTTCCACGTATCTATTTTCCGAAGTTCGAACCGCCCCCTGTTTTCTCCTGCACCAACCCGTTCGATACCCTACCCCCTTGCTTACTAGTACATTCCTGTACGGTCATCTACGACTCGCTCTTGCTCTCCTCCATAATGTCATCCCGCGTCCCTCTATTGTGTCACCATTATTCATACTGATGATATCACTACTACCCGTCATACATATGCAAGGACTACCATCCGTGTATCTCCCATCGCCAGCCCAACTGCACACATTCATCAGTCGAATCTGAGGATGAGTCCAAACGGATCCTTCAAACCATGCCGCATAAGCACGCACACATCGCCACCGTACCCTTCCCGAGCCACGCCATAAAGCGCGCGTCGGGCGTGCTGCACGGCCCAAGCTCTAATGACATTACGTCCGTCAGCGTGGACACCGTCGGCGTGAACAGCACCAGATGAACCCCTCCTACGAGGCTCCGCGACGACAACGGTTGCTGTTGCTGCTGCGCCTCGTGCGTCGCGAACGCGAGAGAACAACTGTGGCGTGAGCGTGGAAGGCGTCGCCTAGCAGCGCCGCGAACCGCAAAAAAAAATGACTGGTGTGAGCGGCATGGAACGCGTCGAGCAGCGCGAGCGTGATGGGCACTTGCCGTTCGTCCGCGCCACCGTCGCCGAGTCTTGGTGCGTATTTGGCTCCGGGAAGTTGCTACGCCGACCGGGGATGAATATCGCGCTTGACGTGGCGTGTGCATTTTCCGTAGGTCGCGGTGCATGCTCCGGTTCTAGAGCATCACCATATAGTGCCCGACCACGTCCATGCACACATTGCGCTTGCCCTGGGGAGCGCGTGAGCTTTCCGGGGCCTGAGGGCAGCGCTTCTTCCAGAGCGGCAGCTATCGATTCCCTGACCGGCGCCACGGATGTATAGAGTACAGCATGTGGGCAGCCCAAGGTCGTCCTCGCCTTCGAGGTGGATGCTGCCCCAGTTCTCTGCGCGGCGCAGAGCGCACGGACTCTAAAGCGACGCGGAGGCGTTGAGCCACGCGCGCATCTAGAGCCCCGGCGCACATTACGTCAGTCCATCTTGAGCTAGTGCCGGCGTATCTTTGGCCATTGCAATGGTAGGGGTCGCAGTATACAGCCGGACTGCCTTCAGATCCGAGTTTAAGGATCCAGTTAGACTAGCTCCGCTGCGTGATGGTCAGCAAGAGCCAAATGGTATGTGGAGAAGCGACTTACGAGCCGGACTCCACTCCACGGGAACGCACATTGGATAACCGGCGGGAAGGTCCCTGGCCACTCGGTGGTTCTACCAGGGGTTTTCGAGCCTGAGATAGATGAGTCCGCGTGGCGCACGATATCAAGAAATGCCCAGACTTGCTCTCGGACTCCACGCAGTTTGTCAGAGTCGTTGAGTATGACCATTCCTCGCACGGAGTCGCACCTCGATACCAGCAGAGCTGCGACCCTCGATTCGAGAAGAGGCGTGGCCTACATACGCGTCCTGGTAGGAGGCTGAGTATCCTATGAAGGTCACGCAGCTCAGCGCCTTTCAGCGCCAGAAACTGGTTGTTCATCCTGTCGTGCTGGACCTTTGGAGGTGTTGGTTGATGCCAATCCAGGCGGAAGTAAGTACTTGGGACGACCATCGGGCGCTTGATGTGGCTATAATCTTGCATCCCAATATAGTAACTCGAACCTGCTCGCCGTAGCTTGGCACAAGCGCCCGCTCCTTGACTTTCACCTCGACTCCCACCACTCCTTGAAGGTTTGTCCAGCCGAATCCACCGATCCATATAGTAAAACACAGCTCCTGGAAATTATGGATTCAAGTATTATCATTGCTCTAGACGAATTCAAGAAGTGCATTTTATGGCCCAAGGCCAACGGCGACATCCCTAAGCCACCGCGGAGGGCGACAGCCACTATGAAAGCCACCGTGAACAAGCTCTTCTACACCGCAGGCGGAAATAGACGTCGCCACGTCAGCGAGGATAAAATTGCCAAGGCAATCGTATGTTTGCTGCCTACTTCATCGACCCAAATTTCATGCGTACCTTTTCAGGTCGAGGACGTCATCAATAAGATCGCCCTCCCCGGGAAGCTTCGTGCAGCGATTTCGCAGAACAACCACTCCACGACAGACCGCACAAATTCTAGCGTCGAGGCTGCCTTGTATCCGCGCGTGGTGCTCCCACAAAATAACTGCCCGGACTGGACCCACCTTCGTCTCTTCATCGAGTTCAAGAAGGGCGGTATCGCGAATGACCCATTTGATGACAAGAGTGACCACCCGGAGACGTGGGCACAGTCGCGACAGGACGTACGTGAACAGCTTCTCGCTTACGCCTCCAACACGTTCCAGTATCAACACCGCACGGCACTGTACTCTCTCTTGATCAACGGAGACAAGTTTAGAGGCATGTATTGGGATCGCGCAGGGCTCATAGTGACCAACGCGATCAACTATCTGGAGAATCCGGGCTCGCTCCTTCAGTTTCTCTGGGCGTTCGCGAGTCTGTCGGACGAACGGCAAGGCCTAGATCCCACCGCAACACTCCTCGTCGAAGGCTCTGACGAGTATGAGCTGATGGATGCATGGGCTGTCGATAATCCGGCGCTTGACATGCCCTTCCAGGAGCTCGCCGACGTCTCCGAGTTTCCCGACTCCGACACCCTTCCTCCCCCCGGTGCAGCAGGGAATACTCACCAGAACACATCTCAGCCATCACAGCCTCTCTTCAAGTACGTCCGGGAAAACTTACGGAAGTCTTTGGTCAAAGACTGGCCGCGTTACAGGCTCCTAGTGGGTGAAGACGAACATGAGTTTCTCGTCGCTTACCCGGCCTTCGAAGCCACCTCAATGTTCGGTCGGGGAACGCGTGGCTATATCGCCTGCGATGTCAAGAACAACAAGTTTGTCTGGCTCAAGGATTCCTGGAGGCCGTTCTACGAGGGCGTGGAGCAAGAAGGCGTCTACCTGGAGACGATGGCATCGAAACTCGACATCAAGTTGAACCTCCCCACTGTCGTCGCGCATGGTGACGTACTCCAACAAACTACATACATCGCAGGGTACACGACCGACGGGCGAACTCGATCTGTGTCACCTCCTGCTGAGAGCGCATCCGACGAGTCTACGCGCGGCAAGAAACGTCCCAGGGAAGAGGTGGAAGCCGAACCCGAGTCCGTTCGGGAGAGCCGATTGCTCATCCACTACCGCCTCGCCGTAGAAGAAGTCTGCATGAAGATGGGCGACTTTACAAATGGCAAGCAGCTTGTCAAGCTCGTTTCAGATTGCATCATCAGTATGTAGCACTTCATTTGTTGCACAGGGATGGGCACGGTTTATTGACGTTGATCCCCCGATCCCTTAGCGCACCGCGACGCGTACGAACATTTCGGTATCCTTCATCGCGACGTCAGCACCGGTAATATGCTTGTATTGCCCCGTATCCGAAAGTGTAAAAGTGGGAAGACACGTGTTTTCTGGGAAGGATTCCTGACCGACTGGGAGCTCGCAAAACACATCTCCAAAGACACTGCGCTGCAACCTGCCGAGCCGCCCGAGCCTACAGTGCGTTGCCCATACCTTCCCACTGCGTACTTTCACTCATGCTTCATGAATCGTCAGGGAACTTGGCAGTTCATGTCAGTGGAGCATGTTAGGCATCCTGAACGTCCGGTCGGCGTTGCGGACGACCTCGAGTCGTTCTTCCACGTCCTCCTCTACCACTCTCTCCGATGTCTTCGCCACACCCTCGATGGTTTAGTGCAATCCTTCGTCTCCGACTACTTCGACACCGTCTGGTATGGGGACGATCCGTCTGGCAAACAGATGTGCAGCAACGCCAAAGTGCTCGCGGCCACCCAGGGCATAATTCCTGGGGAGACGACGTACTACCTCAAGTTCCTGAACGATAGGGGCGTCTCACAGCACCCTCTCAACAACCTTTTTCGGACGTGGCTGGAGCTATACATCGCCCGCTATCACATACTCAAGAAGCAAGACAATGATCTCCGTTTCGGACTGAACCCCGTACGTGGTACCTCCCCTGCACAGAGGAGCGTAGATGTTTCGGCCAGCAAAGTCCCGGATGATGAGTCTCGCAATATTGTCGAAGCCGAGTCGAAGCACCTGCAAGAACTTTACGCAGACGATTCCGACTTTCAAGACAGCTCCGATGAAGACAGCTCCGATGAAGACAGCGATAGCGAAGACGAGGCACACGTGGTCCTCAGGAAGAAAAGAGCGGCGCAGCTCGAAACCCATTCCAAGACGATTCGGATCTTCAGGAGATACCTTCGGAAATTCCCTTGGCCTACTACGGACGTGGTGGGTGATCAACTCGTCGCGACCTGCAACCCCACGAAGCAGATTGCGGCCTTGAAACCAGCGAGAACGTCGAATGCCGCTTGCGGGGAGACCCCGACGCCGTCGAAGAGGGCCAGAATCGACCATAGCGCCGATGTTGCCTCAGGCTCGAGACCCACCTCAGCAGCCCCACCTCACGCCGCTCGCCCGAGTAACACCGCTAAGTCCAGAGGTCGTCGCTTTACTCAACAGCGCCTCACTAGAGCACGGCGGTAGAAATCAACAGACAGCCATGTCGTTGTCTTTCCCTCGTTGGCGTCTTGTCTTCTGCAGGGCTCCGTCCACGGTCGTTGCGACGCATCCACGTTCGAATCGTTCCTCGTATCTACATAACAAATACACGCTCCTGGTAGTTATACCCCGCGCCGCATATGCCTAAAGACGAGTTTGCTCGAAACCTGTACACATATACTATCACAGTAGTTTTTGTAATCCACCCGATTCGGCACGGAAACTATTCAGTGCGACATCCGGGTGATGCCCCACAAGTCGCCCGAGCAGGGAGGGACGTAGCACGGCCCATGACCACGATCGCCCCCGTCTGCCTCGCTCGAAGCATACCCTCTGCCAGCACCTGAATTAACCCCGTCAGCAGCACTGCGCCCCAGAGCGGATCCGCACACCGCGGGTCGGACGGGAGCCTCGTCGCAACCCCGCCGCACCCAGTCCCACTGGAAGTACAGGGCTCCACGATGCGGTGCATGCTTCCCGAGCCCGAACACCCCTGCGCTGCTGCAGGCTGTCCGATGCTGTCGCCCCGCACGCGCTGACAGGGAGGCACACCCTGGTAGGTTCATGCGCCCCCGCACACAGCCGCCGCGCGCAGGCGCTCCCTTATGTGCGCACTGGCAGCGCGCCTGACACTATCACGCTCCCCGACGCCCGCTGATCGCGTATTACCCTTGTCCCTGCGCCACAAAGGCAGGTCCCATGCACCCGTCATACGCCCGCCCAGGATTCTGAAGGCCGAAGACAGAAGCATGGTGGCTGCGACTGCAGCGGGCGGCCTAGAGCGCGATGTCTCGCCCGGCCTGCTGTACCGACGACGTCGCCTGCCAGTACGCGTCACGGGTGTACTCCACACCGGCGATCCCCCGCCCTCCCCCGAGCGGGCGATTGGCCACGGCGGCGCGCGCCCGTCGTTTCCGACATCGTGGGGACGCGGCGGCGCGTGCGGGCCCCTCGGACTCGGGAGCACTTGTGCGGCGGAACGGGTCCCCCGGGCGCGTGTACGGGTGCCTGTGCGGGACGCTATTCGCGAGCCGCAGTGACTTCGTGGCGTCTGCGATGTGGGCGACGGGGCTGCGGGCAAAATCGCGGCGCCGCTGCCGCACGGGCACACACGCTTGGGGACCCAGAATACGCGCATAGCGTCATGCGAAGGCGCAAAGTGAGAAAATCAGGCATGCGCGGTAGTCTACGTGCGATAGAATAGCACAGAATACGAATACAATGCGCTACAATACAGTGCGTCGACGCCGGGCAGGGGCACCGCGCGGGTACGGACCCTTCCTGCACGCTTCTCCTCGCGGCTCAACGTCCGCGCGCACGGAACAGGGGTCCCTGGGCAAACCGGACCCAGTCGTAAGGAATGACGGCATGCGTTGCGCCGCGAAGCATACCGGCCACGGTGAGGGGAGGGAACGGGGTCTATGTCTATCCCCGCCCTACCCTCATCGCCGTCGCTCTTCTGCACACAGATGCGCGGACAGGCCTGTTTGCGAAGCGCTCCCACTGTGGGGGTCTCATGCAATTGAAAAACTGGATGGCGCTCGACGCTCGCGGAATAACAAATTCATCGCGGTCTAGAGTGCGCAGTTCGCTGCGGGAGGTCGTCCGGGAGGAGAAAAAAGATGCTCCCAGCGCATCGCGGGGGCGGGAGGCGTACCCACGGCGATAGCGTCGACGTCCTGTCGTCGCTGTGGCCGTAGGGCTAGTCCCCCGGCTGGAAGACATGAGGGACTAATATTGCACGTAGCATGACGTCGCGCCGACGTGGTTCATAGTTCCCGAAGCGTGTTGTACAGCCTGACGCACCGTAGCAGCGTTGATCAGAACGCAGAGCAGGTCGGTGAAGCACCAGGGTCGTGCTTCTGCTACCAGGCGCTTTCGCAATCACAGGCGGGGTACGAGGGAGTGACTGCGTGCCCCGCGGGATGGACCCGCGTCGGACAGAAGCCCCGACAAGGGCTCGGCCTGTCGGGCGACGTCAGTACAGCCCGAGAAAATCGCAAAAGGCGACTGTTGACAGAAAAGAGGAGGGAGAGTACAAATGCGAACCTCGTTGCGTCACGCCGAAGAGGCGCTCGAGCGGCTGCGTGCTCGTTTGTAGATGTGAGACGAAGGTCTTCGTCTGACGATTCGCAGTTGCGTCAAAAGTCCAAGCTGCCGGTGTGCGAGCACGGTCCAGAGCCCTCGGTTGTAAGGACGAGGCGACATCGTGCGCTTGAGCCAACCACGTAGACGGCGGGATGTATAGTGCCAGGTGCTCGGTGTGTGGCCGGGAGGGGGGATCACGAACTCTAAGAGGGAAGGTCCAGGCGGTGGGGCGAAATGCGCTAATTGCAGTGCTGCGGCAAATCCATTGGCGGCGGCGGCACGGGGGAGCAAGCACGGCATTGACGCATCGCTCAAACAAGCGTAGGTCCTGTCCGGAAATTGGGGTGTGTGCAGATGCGAACTGGCCCTGAAGGCTCAGTCCGAGTACTGGCGTCATCGACAAAGTTGGGGGCAGCATGTCCATACTGTCAAAGGTGAGAGAGGCGGAAGGGCGCACCTCCCAACTCTATCGAGTACTGCGTCCGAGGCGCAAGCGCTCTTGGCAGTTCGAGTGCCTGGAGGAAGCAATGAGCCGCGAAGGACGCCCAGTGCGTCGGTTGCACGGATTTACCTTGCCAACGCAAGCGCGTGACGTCCGAGGAGATGGGAGTTGAGAACATGGAAGCGCGATATCCACAGTTGGTTCGCAGTTTCTTCGGGCAACACCCACTGCACATGGAGTCTTCGTGCATCCCGCGGCGCATCCGTAAGCCCCGTGTGCTCACCCTCACGACGCTGAGTACGCGCACGGAAGACATTGCCACGAACTATACGCCGCCGGCGGTTGCATACGAACGATCAGCCCGGATTTCTACATAAAGGCACATAAGCTAGCGTCATTTAAAAATACAGGTTAGGAAGTAAATGCCCCCACCATTCCGAGGCTGTGCGAAGCGGTCGCAGGGGTTCTCGTGTGCCTATTTCCGACCCCACTGTCATCGTAGCTCGACCCAAACCTACGTTCCATGACGAGTAGCCCAAGGGGGCTGGTCTTGCAACTTCTGCTGGGTTCCTGTATGAAAAATGAAACTCTAGTGGCTGTCAGCACTGGTATCTCCTCTCAAAAGATGGGAGAGAGAGAGACGCGTTGGCGACGAAAGATCGATGGGCGCGTATCCTCGAGGGGTGATTATCCCCCACGTGGCAGGCAGAGTCCGCCCAGCGGAGCGGTGCCGCGGCGTCACCGCCGCGGCTTGCCTGTCGACCACCGCATTCGCTCGATGATGCCAGTTGGGAAAGACAAAACCCTTGTGGGAACGACGAATGTGCATCCGCACCATTGGTATTAGGTTGCGGCGATTGTGACGCGAACAGGGCGGCCTTGCCGCCGTGTCATTAAACTGTACGGTGAGTCAGATGCGCTCCCCGCGGACCGCGCTCTTCACCAGTCGCTCATCCATTCGCCCGGCGCAGGAATTGCACATCATGGCCGAATTGCTGTGAGATAACCAAACCACAGACGTCCGTGATAAGCAGAACTGCCGGCAAGCATCGAACGCGAAGGGAAGACCACATATCCGACGACAGCCGGGCACGCCCGTTCTTGGATCGTGACAAGTGGCAGCGCGGCCGCGAGGGCCTATGCCTTCTTTCGAGCAGGGCGCAAGACGCCGCGCGCTACGATGGTTCGGATCTGGATGGCGCTGGAATCCTGCGCTGAAAACCGTTCTTTCTTCACACGGGCCCCCCGGCGGTACATCGGGTGGGTGGGTGGTAAGCACCAAAGTTCGACATCAGCATCCAGCTCTCATATCATTACCGAACAGGTTCGTTCCGACCTTCCCAGATTCCTGAGATCGAGGGCGGCGATGCCTTCTTCGGATGACACTCCCTCCTTGTGCTCGATGCAACCTACTGGACGCGCGCGCGGAAGGCTGTCAGCGTGTCATCCGCGCGGCGCGCCGCCGAGCCAGATGCGATAACCCTGCCATCCTGCCGAACCTCCGTCTGTGTGCCTTTTTCTCGGCGAGTTACCGCCTCGCTTGCGCCGATGTTGGCTGCTCCGCAGTGCCAACCCGCCGGAAGGGCGTCCCAGGTAGTATAACTAGGTCGATCGCATATTTCGAAAAACAGGCCTGCTCATCCCAAGGCTCCTCATCGTCGCCCCTACCTCCCTCAAAGCCCCGTGCCCGCCGTACTCGCCTACGATGGACTACGACGCTTACGACGCTTTGTTGCACCACATCTTCCGCCAGGTATACCTTTGCCTTCACGGTCACCCCAAAACCTCGCTAACCTTTCGTAGACCCAAGGCGATGCATGGTTCAAGCCCTCGGAGGAGAACGTCCATGCAGGCGTATGCCTCCGCGTAGACTCGGGAAACTTCCGCCTCTTCCCCTACGACAACCTCTACCTCGAGCCGTTCGAGGCGTCGGTGAGGATGCTCAACCCGGTGGTTGCTGTCAAAATTCGCAGCGCGGCAATCCACGCCGCACTTGCCACCGTGTACGTGACATTTTCCAGTTGTTGAGGCGCACCATCTGATATCTGCTCTACAGTAAGCCTGATGCGGATGCCATCTACATCGACGACAACACCCGCATCCAGGTGCTCGATACGATGGCCCTGCTCGGCACCGCCGACAAGGAACAATGTGGCGCCTTCCTCGTAAGCGCATTGTCTAGTTGCCGATTCACACCAACTGACGCCCTTTCGCATGCTCAGCGCGACGAGCGCGTGCTGGTAGTGTGGTCCTACCACCTCGACACCATCATCCCGACGTGCCGGGACTTCGAGGAAAAGCTCATCAAGCTCGTGTGGGACCACCGCTTCGGAAGCACGTTCAACAGCTCGATCGCCCTGCCGTCGTCGAACTCCTCCTCAGTCGCCCATCTCAACGAGAAGCCGGTTGAGCAGGCTGAAACGAAGGAGGTCGTAGCGCCAGCGGAGGACAAGCGGGTCAAGAACTCCAAGAAGAAGCGCCGGTGTGGTCTGGGCTACTGGGTCACCGACAAGGACGACATCGAGAAAACGGCGGAGGGTCCCTCCCCGAGGCCAATCCGCCTGTTCGCGCCCGTGTACAATGGTCTCGGTGTGGCGTTGTCCATCTGTGAGTTCGCCTTACCGTTCCCGCGCCGAGGCCGCTCGTTTATTAATACCCCTCATTAGTCTTCATTGGAAGCGGCGTCGCTATTCTTGTGCAGGAGTCCCTTCTGGACGGCGACTACACGCGCTTTGCACTGCTGGTCACCACCCCGTTCCTGTTCTGCGTGTCACTCGTGAGTGTTTCAGCGTATCTATCCCGCCTCCCGCATCACTCATCTTTTTTCTTAGTTCTTTGCGCTCCAGATCATCGCAAACCTGTCGTTCATGTATGTCCAACCATCTTTCTTCGTCGTTTGTTGCCCTGATGAACGGGTCTCTCAGGTTTGGGCCAGTTGCTCAGTACCATGAGAACTCCAAGTACTACTCGGCGGTGCGCCCCGCTCCGAACAAGATCGTCGACACCAACTTGCCGCATATCACCATCGAGATGCCTGTTTACAAGGAAAGCCTGAACGAGACCATGTGAGTACACATTTGCACGCGTCCCTCGAGCTTAGTGTGCCACCGGCCCCACCGGTGATCATACGTATGTTAAGCTCCAAAGCTTGGGCCAACCATTCACCGGTCGATCGAGAGCGCCTCGGTCGTTCTGTGTCTCGCTAGTGCCCATGATCTGCACACCTGACTCGGCCCTTATGTTACTTCGTCCGCAATCTCCGTGTCGTGAATAAGCGCTGATACACCGCACCCCACAGCGCGCCTTCGGTGTACTCTCTCAAGAAGGCTATCCAGACCTACGCGCGCCAGGGTGGGACATCCTCAATCGTCGTTCACGAGGACGGGCTGCAACTGCTCTCCGAGGAGGAGCGCGCTGTTCGCATCGCGTTCTACGCGGACCACAACATCGGCTGGGTCGCGCGTCCGCCGCACAGCGGCGCACCCGACGGGTACAAGCGCGCGGGTCGCTTTAAGAAGGCATCGAACATGAACTACGGCCTCGCGCTTTCGCTGAAACTCGAGAAGCACCTGCTCGCACTCGAGGCGGCCGGCGAGCGCGACACGGCGGAAGAATGCCTCGAGGACCGTGCGCTGCGACTCGCAATCGAGGAGGCCTACGAGGAGAGCGGTGGACGGTGGCGGCCATGGGCGGCGAACGGCAAGTCGCTGCGCATCGGCGAGGTGATCCTCATCGTCGATTCGGACACCATCGTTCCGGAGGACTGCCTGCGCGATGCTGCGCGCGAGCTCGCGGAGAGCCCCGAGGTCGCGATCATCCAGCACGAATCGGACGTGATGCAGGTCGCACACCACTACTTCGAGAACGGGATCGCGCACTTCACGCGGCGCATCAACAAGTGCATATCGATGGGCTGTGCCAATGGTGAGATCGCGCCGTTCGTCGGGCACAACGCGTTCCTGCGCTGGTCGGCACTGCAAGACGCTGCGTTCATTGACCCTGCGGACGGCAAGTCGAAGATCTGGTCGGAGTCTAACGTGTCCGAGGACTTCGATATGGCGCTCCGTTTGCAGCTTAAGGGGTACATTATCCGTTGGGCCACGTACTCTCTCGGCGGTTTCAAGGAGGGTGTCTCCCTGACGTGCGACGATGAATTGAACAGGTGGCAAAAATACGCATATGGTGAGTCTCGAAAGGCTCAATCGTAGGCGCGGATATTGCACTGACATGACATCCTGCCGCAGGCTGTAACGAACTGATATTCAACCCGCTCATCCACTGGTGGCGGATGGGACCTATCAACAAGCAGCTCCGGACGTTCATCTGGTCCGGAGCACCTGTTCACTACAAGATCAGCATGATGTCCTGTACGTGCTTCCCTAGTGACTGAGTGTCGGCGGCGCGCTAAACACTTCTGCGCTGTAGACATGTTTTCGTACTGTAAGCTTGCTTCTATGCATTTCCCCTGTCTCATCTGACAGGATCTATAGATGGTCTCGCCGCGTCCGCACTACTTTCGGTGCTGAACTATTTTCTGCTTGGGTGGAATATCAAGGTATGCGGTACTCGTGAACCGGTACCCATCCTACAACCAATTATTATCTTGCACAGGTGGATGGATTCTACGAGCATAGCTTCGAGATCTGGCTTGCCTGCACAGTCGTCTTCCCCGGCGCCGGCAACATCGGCTTCACGCTGCTTGAGTACCGCCTCGGGCAACGGGACATACTTTCGTCTCTCATCGAGAACCTGACCTGGGTGCCATTCTTGTTGAGTCTTCGCCGCATACTCATGCCGTTGCGATGCTGACAATTATTCCCAGCTTTTTCTTCTTCGGCGGCCTCAGCATCCATCTTTCGCAGGCGCTCCTCGCTCATCTCTTCTCTTACAACATCACCTGGGGAGCGACGAAGAAGGAGGTCGAGCGTTCCAACTTCTGGCTCGAGGTGCCGAAGATCCTCAAGCGCTTCTGGCTTGCCCTTATCGTCAGCCTCGCGTTCGGGGTCATTGAGGTGCTCCTCGCCACGGACGTCGTCCCGATAGGCTGGCGTATTTTCAGCTACGACTGGGCCGTCATCATGCCCCTCGCGTGAGTCGCTTGTACCACCCTTCTCCGGGCGGATTGCCCCCATCGATCGTGCTTGCTGACATCCGGTACCCGTGCTTAGAATCGTCGCCGGCTGCCACATCGCCTATCCGGTGCGTTTCTGTCCCCGTATGTCTGCAGGGAACGCTGGCTGACTGACGTGTGGTCTGATAGATTGTCTTGAATCCTTGGTTGATGATCTTCTCCTACTAGTCTTCCGTGACAGTACCAGGGCAACCCGCCTCCGCCGTATCCCCGGATGGACGCAGAGCGGTACATCGTGCCCGCACAGTTTCACTCGGCGGTCGTGGCGGATGCCCGCGCGCGCAGCACACCGACGCACCCCGTGCGTCCGCCAGCAGAGCCGTCTATATATTCCTGAAATAGCGCTACGTATACTGGGACTTTCTCTCGTTCACGGGTATAGATGTTAGGTCTTCTCGGACATGCACAGTATCTCGCCTCTTCCGCCACGCATCTAATCATGTCATGTATATACACGCGTCTGCGGCGAGGACCGGGGCGCCATCCTCCCCGCCTCGCACCCATCCTTCGATTATGTACCGTATCTGTGCCGCTATGACGTACCGCGCGCCAGATGCCATTGTTGTAGCTCACTAAAGCACTGTGGATTCCTTAGAATGCCATTCGCCCTAATCGCTGTAGCTAAACGGACACAACGTGTCAAAGGTGTGAACCTCGGGATATCTCTGCGGCATACTTTGCGCGGGCGGCTCCACCGAAGAGCAGCGCTACGAAGCCAAGGACGTGCCTCGGCGGCCGTGCCGACGGGCCGGTGCACGTTGAACGCAGGGAATCGGGCAGTGTGAAGTCAGGGCCGCATGGCGAGGCACGACGGAAGAGGAAGCGGCCTCGGATGACGCGCTTGCACTGGCAGCCAGCAGCGCTGAGAATGCTCTATCCGGGGAAGGCGGTATTGTTGCCGCCGCGCCCTTCGTGTTGGGGGCTGTAGGGGGCACCGAAAGGCCTGATTATAGAAATGATGCCCGACGGGATACCAACGACCTGTCGGGATGCGTGCACATGGCATGCTCCGGAGTTCGCTATCTATCTCTTGCCATACAGCCTCAGCCGTACGAACCACCTTTGGCGGTTAGGCGGGCGCATCCACGCTCGGAGACCGCAACTCGCCGCTACCCAGGAAGGTGGATGCGCCCGTATGGACAAGACCGCCAGCAAGGGTCTTCGGTCTCAGTTGTGTGCCTGCGGCGGCGAACGGCCAGCATCAGGCGTGTGCGTGGGCGGTAGCGTAGCGACCTGGTCTTCCTCGTTATCCATTGCCGCGCAGAACTCCTTCCTGCGCAAGGTACGTTTTGTTGCGAAATGGAAGTGGGATTGTACACCTTCCCTGTTCAGCGCACGGGAACGAGGAGGTATATCTGAGCGAGATAGAAGAACCATTATGTACCGCATGCCGTCATCGAAGGGACCGCTAGCCCGCCTGCGTTTATTGCGAGGTTCTCGCCGAAGGGCTCGATGCGAATGCTCTCGTCCGGCGCGTGGGCTGGGCAAACGATGCGGGACGGTCTCGCTTCCGCGCGAGTTAAATCGAGACGCGAGTACTACCGCCGGAATCGCGCACACCCGTGGTTCTCTCGACCCGGGCCGCTGGAAATGAACGGAACAAGTAACGCCGTCCAGCAGAATCAACCGTCGTGGCACCGCCTACAGATACCACAACGCAGAAGCAGCGATATCTGACTCCGCTTTTCCACGCTATGGGTCGTCGTGATCATAGCGGTGGCACTCACCGACGTGCACGGGTTGCATCAGTCGCTTGGCAGATAGCGGTCTGCGCGGTAGGGACGGTGGTAGTCTTGCATCGAGGTAGACCCTCTTCTCCCGTTGCTGTAAGCGATTGAGATGTGAATGTTTTGTGATAGTAGACCTGACCATCGTACCGGCGGCGGCGCGGTCGGTCCCGCTCGGGTCTGCCGATCCCCAAGCTCCACCTCCGCATGGTTCAAGCAGGGCAAGGGTCCTCGGAGGATTTCGACCTGCACATTTACGTTAATCAGGACAGCGGGAGAGCTTTGCGCCTCAATCCGCAGGTCGACGATGGCGTGCACGACCGGTGCCAGGCCCGTCGGCGGCAATTGTGGGCCCGTGAGCCCACCGCGGCGCAAAGATCACGTCGTTCCTGCTGCTGGTGTGCCGTCTAAGCGATTTGGGCTGCGGGTGCGCAAGGACTCTTGGAGTTCAGTCACTCGTCAGCCTGTGCCTCTTGCGATTTGTATTTGGGCGGCACCGAGCCGACGTTCACTTACCTCCGTCCTGTGAAAACGATGTGGTCGGCAGCAGATATTTACGCCTCCTTCTAAAAGCATCTGGTTCCTGTAGAAAACGTTCACATGCCAGTGCCTCCCATCGTGTGGTCGCCGGAGAGCCCGAGCCCGCCTAGTGCATGTATGGAAATCTAGCAAACTTAATGTCAGTACGAGAGACAGATACACAACAATATGAGAGAAGAGGAAAAGACTCAGAGGTGCATGATGATTCCGATGAACCTTAGAACGCCTCGTGCCGTAGGCGCCTCCCCCACGTGGCATACAGTAGGATGTCGCAGGCGACCAAAGACACCCCCCTCGGTTGACACTCGGAACGCGTCCAAGGCGCACGGCGGAGTAGAACACGAAGTAAGCAGGAGTCAAAAGCGGATAATCTATTCAGGAATCCACAGACAGTCGTTATCGCGTACATAACGAGAGAGATCGTACGTGTACACGGAGAGCACGGGCGCATGCCTAGTACCTACGCCGCCGTTTCGCAAAAATAGTACATAAGCGAGTCAAACGCACAACCCGGGGAGAAGGGGAACGACAGAATAAGGGTACGAAAGTCCGGGATAATTAGTCAACTGTCCGCGAATGTAGGCATCTAGCTTATGATACAGCATGCGGGGATGTTACTCAGAGATAGAACGAGGGGATAAAGCTGCGAGGCGCCGCAGCGAGGCGCGTGAGGGAGGGGTAGGATCGAGCCCAACGACTTCGAGAGAAGGGAAGTGAGTGATGGGAAGTAGCGCGGCGGCGGTAACGACGAATGAGAGGATGATACTTTGCTCAGTACGAGAAAATCATGAGCCACGGGTTCAACAGAATCTGGTAAGACAGCATCAGGTTAGGAGGTTGCGACGTCAATGGTGGTAGTACGGGTACGTACGGGGTACAGGATATGACACCCGGCGACGATGCTAGAGATGGAATGAATAAAGCGCCACATTAGCCACCCGCCGCGCATGCCACAACGCTGATGGACAGGGAAAAGACGTACGCCAGTGGCACGATGACCGCCCAATCCCAGCTGAATATGCGCCACCCGATGGGGATGAGGTCCGTGGTGAGGATGATCATGGCGATGGCTGCGGCGAAGGAGATGGCGAGCGAAATGCGGAAGCGCTCGAAGATCTTCGGCACCTCCTGCCAGAAGTTCGAGCGCTCGACCTCCTTCTTGGTCGCGCCCCAAGTGATGTTGTACGAGAAGAGGTGGGCGAGGAGCGCCTGCGATAGCGGGATGCTCAGCCCGCCGAAGAAGAAGAAGCTAGGCAGAGGCGGGCGCGCGTTTCCGTCAGTCCAGGTCGTGATAAGGAGACGCCGCAGGCACTATGGATGAAACTCACAAGAACGGGACCCAAGTAACGTTCTCGATGACGGCGTCAAGGAGCGGTCGACTACCAAGGCGGTACTCGAGCATCGTGAAACCGAGATTACCGGCGCCCGGGAAAACAACGGTACACGCAAGCCAGATTTCGAAACTGTGCTCATAGTAGCCATCGACCTGTGGCGAGTGGATGAGAGGTCAGCGTGGGCAACACGATAGGACAAGGACACTGACGGGCAGATTCCAACCCAGCAAGAGATAGTTCATCAACGAAAGGAAGAACGCTCCGGAAAGCGCGTCTGTAAAGCGTCAGTGGCGAATCACAGGTATCACGTCATCAAGATGACTAACAGTAAGAGAACATGTCTGCGAGTTTTTTTGTTAGTTCTCCATCTTGTGTGTGCAAGCGTATACTGCTCACAGGACATCATGCCAATCTTGTAGTGGATCGGGGCGTTTGACCACATGAACGTGCGGAGCTGCTTGGTGATGGGGCCCTTGTACCACCACTGGACGAGCGGGTTGAAGATGAGCTCGTTGCAGCCTACCAGAGAAGTCAGCCACTGCCCGATAGCTTGCATCACACATGCGTACCATAGGAATACTTTTGCCATCTGTTGAGCTCATCGTCGCACGTCAGAGAGACACCCTCCTTGAAGCCCCGGTTGGAGTACGTCGCCCAGCGGATGATGTAACCCCTCAGCATGAGGCGCAGGGCCATATCGAAGTCCTCGGACACGTTCGACTCCGACCAGATCTTCTTCTTACCATCCGCCTCGTCGATGAACGCGGCGTCTTGCAACGCTGACCAGCGCAGGAACGCGTTGTGGCCCACGAACGGCGCAACCTCGCCATTGGCGCAGCACATCGAAATGCACCTGTTGATACGCCGAGTGAAGTGGGTGATGCCGTTCTCGAAATAGTGGTTCGCGACCTGCATCACGTCCGACTCGTGCTGGATGATCGCGACCTCCGGGCACTCAGCGAGCTCGCGCGCCGCATCGCGCAGACAGTCCTCCGGTACGATAGTGTCCGAGTCAACGATGAGGATAACCTCGCCCATACGAAGCGACTTCCCGTTGCAAGCCCAGGGGCGCCACCGGCGGCCGCTCTCCTCGAAGGCCTCTTCGACTGCCATTTCGAGCGCCCGGTCCTCGAGGGTGTCGTCGGAGTCCGCTGACGGGTCAGCTGCGGCGGCGGTCTCGAGCGCGAGGATGTGCTTCTCCATCTTGAGCGAGAGAGCAAGGCCGTAGTTCATGTTCGACGCCTTCTTGAAGCGACCCGCGCGCTTGTACCCGTCCGCGGCGCTGCTGTGCGGCGGGCGCGCGACCCAGCCGATGTTCTGGTCCGCGTAGAACGCGATGCGTTCCTCGCGCTCCTCCTCCGAGATGAGTTGGAGGCCGTCGTCGTGCACGAAGATGGATGAGGTACCGCCCTGGCGGGCATAGGTCTGCATTGCCTTCTTGAGCGAGTACACCGACGGCGCGCTGGAGAGCCAAACTGGGTAAGCGTGCGCACGACTTGGACAAACATTTCCAAACGTTCGCGGAAGCCAAAGAGCCCCGCGGACGATCGAGCGCGCGGGGTACGCGGACCGAGCCCATACCGTATCAGGAGGGACACGCGGCTAGCGGGACGCCACTGATCGGGACGGACACACAACAATGCCCCGACCATGCTGGAAATGGGAGGACAACTGACGTACATGGTCTCCTTCAGGCTCTCCTTGTACACGGGCATCTCGACCGTGATGTGCGGCAGGTTCTCATCAACGAGCTTGTTCGCTGCGGGGGGCACGGCCGAATAGTACTTTGAGTTCTGATGAAACTGCGCGACAGGCCCCACGCTGTTTACCATTGCAGTAATCGAGAGGCGTTGGTCAATATGTGCCCAGATGTACGCAAGGGGAATGATACTTACCAGTATGTGATGTTGGTCACGATCATCAAGGAGAAAAACTGATGGACAGACCGGCGATCAGCACAAGCAGTACACCGAGTACTTCCACAAGCGTATACGTACGAGCGAGACACAGAACAGGAAGGGGATGGTAACGCAGAGGGCGAAACGGGCCCAGTTTCCGTCGAGAAGCGACTCTTCGAGCAGTACGCTTACACCGTTTCCTACAAAGACTGAATGTAATAGAAGGCCCGATGAGGAACAGTCCTTCTACATTTACGTGTAGTGAAGACTTACAGAGGGACAGCGCCGCGCCCAAACCGCAGTACACGGGAGCGAACATGCGCATGGGCCGCGAGGAGGGGCCTTCCGCCGTCTTTTCCAAGTCGCTCGCGTCGGCCTTCCAGTAGCCCAGACCGCACGAGCGTTTCTTCGGAGGAGTTGGCAGAACCTTTGGCGTGGGAATGACAGCCGCCTTCTCGGTCACGAGAGCGGTATCTGACTTCTCGTTGAGGTTCACATCGGAGGGCGCTGTCGAAGGAGCGATGGAGCTTGCGAGGGAGGCGAACGCCGAGCGGCGCTTCCAGACAAGTTTGATAAGCTTATCCTCGAAGTCGCGGCAAGTTGGGATAATGCTGTCCAAGTTGTAGGACCACACGACGAGGACGCGTTCGTCGCGCTGATTGTGAGGTAAGTACGAGCGTACAAGTGAAGTAATTCAAGTGTACTTACGATGAAGGCACCACATTGCTCCTTGTCAGCCCGAGACAGATGTATCATGGTGTCAACGATCTGAATACGGGTGTCATTGTCGACGTAGATGCAGTCGGCATCTTCCTTACTGTGGTGGGAAAAAGTTATCAGTATTGAATAGCTCTGCATATCGGAAGACTAACACCGTAGAGAGCGCAGCGTGGATAGCTGCGCTGCGGATCTTCACAGCGACGACAGGATTGAGTGCTCGGACAGCCGCCTCGAAAGCCTCGAGGTACTCGTTCTCGTAGGGGAACACCCGGAAGCTGCCATTGTCAACGCGGAGGCAGACGCCAGCATGAACGTTCTCTTCGGAAGGCTTAAACCATGCGTCCCCTTGCGTCTACGGAGAAACAGAAGTGAGCGAAGACAAGTAAGCGCAGTCGATGACCACATACCTGCTTGAAGATGTGGTGCAGCAAGGCATCATACGCGTCGTAGTCCATGATGATGACGACGACGGCAAAGGAACGACAGTGGGGAAGGATCGATTAGGGGGGCGGGTACACTTCCGTACGAGCGGACTCGAGCAGAGCGGCGGGCCACAGAGTTCGGGCCGCGAGCAGTAGACCTTATAACGGACGAAGGTATGCTCTCGCCTGCCCAGAGGGGATAACGAATGTCTCCGCTGGAGGCTCGGCGGATCCGAGATCGAATAGACCGCGATCCCAATTCAACTTCGTTCGGCCCCTGCAGCTGGCACACCGCGCGCACCATCAGCCCTCAGGGCGTTGGAATGTTCGACGTGAATTCGCGATTGCGCGCACACCGGTCCACTGCACGGCAGCTGCCCGGAGCTGTCATGCTGTACATCGACAGGGTGTGTCTCAGCGCACGCCCGCGCGCCATCACACTACACTAGCGAGTTGTGGGCGTGAGCGTCCGCGTCCAAGGAGGTAACGAAATACTGGGATCGATCATCGGTGCAAGTACAGGGTTGCAGCGTGCACGTTGCACGTTGCAATGGGCGAGACGCTATAATCCACCGCTGACCCCGCGCAAGCGGCGACCGGGATGAAGGCACGGTACATGGTGCGGGTGGGATTTCGGGTCGGGGTGCCCTGGGCGGCTGAGTGAGGTTTGAGATCCGGGAAGCCGATGTAGTGTCAGGGCTGGTATCAGAGGGGTTTGGGCTGCTATGAGGCCGCTGTCAGAAGCCGCCCCCGGCCTGTTTGCGTCAATTCAAAACATATCGGGAATGGTGGAGGAGGCGGGCCCAGCGTCTGGCGCGCAGTAAACGCCATCTCTCGCGATCACACGTGAGAGGCGTGCACCGAGGCGCACACACAGCGGCCGTGCCGCAAACGCACCTTTCGAGCAGAGCGATGCGTACCACGGCGTTTGCGCGTACTTAGCTACCGTCCGGGGACGCCGGAGAGCACATGCAGCGGGCCTAGAACCAGCGCCAAACCGTCCTCGGACTTGAAGAAGACCAAGTACGCAGGCCGACCAACTGCAGGTGGCTGGTGCTAGAAGGTGGCCGTCTGTGGCGTCAACAGGAGGATGTTTGACTACTAAGGGACCCCCATGACTGATGGCCAACGTAGAGTTCAATGTCGACATCGAAAGCGTATCATGCTGTCGTACTAGGCTTACGGGCTGGCACCCCCCGCACGATGAGCTCACGGTCGTGGGTGAGAAGGGGTGAGTCGACGGTTTCCGTCAGATAAGGGCAGACGCCAACCCCAGTTCTTGCCTTCCTGGAGCTCCAGAACCCGGAGATAAAACAAGGCAGGCCGGGACTGAACAAGATCGCGGATAGTCATTGCGGCCTAGTTTTGCAATCCGGTGGACGATTCTGTCGGCATGGACGGACGTGAGAGTCGGGAGCAAGAGCAAGAACGCACCCGACAACTGCACGAAATGTGTCGGCATTGTAACTATCAGACTCAGCTGTCGTTAATTGATCTCCGATAGTGCCCTCATCAAATCTCCGCTTCGAAGGATGCCATTGCCGCCCTCAAGCCGAACCGCACTGTACCCACTGGTCTGCCATCTTCTCCTCGACTACAGCTACCGGTGGACGTTGCCTGGCCGGACCACTTGACATCTCTCACCTCCTTCGCTGAGCAGCAGTGGTCGACAGCCAAGACATAGCTCAGGCCTGGAACGAACGTTTTGTTGAGATCTGCATGATCACTCGTCGGAGGTTCTGCCTTGGCCCGCAAATGCCGCACCATGACAAGGGCAGTGCGCACAAGGTGTTTTCGGACCCTCTATATGCGTCACGGATTATCCACACGAAACTGATTCAATGGGCAGGGCAGGTCGGCGGCGAGTGGTGACGGTGGCAGCCCTGCTGCTTGCGCCCTCTTTGCCGATGTTCACGCTCCAGGGACGGTTTTGCGCGCATCGTGCGGATCCGTCTCTTCGCAGACCGCAAACCACCTACGCTTCGAGCACTACGCGTCCCGGGTATGGGTGACGTCCGTCGCCCCTGCCATCCTCGGATGCTGAACCACCTCGCATCCGGTTGACCTTTCCTCGCCCGCCTTGCGCCCCTGCTCGGCCCGTGTCTCGTAATCACAGAGGGTTACGCGACTTCCGGTCCCGAAATCATTCAGGCCCCGTACCTCCCAGCGCTCTGTGGTCATGTATCAAGCAGCCACGGTAAACTCAATCGGCGTTACGAACATACATCGTGCAGCCGGGCGTGGTGAATGATTAAGCCAGGGCAAGGGACCTCCATAGGCCGGGCGAAGTTGAGTGGCAGAGATGCCGTCTTCGAGTACAGGGGCCGTCTGCCTCATGAGGCAACCCTTATCGTTCTCATACCCGCCGTCGGAGGCGCGGTTGCGCGGGGGGCGCGCAGGCACGGTCTGCCAAAGCCGAGCGTACCGCCTGTACGCTCTCCTTTGGAATGACCGGCCAGCCTTCATCGATGGCCTCACGCTTCCCTGCCATTTCAACTGTGATTGCACATGTCTACCCACTCGAAGAGTCGTGCGTGCACATTACACTCATCGAGCTAGGGCACCATAGCCATTCATGGCTGGCTTCCCCGTCGCGTATTGAGCACACCATAGTGGAATTCCAAGCAGCCTCTGCTCGCCCTGGAGAGCACAGCCGCTGCCCCTGATTTTATTAAATTTCATTTACTGCGTACGTACGTACGACCGTGTCTGCTTCCGAACAAGGTGGGCTCTGTTCACCCCATGAACGATTGATGGAGATGATTCACGATTTGCGTCCCTCTTAGAGATCGATGACAAACGATGCTGGCATAGCGGACGGAAGGCTTCTTCGGCGCAGCGCACGGCGGAGCGGTACGCCATGCCAGCAAGTAGCAGTCCAATTGGTGCTACTTTTCCCATGTACGACGACACGTGATGACGCCGCTTGCTGGCATCTGTTCGCCGGCGAGCACGGCGCCGTTTCGGGATGGCGGGTGATGGGATGGCGCAGTACGATGTACGTCCAGGTGTACAACTATCCTCGGTGAGTGATCCAGTCAACAGTTAGCGCGGCATGTTCCCACTCCCATTCGGAAAAAGAAGGTCAATGTGTCGGGCAAGGTACCTCCCGCCGCGCGCTGCCACCTTTCCATTCTCGACGCTTTGTGCAGCCGCCCAGATGCATCGCCCTCGGTGAAGGTCCTATTGGCTGTTGGCGGGTTCTGCTCGCCGGGGACCATGCGGTCTGCAGGTAAGCCCTTATCGAACATTGCGCGGCTCCTTTGTTGACGTTATCACGGCTGTTCGTAGCTCAAGCTCATTGGACGCTGTATTCTACTTCGATATCGATGCTTGCACTGCTACTATCTGCCAGAAGGAAGACTGGGGATGTCCGACATGACCGTGGTCCGGATCCATTGCGCTGTTCACGCCGCCGCCTCGACTGCGCCCCTCTTCTCCCGCCTACAGAGGGTTCCGTCGTCCAGATGCGAACTGAGTACGCCAGCCGGGAGTGTCCAGCCCAACCGCCGGGTCGGAGTGCCACCTTTCCCAGGTCCCGGGAATGGCGTCGGTTCTGCGGTCTGCGGTCTAAATGCGTGACAGCGCGTGTCACGTCCAGTGCGTCTACCCTCCTTCAATCTCCGCCCATGCTCACGATCAAGGCCCAGCCAGGGCAGGCGAGGCGGGTACAAGCACCGCTCCTTCCGCTCTTTCGCCTCCCACCAGGCGCGCATGGAGGCCCCTCCGATCGGTCTCGAAGACGTGCTGGTTCTGCGAAGGCGAATGTGCCGTCATGTCCATCCCACGTTCCAATTGCGCGTTCTCAGCTTTAGGTTGGCAGAGGGAGATAGCCTCCTGCTTCTCGGACGCCGGAAAATGCGCATCGATGCGTGAAGGTGCAAGCGGCGCCTGGGAGTGCCCCTGCCGGTGGAGAATTGCTCGGATCATGTCCTCTCGACCGACGTCCTCGTACCTGACCCCCCGATGGACCGTGCCAGCCTGTCCGAAGAGCAGAACCGCGAGCCTGGGACCGGTGACAAGCTGCAGCACGTTTGGTATGCGACGTATCGGTGTTGTCCGTCCACTTTGACAGAAGCGGCGCTGCACGGTAAGGGACGCGACGCGGGCGTACGGATGCGATTCTGCAGGACGTTTGCGCGTGGATAGGAGCGAGAGATGGAACCGACCAGCAACGCTTCCGCTTCCGTGAGGCCGAGGGGTGTCGCCGACATGATCGTCCGCCTTCAAGCCTACCCCGGTGCCTGCTCTATTCACTCGCACAACTTGCGCTCTTATAGGCCCCTTCGTGCGATTGAAAGACCCGAGTCGTCCTATCACCTGGGCCTGTGACTACGTCCAGATCCTTTCCCCCGACACCTCGCCAGATCCGCGTGAGGCCTCTCCCTGTCGCCATGTCTAGTCTCTCTCCGCCCTCCACGGCGAACAGCTCCGCTGCGTCGTCCTCAGAGCAGCTCCCCGTGCCGCCCCCGACAACCATGGGCTCGAAGCGCGAGCGTCCGCTGCAGCCACCCAAGGCCCTCTTCCAGCTAGCGCAGCAGCATCAGGGGATCGACAGTGCAGAGGATGTCCGCCGCGACCCATTCCGCACCCCGGACATCTCCGTGCCACCGACGCCACGAAGCGGCGTCAGCAACCCGTTCTCCCCTCCCGCGAGCGTGGTCAACTTCAGCGCGGACAACAACCATCTGCACCATAGCAGCGCGGCCAGCATCGCATCGACGTCATACTTCCCCGACCCGACTTCCTCCCCGCCTGCGTCGCGTCCCCACACCGGCAGCCGTGTCTCGGTCCACTCCTCCCTGCGCAACTCGACCACAGACCTTCACATCCGCGAGGTCACGCGTGGCGTTCGTAGTCGCAAGAACTCTAATGCGCATGTGCGGAGCTCCTTCATGTCCCCGCCCGCGATGCCGCGACGGGTGACGCTCATGGAGCATGAGAGCTCTGGGACACTCCAGCCTATAGCACGTGCGGCAAAGCGCCAACGGTCGAGCATGCTCACTGGGGAGGTTGTCAAGCCATGGGTCACGGACAAGGACTTCTACGAGCAGCTCTCGTACTATGTCACGTACTTCGTCGCCTTTCTGGGTATCGCGGGCGCGGTCATCCGGGTGTACTTCTCGTGGACGCAGACTCCGAACGTCGGCAACCTCTGTCTGATCATGGAGGACGAGTTCGAGACGTTTGACACCAAGTACACGTGGTTTCAAGAGGTGGATATGGGTGGATTTGGGTGAGTACTTCCTCTTTCCCTTCACTGTGCCGTTGCTCATGTGCACATAGCAACGGGGAGTTCGAGATGACGACTAACTCGCCCAACAACTCCTTCGTACAAGACGGCAAGCTCTACCTCGTCCCCACCCTCACTTCAGACGTTATCGGGAAGGACAACGTCCTCAACGGGTACACGTACAACATCACTGGTTGCACGTCGGTCAACACGACATCCGGCTGCGGCGCTGTCTCGAACCTTACCGCCGGCACCGTCATCAACCCTGTCATGAGCGCGCGCATCTCCACCAAGAACAGTCATCACATCCAGTACGGGCGTGTTGAGGTCATCGCAAAGCTCCCTACCGGCGACTGGATATGGCCCTCCATCTGGATGCTGCCCGTGGAGGAGACGTACGGCGCCTGGCCCGCGTCGGGCGAAATTGACATCATGCAAGCGCGCGGGAACCCGCCCGAATACCCGGCACAGTAAGTCCCTGCACTCTATCGACAGCCTATCGAGCAGCTCCGTTCTGCTCTACCTCTCACCGATTGTGTTCGCGATCGCATGCTGATTGGCTCGTGTGTTGCGTTTCTGTCTATTCAGGGGCATCGACTACGTCCGCGGTTCCCTCCAGTGGGGCCCGTTCACGTGGCTCAACGGCGTGAGCAAGACATTCGGCTGGTGGACGAACCGGCGCAAGACCTTCGCGGACGGCTTCCATTCGTATGCGCTCGAGTGGAGCCCCGAGTTCGTGCGGATCTACGTCGACTCGCGGCTCACGTACATGCTCAACATGAAGTTCGACGAGCCGTTCTTCGACCGCGGCGACTTCCCAGCCATCGTCCAGAACGGATCGCAGTTCATCGAAACGCCGAACCCCTGGTTGACCGGGACGAAGAACGTCGCGCCGTTTGACCAACCCTTCTATCTGATCATGAACGTCGCTGTTGGCGGCACGAGCGGGTGGTTCCCGGACGGCGATGGCGACAAGCCGTGGCTCGACCACTCTCTGAGTAAGCCGGCTATCTTTGTCTGCGGCGAAAGAAGCTGGTTACTGACGCCCCTGTTTGTTGCAGCTGCTATGCGCGACTTCGCTGAGCGTCAGGATACGTGGTACGCGACATGGCCCAAGAACATCGCTGACCGCTCGATGGTCGTAGAGTCCGTCAAGATGTGGCAGAGATGTTGAATGCGACATCTTCGCTATCCATCTCACTCCACTCTTGGCACCGCCCAACACTGTACAAATGGTATATCCTCGCGACTCACAGACCCACGCCTCTACCGCATCACAGCGATACACGCACGGCCTTTCCTTTCCCGCATCGCATCTTGGACTACCGTGGGCGGTCTTTTTTTGGGCAGCCTTCACACATGGGCTGGGCTGGGGCCGCCGAGGTCATCGTCATTCACACATCGCGTTCGCGTTCCATTCCTACGTATCCATCGCTACTGCCCCGACGTCCTGTCGGTGCCTCCTCCCTGGCTTGATGACTGCACTGGCTTTGCTATTTCCGACGTCATTGTTGCAGATATGTCTCCGTGGCGCTTCTGTCGTTTGCACATTCCACTCTTTCTCCGCTGCCGGTGTCGTCTGTCACCCCTTCCTTCCTTTCCACCATGCCCCCTTCTTGTTTCGCATTCATATCGTTTTCAGGTCATTGTTGGGGCTTAATTGCGTTTCACCTGTTCATGCCAGTGGGCTATGACTGTCGGGGTGGAGGCGTTGTGTATATCTTGGTTTGCAAGAATTGCTATAGATTGTATTATACCCAAGTGTGCGACGCGCCAGTACTTCCTGGTAGCACGTTCCATGCAAGAAGCACTGATAAGCATGTCGGCCCTGTATGCATCACGTCGCACCTCCCAACACAACCAGTACTCCCCGAGAGACCCGGCCTCGCGTCTACCGCCATGACGCAGGCCCGGACTCAACGCCTCCTGTCAGGGTCCTCGTCTTCCCTGCCTGATAGGAGAGACGCGACGGCGGCGAGACATTACGACATAAACTGCATTCAAGCTATTGGAGAGCATGTTCGCCGCCGCCTCGCCGTACACACCTTGCATCCCCGGATCGGGTATTTGTCTTCGACAGGCGCGACGGGAAGACACTAATTCGACACCAGCGCCGGTGCCGCTCGAGACCTGATGCATATGTCCTGCCCGGTACTTTCGATATTCCTATCTGGCCGCCGTTCGCCCTCGAGGTGTACAAACGCATCGCCCGCGCTGATTGCACGGCGTAGAGTGTGGTCGCCCTCGAGGTGGCGGCCGGGAGCCTGACGCCCAGGGAATTTGGTGGTAGCCAGTCCGGCAGATGTGACCGCGCCACTGCATCCCGAACACCACGCGCAAGCCGCCATGGCCACGGGAGTTCAGGCGGCGGTGGCTTGGGCGCGGTATGCCCTCCCGTCATATTCGGAACCTACTGATCCAATTGCGGTAAGTAAGGGAACCGTCACTGTCCGCGGGCGTTCACCCATCACCGAATGCAGGATAGCGTAACGGTGGGCGGCGCGCCGAGAGGGGGAACAGATCTGCACGATGCTCGCCGCGCATGCCATGAACTTGGCGGCGCCCTGTGTGTACGCTCGCTCGAATCAAACTCTGCGCGCAGTAGCGGCCCTGCGCGGCCCCTGGTACCGGAAACACTCGCAGGCCGAGATAAGGAGAAGGGTGGCAGACTCCGCGGCGCGGCGCCCTGGATCCCACTAGGGTGCGTGGTGAATGCTTTGCGGTGATTCCGGCGGGCGTCACGCCAGGCCCCGGGTCCGGCGGGCAAGGAGAGCGGGAAAGCACGCTAGGAACGAGCGTTCCAGGGGCGTATATCCCTGGAGAGCAAAAGGAGGCCGAGCAGAAGGGACAGTTGGCCATGAGGCCTCGGTATCCGGTCGCTGGCATCCAGAGTGCCTCACTGAGTTCAAATCTTACGTGGTGCGGACTAAGTCGGGGAGTTGGGTGCGCACCTTGCATATACGAGTTTGAATCGCGCTTATCGCTTGGGAATAGATCTGAGCGGACTGTCCCGTGCACAACCCGTGCAAGATGGCGCCAATCGTGCGGGGAGACCGTGCGCGTGGGTTCGGGGGCAGACTAAATGCTTGTTGCTTGAGACCTGCGCGCCGAGAGGCTTGGGCGCTGCTGCTTCTCGTAATGAGAGCTTCGCCCGATGAGCGGTGATCTGTAGGCGGTTCTAGTAGTTCCACAAGGCGAAGCTGTAGCACGACAAGATGTATGTCATTTGATTTCCCTTGTGACTGTCGGCGTGAGGTCGCTGTAGCAGAGACCAGTCAACGAAGACGGGTTAGAGTCAGACTGGACTCACATTATTGTAATCTTGTAAGAAATATCATACGAGCTCGCCTCAGCAAAGATTGTTCACGTTCAGTATAATTGGGCACTATAAGACTGTCAGATGAGCATACTGCGATAAGCGGACGGTAGTGGCACCAAGAAGCGATTTGACTTGACATGCGAACCTCGCGGGCGCTAAGGCTTGTCAGTGTATATTTCCATGTGTCTCAGATGACCTCCATGTTTCCAGTCATTCTGGAATAGCGAACCAATCGTGACCGATGGGGACCCTGAAATCCACCGGCGTACTGATCAGCTCCGGAGACGGGCTTTAGGGCTTGGGCGCTACCATTGTGCCTCCGAAACTATCGTTGGTTCTGCCGCCGGCGCAAGAACCTGTCATACGAATCGCGACTGCGTATTCCGCGTCAGTGTCAGGAAGTAGAATATCGATATGTACATACTATCATTGCAGGCTCGATTCGGACATGTCTCTTCGGAAACCACTGCTGGGCCCTTTTAGTTGGGCAACTGCCTTATGCGTGTTTCTTGAGCATGAAAGAGCAACTCACTGATGCAATAATGCTATGGTATGTCTTACCGCACGCTTCATATTGAGTGCTCTCGAGCTCATGGTGGCAAGCAATAACGCGGCCGTTGACTCCATCAGCACCTGCCACCGAAAGAAAGTCGCGAACCGCGCCGCTCCCAGGCGCTTAATTGGGTGCACCCGCTCCGCGAACGGCGCTTCGGCCCGCCCGAGCCTGTCTCAGCCGTCGTCGACCGCCCCGGCTCCGCTCTCACTCTACCGCCATGACAATTCTCTGGAAGTTCATACTCACGAATCACACCCACTGCCAGTGAACGAAACTCGTTTTTACATGAAGTACGGAATATGCGTCGTGCGTCACGAGTGAATGCTTCGCGAGTCATTGTGCTTCGACGGCCCAGACAGGTTCCGACTGGAATGTCTCTCATGCCATGCGCAAGGAACCGGGGTCCGAGTGGTGAGTAACCCATACCTACACCGTCCGTAAACCTTGCAAATCTGCACTCTCCCAGTGTCCGCGGGCCTCCGACGGCCAGGGGCAGCAGCAAGGAATTGCTGTCACCGCATTGCTCCTGTCTGCAAATAGCTCGGTCTCTGGGACTCCCCATTGTAGCTGGGGAAACCCCGTCGCCGCACTGACAAGATGACGACAAAAAAGATCCCATGATTGGTTCTCATCTTCGGGATTTCTTGCTGTTTCAGGCTGCTGTGTCTCCTCTTCGGTGCGAGGACCCTTTCCGACGTCATCTTCTCACTGTTCTTCAGTTTACCCGCAGAGACTTCGGACTTGTTTCCGCCTACACGGACCGCCGCCCTGGGGATTCTTCCCGTGCTCAAGACCCCGTGTATCTTGCGTGCATGTGCGGGTGCAACCTCGGCCTAGCCACGTCAATTTGACTATATCGCTTCTGCATGACGGGTCTGATGTCGAGTATGCATCGTTCAAGCCTAAGCTTGCCAACGGCCTGTGCATTCCTGTAGAAACAAGCCTCTGGTAAGGGACCCCCGACCGCTATGCTTCGATCGTCTCTTCTACATACCGCGACAGCGCGAGGTGCCTGGCCTTCGCAAGGTTGATGCGCGCCCTCGCGCGCACCTGGGCTCCGTTGTGCCGATCAGCTCGCGACAGTGCCGGCGAACTGGCTGTAACACGTCACGTCGTGTATTATTCCACACCCTGAGCGGCGGTACGTGGCTTTTCGTTCATGCACAGGTGTAGGTGAATATTACACGTATTAATATCGTATCGTAGCCCTGCAGCCGCACGACAGGATCATATCACCTTCCAGCGAAACGCCGCGCGGCTGCGCCCATGAAAAATTCCATCTCTCGAGCCGAGGCGGTGCAGGAGACGCTCTGTGATATGGCGTGCGCAGCGCAGCATCCGTCCGATCTTACTGCCCAAGGAGCCTGTCTTCTGGGAGCTATGTCGGCCTCGGGTGTCAACCAGTGCCGCGATGATATCAAACCGCCCAACTATGAGCGCGTCATCTCAGGCAACTGCCGCCACATCTGCTAAGCCTTGAAATAATCCCCCACAAAACCCGTACCGAAGTCTCGTACCCGCCCAGGAACGTGAAGGCGCACAACATATGGTTGCTAGCTTTCCAAAACGACCATGCCGCACTAGACACGAGTCAAGTGAGCTCATGCAGTATCTTTGGGCTGATCGCCAATAGATTAACACAATTTGACAGCATGTGAAGCGCTTTAACGCCCAGTTGGCGGTGCGTTTGAGATGCCACAACGCGGTCAGTTCTTGTTTGTCCCGAGACGGTCGGTCGACGTCCCTTGACAGTATCGTGGGTTCTAGCCATTCGCAGGCTATCTCGCCGTATCCTCATGGAGCCGGCATCCACCACTGGGCGGTCCGCTCGCGGCGGTCTTCTATTCGCCATGTTATATATTCGGCTGGATGATCTCGTTCGGACTGCACTGGCCGTCTCGCTCTCGACTCCCCGTCCCCGCCATGCCTGCCCCCAAGTCCTCCTCTTCGTCCCAGTCACGGTCTTCGGCAGGACGTCAGTCCCCTGCGTCCGGCAGCGATGCCGCCGCGCCGACGTTCTTCGTCCAGGACCACCAGCACGAGTCCTCGGACGGGGCCAGCGAGGTCTCCCGCGACCCCTTCACCACCCCCGAGCATTCCATCCCACCCACTCCTGCACCGGCGAGCATCATCAGCTTCAGCGGCAGCATGTACTCCGCGGAGCACCCCGTTTACCGCCGGCACGACAGCCGCATGTCCGTGCAATCCGCGCCGCGACAGACCGCCACGGAGATCCAGGAGCGCTCTCGGGGAGACGAAGGCGTCAACGATAGCTCATCATCGACCGCGCGCTCTCCGGCACGCAGCTCGTTCATGCCCCCTCGGCCCCTTCGTCGCTCCACACTCCATGAGTCGACGACTGCTTCCCGGGTTTCTGTCGCGCCCCGCCAGAGGAGGCTGATGCGCTCTTCCATGCTTATGGGTGCGATCGAGAAGCCGTGGCTGTCGGAGAAGGACAGGATGATATTGATTTCGCATTGGATCGTCTACTTCATTGCCTTCCTGGGGATCGCGGGGAGCGCGATCCGCTGCTATTTCGCCTATGTGCAGACGCCCGTGCTCGGGAACGTCTGCCTCGTCATGGAAGACAACTTCGACACGTTCGACACGGACAACAAGTGGATGCGTGAGGTCAGCATGAGTGGATTTGGGTACGTGTTTTCCCTCCACGCTCCTCTTCTCCTCTGCGTTGGATGTGCCGCACTAACACCTGGCGCTACGCAGCAACGGCGAATTCGAGATGACGACCGCGTCTGAAAACAACTCCTTCGTGCGCGACGGCCGGCTCTACCTCGTGCCCACGCTCACCTCAGACGTGATCGGGACCGCGAACATCTTCAACGGACACACGTTCAACCTCACCGGCTGCACGGACGCGAACCAGACGAGTTGCGGGGCCGTCTCGAACGACACGCTCGGGACCGTCATACCCCCCGTCATGAGCGCGCGGGTGCACACTCGGCAGCCGTACTCCATCAGGTACGGTCGCGTCGAGATCTCCGCGAAGCTGCCCCGTGGCGACTGGCTCTGGCCCGCGCTGTGGATGCTCCCCGTTAATGACACGTATGGCGCGTGGCCGGCGTCGGGCGAGATCGACATCATGGAGGCGCGCGGGAACGGCGTCGACTACCCAGCACAGTGAGTAAACCTTCGCCTGCCTTCTCTCCATTTCGCGGAGGGCTGACTACTGTGCGTACAGGGGCATCGACTACGTGCGCGGCTCGCTGAACTGGGGCCCGTTCTCCTGGCTGAACGGGGTGAGCAAGACATTCGGCTGGTGGACGAACCGGCGCAAAACCTTCGCGGACGGCTTCCATACGTACGCGCTCGAGTGGAGCCCGGACTTCATCCGCATCTACGTCGACTCGCGCCTCACGTACATGCTCATGCTCAAGTTCAACGAGCCCTTCTTCGACCGCGGCGACTTCCCTGCGACAGTCGCGAACGGCTCGCAGTTCATCGAGACGCCGAACCCGTGGGCGCACGGCACGAAGAACGTCGCGCCGTTCGACCAGCCGTTCTACCTCATCATGAACGTCGCCGTCGGGGGCACGAATGGGTGGTTCCCCGACGGCGCGGGAGGCAAGCCGTGGTTGGACGGCTCCTTGAGTGAGTAGTCCTCATTGCATGCCGAGTCGCAGAACGGAGGCTGACATGCACTTGCAGCGGCGATGCACGAGTTCGCGAAAGCGCAGGACACATGGTCTGCTACGTGGCCGGAGGACGTCGAGGACAGGGCCCTCGTGGTCGACTCGGTGAAGATGTGGGAGCTGTGTTAGCGTTGGCGTTCCCCTTTCCCCATGATACGCTCGTTTTCTGTCGGACATTGTTAGGCTATCTGGGATCGTTGATTACAGCATGCGGGCATTCGGGCTACCGAGCTACTGGGGTTCGCGGTCGCGATATTTGTTTCATGTGGCGAGAGTGCCAATCTATATACAGTCATGGGCTCCGGCGATTGTTGCAGCACTCTGTGCGCTGTCTTCGCGGAAAATAGACATAGTAGTCTCTTGTTCTCTGGTACCCTCCAAAATCATGTTAGGAATGTCATCTTTTAGTACGCTTTTATGTCGTCTTTGTGGGCTCTCCGGTGCATCGTCACGGTATCAAACTACCAAGGGAAGTGGAGTGTGGTGAGTACCCTCTGCCCGAATACACACTGGACATACTGCGGCAGTATGAACGACTTCGGAAGGGCCTCGTTTTCCCCGGACAGTATGTCAGGGGTCAGGTACCTGAAATATGTGCGTCATAGTGATGTCGACGCTTGAATGTCAATACAAAGAGGAAAATCAGGGGACCAGCGTTGACGTACCTGGCCGTCTGGCCCGGGTTGGTTCTTTGTCGCTCGGCACTGGCAGTGTCTCGAAGCTCCACCTGTGGGTCCTTGTGGGAGTCCTTCACCGGTGGGCGCCACTAGCACGTCACGGTCGTAGTAGTCGAGCCGTGTGGAATCTTGCAAGAGGGGGATCGTCTGGCAGCGTATACGGAGTAGCAACTTTCGCTGAGTCTGACTTCTACCTATCAAAAGATGTCTAGACATTTCAGATTGTCGTTATTTCCAGCCTGAGTGCCGCCGTACTAGGAGAATAAGTAGCTGGTAGCACGATTCATGCGCACTTACCTATAACCCCCCGAGCCTGTCAACCGCTGTACTTTTGGTACTGAGTGCACGCAGAATGGAATCGGATCGTGTGCCAGAAGTTGGGGGTCAACTTTATATTGTACGCCGTGGGCCTTGAGCTTGGTAGGAGCTATATGCGGACGTTGTACTAATCCTAACTACTTGCGATCCATAATGGCTATCGAATCAACAGCATCGTCATCTTGCCCCGGCAACGGGATACAGAAGAACCCACGTACCGCTTGTTTGATTAATGCGCCATCAATGGCGAAACAGTCGTGACGAGTAGAGGAAAAAGTAGGTTCATCAGCATTCCCTATGCATCCGCCGGGAGTCGAACCCGGAGCTAGGCCATGGGAAGACCCAATGTTACCGCTACACCACGAATGCTTCCATAGAACGCACCAAAGTATCTCATATACCTCACTGATTGTGAGTCGAGTTCAACCGTTCTCTTCGACCCAACGATCGTCGTCGACCTGCTGCGCTCTGTATGACGGCCATGTCGACTTGTAGCCTTGCACCCTTCCGCCCATCCACACAACACCAGAGGAAATCATCATCTATCTTAACGCGTGAACAGCCTACATTGGAGGTCACTCGTGAGTCTGATGGTATAAGAAGTTTTGCATGCGATGTTAGGTACGTGGCCTCGACCTGCGGGTCATTGAACGTACATCACGAGCTGAATCTCTAACTCCCTGCAGCATGAAGGTATCTGTAGCGGAGGAATCATTTATGTCTGCAAACTATATATGGCTATACTGCTTCGAGGTGCTGTACTCATGATGATCGTACCGCAAGGATCGCAACCAATGCGACGCCAAGTCACCCAAGCACTCTGTTGAAGGTACGTACATCGGAGGCTCCTTCACGCCATAGTCCGTATCATCGATGCGTACTGTGTCAACAACAAGAATTACCACCTGCTTACCGTTTCGTACGTCTCCACCAGCATCTTATTGGTGTTAGGCGTGCCTCGTCTAGCAACAGAACAGAGATAGCTAAATTGCTCGTCTATCCTCATCTCTCGACCTATAGCCGCCACCGCCCACCATAACTCCGCACGGGCAGAGAGGCGCAGAAATTAGGTTGGCGCGCCCATCCAGCGCTCAGTTGTCACGGCAGAGCCGCTGTAGTGAGTCTGCCCACTTCACCCAACGATGCCCAGTTCGACCTACTACCCCCAGCGATGCGCTCGCTCACCTCACCTTTATGTCCCTGGTGTCCGTATCACCGGTGAATGATCCGCCCGTGCCTGCCGCGTCTTCTCCGGTGGCATGTCCGCGCATTGGAAAGTCACCGAGAACAACGGTACCGCATGCCCGGTGGGATACTTCCCTCGCTCCAAGTACAGCGCTGTGTAGTGGCCGCGGATGCCAGAGAGGCGTGATCGATGGCACACGCCTTCTATGCACCCTCCCGACCAGTCCAGGTGGTTCGGGATCCCTTGAGTATGTCCACGGCGAACGGAAGATATTGATTCCCTGCGACGACTTCAAACGTGGCCAGCGTCTTCAACCCAGCAGGATTGGCTGCACTGCTAGCCGCAAGGTCGCAAACTATGGAATTATAGCACACGCGAAGTGAGAACTTCTTCTTCGTATGGTCTGTTCGCCGTCCCTGACTCACTCGTCCGCGCAATCGCATGCACTAGGGCGGCTATTTCCAGCGTCCTGTTTAGGACGAGCGGCGTTGTTCTTTCAGGGACAAAATCGCCCTAGGCTCAGTCATCTGACTTCACTGAATATCACCCTAGGGCCGACATACGAGCTCTGAGCTCTCAATCCATCGGGTCTCAGTAACGTTGTGCCTGTGCTACCTCGAAGTTCCGGTCTTAAGACCGGAGGAGTACATTGGGACCTGTTACAACACTGGTCTATTCACATACCTTCGATTCACCGGGGCGAAAGGATGAGTGGTATTCAAGCTATTGATCACCGCCGTGATTGTCGGTCTACCATGCGTTGTCGCATCTTCACCGGTAAGACCGTGATCTCGCAGTAGCTCTTCAATTTCCTTCACGGTGGTGTAGCGCAAGTACGCACCATTAACAATCCGCACATAACATCCGCATTGCCACCGTAGTCTGGGGCACCGCACACTTTCTGTGGCTCGACTTGGCTGACCCCTGTCGAGGTACGTCCCGCTCAGATCGAACATCATTGCAACTTTTTTCTGACATTGCAATATGATACGGTTCCTTGCCCGACATAGCCTCGAGCCCATCGCCATCGTCCACGACATCGGAACGTGCGGTCGCACTCATACACTACGACGGCTTGCTGCCGGCGAAGACTTCGATCAAGAGAGGCCGGTGACGGATTTGGCGTACCCGTTCGCGATGGAAGGTAACCCATCGTGCGGATACATCTGCTCGTCGGGCGCTTTCTCATGCCACCCCTTCTCATCGCAGATCGAAGAAAGCCAGACCATTGCCGGCCGCAGAGTCGTCTCACCCGGCCGCGTTGGAACCCCCTTTTCGCGCGCAACCGCCGACAGCTCCGCCAGGGCGCACCGACTGCCATACATTCGAAAGGCCGCGAATCGTGCCGCCGACATGTGCTTCCCCGCCGTCTTTCGCCCGCCGATTGTGCCATCGGCGGCCTGCTCGGGGCTCGAGATGGCCAGGCGTCGGCATTTCCTAGCTCAGCGCGACGGGGCGTGTGAGCGTGCCCGACAGCGAAACCGGTGCGCTGTCTTCCTGTATTGGGCCCGAGCGTGATCCGTGGGAAGGCACAGTTCACAATCTGCCAGGAGAGCCTGGCGAGGCAGGGGCAACGGCCTCTCCATACGTGTGGTGCATCTGCCGCTCACGCTGCTCAACTACCTCTGTTGGATGCAGGATACGCGCGACGCCGCGTATGGCAATCGTAGTATATCATCAGGTCCACCGCCGCCTAGGCCGTGCCACGATGGGGATACGAACAAGGGGGCGCGCCGCCGCTGGTGTCCCTGCGCCATGCTGGATCTGATATTCATCTCGGACCTCCGCGTTCCTGGGAAATTGGCGCGCAGTGAGAATTCAGTTCGCGGACTTGCCGCCTCCGTGTCCGACCCGAGGACCGAGCGGTGCAGTGTGGGCGTGGCGTCTTGCGAGTCCCGTCGCGCGCGCGCGAGATTCTCGAGTCGCCGCCCTAGATCACATCCTCTACAAATCATGGAACCGCGCGCTGCAGACGTCGCTTGTGCTCGTACGCCTGTTCGATGGGCGGTATCGATGCATCAAAACGATCAATTTGACAGACAGCCCCGATGAGTGGACCGGGACGCGTAGAGGACTGGCAGGCTGCTTGATGACACCGTCAAGAATGTGACCATCGGTTTTGACGCTGCTAGTGGATGGCCCAAACCCCCCGCGCGGCACAGCTGATGGTGGCCTGCGCCCCCATGTATGGTTAGGTCCCGGAGGTGGAAGAGCATGCCGAGAAGAAGGCGGCGCCTTCGCATATTCGCGCCCGGGACGCGCCTGGACAAATTTGGCCGAGCAAGGTTCCTGCGGTTTCGCTCCAGTCCGGATCGAACGCATCGGCGTCGCGCATGCCGCGCGCAATACGGCTCAGGGTGCACCGATGCCCCATCCTGTGACATAATCACCGCGATGGGTAACCTAGTCGCTGCTGCTCGAGCGGCTCGTGCGGGCCTACTTAAGCTCGTAGCGCATCCGTCGAGCTCACCACAGCACCCCGACCCCGTTGGCCGTGCTGAGGATGGCCGCCCTCACCGCCTCACTCGCAGTGCTCGCACTGTCCTTCCCTTCGGTGTGTACTACCCCCAACCCCATTCATTTCTGCGCGCATATCTGACCGTCCATCCCCCGCAGCTTGCCCATGGTTCGCTTGTCCGCGTGCGTCAAGCCCCCGCAACCCCGAGTATCCCGGGAACAAACTATACCTTCCTTGGATGTTTTACGTGCGTCTATCCTCCCTCAGCGGTCGTTGCGCGAGCCGCTCAGCGCCGGATCCCCACTACAGTGATCAAGGCGCCCGGTCTCTGGGCGACGCCAACTTCGTCAACACGACCGGCATGACCGTAGAATCATGCGTGTCCTTCTGCTCGTCTGGAGGCTTCAATTTCGCAGGGCTCGAGTTCGCGCAGGAGTGCTGTACGTGACCATGCTTCGATTCCACGAGCTTCTTGGGTCTGCGCGCTCACGCGGCTTTCTCGGCAGGGTGCGGCAACGAGATTGCCAACGGGGGTACGAACGCCACCGAGTCGGACTGCAACTTCGCGTGCACGGGCGATGCCTCTGAGATCTGCGGCGCGGGAAGTGAGTCCGGAAGGCTATTGCGCTTCGCCCGATACCTGACCAAAGCCTTAACAGACAGGCTCAGCGTCTACTGGGACGGCGTGGCTCCGCCCCCGCCTCCGATCACCGTTCCGTCTGTCGGTCAATGGGAGTCTCTTGGGTGCTTCAAGTCAGTAGAACTTTTCGCGCCGTTCTATAGCCATCATACTGACGCTGGTTTCAGCGACTCGGTCAATGCCCGTGTTCTGACCTTCGGCGTTAACGTTCCTGGCCCGTTCACTGTGGAAGGATGCACACAAGCCTGCTTCAACGACAACTTCCCCATCGCGGGGATGGAGTTCGCGGCACAATGCTGTGGGTGCACTTCAGCTACCATCTACGATGCGGCTGACCTCGGCCTAAGTCTGCGACACGGGGATACAGAACGATGGGGCGCCCACGCCTCTGACGGATTGCAACATGGCGTGCAGCGGAAATAGCTCAGAGTTCTGCGGCGGCCCCAACCGCCTTAACGTGAGTTCTGCGCAGGAATGATGCTGCATCTGGTCGTAACTGGGAATCAACAGGTCTACAACTTTACGGGAACACTCTCTGGTCCGCCTAACACAGGTGGTGGTGGTGGCGGCGGCGGCGGCGGAGGCGCCACCCCCATCGACGTGGCCCCCGTGAAGACGGGCCTGCCAGAGAATTGGTCATATGGTGCATGCTATGTGTGAGTATGACACGCAACGCAGATGTGCTCAAACTGATGGCGTCCGCTCAGGGACAACGCGTTCGGCCGCATTATGGCAACTCAGCTGCCTGATAACCAGGCAGTAACAGTCGAGTCCTGCATTACGTCCTGCCAATCTCAGAACTTCACCCTCGCCGGTCTGGAGTTTGGAGTTCAGTGCTGTGAGTGCCACCCACGACATTACTCCGCGCGCCTGCTAATCACCACCATCCAGTCTGTGGTAACACACTGATCGATGGTGCCGTTCCTGGCGACGAGGACACCTGTAACATGGCTTGTGGAGGGAGCTCGACGTGAGCGGGCAACAATCACTTGGTTCCGTTGCGGATGTGCTGATACCCTGTACAGGGAAGCGTGCGGTGGCCCGAACCGCCTTTCGGTGCGGATCTCGATTGCATATCTCCGAGATGGCATACTCATCGCGGCGACATTCTAGGTCTACACTGAGACCGGGAACGTGGTCGCCTTACCTGTTCCCACCCCTTTGAACAGCAGTCTCCCAGGTGAGTTTCACCGGTGTCTTCTCTTTCCCTCCGCCTTGATTGGCCTGCTTACGCCGGGATGCTTAGGTCAATGGGAATACAAAGGCTGTCTCCAGTACGGCCCCCATCTATCTCGCTGTCTGCCATCACTGACCTCTGCTCGTTCAGGGAACCCGATGGTGCTCGCGTATTCCCGTACCAGAACATCTTCACGAACAACAACACCATCGAGGGATGTCTGAACCTGTGCGCGTCCTTCGGATACCCTGCTGCTGGTGCCGAGTTCGGCGATGAGTGCTGTAAGCCTCTCTTTACTCTGCATTCAAGGCGATCGCTCAGGGTGCAATAGGGTGTGGTGACATCACGGACGTTAACAACGATGCTGCTGGGTTCGCCGACCCCTCTCTGTGCAACATCGCTTGTTCTGGCGATCCCATCCACCTCTGTGGCGGCGAAGCACGGTTGCAGGTGCGTCTATTTCTATTTTGGCAATCCCCGTACCAACACCGCGACAGCTCTATGAGTGGAACGGTGTCATGAATGACTGGCATACCCCGGAGAACACTGGACGCTACGAGGTCAGTTCATCGCGACGGCATGGATGTTATATTGTTGACTGAACCTGTGCCATCCAGTTCTTCGTGCCCGGTGTGGTCGTTCCCTTGATCGTCACGCTCGGCATCAACAACAAGGTCACGTTCGTTGAGAAGTTCGGAACTAGCGAGTTCACCAACTCCACTGGCGCGTACGAGCTGGACCTGAGCTTGGTCAACGACTTTGAGAAGACGTGGCGTACGATGCACGTAAAGTCTGACGTCTTCTGCTCTGCGGGCCTTGTGCTGCCCGACAGGAAGGGACGTCAACTTGTGGTCGGCGGTTGGTCACTTGACAGCACCTTCGGCGTCCGCCTGTACACCCCTGACGGGAGCGCCGGTGTCAACGGCACGAACGACTGGGAGGAGAACTTCCAAGAGCTCAAGCTCCAGGTACGCGTCTTTTTACTCCATACGGAATGCATTTTTCATTGGCGCCTTACACAGAGGGGACGCTGGTACCCGTCGTCGCTGGTTCTGTCCAACGGCAGCGTCTTGGTCGTAGGCGGCGAAGAAGGCAGTAACGGGGCGCCTGAGCCTACTTTGGAGATCCTGCCCACCCCAGTGGGAGGCCCAACGTTCCTATTCATGGACTGGCTCAACCGCACAGACCCCAACAACCTCTATCCCTTCCTGCACATGCTTCCGAGCGGCAACCTGTTCGTCGGTACGTATTTGACAGAACCTCCGAACCGCGCCCGGAGGCTGACCAGCTGCGGGGACGCAGGTTACTACAACGAAGCTCGGATCCTCAACCCCGCAACATTTGATACGATCAAGACGCTCCCCAACATGCCAGGATCCGTCACGAGTTTCCTCGCTGGCCGCACTTACCCCCTCGAGGGCACTGCGGTGCTGTTCCCTCAGCACGCGCCTTACACCGATCCTCTCACTATTCTCGTATGTGGTGGCTCGAACTTCGGCGTTGCTTTGGACAACTGCGTGAGCATCCAACCGGAAGCAGAGAACCCAGAGTGGGTGCTGGAGCGCATGGTGAGTCGTTGCAGGCTTCGTGTATGTAAACGCTACTGATCTTGCATCGAAGCCATCCAAGCGTGTCATGACTTGCATGGTAAGTACAAACCCTCCCGAGCCCGTGAGCCGCGCTGACCACGGCCCTCCTGTAATTACAGTCCGGTCAGTACATGGCAGCCGTCCTCCCGGCGATACGTCAACTGACAGTTCACAACAGCTCTGCCCGATGGCACATTCCTCATCGTCAACGGCGCCCAGCAGGGCGTTGCAGGCTTCGGGCTCGCTACCGATCCGAACTTCCAGGCACTCCTGTACGACCCCACCCAGGCCGTCGGCTCACGCATCTCGATCCTCAACACGACCATCGTGGCCCGTCTATACCACTCTGAGGCGACGGTGGGTGGCGTCCCCTGGTCTGACCTCACTCAATCTGACATCACCGTGGTGGACAGCTCCTTCCGGACGGCCGCGTCCTGATCTCTGGAAGCGACCCCCAGACGCCCGGATTCCCTGAGGAGACGCGTGTCGAGGTGTACATTCCGCCATACCTGACAGATGGCCGCCAGCAGCCCAGCTTCACCATCGCGCAGAACGACTGGCAGTACGGCGGCCAATACACCTTCACCGTCGACCTGCCGCAAGGCACGACTGACACCATGCGCGTTTCCCTCATTGCCGGTGCGTTCCTCATCTGCTTCGCGCGGCAGAGCCGTCATCTGACATGCTTCGCTTCTCCAGCCACGGCGAGCACGGTTTGTCCCTTCCCTCCGCCCCCGGCGCACCGCTCCCATACTGACCTCACATTCCCTTGCGCGTCCTCCCCCTCTAGCACGGTACGCCGCTCCTCGCTTCTCTCCATCCCCCGCATCACATGCTGACCCCGTCGCCCGCCCGCAGGAAACTCCATGGGCATGCGCACGCTCTTCCCCGACTTCTCGTGCAACGGCAACACGTGCACGGTCACCGCGCCGCCGAACTCGTTCGTCTCGCCGCCCGGGTGGTTCCAGATGTTCGTGCTCGACGGGCCGACGCCCTCGCACTCGAACTGGGTGCGCATCGGCGGCGACCCCGGCGCGCTCGGCAACTGGCCCGACTTCCCCGACTTCACGCTCCCGGGCACGGGCCCCATCTAGACGAAGATGCGGGGTGCGAGTCGGGTAGATGATGATACCTGCTACGCGTTCTGTATCTTCTGTGGTGTGAATGGCTACGGACTACTGCGACGTGGTATGTACCAAGATACCTCTGGCTTCTGAGTGCATCTGTGGACTGGCCTCTATAGTTATCTCCTCCTTTCCCCTACCCTTTCCGTTCACGAACACTTACCCTCTTTCGCTTTACCTGTCCTTCGTGTTGTGTTAGTGTTGCAGTATCGCACTTGTTACCTTCGTTCCTTGTGGTATAATAGCAGTCCTTTCGTTCGGGTTTGAACTACATTCCTCAGCGTGATAAACATGCATTGGCAGCTGCACCACTGGTATATACCGTGGGTACGCGGGAACCTCAACGTGCTCCAAATCGCACTCAATGCTCACTCGCTATCACTGTCGACGGTTATATATTGCGAGCCAGAAGCTGGGCTCGGATATCGACATGCATGAGATATGGAACGGATCGATACAATTATGCCGGCTCGGTCGAGACGCGACTACGCGCGGCCGGGGACTACTGTTGACGTCGAGAGCCAAACGAGAGCCATCACGAGGATCACCAAACAGAGAACGCGAAGGACGAAGGTACAGGCCGCGGCGAAGCGGCGCAGGCGGGCGGGGCGGGACGGGGCGGGAAACCAGGTATGAAACACAAGGGGGGCAATACATGGTAGTGTACGGGTGGGTGGATGTATCTGTATCTGTAACGCTAACTGTAACAAGTGGGGACGGGGACATGAATGCGTATGCGAGGGTGCGGTCGTGATGCATAGACGGGCGGAAGAAGACAACAGTCGCGACGGCGGACAAGCGAAGAGCGTGGGACAGGGATGAGGCGGCAGAGCGAATGGGGAGCGACCTAGTTCGACTCGAAGTCGGCGAAGTAGGGGTGGAGCATCGTGCGTTTCGCTGTAGAAACAGGAATGTTTAGTAGGAGATAGTGTATGTACAGGTCCTGTGCACTCACCAGAGATACGCTTAGCAGTATCATACGTCAACATGAGCTACAGAACGGCATGTTAGCTGGACAAAAACCATAATGTCTAAGCGCATTACCTCGAGCAAGTCAATGCCCTCTGGGGTCAATGACGGAACCTGGTCACGGAGGTCTTGTCGTGACCAATGAGGGAAAGAAGGCTTGTAGTCAGGCAGCTGGGATACACCAGGCCAGACCTCCTCGTTTGGAGTCCCGAGGACCCTGCACAGATCGTTTAGGGCAAGGCTCGCGGACTAGCGAGCAGGCTAAGTGTTACCTGAAGATCTTGAAGATCTGGTCGATCTCGGAGTCACCGGGGAACAACGGGTGGCCGCGCATGCACATCTCCGCGAAGATGCAGCCCACAGACCACATGTCGATCGCTGTTGAGTAGTGGCGCGATCCAAGGAGGACCTCCGGTGCGCGGTACCACAGTGTCACGACCTAGCCGAGACGCGACGTGAGTGGTGGGGCGCGAAGAGACTGTCCACGAGACGAACCTCGTGCGTGTACGTCCTCATGGGAATGCCGAACGCGCGTGCAAGGCCGAAGTCACAAAGCTTGAGGTTGTCATCTCTATCGATCAGAAGATTTTGCGGTTTCAAGTCGCGATGGAGGATGCGATGGGAGTGACAATAGAGCAGCCCAGACGTCAATTGGTGGGTAAATTTCTGTGCAGCAGGTCAGCAATGATCCGCTCTATCGTCCCGTCGGTAGGCGGCCTCCCCACTAGTGCATGGCGAGCGCACATTCGGAGAGATGGGGTCACGTGACGTGGGTGATGGGGCAGGTCCGACAGGAAATGGCAGTCGCTCGGACGCGTCGGGACGCGACAACAAAATGTCACACGCGTAAACCACGCGTCATTTGCAGATGACAAGCGGAGGAAACTATCCCCGGGCGATGGAGAGGGGTGGGGGACGGGGAGGACGTCGAGCTCGACGGAAACTCACCTTCACGATCTCGGGGGTGATAGGACGGCCTTGCTTGTTGCCGTTCTCCATGTACCGTTTGAGGTCGACGTCAAGAAACTCGAATACCAGGTACAGCTTTTGATCCGCGTGTACGATATCAAGAAGCCTGTGAAAGGTGACGAAATTACATCGTCAGCAATCAAGCTCCCAGTCGGACCGCGATGACCGCGAGGACGCGTCCTGCGACAACAACGAGGTGGAGGGCAGGGGGACGGAGCATGGTATCTGTATATGCTTACGTGACAATATTGTCGTCCTTGAGTTCTTTCAGTAGACTGATTTCTCGGATCGCAGTGCTGGGCACGCCTTCGTCCTCGGCCTCTAACCGAATCTTCTTCATGGCGACAATCTTGTTCGTGTTGATATCCCGGGCCTTGTACACGACTCCGTAGGTACCTGATTTGGGCGGGAACGTGCGTGCACGGTGGAGGGACACGGTAAGACATCGCGCACGATGGCAGAGACGATGCATCTCTCACCCTCGCCTGTTTTTTTCGTATCTCCGTCAGTCTCCTGGCCATCATATGGGGTCACAATACACGCTATTTACTCACCGACTTTCTCAATCTTCGAGTAGCTGTGAAGCGGATCAGGACGAGGCCCTCGCCACAACCCTCGGGTGTTTCACGCACCGTTCCATTTCTTCGATGCTCCGTTGCTTGGGGTGTCGTGAGGAGGTCTTGAAGGATCTTCGTGATCGTTGTCGGCCGTTCGTGGATCGTGAGGGGAGGGGAGCCGGCGGCGGGAGGACGGCGAAGTGGTCGGTGGGGACGATGTGGTTTGGCACAAGGAACTTATGGGTCATTAAATGCGCTTACATAAGCCAGAGTGCGTGCCCTAATAAGGAAATGTGATGCGGTGCGGGGAGCAACCGTCGACAATTGTGGAATGTTGAATCGGAGTCTGTGCCTGTCAATCCGCTCCGGAACGATCTCACACAAAGTCTCACTCTCTTCTGCTCTCTTCTGATAGTCTGCAATTTTTCCCGACTTAGGACAGCCCACCACCATTCCTCTGTCGCCACAGTAGTGGTGAGACCGTCACTAGAGGTCCACAACGAATGTGCAGCCACCTCGCAGCCACCACAAGGCGACCTCGGCCCTCGGGGGCGTAACGAGGGAAATGTGGAGTAAGTCTTACGTTTAGCCGGATCGCCCGACAGCCGGCGCTCTGACTTTCTTCCATGCTTCACTAGCTCGTTTCCGATGAATGCACCAACCTGGACCATCAGGAGGTAGCGTTCAGCCAAGCCCCAGGATCTCTCAGGACACGACCAATGTCATGCTGTGTACATCCCAAGGAACAGTCAAACATATGTGGAGCATCCAGGTTCGCCCCCCGTGCCGTATGCTATCGGAGATAGTCACGGCGTGGCGCAGTACGCACTAGGCCAGATCATTCGATCGTCGCCATGATCCATCTCCGGAGATCCTTAGTTGCCGCAAGCTGCGCTGCTCCCGTTGAGCTTCAACGTGCATCGGTACGTCTGCTTAGGGGGCTATCGATTGTCATATATATCTGTTACAGTCAGCCACGGAGACTATCAGGGGGCCTAACCACTCACCCTGGGTCTCGCCCTGTGGGGGCTCCTAAGATACAGGTATAAGCTTCACCCATCAGACGGAGAGCTGCTGTACGTACAGTATCCACCGCGACGCTGAGCTATAATCGAGTGTAGCAGTGTAGGACCCCCCGGACGCGTTTGCACATATTTAACGACTTGTAGGACCCCAACGGGCCTTTTAGGATTGTAAATTTCAAACTTGGCCGCGCCGTCCAAAAAACCGGCGTCCATTAGTCTGCTCCTCTCAAACTTGTTGTTGGGGACATTTGTAAGTCCTCACAAACTTACAAATAATAGGAGACGACGTACAGGCTTTCTGTTCCAGATCACCCACTAGTCAAATAGGGGTACAGTTGCCCTGGGCCCACGCGGTGCGAACTTCCGTCATGACTGCTCTTTCCACGGCCGAACATCAGTATCGGTGGTGCCATTCGCCACACCGTGCCTGTCGGAAGCCCAAAGCTTGTTCATTCCGTCATGGCAGCATATACCAAGCCATTGTGCTCAACTCGGGCTTCAAAGTGCGAACCGGGAGCCATAGGCTCTGTTCACGCGCATCAGGCCAATATCCTTGAGTGAACGTGCCTCGCTTCTACGGTGAAATCCCATCCCCGATTTCAAAACGCAAGGTACACATCATGGTGTTCAGCGTTCCGTTTGTGAAGGCATGATGCACAAGCGCTGCTGAAAACGCGAGCGCGCGCTCGCATGAGTCCCCACGCCTCACTCACGGCATGGTCTGCGATCCGTTTGCCACCCGGTAGAGCGACCGTGGAGGCACGCTTGCCATATTTGCATCCATTTCACAGCAGACGGCATGGTCTCATCAAGGCCTTTGACATGCTCACGCACATCGCGTTCTGTGCCCCGAGCCTGCGTCCAGGACACAGCGCAGGTTCTGTCCACGCCGTGTGTAAGGTGTGCGCCCAAAGGGGATCAACTGAGCTCAAACTGCAGTACCTGTATAAAGCGTCACAAAAATTAGAAATATGGACCAGCTCGTTGTAGAGACTCACTATTTTCTAGCCGCCGATGATCAGGACAAGTATAAGGTAATGCGCGCCCAGAAAACTGATTTATATCCGGTCGACGGGCATAAGGTAGAGGACCCCCGAATGCGCCAACGGCTGGGTTCCGCGTAAAGGCTTTGTTGATAGGAGTATTGTCAATGTCAGGAGTCCGGGCTCGCCATGCCGTCACAACCACCCCCGCCGGCATGTCGAAGGGCCGGTACACCTGCCTGTCTTCAGCACTTGATCTTGCACCGGGGCCACACGCGCGATCCAGAGGGTACGGCAGTGGCTGAGAATCGTAGTGACGGTCCGGCTTCTTACTATACATGAACGCAATCTTCCCCACACCTGACCTACCGCAGCCTGTCAACCCTACCGCCCACTCTTCACGAAACATGAGGCCCGGCAGCCGCTTAGCCCGGTCGTGGCCACGCCATGCCCTCGTCGTTGCGCGGCCGCATGCGCGTTACGTCAATATACTGCCCGGGCCACGCATCCTCGCCTATAACCCCGAAAGTCAGCGTCGGCGCTCGCGGGTAGCAGAACGGACAGAGAAGGGTGGAGTACGCACTGCGATCTATGATGTTCATGTCCAGGTCGTCCTCGTCCTCGTCTTCTTCTTCTTCCGCGGGGTCCCACCGGTCCGCCGCAGCGGCTGCAGGGTTCTTCTCGCGGTCGAGCGTGAGGTCCTTCATAAAACGGCTCATGGACTCGTCCTTGACCGTCTTCAGCGATTTTTCGCGAGCCGCACGGGCGCGCTGGAGCTCTGGCAAATATTCCCTGGGTGATGCAGACCGCTTAGATGCTTCCGACGCGACAAAAAAAATTCCGGCGTACCTCTCGTACTCACCGCGCGACGCCTCGACGGCATCGAAGAATTCTTTGATACCTGCTCCGGTGACGCTCGACACGCCGACCGCCTGTGTGGACAAAAATCTGATCAGCACTCTAGACCCTGAGTATGAGCGGGTCGACTGACCGTTAGATGTTTGTAGAATTCATCGAGCACGAGGCTCATACTATTCATAAGGCTGTTCATGTACGTCGGCTCGCCCTCGTCGTCCGTCGTGCCCTGATGTGAAGCGAGGGCTGCTTGGAAGGCCTCGAAGTCCTGCATCCACTCGATCGCGAACTCGTGCGTCTGCACGTCGGTTTTATTGAAGACGAGGATGAACGGAAGCTTGGTTTTGTACAGGATACTAGACACAAGAGTCAGTGCATAATTCTCTGAGAAGACTAGCCAAGCGTGGCTAACCTGCATGCATACAACATGTTCGACATGAATGTAGCGGGTGCTGTTGTCCGAGGCGTGTCGATGATGTAGGCTACCACCGTCGGTAGCGAGGACGCAACGGCGTCCGTGATGATTGCGCCAGACGCTGACCAAGTAAAAATCTCAATCTGCCCTGGCGTGTCCAGAATGACGTAGCTGCGTCGCATCAGTCATTGACTGCGCAACAGGAGTGCCCAGGTCGAGCTCACTCGTGTTTACTGGCGCTTTTCTCGACAAAGTCTAGCACCTGGTCGAACTTCGTCGTGAAGAGGTTCAAAGCGGTCAGGATGCCGCCGTTGGGCCCAAGGTTGTACCTGCATTTGCGCGTTAGTAAGCGCAAATACGCTACGGCGCGAGAAGGACACACACTCCTTCATGACTTTGTGGTAGTCCACTGTGTCACGGATGTCAATATTGGCCTCGAATGGGGTACTGGTAACCGCTGGGTCGAGGTTAAGCAGGTAGGGTGGCGAGGGTGGCTGCTTCGAATGCAGATACGAGTTGATTTGCTGCACGAAGGTGGATTTTCCTGCCCCCGCCATTCCGATCGTTATAATCGTAATCGGCTTCTTCTTCTCTGCATTCGAGGAAGACGTCTCTGCTGTTGAAGTCATTTTAACGGTGTTTTGTTCTGTTCCTGGTGGTGGAGGAAGAGGAAGGGGTGGCCAGTCCCGCCGTCTCGGACCCGGAATCCCGTGAAATCGCGAAAAAGGAAGGAGTCACGCGTGACTTGGCTGATCAGGGGAGATTACGTCACGCAGCGTCACACCGGGTCACGTATTTGGACGCGCCGCCGACGGCTTGCGCACCTTGGCCTCGTTCCGCGATAATCACCTCGACATCGACGAGAACGCCGACTACGATGAACTCACCAGGCTCGACCAAGCTCAATATCTCAGGTATGAGGCATCTTCACGACGCCCCCCGTGGGCTCGAGGTGCTCACCAGGCTTGAAGGCATCGTCCTGCATGTCAAGGAATATGAAGGACAGCCGCCAGAGACGATGTCGTTCAGCAAGTCTGCATCGCGCACGATATCCGTGGGGCGAAAGCCAAGCCAAGGATACATCGCAGACGATCCGGAGCGAGCTCTTTTCCGGTGCCCGGTAGTGAGTCGTAAGCATGCGAAGATCACCTTCACGGAATATGGAAACGTATGCCACGGCTCCCTCTGCGTGCGAGGAGCCGTACGCTGAACATCTCTCACACCAAGGTATACATCACTGACCTCCACTCTCACCACGGAACGCACGTTCTCCGCCCGGGCGAGCTCGTCTGGACGGGGCTCAAGCCAGAAGTGCCCACCGTCCTCGCCGATGGCGACCTGATCACATTCGGGAAGACCGTTGGGCGGGAGAGCTATCTAGTGCGTCCTGTCGTCGTGCGCGTGCAGCTGGTCTTTGGCAGGGACGCCTCTCCAAGAGCACCCTCACCCCTGCCGAGTTCGCTCACCCATGATGACTCGTCCCCGGACAAGGCGCCCGCAAGATCGAGCTCTGGCCGCTACGGCGTGTACCCACCCTCTCCCGATTCCTCTCCATCGACGTCGGACGGCGATTCTGACGCTCAAGAGAATTCGCCGCCGGCGTCGCCCCAGGACCTCTTGCCGTCATTCGAGCGGGTCCTCTCACGTTCACAGAGCATGTCTCTTCAAAGTGGGCGGTTGCGTCTCCTTCAAAGTCTTCTACCCCCTATCCATGTCTCCCGACACGACTCTCCGGAGACCCCACCTTGTGATGTCGAAGAGTCGTTCTTCGAACCGGCGCAGGTAATACCTCTCGACCATGAGGAAGAAGACATGGACCTCTCGTCTAGTCGGTCCGCATCTCCGGAAGAGAACCGCGACGACGATGTGACTTTTGTTATGGCTCCCGAAGAACCCCCTATCGTCGGGGCCTGGCCAGGCTCTTCTTCGAGTTCCTCCTCGTCTCCTGAACAATCCCCTGAGCCCTTCGGCCACCCCGAAGTCATTGAGATCTCAGACGACGACTACGGCACTCCTTGTCAACCTCTAATTCAGGGCCATGCTGTTGATCTGACGGTGGAGGAGGTGATGCAGACTGAGAATGACCAGGCAGATGCGGATGTTCCGGAGTTCGTAGTCATGCACAACGCCTTCTTCCAGCAAGTCGAATCCATCGCTGAAGCCTCCGCGAGAGTGCAAGAGCTCGTCCAGCCAGAGGAGCGCGAAGCAGAGATGCAAGTCGACGTTGCTGCCGCTCAAACCGCAGAGATCCTCGTCAGTGTACTTGTTACATGCATTAGTCATCCGCGAACTCATACGTATTCATCGGCAGAACGAGCTGACTGTCATCCGCACCACCCGGGAGCTCGATGAAGCCGCGTTCTCCGCCCATGTTCAGCAAACGAAGGAGCGCCTCAGCGCTCTCGATGGCCAGATCGTCGAAACGCATGCGAGCCTCTCCACGCGCGAGGCACGGCTTACGCAGCTCCAGAGTAGGCTGCAAGGCCTGGGCGACCAAGTCTCGGACTTGCAGGAACGCAGCACGGTCGCCGAGCGCGAAGCTGCGCGGATCGAGGAATTGATGAAGGAAGTGGGAGCGGCGAAGGATACGTTGAGAGGTGCGTCCGTAATTCATCTCATACAAATCCTGCTCACCCTCTGATCGTGGCCGTTTCCAGAGACTTGCGATCTCCAGCGTGAAGCCAGAGCGCAGATGGCGGATGAACTCGAGGCCCTCAAGGCCCTTCGTATAGAAGCCGCCGCCGCCGTTGCCGAAGCCAAACTCGCAGCCGCAGCCGTCACTACTGCTGCATCGGTAAGCGCTAAGCCTCTCCCTTCTGCGAGTGTGTTGTATTCATCTTGAGGTGCTGCAGACCGCGAACGTCCTAAAGCGCAAGAGAGAAGACGCCGAGGACGAGGCAGAGCAGTCAGTCTCCAACAACGATGATTCACGCATAATCGCCGCGCTGCCCTCGAAGCGCCGCCGCACGCTGCAGGTCGCGTCGACCGTTGCGCACACGGCGACTGTCGCGACCATCGGCGCGGTTGCCGCGTGGGCTGCGCTAGCCTTCTCTTGAAGAGTGCTCTCTGAGGGTGCGTATCTCCATTCAGCCTCTCTTCGGTTGTGCTCGACGCTGATCATGATGCTATATCGCCCTAGTTTGTCACTTGTCCGGGACATGCATGCCTTTTCTTGCCATACGATCCGCCTGGGCGCGGTCGTTGTGTGGCCCGTCGCGGCAAGAGGAATTTTATGATCGTCTCTGAGATGGACACTGCAGGAAACTTGTATGTACTGTATCATTCGTTCACCATGGCACGTATGCTGTATGTTAGAGAGGAGTGCGTTGGTTGTATAGTATGTATCGCAGGCGTTGTACCGTATATAAACAAGGGACTAGTGTTTCACTGCATGATCATGTTGCCGCACATAGATTCCGAGGCTGTAGAAGGCTGAATGTCAGGTCGCCATCGCGTCGGATGGACCGTTGTGGGCATATGATTCCAGATAGGGTGTACTTCGTCCGCTCATAGGCTGAACAGGCATGGCTGCCATTGCTGGTGCAGTGCGTGCAGGGAACATCTGACTGCAAAGAAGGTTTCGATGAAGGCCTGAGCACGATGCATCATAAGACTAGAGGGCCAAAAATGCAATATATACAAGACATCGAGAATACGATTATATGCGCAAGATTCTATCCACAGTACATAAACATTGCAAGTCCAGTGCAGTTACTTCGGGCCTCCGTACGTATTGAGAACGTCCCGGGTCAGCGCGCGGAGCATCGCGATGGTCACGAGCGGCTTGTCGCCAACATCGGTCGCGCCAGAGGTACTAGGAGGCGGGGACACCGATACCTCGGTGTCGAGGTAGCCATCGTCCGACGGTGACATGCGGGTACGCTTGAAGGACAAGGAGCTGGCGGCCCATGAGCGGGGACGCTCGCAGACTCAGGAAGGAAAAGGAGAGCGTACCCGTTGAGACGGAGATCTTCCTGCGATGCGCGACGTTTCGGCGAAGGACCTATCGACGACGCCTTCAGCGCAGCCTCTGCGGCGAGCTGGCGGAGCCGGTTGGCTTGTGTCTCGATCACGTCTTCTAGATCTTGCACTGCGGAGTCGAGAGCCTCCCGCTGAAGAGTGACCGGGGATGCTAGCTTGTTTCCTAGTACTGCCTGCGCGGATGTGGCAAGTAGATTTGAGAGGCCTTCTGCGAACGGACCGGTGGAGTATCCTAAGGATTGAGGTGAGATGCCGATGGTGAGCCCATGATAGTCGATGCGTACCTCTGCCCATTTCGCCGGGTTGCTGGAGGTCTTCTGGGATCTCGATCGATACGTGAGACGGGACGCCCGGGAAGAGACTCAGGATCGTCTTCAGTGCGGTGTTCAGGATCTCCTCTACGGCCACTACCACTCGATCGTAACGTGTCCAGTTGACTGCACTCTAATGAGACGGAGGAATCATTGGAGGGGGTGCGCGTACTCACACTCGTCGTCTGACCAACAGCTGTCCACGAGGTCGGATATAGGTGACTCCACGGGAGCAACGAGTAGTTTCCGAATGTCTGCGGAGGATGTTAAAACAAATATGCCCAGATGGTACGAGTGCGCGTACCTTCCCATGAAAGCTTCACAGCGAGTCGATCGTCTGTATCGAGCGGCGTGGCGTTGACCACGTCTGCGAACTTCCTGTCCAGCTCCTTGGCAGTGGCTGAGACAGAGAAATACGAGACGTGCTTCAGCGAACCGTCCCGAACCGCCTTGTGCGTCTGGTGAAACGATAGTCAGGGCGACGATTCCACGCATGTCAGAAACGTGCTGCATACCATGTCGATGAAGTCCCTTGTATCCCCATCGTCTTCCTTCTCAGACCAATTGATGACCAGGAGGCAGGGCACGAAACGTTCCTCATCTGGCGGAAGCCGAGTCTCCAGAATGTCTCGAAGACGCGCACAGTCGTCAAGCACGCGGTATTTCCTGCATCCAACCACGTCGTTAGACATGTTTCGCCGTAGAAACCAAGTACACAGGCGCACTGACCTCTCGATCTCGTCCTCAACCCCCTCCAGCGGCGAGCGCTCGAAGATGATCAGCCCAGGGGAGCCCTGCTGCTCGGGCGCGTCAAACGCATGGATGCAGAAGACGTTCTCCGACACCCAGCGGCCGGACGCAGGCACATCGAACTTGTGCTCCAGCCAGATCGCAGTCTTGTCGTTGACGTTGTTCGTCGACAGCCAGATGCACCACTCCTGGAGCCGGGTATCGGGCGGCAGTCGCGCCTTGAGGCAGTCGACCACGGTTCGCCGGAAGGAGCCTTGTGCCCAGCGCTTCTCGTTCTCGTCGCGGTTCTGTTCGACATCATGTTAGAAAAAGAAGACTGAAGGGCTGCTGTGGTCAACGTACCTCCTGCAGCCGCCGCGCAAGGGCCTCGTCTGTCAACGGCTCCGCGAACTGTGCAGACTTGCGCCGTTTCACCCGCCGTACTTGCGCAGTGTCGACAGGCGTGACAGCTGAGACTCGCCGCTTCTTCGCTTGCGCCTTGTCCGGATTCACTCGCCCGTTGTGGCTTGTCGATAGCCGCGTGCGCTGGACCTCCGCCTGGTACGACTCGCTGCGCTTGCATGCCTCCTCCCACGCCCTGCTGTTCTCTCTGCACTTTCTCCAGCGCGCCCAACAGTCCCGGACGAGATGGCTTTTGCGAAGGAAGTTGACCGCTAACGGCTCGAGGTCCGCGACGCTCTCCTTCGCCTTACCCTTGCCCTTCGTGGGTGACGGGGACGAAGGGGAAATGCCGTTCGTCCGGATCTCGAGGACGGGCTTTGGTGCCTTGGACGCAGAGTCTGGCGTCTTGTTGACGGGTGATGTTGCCGCGAATGACTCCATTGTGGACTGCCGATGGAGCGCAGGCGTACCGGGCTGAAAGAGCAGCGCATCGCCGGTCGCAGAAGTCGTCTTTCCGGTAGGCGTCGTGATGTGTATGGGACTCAACACGTCCGAGGCACTCGGCGTCGGCATCGACAGGGACGGGAAATGGATCATAGACTGCTTGCGCGACAGGGTGGAGCCTTCGGATGACTCGAACCATCGTGCGGTCGGGGTGGGGGGAAGGGTGATGTGAGTTGGCCTACCCAGAGCGGGTGGAGGGGCGGTGGGAGAGATTGGGGAAGAAGGCCCGGTGGGCGTTCCAGGAGAAGGTGTGTAAGTCATTCGGTCCGTCTTAAGGCGGGCGATTGGTGACGACGACCCGGGGAGGTCCCATAGCGTCTGCCGCCGTTCGACAATCCGCGACGGGGTAGGGGGAGGAGGCATGTCTTCCCGTGACACATTTTCTTCAGGTGCTGTCGACGGTGCAGATGGTGCGACAAATGCTTCAGGAGTATCGAAGAACAGGTTTGGTTGCGTGAAAGAAGCGGCTGGCTTGGGCGGCGAGGAAGATGATCCCGCAGATGGCGCCGCGAATGGGTCGGAAAATATTGGCGGCTGATTTGCGGGCTGCGTCGCCGGCGAGGGTTGTGTCGAGGGTTGGGAAGGGATGGATGGAGAGGATGACTTTGTTTGGGGAGGAACAAAGCTCGGGGCGAAGGGGTTGAGAGACGGACCACGCGGAGGGCTAGAATTTGCAGGTGCGGATGTTGATGTACTAGGGATGGGAGCCGAAAACGGAGGCGCCTGGGTTGTGGTCGCAAATCCTGGCGACTCTGCTGGCCAAGTGGGCTGCGAGCTCAAAGGGGCAGTAGTCAGAGGCTTGGAGAAGATCCCACTAGTAGTTGTGGTAGGCGCTGGTGTGAATGGATGGGCACTCGAGCTTGACGAACCGAACGCGGATTTCGGCGTGCTTCCGAAAGCCGAAGTCGGCGGGGCACTCGTCGATGCGCCGAAGGTTGCCCCACCAAATGCCGATTTCTTGGTAGCCAGGTTCCCGAACGCCGACTTCGGAGGGGCAGAGGATGACGAAGATGGTGCTGCGCCGAAGACGTTGGTACCGGCCATCTGACCTAGGCCTCCAAAGACGGAACATCCCGCAGGCGCGGAGAAAGAAGTACCATTGGTTGCCGAGCCAAACACGGGTTGCGTTGGAGGCGGAGGAGGAGCGGAGGCGGAGGGTGGGGCGCCAAAGTTGTTCGTCAACCACTCTGTTGCACTTCGGGCAACTGGCTGGGAGGCAGGCGCAGGCTCTTCAGTGACCTCCAAATGGTCCGTCATGGAGGCAGGGCTGGCAGTGATGAACGCATCGCCGTCAGGGGATGTCTGCGCGTCCTCCACAGGCTCAGAGATGCCGTCGATGATGTCCGGGATACCAAGGCTGCCGCGGATGCTCTCGATGCCCTCGATGGCCTCCTTCCCGAAGTGACGCTCCAGGATGCAAGCGACCAGATAGATCATCACGATGTTGTTCTCGTTGCGGAGGACGCCCGCCAGCTCCGAGAATATCTGCATGGCCTCCGCGTCGACGACCAGCTTCGACACCTTGGAGATGGGTGCGCTCTTCGCCTGTACGCGTTGTCGGAACTGAGTCGTAAGGCGAAACACGGCGTGATTCCGGATGTCGTCGGGGATCTCCTCGTGCCTTTCCCGCTGGTCCCGAATGTGGATGAGACGGTGGTACACACGCATCTCGAGTTCTGTCGGTGCTTGGTAGCGGCCACGCTGGTCCTCGTAGAACTCTTTCAGACTTTGAAGGGCTAAGATGACCAGGCATCAGGCAGCGTATTAACGGTTGGACACGAACACAACTTACTGTTCATCAACTGCTGCTCTTCGAGGGCGACTGAGAATCTCGGGCTTTCACGCTCCAAGTGTAGCGCTAGGATATGGAAGCGCGCGCAGCGGTCGTGACATTCGATCGCCAGCGGACCGGTTTCATGCTGCATCGTAAAGTCATTTCGTACGGCACGAGACCGATCGCGGATGAAGTCGTAAGTTTGAGAGAACCCCTCTCGCATAAGAAGGTCATGGAACAGATAGTTCAGCGTTTTCTATCATGGAGTTAGCAATAGCAACCGAGTGCACGTTATATTGACAAACCTTCAACACGGGAGGTGGTCGTAGATCCGACGGGAGCGTCTTGTCACCGGCAGCGCGCTCGTATATTTTGACCGCGCGTCTGTGGTCGACGCGTTTCGTTCCGGGAATCTTGAAGCAAAATCAGCCTATACCCGTGCAGTGTAGGACCGCTCAGGTTTGAAGGTCGGATCGAGTTCAGCCAGTGGCACCACACCACCCACTAAGGACAAGTGCGGGCCGAACGTCAAACAGGGTCAGGTCTGTTGTAAACGAGAATCATGTTAGCCTTGTTCAGTTGCTCGTAGCATGCGGGAAGGGTTTGCCTTCACTGCAGCGAGCCGAACACTAAGGACGACGTACCTGACTGGACCCGACCCGACCTCCAAGAATTCAGCAGCCCCAGCGATATCAACACGAAACGACGTACAACTTCCCACTTGTCCAGGTTGTTCTCCCTCTCACGCCGGTAGCGTTCGAATCGCGGACACATGCCCATGCAGGTCCCGACCATTGTGATTGCCTCGTCCAGGCGTTTCGGTACGAGAGGGTCATCCATCTTGCCCTCCGCAATCGCCCGCTTGCGTTCTACCTCGCGTTGTTTGACGAGCTTGGTCGAAGGGTGAGCTGTCCACGCGTCAGTCATCCCAGTCTGCACATACCTCCTGGTAGAACTTCTCGCGTTCCTCCTGCGTCTCCAGCACAGGCTCGTCCTCTTCAAGGTCTTCGGGCTCTTCTTCGTGCGTGCTCTCCGCCCCGCTGATGTGATCGTCCTCTGTCCCGCTGGCGCCTTCTTCGTGAAATTCGTTGGGTACGGTGAGGTGCGTGCTGTAGTGTGCCTGCCCACGGCCCCTGCCACCGCGTCGATGATGCCCGCCGCGCGCCCGCCGTTCATCGCCGCCGTGTACATTGCTGGTATCTCCTTGACCCGCAACCCATTTCTTGTTGCGTGAATGCGGCCGGCGCCCCTCGGCCGCACCCTGGATGTGCATCATTGTGGCGGAAAGAGAAGAGCCCTAGCGAGCACAGGCCGATGAGTGGAGCAGATCAGAGAGGTCTTCAGCTTGTACACAAGGTGCGTTGAGAGTCTTCCACAGCACGATATAGACAAACAGGCAGCCGACGCGTCTGCGGAGGTGTTGAGGGAGGAGGAGTCGAGCGACCGTCGACGAGGGTCGAGGACAAGGTGAATAGGCGCCCATGGCGTCTGCCAATCTGGGAATAATTGCTTAGTCAGCTGTCCGGCCCGTCAACCGCTTGCGCTAGGTGAGCAGGGTGAGCTCGTTAACGACCACGACGACCACGACGACCACGACGGCGACCAACACTACGTCGACCCCGGGGACGGCCCCCGCCGTGTATAGCTCTACCGCGTCCCTAAGTCAACACTCTGTCCGACATCTTTAGTGCGGTTGCGTACATGCATTCACCCGAGTCGGATGCGGCGGAGGAAAGGATACCTCAGGATATCAGTGCGTTGCACAACTCTCGCCTTCATTCATATCCACTTATGTCTGATTCATTTAGTCGCCATATTCCACGCATCATTCCACCCAACTCAGGGGAATGTTATTGACTGGTCTCTCAAAGCCAGTGAAGGTACGTGACGGGGTCTGCTTGGTTTCACCGCTAAACATTCAAATATTCTTCAACAGACTTGGACTTGTCTCATGTCGAGTTCAGCTGTCTCCCAAGCGGTCTGCACCTTATAGAGCGCGATGTAATGTGAGTGCCGAGCTCCACTTCTCTGTCCACGAGTCCGATGCACTGCGAGAGGCTTGGTGTGTAGGCTCGTCAGTGGAGTATCACTTCATAGCATTTCGCCAAGCGCATTTTTCGCGTTGCGCTATCGGGAACGTTGCGTGGTCTAGCAGGATACGCCGCCGTAATGCCAACGTTCTTTAATTCGCGTGCTAACGCTCCTCCCCATGCAGCTATTTTAACAAGGACGAACATCAGGGCGTGTGTGTATTCCGCAGAAGACAGACCACAGAACACGGTCACCGCGGTTTCCGTCTGTCCTCCTTTGGTGTATTACTCGCCAAGTCACCTCGCCCTAAACCTTGGAAGCACGTTGCAACCCTCAAATCGCTGGTTGACACCGTATACTCCTCCCTTGAGGACCGCGACGCGCTCGATATCCTCGACGCTGACTGGGACCCTGCGCGAGCGTATTTTGAAGAGCACAAGGTGCACCAGGCAGATCTGGGAGGCGCAGGCAACTGGCAGGGCTGGAACTCGGAGCTCGAGGCTGCTCCGCTGGATGTCAGCCCCACTGTCCATCTTCCCCATCTTCTACGTATCCTGGGTCCGTCTTCTTTGACCTTGTACAAGCACATCTTAGGACGCCGGAGGGTTTTGATCATCACCCTTCCCCCTGTCGAGGCCGCATGCATGCTTTGTCAGGTCGCCGCGGATATATGCTACGAGGAGCAGGTGAGCGAGCCTGTCTCAGGATCCGCTAGCCAAGATGGACGTGAAGGGGACGACGCATCCCCTCGAGTAAAGGGTCGCAGCGCCGCCGGTATCAAGGTGTTGGGCATGGTCACTCTCAACGACTTGGACAAGCTAGAGTTTGAGAGCAAGTCGGGGCGCGGCTGGATTGCGTGCACCACGGACTCTATCTACTTGGACAAGCCCTCATGCTATGATCTGCTCATCGACCTCCGCTGCGCTACTCCCAACACAAGACCGACTTTCCATATATCCAAACCGGTAGAACCACCGAGTGGACGGGGTCCTTCTTACCGGTTATCCAGCATACGTTTCACTTGGAGCGACGTCCGACTGGTAAGTCGTCTCCTAATGCACACTTGTTTTTGCACTGACCACTGCGCAGTGGACCGAACTTGACCGAATCCTCCAACTGGACTCCGAAGGCAGTCTGGATGTATGCTGCGACCCCTCACATTGCAACGGCAAAGGGCACGCTGGCCCCAGCTCAACATGGACCGACGTTTGGCGCGTCTACGAGGATGTCTGCGTAATGTGCGCTGGGCTCTGGATGGGCGCGTGGCGCAACACCTCTGCATCCCCCTACGCCTGCACCCCGCGCCGCGCAGAAAACTGGGGCAGCATCCATCTCGAAGGCGAGGACGACCTAGGACTGCGCACACGCTCAACCCCATACATCCGCAGCATCGGCCAGGGAATCGAAGGTCGCCCCTCTGGGAGCACACTGCCATCTGGCCTGGGCAGTCTCACTCCCCGCGCGCTCCGCAGGGCGAGTGCGATGTCCGCGTGGACGTGGGCAGGCGGCAAAAACGGCGACACGCCAGAACCGGAGCAGGCACCACGACCAACGGAAAACGCGCCCGCCGCGTCAAGCGGGATGTTCATCCCTGGCCAGCGTAGTAACGTCCCCGAGCCAAATACGCGCCAGGACTCGGCAACGGTGGCGCGGCGCGAGCGGCAAGTGCTCACCACGCTCGCGCTGCTCGACGCGTTCCACGCGAACACGACGGTCGTCCTCTCACGGTTCGCGGCGCTCCTCGAAACGCGCAAGGCACAGCAGCAGCAGCAACCGTTGTCGTCACGAAGAATCGACCTGGACGCGGGCCTCATAGCAGGGGCGCATCTAGTGTTGTTCACGCCGAAGGACGTGATGTCGTTCGAGCTCGGACCGTTCAGCGGACTCGACGCACGCTTCGTGGAGTGGCTGGGGGAGGAATACGGCGGTGGCGTGCGCGTGCTGGTGCGGCGCGGCTGGAAGGATTTGGTCGGACTTATCCTCGGATTCGGCTGATGGGGCAGTGTGATCGGACTTGCCATAGACGAGGGAACGGCTGGCCGAGTGTGAAGTGCTCGCGGTATCCACCGTGAGTTACGACAAGTAGATTAGGACGGTATGTCTGCTACCATGTTATGTTGATACCCATTATGTTTTATATAGGTCTGGCGATGTTATGTAGCTTGTCCGCCTTAGGTGCTCGGTTTCGGAATTTCCTGCTGTCCATTAGGAGATGATGCGCTCAGGGGCCGACTAGTCCTCTTGTCCATTGTGCGCACCTTGACGTGGGTAGAGTAGAGGACGGGCCAGATCTGGTCTCATTCGCGTCGAGAATTCTGCGCACGAGCCAGGACACGCCAACTCACTCGACCTCCACCTCTGCGCAGATGGCCAAGCAAGGACTTACGACACTAGATTCTGAAATGGATTACAGATATACAGGATACATCGACGAAGCGTACGTACGATGCGAGGGGAAAAGGGACAAAGCAGTGGCGTATTACAGTGTCACGGAAGAGAAGAGGATATACCACACAAAAACATAGCACATTGAAGCCAAACGAGACGTCCTTGAGCAGTAGTACGAGGTGAATCGAGGGGACGTACGAAGGAGCTGGAATGCTAGGCTCGCTTGGGGAAGTGGGGACTATTGAATGCGGATGCTTTGAAACAGATACGGACGGCAGAACAGCGGGGGATAGTAGAGTAGACATCACGTCGTGGAACGGTACCAGACGACGCGCCGACAGCAGGACGATGCCCTTACAACTACCGCCTAGCTGTTGCGGGGCGCGGTATGCCACGACGCTTGCCCCTTGTCGGATTCTTCTGCGCGCGGGTGGCTTGACCTGTCGCTGCCGTAGCGGGCCCCGAGCCGGATGGAGCGGCAGCAGCGCTGGGTTCGGTCCTAGCCTTCTTCGACGATGCCGAGGCCCGCCCGCTGGCAATGTTAGACATTGCTGTCGATTTCATGACGACGATGTGCTTCTTGGGGTTGTAGCTCTCGGAGAGCTGGTCACCTACACGGTCCGCAGGCCAGTCGTCGGATCTGAGAAGGTACCTGGAGAAAATCTCGGTTGTGATGAGGTGGCTGTCAAGTTGCGCCGCTCTTTTCTTCGTCAGGTCCCAGCTGGGGTTCTCCGCCTTGGTGGTAGTGCCGTCGGCGTCCTCTTCTTCATCGCTCTCGCTGAGTTCATCGACATGTTCATCGCCGCCTCTCATCTTTTGTCGAATGTTCGACAATTTGGCCCGTATATTGTTTTTCCCGTCTTGGGGGACATCGCCGTCCAGGTCGTCTGCCCTCGCCTGGACATGGGAGGTACCGTGAGTCGGGTCAACTTCACGGAGATATCTGTCTTGCTTCCGCAGTATGCGATAGCGGGCAACGAATAGCCGTAGCCACCTGCGGAGAAGTTTATTGAGAGGGTGCTTTGGGGCGTTGTCCTCGTTCAGGAATTGGAGGTCCGTCATTCCCACGCAAAGTTCGCCATGGAAGATTGCGGAGGCCTTGGCGGCACTGCACGTCTGTTTTACCGACTTCTCGTGCAACTGGAACGTGTCGAAGTAATCAGCGATGAAGGATGGCACGCAGTCCGCCCACGTGTGGCGAAGGTATCGAACGGAGTGGTGGAGGAGCACGTGGAAGAATGACTCGAGCTCATCCGGAACACTGACTGGACGCTCAGGGTGTGTCGTATATTGCACTGACATGAACTGCCAAGTTCCCTGATGAGTTTACGGAAGGATGAGCGCGGACGTATACAATGAGAAGGGATAGACAACGAACCGTATACTCAGGCTGCCGGGCACGCTGGAAGGCGGTGTCTTTCGGAATGTATTTCGCGAGCTCCCAATCGGTCAGGCATCCTTGCCACATGACACGCCTCCTGCCGCTATCGCACATCTCGACCTGGGGCATGATGAGAATATTCCCAGTGCTGATGTCACAGTGAAGTAGGCCAAAATGGGCGTATGCGTCGTGGTGCGCTATGAAATATCAATGTCAGCGGACTGTATTCCTGTCTGATTTACGAATGAGGTGTTACGTACTGACAATGCAGTCCAGAATCAACCGCACGAGCTGCTCGCCGCTTGTAAACTGCCCCATCTTAAGGCAGACTTCTTGCACGGCGAGGCGGTAGTGGATGAGTAGCCGGGCCTGTGGGACAGACTCGGGCTCCGCCGTCGTCTCCTCCTCTTCCATGGCGCCTTTCTTCCCGTGCGTAGACTCGCCAGACACGCTCTCAGCAGGAGGCGTCACAGGCGGCATCTGCTCGTCGGTCATGTACTCCGCGACGTACGTTGTCTGCTGAAGTACGTCGCCGTGTGCGACGACGGTAGGAACGGTCAACTTGACGCCGGGCTTCGATCTCATCGTCTCGAGATATTTGCCTTCCGGTTCCACGTCCTCGTAGAACGACCTCCAGGAATCTTTGAGCCAGACAAACTTGTTGTTCTTGACATCGCACGCGATATAGCCACGCGTCCCCCGACCGAACATCGAGGTGGCTTCGAAGACTGGGCAAGCGACGAGAAACTCGTGCTTGTCTTCACCCACTAGGAGTTTGTACCGCGGCCAGCCTTTGCACAAAGACTTCTGGAAGTCTTCACGGACGTATTTGAAGAGAGGCTGTGATGGCTGCGATGTTTTTAGCCGAGTATTTCCTGCCGGATCCGGGGGAGGAAGGGCATCGGAGTCGGGAAACTCGGAGACGTCGGCGAGCTCCTGGAAGGGCATGTCAAGCGCTGGATTATCGATAGCCCATGTGTCCATCAGCGTGTAGTCGTCAGAGCCTTCGACGAGGAGTGTCGCGGTGGGATCGATGCCTTGCCGTTCGTCCGACATACTAGCGAAGGCCCAGAGAAAATGAAGCAGCGAGCCCGGATTTTCCAGATAGTTGATCGCGTTGGTGGCGATAAGCCCAGAGCGATCCCAGTACATGCCCCTGAACTCGTCGCCGTTGATCAAGAGGGAGAACAACGCGGTACGGTGCTGGTACTGGAATGTGGCTGAAGCGTATGCGAGAAGCTGCCCACGTACATCCTGTCGCGACTGCGCCCACGCCTCCGGATGATCGCTCTTGTCATCGAACGGGTCATTGGCGGTGCCGCCCTTCTTGAACTCGATGAAGAGCCGAAGATGGGTCCAGTTCGGGCAATGATTCTGTGGGAGCACCACGCTCGGATACAAGGCAGCCTCGACGCTAGGCTTTGTGCGGTCTGTCGTGGAGTGGCTGTTCTGCGAAATCGCTGCCCGAAGCTTCCCGGGGAGGGCGATCTTATTGATGACGTCCTTGACCTGAAAAGGACGCATGAAGCTTTGGCCTACGAGATTAGCAGAGAGACATACGATGGTGTTCGCAATTTCATTCTCGCTGACGTCTTCACGTCGTAACCCGTCTTCATCATAGAAGAGCGTGTTCACGGTCTCTATCATAATGCTCGTCGCCTTCCACGGTGGCCTAGGGATGTCGCCGTTGACCTGGGGCCATAGGATGTACTTCTCAAAATCGGCTAGGGTGGTGACAGTACTCGAGTCCATGATGTCCACACCTCGATTTGTCTGTCAATCGCAGCGTTGGGCTTCAAGGGGGCGACAAGATTATAGAGGTCGACCGGCTTGTTATGCGTAGGCTTGCTTGGGCTACTCTGCTTATTGCTGCTCAAGGAAGCAGGAGTGGGAGGTTGTGGATCAGCTATGCCTGAATGCAGAGAAATGGGCGAAGATGGGCGGGAAATGAACGAACATGAGGAGCGAAAATGCGGCTTGATATACCCCCAGCGAGCAGTGGCTAGGATGGCGCGTGGCTTGAAGGTGGCTAATAGACGAGCGCTGAACGGAACAAAGTTAGCCACGCATAAATACAAAGAGGGGATTGATGGCTGGCGGGGGTAGGACAATGGGAAGACTTACTGCTCTGGCTAAAGTGCGTGATGGAGGTAGGAGCCAAGGAGCGGGCGCTTGTTAACCACTATGTTCGAGTTGCCTTTTCGGGATGACAAACGGTGATTGCCGTCCTGACACTGGCGCGCCCGCGCAGTCAGAGTCTCTCCCCCAGCGTCGAACTTGAATGTCCTGGCATCGGCCGTCCCGAGACTCTAGATCTTCCTTAAGGACGACCTCCTAGCCGTGTGGGATTGAAAGGAGTCATGAGCGACGTAACATAGACGAAAATGAGATCCGTGGATTACTGTACGCTTATATGTATTTATGCCAGCCTGGAGCATAATACTAGAACGTGTACTTATGTGATGCGACGGGGCACTATAGGACAAAGCGGTGACAATGTCATCGCAGATGGGTAGCCTCGTCCCTCCGCGCTCTACAGGGCGACCGCAACGGTCGCGTGGAAGTGATCTGGAGGGGAAATTGCAACACGCCAGAACTCGAGCAGGCGCCACGACCATTGCGGGACCCGCCATAGGACATATGACGGGGTTTCATTGTGCTGACGGTGGCCGTTGACAAGCGACAGTCATACACATTGTCGGGCGCACGAGCATCCCCTCTCAGGACGTTATCTTGAACTTGATTTAGACCACGTCGAGCGGGTTACATGTCAGAACGCGGATGAAAAAACCGCATACAATGCTGCGAGTTTCATATACGAACGCAAGACTACGAAACGACAACCATCGTCCTTGAGTGAATATTATAGACAGGACAATACGTATCATAGCTAAAGAGAGCGGCAGGGCTAAGCAGAGACTGGAATAGGGGTCAGAAGGGTATAAGCAAGCATCCGGGGAAAGCGAGATATGCTATAGGACAAGAAAAAATGAGAGACCGTGGGGCCTACCGATGTTAAATTGAGCTTGAGGACAGTAGGAGTCGTGAAAAGCCTATGGGATGGGACGGGCGACGGCGGCGGGTAGCGAGCGGGGTTGACTGAGATAGCTTTGCACTGATATGGAATCCGCGCATATCGTATAGCGGGTAGAGTCCGAAAGGGGAGTTTGCTGAGGATACAAGGTGCCGATACGGGAGAGAAGCTGGCCCGTTCATGTCTAAGACCGCGGACGGGTGGCGCGCCTTTTGTGAAACTTGCGCCTCGTTGGCCGCTTCTGCAATGATGGTACGAGAGGAGCGTCCGACGTGGTGGGTCCTGAGCGTGCTGCAGCGGCCGCGCTAGCTTCAAGCTTCGCCTTCTTCGCACTCGAGACATGTCCACTGGCGTGAACACTGGAAGAGGCCATCGCTGTTTTCTGTGCGACGAAGTGCCTCTTAGGGTTGTAGCCTTTGGTGAGCTGATCCCCAACGACGTCGTCTTTTGGCCACCCGGAAGCCTTGAGGGCCCTCCTAAGGATTGACTCCGTCTTCTTATGGGTTTCCAACGCCTTGGCTCTTCTTTTCCACTTGGAAACGGTGGCAGCGTCTTCGGCGTCACTATCTTCCAAGTCCGAGTCGGACTCCGGGTCGGCGTGCGAGTTTAGCATGGCTTCTAACTCCGTCGGGGTCGTTTCCTCTGTCGGGACGTTCGTTTCCCGAGGCTTGTCATCGACTTGATCAGGCAGGCGATAACGAGCCACGAAGAGTCTCAGCCAACGTTTGAGAAGCCTGTCAAGAGGGTGGTCGGGAGCCTCCTTCGAGGCTTTGAATTTGAGGGCGCCTTCATCGACTCGGATCACGCCATTGTCCACCGCGTAAACCTTCTGGCTACTGCATAGTATCTTGCCGCCCCTCCCAACCTGGAAGGTGTCGAAGTAGTCAATGACGAAGGGCGTGGTTGCATCCTGGAGAGTGTGTCGGAGATAGCGGACGCCATAGTAGACTAGGACGTGGAGAAATGATTCGAGGTCATCCGCGACCACGACTGGGAGCGTAGGGTTTCGCACATGCGATACTGACATAAACTGCCATGTTCCCTGAGCACCGAGTTGGCGATGAGCACGCGAGAATTGTTTCGGTAATATGTCCACACACCGTTCGTTCTGGCTGCCTAGCACACTGCGTCGAATCATCCTTGGGGACGTACTTCGCAAGCTCCCAGTCGGTCAGGAATCCATGCCAACCAACCCGTTTTGACCCATCTGACATGGTGTAGACTTTCGGTAATATCAGCAGGTTTCCGGTGCTGATATCCCGGTGAAGCAGATCGAAGTGCTCGTAGGCTTGACGATGTGCTACGAATGCGAGCGTCTGTGTATAGTCCTCAAGCAGGACGATGTCACTCACTGACGACACAGTGCAAGAGCGTCCGCACCAGCTGCTTTCCACTCGTGAAGTTACCCATCTGGAAGCAGACTTCTTCCACGGCGATGCGATAGTGGATGAACATTCGAGGCTCAGCGGGAACCTCGGGCTTCTCTTCCGTGTCGTCGTCTTCCCTGGTGCGCTTCCTGCTATTCGTAGACGCGTCGGACAGAACCTCAGCAGCAGGCGGCTTCGGCAGGAGCTGTTCAGCTATGTATTCAGCAGCAAATGTCGTCTGCTGAAGTACGTCGCCGTGCGCAACGACGGTGGGGACGGTTAACTTGATGTCGGGCCTCGACACCATCTTCTCGAGATAGTTGCCTTCCGGCTCCACGCCCTCGTAGAATGGCCTCCAAGAGTCCTTCAGCCAGACAAACGTGCGGTTCTGTACGTCCCAAGCAATGTACCCACGCGTCCCGCGACCAAACATCGATGCGGCATTGAATGTCGGGGAAGCGACTAGGAACTGGCGCTTCTCTTTGCCAACTAGAAGGCGATACCGTGGCCCACCTTTGGCCAGAGAGGCCCGAAACCCATCGCGGATGTATTTGAAGACCGGTTCCGATGACTGCGCTGACTGCTTGGATTTCTGTGGAGTTCCCGACGCAGGACCATTGTGAAACGCCCCCGTTCGGCTGTCGGAGAACCAGCGTGAGACATCCGCACCCTCGGAGAACGGGGCATCCAGCGCTGGGTTCGCGCGAGCACACACGTCCATGAGCTTGTAGTGTTCGAAGTCCTCAGACAGCAGCGTCGCGGTGGGATCGATTCCTTGTTGTTCGTCCGTGAGACTCGCGAATGACCAGAGAAAGCGAACGAGCGTGCCCGGATCCTTGACATAGTTCGTTGCCTCGGTCACGATGAGCCCCGAACGGTCCCAGTACATGGCCCTGAACGCGTCGCCATTGATGAGAAGGGAGTACAGCGCCGTGCGGTGCTGGTATTGGAACGTGTTGGTTGCGTATGCGAGAAGCTGTTCGTGTACATCCTGCCGCGACCGCGCCCATGCCTTCAAATGTCCGTTCTTGTCGTCGAACGGATCGTTCTCGGCTCCGCCCTGCTTGAACTTGATGAAGAGCCGAAGGTGGGTCCAGTTGGGGAGACCATCGCGAGGGTGAAGCTTCGCATCCTGAGGATATAGAACAGCGGAGATATCAGGGGCAACAAGAGACTCAGAATCGACGGAGTGAGCTTCGCTCTGCACAAGGTCTGCACGAAGACGCCCTGGAAGGGCGATCTTGTCGAGGACATCGTTGACCTACAAATGTGACCACGTCAGTGCATAGCCTACAACATATCATGGAAGACCAACCATGACCCGCGCCACATCGACGCATTTGAGGTCTTTACTTCTCTCCCCACTGTCCTCGCTAGTGCGGAAAAGCTTGCGAATCGCACTCGTCATTGTGGCTACGGCCGTCAACGGGGGCCTGGGGATAGCGCCTTCGCATTTTGACCACAGGATCCACTTCTCAAAGTCGTCGAGACTGATAGTCGTTATACTGCACATAGCTTCTTGATCGCAAGGGCGTGAATTCAGCCGTGCAGTGTCGTGCACTGGCGTAGCCTCCACAGGTGAATAAAACTCTAGATGCATATTCAACGGTAAGCGAAGTTGCGAAGCTTCACAATAATTCACTTACTGGAGAAACCCTTTGGATTTTTGTGTGTAGAAGAAGATATGAGTTTGCGGGTGCGAGTGGGGAGCTGCTAAGATGGGGATGGTGTTGGAAGCAAGACGACATGCGAGGCGCCCAGAAGCCCTCCGGAAAGCTTGCTCGTTTGGGACGTCGAACATAGCCACTTACTCGTTAGCCACCGCCCAAAGGAGCTGCTACCATCACACTCAGACAATTCAGTGCATAAGGTCCGAATTGGGATATGCAGACAAAGGGTGCTGCATTGCAAGTACACAGGTAAATACAGGTACAGAGATGGCAATGCTGTCCTGAACATCTGCGCGTGGAGTCTACACCTCTTATATGTTTGGGTCATTCTACTGTTGCGTTCCCCAATGCGAGCTCGTGAGAATGAAAAGCCCGTAGTAGCGATTGTGACACCGTGCTCAACCGCCTCAGAAGTTGATGTTGGCGCAACAAGAATTTCACACTCGGTGCTGTCTCGTATGACGCGTTAAGGAGTTGTACATTAGTACGCTATGTGATGCAGACGTAGAGGTCGTATTTCTATGCTTCATAACTATACGGAGCCAATGGTTTGGAACGCGCTCGCGACCGTCGTTTGCGGCGGCGTACGTCGCTCGCTCGCTTATGTGGCAAGAGGCTTCTCAGGAGCGCCCAACGATGTTCTCACTGTTCAATGCTAAGCTCTGAGATAGGGACGGGTTTATAGTGGGTAATAAGGTAATGTATACATAGGTGGGCAGAAAAATCACAACGTAGTACAAAAAATGAGCGCCACGGCGGGAAGAGACTGAACGAAGACTGGGGCACGATCATAGCTAGAAAACGGTCGAGGCCTATGTACTTGAGTCGAGTGCGGAAAAGGAGCCGGGGCTAGTGAGGGCAACTACGAAGGAGGAGCCTGCAGCGGTTCCGGTGCGGATTCTCTTAGCACTCGAAACCTTGGGGCCAACCGCGTTCTGAGGCGTGTAGAAAGGCGACACGTTGTCACCCCTGACCCTATCGCCACGGTTCCAGCCACGTAGGACCACCGCATGCGTGAGCGCCTCCACTAGGCAGTCGTGGCTTTGAACCTGTAGGGAAAGCGCAACCTGCGCCGCGTCGGGTGGTTCGTCGTCATCTGCCAGCAGCTCGTCGTCGTATGCCAGCGGCTCGTCGTCGTCTGCCAGCGGCTCGTCGTCGTCTGCCAGCGGCTCGTCGTCGTCTGCCAGCGGCTCGTCGTCGTCTGCCAGCGGCTCGATATAGTCCGCCAGGGAATCCTCGTGTTCCTGTGCTGAGGACTCTTCCAAGGGATGCAACGGCTCGAACTCTTCTTCAAACATGACCGGCACGTCTAAAGGCTCATCGGTTGCGAAGGGGGCTGGTTCCACGGCATTTGCCTTCTCGGCCTGCTTCTTCTTGTGCTGGACCACGGCGTAGTGCGCCTTGAAGAGTGCGAGCAGACGCAAAAGGAACCAATCCAATGGGGAACTAAACTTGAGGGATGAGTCCGTGTCGTCCAAGACCAGCTTGCCAGAGTACATGGCCGAGCGCTTCGTTTTTCCGCAGAGGTACTTCTTGTTAACCAAGGAGTACGACTCAAAGAAGTTCTCGATGAAGTTTCCTGCATCCGAGCAGTTGGAGACCAGGTATCGCACGGCGTAGTAGAGTATGACGTGGAAGAAGGATTCGAGTTCGTCGGAAGTTTCGACGACTTTGGCGTGCTCATTGAGCGTGGCGACCGACATGTATTGCCATGTTCCCTGCAGTCATCAGTCAGCATCGTGCCACATAAGTAGGGTGGAAGTCTACGCACAGTACGTTCAGGCTGCCTGGCGCGCGGAGGAGACTTATCGTCCACGGGCTTGGACAGCTCCCAGTCAGCAAGAACACCTAGCCACTGGATGACCTTCCTCTTCGACGCGGGATGGTAGAAGGTCCTTGGGAGTATCAACATGTTGCCCCCACTGACGTCGCGGTGGACGATCTTCGCGATTCTCATCGCGTCCCGGTGGGCTATACACCTCGTCAACGAAAATCAAAAGACGCTACTAATAGGTAACAAACATACCTATGACGCAGCTGCGTGCGATCTCCAACAGCTGCCGTCCGCTCGTGAACTTGACCAGCGGCATACAAACCTCCTTGACAACCACTCGGTAATGCATGTGCCGTCGGAGCGGGCAGTTCTCGTGAACCTCGTCTTCAGCCAGTGCAGCAGCAGTGTCGGGTGAGGCAGCGTCGCTGTTAGACGATGCGGCATCGGTGTCAGGCGATGTATTGTCGACGTCGGGCGACGCGTCGTCGTCGTCGTCGGACAGTGTGGCGTCGCTGTCAAAGATCGCTGTGTCGCTAGTATCCACTTCGGATCTTCGCCGCTTGAGAAGTTTCTTGACTTCTGGCTGTTGCACTTCCGCCAGTGTGCGCGAGGAAGATCGGTTCGCAGGGGCGCTGGAAGGGGGAGCCGAAGCGGAAGTGGTGTTTGCAGGCTTCACTGGCGGCTTCCAGAATTCCGGTGTCCGGCTCTTCTGTTCAAGGATGTCGCCATGACATACCAGCGTCGGGACGTTGGGTACGCCAGCCTTGTTCAACTCTGCCAGAACCGCACCCTCCTGTTGGACGAGGTCGTAGTACGCACGCCACGCGTCCTTCAACCACACGAAACGGAGGGTTTCGCAATCAAGGGCAACGTATCCTCGCGTACCACGCCCAGCCATTCCAGACGCGTGGAAATTAGGCTTGCCAACGAGGAACTTCCGTACGCCTGTTCCATTCGGTACTGAGAGGCAATACCGAGGCCACTTGGGGTCGAGCGAGTTCGCGAAGGCCTCACGGACGTAGCGAAATACGAAGTTTTTAGGGATGTCTTCGTTGGGGGCAAGGGAACGCGGCGTGTGATCGATGTCGGAGGACCGGGGGACAGCCGCTGCGTCCATGTCCTTGTACTGGTCCATGTTCGGGAGGAGCCGTTCGGCGGCCGGGTCCAATCCAAGCTGCTCGTCGTTGAGCAGCGACATCCGCCATAGCATTTCGCAGAGCATATCCGGGTCCTGACAGTAGTCCGCTGCCGGGGTGACAATTGTACCCGACCGATCCCACCGGAGGAACCGAAACCGCCGACCCAAGATGAGCAGCATGTAGAGTTCGGTGCGGTGTTGATAACGGAAGATGTGCTCCGCGTAGTCAATGAGCTGACCGCGGACTTCTTTGCGTGTGAGAGCCTCCGCCTCCACGAACTTCTTCGGTCGATCGTCGTACGGGTCGTTCTTCGTGTCGTGCGATTTGAACTCCACAGGAACGATTTGATCTGCCCAGTGGGGCCTTTTGTCCGTGGGCACGAAGTTCTGGCGGAAGAAGCCGGCGTCGACCCTCAGCTTGGATCTGTCGCCCTGGTCGGGACGATGTTGCGACTCGGCAAGCCGTAATTTGGGAGTCAGGTTAGCCACGGACTTGATGGCCTTGATCTAGAGCCAGCGTAAGCCGCGGGCAAAGATAACATTGGGGGAGTGCTCACAAATTCCTCTGCCGTTTTCGCCTCAAGCATTTCCGGATCCGTGGCCTCTACTTTGGCGAGGCCCTTGAACAGGTTGCGGTCCCACTCCGGTCGATCGTCGGGGGATACGACGGCAGGCAAAGGAAAGAATTTGTCGCGGAACGTTTTAGCGTCCATTCTGACAGCCTTGTGAGCCATGTCTTCCACAGCGGCGGCGCGGTACTGGTTGCGTCGATGGAATTCGGCGGCGAGCGAAATGGGACCCGTGCCGGTAGTGCCGTTTTGGGTCTTGTATGTGGTGGCCGATACCGGGCTTGCCTGCAACTTAGGAAGATTCATGGTGAGTGCCTGGAGTCAGGACGAGGGAAGCCGCACGAACCTGATAGTGGAGGTAAGGAAGCTTATATAGAGGGGGTGCTTGGTGAAAGCGCGAGGCAGGAGATGGCTAAGTCGTAGCCGTGGCTAGCTTTGGCTGCAGATGACGCGTCCCAATTAGATTAAATTAACGCAGCAGTCTGCCATGTCGCTCACGCACCGAAGGGTAGGACAATGAGTCGCGCCTTTGGGCGTCGGTACGACAATGGTCGTGGTGGATGGATTCCAACCTTGAGCTGCCCGTTTCGGCCTTGCCCTGGCTAGCGGTGATTGCCGCCCACACAGACGCCCGCAGCCATAACTTGACCTCGACTTTCGACCAACCTGCGACGACGATTTCTTTGTCCCGTCAGTGCTTCACCGAACCAAACGCGCACAATATCCTTTGTATTCTAGGCCGCATGATTGAGGAGCTTTGGGCCTGATCTGGGCCTGCGCAATAGGAGTCAGGTTACAGTGAACGAGATTAATCACTTCCTGCCAGACTCGGTACAGCAATGACTTCGACTCCCGAGTTTGTGGCATCGCCGCCAGCTGACGACTTCATGCCAGATTCCCACAACATCTCATTCTAAGGGGGATACCCTCGAGGCTTTGAGCAATACCATCCGACAGAGCGCAATCTTAGCGGGACTAGTAAGTTGTACTTGCTCAGCGTTCACCGGCTATAAGCATCCTTGTCAGCTGTGCTACGGGCTAGTGTGCGTTCATTAACGGTATCAATGTCGCAAGCAGTCGAATCCAGGGCTCCTGCTGCTTCCAAATACAAGAGTCTAGTGAGTACTATAGCGAATCAATGGGGCGGCGTTCATCTCTGAAAGTTCGTCTTATTCCAGAGCGCTGCCGAGTCTCTGAGTCCCATACGACTCTCATAACTGCCGCATCTACGCTCGACTGCATTTCCGCCGCCCCGTACGATACACCTTTTACTCCAAGTTAACTCCATCCCGCTGACAGGCGTCCGCGACTAGCGATGCATCCCTCACTGCCGCTTGCCATTCATCGTCACAGCATGAACGCGGCATTCGTTTACTAGCAAGCTGCTCTGACCCGCATATCTTCCGCGGCCGCGTTTTTCCCCGCCTGATACCTCAGACCGCCAGTGACTCACTCACGTAGTGGACGAAGTGAGTCTCTTGCGCGCTGCCATCATCGTAGCCCGTCTGCTCACGTGTGTCGTTTCAGTGACGGCTCTACACTTCTGGCTTCAACGAGTGCCCGGGCCGCCAGTTTTCACTCCATCGCCACCAAATAGGCCGCACCCACGCGCACCCCAATCTCTCGCATATATGTAGACTCCGGCATCCGCGTCCGGGGGCTCGTCGAGTGTACGAAGCATGCTCTCCCAGCCAGGCCGAACATCGGGATGTCCATATCGACTCGTCGGGCTCCATCGGCAGCGGGATCCCGGGTCCGTCGACTGTTGCGGCGGCGGGGGCCTGTGCCGTCGTCGCGAGTGGCCCTATGAGCCCTGACGACAGTGTATACGTTACGCTGCGACCGTGCACGCCAAGGCGCCTGCGCCGTCTTCGTGGCCAAATTGGGCGCGTCGCTACCTCGCGCTCACCTTCCGGGCACCCTCTACCCCACGTACGTCCGTCCTCCCCTTCCAGCACAGCGTGTACAGTTACCGGCAGGGCGGCGACCTGCAGTCCAGCGTGCACGCGGACTGCGCAACGACGGAGTGTGCGGCATACTTAAACGGGACGAGACAATTGTTCATCGCGTACTTCATCCCGAGACTCTTCGCGTTCCTGTGCAGCAATACTGTCTGCAACGTCGAAGGTCCGGCACGCTCACGTCGACATTCCACTACACTCAGCTCTGCGACACTCTGCTTAATGCCCCCTGCGGGCGCTGGCTCGACGAGAAGCTCACGCCCATCGCTTTTTCAAATGACGCATTCAAGGATTATACATTGCAAGATACAGTACGCGATGTGATGCAGACTCGGGGTCCATCGTCTTGTGCTTGACTACTATACAGAGCCAATCTCACTCGGGGGCTCGTCCAACCCAACCGCGGCCTCAACCGCGTTCACGACCGCGGCCATGCCCATGCTCGCACCGCTCGCGGCCGCGTACGTCGCCTGCTCGCTGGCCTCAGTCGCAGCGGTAGCGGCGGCCCCAGGGTTCACGAGGTACTGTACAGCGGTTCTAGAGACTAACGGGTCAGCGGCCGGACATTAAGCGCATATAACGAGGATGCATCAACTTGCGGCTTACCCAGACGGCTCATGTGCAGCGACGGACGAAAGGCTCGCAGGAGGGACGTGCTCGCGCACCGCGTCCGCGATCGCCATCGCGAGGTCCTTCGACGGCATGCCGAGCGCGGCGGCGAGCTCGTTGATCCTGTCCTCCACCGTCCCCGTCCCCCCAGATGACGCGCTCGCTGTCACTGTAGGGCGCGCGCCCGCGGCGCCGACGCCGCCGTTCGCTAGTGGGTGCTTGCCGAGCACCATGTTCCACCAGCCGCCGACCTCCGACTTCCACTGGAGGAGACGCCACGCGTAGAACGCCATCACCAGTGCGCCGAGGAGTACGATGTAGTAGTTGAAGCGCGTTAGGGTCATGTTTGAGAGAGGCGGGGAGACGGAGCGGATGCCCTTGCGGTCGCGCGGCGGGGGCAGGTCCGAGGGCGACTTGACGGCAGAGGTTTTGCTGCGGATGCTTTCTGACATATTGGGGGGTAGCGGGAAGGAGAAGGCGCGTTTGCGTTGGTTGTAGGAGCGTGCAAGGGCGGGGTGCCGGGTGGTATTGGGCAGAGCGGAGGCGGGAGACGCGTTTTGTACGTCTCTCAATGGGCGCCTACATACTGTCAAGGTGGGGTATACAATGACATCATGGGGCGTCCATCGTCAGCGTGCGATTGCGGATTGTAGATGTAACAAACGAGATGACTTCATCGCCGGGATAGCTCAGCTGGGAGAGCAACAGACTGAAGTTCTGGAGGTCGCGTGTTCAATCCACGCTCCTGGCATTGCTTTTTCTCCGTTATTTTGTCAGCCTACTGTACTACAACTTCCGCTCCTGGCACGGCAGAACAAAATCGACGCGTTGTCTCAGACGTGAATACATATCCAGGTCGATGTATGGCCGCGCATTGTGCCGGCGCCGTGAGTTGTGACCTGAACTTCGCCAAGTTCTTAGCCACCCTTCATCGCCACTTCCTCTTAACTCTCATCTCCCATTCGCGCACTTGCCCCACAAACACCCGCGATACTATTACTTAAAAGTTACACAGACATGACACACATCAAGCTCGAACCACAAGATTTCCTCGCACTTTTCTTCCCCTTACCTGCTCATGTCGCACCAGAAAGCCAGCCACAATGGGACCGCAACGTCTTCCAGGGCATAGAGAATGTGGAAGATCTTACTCAGGCAGCAATCTGCGAACGATTCGTGAGTCCATGCAGCTCGGCCGCCCAAGCAAATATTGAATATCCTTACTCACTGTGTTACAGCTCGCGGCGGTCCATGAGAATGCCCTCGCACCAAACTTCAGACTGGCTAAATGGGATGTGGAACCCCCAAACGAAGACACCTACGTCGAACGAATCGATGCCGCCTTCTTTCGCAGCGAATCTGTTGCCACCAACTGGGAAGACCAAATCGTTCCCGTCTCTTTCAAGCCGCTCGACTCCGGACTCGACCCCTGCGACGATCTCCCACCCAGGACGTCCGACTGGGATTATCTGACCCGCATGGAAGCCCGGAAACAGCTCTTCCACCACGCCGAGGACGTGTCCCAATACCAGCACCGTACCGCGCTGTACATGCTGCTCATCGCCGAGCGGCAGTTCCGGTTCCTCCGGTGGGATGCTTCCGGGATGATCATCACGCAGGCGGCAGACTACGTCGAGGATCCATGCCTCCTTTGTGAGATGCTGTGGCGGATGTCGCTCCTCAGCGATGAGCAGCTCGGGATGGACCCGACGGCCGCGCGCATTCTCCCTGGCACCGACGACTTCAAGATGATGGATACAGCAGCTATTCCACAGGCCTCCGACGTCGACCATACAGAGCGAGACGTTGGCGAAGATGAAGTCATCCCCACGGACTTCGTCTTCCAGTATGTCCGCGAAGGCTTCGCAAAATCGCTCGGCGCTGAGTGGCCACGGTATCGCCTGGAGGTCCCGTATGAAGACTCGGTGCGGATGTTCCTCGTGGGCAAGCCGGCCTTTCGCGCAAGTGGCATGGCTGGCCGCGGGACACGGGGATATGTCGCGCTCGACTGCAAGACCGGCCGTTTCGTGTGGCTAAAGGACACCTGGCGGACGTACTTGGATCTCTTAGATCAGGAGGGTACTGTGCTTGCTCACCTGAACAGTAAGGGAGTGCCGTACGTTCCGACACTCATATGCCACGGGGATGTGCTTGATCAGGTCGCCCGCAAGCCCGATCTCTGGGAAGGGGATCGCTCTCAGGCTCCCTCTGCCGCTTCCATGATGGTGGCTCCTTCTCCTACCTCAATGCACTTATCATCCTCTGAAAAGGTTATGAACCCGCCGCAGATAACGCCCTCGAACAACCAACCTGAAGCGCAAAAGGTCCAGTAGCGACATTGCCCCAGTGGCCTATCCTCAAGACCGGCCTCGTGAAGATCACTCGCTCGGCGGGCATAAGCACTATCGGATAGTCGTTCAAGAAGTTTGTATGCCTCTGGAGAAGTTCCAGAGCGGACTACAGCTGCTAGAGCTCATTTATACCTGCGTCCTGGGTACGTTCGATGTGCTGCTTTCGGTCAGCGTATGACTCACCGATATCTTCAGCTCATCAAGCTGCGACGAATGACGCGAACACGGTCCACTGCGACATCAGTAGTGGAAACATCCTCATACTGCCCTTGCGTATGCTCGAACCCGGCACGAACAGGACGGTGATAAAGTGGTGGGGTTATCTCTCCGACTGGGAATTGGCGCGCCCGGTGGGGGTTAAGCTGTCGCGCGACGGTGCAATGTCGCATGATCACATGGTATGTTGTTCCGATGCTGTCCAGTTCCGCTATCTGCCGCGGCTGACTGCGACTATTTGTCCTAGGGCACATGGCAATACCAGTCGCTCGCCATGTTGAACCAACCGACGAAAGTGGTCGAAACCTCAGACGAACTCGAGTCCTTCTTCCATGTAGTACTCTACTACGCCGTGCGGTACCTGGTCTCCAACTGCGCGGATGTGGCAAGTTTCATCAAGAGGTTCTTCGATTCCTACATCGTGGAGGACAGTGTGTACTTTTGCGGTGGAACAAAGCGTACAAGCATGTTCCTTGGCCAGCTGAAGTTGGACAACCAAACGACAAAAGGCCTGGTGTTCAACTCCCCCCTGGACGCATTCTTTTCGCATCTTCTCCACCTGTTCAAGGCCCACTACGCCGTGAGGAATTACGACAAGGCCCAACTTGAATCCGAGGAGGCTCCGACACCACGTCCAATTGTCCATCCGCCGCAATTCCGATCGAGCATCTCCAAGTGGGTCAAGGGCCCAGCCTCACCGGTGGTACTGTGGACGAGCGACAGCTCCGATCCGCCGCCGGACTTGGGGCAGCGTGCGGTCGCCCCCCTAGTCCAAAACCATCAATGTATGCTACAAGCGTTGTCGGCCGCAATGAAGCTGAAGTGGCCGGATGGCGATCGGGTTATGGGCGACAATGTCGAATTTTGCAAGCACGAGCCCCTGCCACTGGCCATCGTCGACTCTGCCCAGTCGGTGGGTACCAACAAGCGATGTCGCACCGACAAGACCCCCGTTTCCGCCCCCGTTCTCTCCGTCCACTCCGTGCCCCTTCCCGGGCCGTAGACAAGCCTAACACGTCAATATCGCTGGTGAACACCCCTCTCCCATCCGCCACCATTGTGACCTCCTTGTGCTGTTCTGTCCTGTCGATTGCGCTTCCAGGGAATGTCTTCCATCGTATGTCTACCACCTTATGCATCTGTAATATACGCTCTCTTGTCATGTACATTCCATCAAAAATCAAAGCATGGCAGTGTTCGCACTCAAGAAGTTTATTGAACGTTCAATCCACACTCCTGGCATTCGATTCCTTTTGTTTTTTGACACCATGAAGTGGCTGTGCTACAGCTGTTTACGGCTTGCGTTGTCGAGACCGACGAGATCTGGAGCCAGCGCCAAGTACTTGCCCACATTGGGCCCTATGCTTGTATATATCGTCCGTGTTTTACATGCTGAACAATTCCGGAGAACACTTGTGAGACAAAGACTTTGGGAGGAACGATATGGCTACGGGCGTCTGTATGGGCGGCAATCACCGTCAGCCATGGCGAGGCCGAAACGGGTAGCTCGAGGTTGGAATCCATCCACCACGACCATTGTCGTACCAACGCTCAAAGGCGCAACTCATTGTCCCACCCTTCGGTGCGTGAGCAATATGGTCGACTGCTGCGTTAATTTAGTCTGACTCGGACGCGTCATCCCTAGCCAGAGCCAGGCCTGGCTAACGTCGATCACCACTTAGCCACGACCTCCCATTATAAAATCCCCCTCGAACGAACTCAGTACGTTGGTCTCCCTTTCTCATTTCTTCATCTTCTCTCTGAGCTCAAGGGTCGACCATGGCTGACTTTCATAAGTTCCATACCAGCCCGCTCGCTGCTCACAAATCCGGAACCCGACACGGCGCGGACGGTGCCGGGCCTATAGCACTCAACGCAACACATCAGAACCGCCCGGATTACCGCGCTGCTGCCGTAGAAGACATGGCTAACAAGGCCGTACGATTCACGACGCGCGAATTCTGCGACAAATTCTTTCCCTTGTCCGACAGCGTCACCAAACGGCCAAAATGGGGCGCCAACCTTTTTGATGGCTTGAAGGAAGCGTCTGGTATGTCAGAAGCAAAGGTTTCCGCGGAATTTGTGAGCACACAGCGCCGACTCCGTCTTCTCTCAATGCTTACCGTCTTACAGATCAAGGCCATCGACACGGTCGACGGCCTGACACCCGACCTGAAGCTTTCTGAGTCGCCACACTGCCCTGACGAAGGCGACAAGGATACCTCTAAGTCGAAGGTCGACGCCGGCTTCTTCCGTCTGACTTGCGTGCCTACGGATGGAAGGCCCCACTGGGCAGATCAAATTGTCCCTGTCGAGTTCAAGTCACACAAGACGGAGAACGATCCATACGACGACCGGTCCGAGGACTCCCCGGATGCAGACGCCATCAAGCGCAAGGAGGTCCGCGGCCAGCTCATTGACTACGCCGAAGAGGTGTTCCGTTACCAGCACCGCACCGAGGTCTACATGCTGCTCATCATGGGGCAGCGTTTCCGCTTCCTGCGCTGGGACAGGTCAGGTACGGTTGTCACGCCGGCCACTAACTACTACCAGAATCCAGACGTGCTTTGCGAGATGCTGTGGCGCATGTCGTTGCTGGACGACACGCAGCTTGGTCTGGACCCGACGGCCATCCGCATCCGCCCGGACATGCCCGACTTCGATAAAATGAACGAGGCGGCCATCCCCCACCCCTCCGATATCGATCACGCGGAGCGCACCTTCCCCGCCGATTTTGTCATTTCGGACGACTTCGTCTTTCGCTACGTCCGCAAGGGCTTTGCGGAGTCACTCGGTGCCGAATGGCCCCGGTATCGTCTGGAGGTCCCGGACGGAGACTCGGTACGGTCTTTCCTCGTGGGGAAGCCTACCTTTCGGGCGTCCGGTATGGCCGGTCGCGGGACGCGTGGCTACATCGCCCTCGACTGCAAGACCCAACAATTCGTCTGGCTGAAGGACGCATGGCGTGCCTACTACGATCTCGTCGACAAAGAGGGCGATGTGCTGATCCACCTGAACGAGACTGGTGTGCCGCATGTGCCAACCGTCGTTTGCCACGGTGATATCCTTGATCAGGCCACCAAATCCCCTGAGTACTGGGACGACAAGAACGGCTCTACTGTCACCAACTCCCGGGTCATCACTCGTCCTCCTAGTGTCTTCGCGCATCTACCCTCCTCATCGACGCTCGCGATGACAGCGGTGGCGCCCTCGAACGGTCTGAAGCGCTCAAGGCCCGAGCTTGAAGGCAGCAAGCACATCATTTCCACCAGTCTACCTCGTGAGGATCAGTGCCCGCTCCGACGTCACAAACACTACCGACTCGTGGTCAAAGAAGTCTGTATGCCGTTGGTGAAGTTCCAGAGCGGCCTGCAACTGCTGGAGATAATCTATACTTGCGTTCGCGGTATGTCCTATGTCTTGCTTATAGTCCGTCGCACATGCTCAACCGACATATAGCTCATCAAGCCGCAACACTTGATGCGAAGATCGTGCATCGCGACGTCAGCGGAGGAAACATCCTCATACTTCCGTCCTTGATGCCCGATCCCAACACGAAGACAATGGCAATCAAGTGGCTCGGTCTTTTGGTCGACTGGGAACTGTCGAAACCCGTGCACGACAAACAAGGCACTCAGCCGCGTGCACGGCAACCCGAGCGCACTGTACGTCCATTCTGAGGCTACTGAATATCAATGCTCACGCATCATTCTCGATAGGGCACATGGCAATACATGTCCGTTGCCACGCTGAATGAACACACGAAGGTCGTCGAAACATCCGACGAACTCGAATCTTTCTTCCACGTAGTACTGTACTACTCCGTGCGGTACCTGGTCTCCAACTGCGCGGATGTGAGCTGCTTCATCAAGAACTTCTTCGACTCGTATAACCTCAACAACCATGAGTACCTCTGCGGCAAGACAAAGCGTGTAACTATGACAACTGGCCAACTTCTCTTGGACGACTCTACGGACGAAGACCTCGCCTTCAGTTCCCCGCTGGATGGGTTCTTCTCGAAGCTTCTCAAATTGTTCAAGGCACACTACATCGTGACGAAGTACGATAAGTCTAAGCCCAAGAAGCCTCTACCGAAACCGCGCCTCTTCATCCCTATGCCACAGCCAAAAGCGAGTATCGCCCAGTGGCTGAACGATGATAGCGACGATGACGCTGAAACATCCGAGGAGGACGAGGGAATTGCCGGAGGTGACGACCCAAGCATCGCCCCGGCGCAGCGTGCGCTCGCCGCCAAGGTCCAACGACACCAGTGTATGCTGAAGGCCCTGAAGGCCGCAACGACGGCAGTTTGGCCGAAAGGAGATCGGGTTATTGGCGACAACGTGGAATTGCAGAAGCTCAAGCCCGTGCCCGCAGTCGCCTCTAGCCAGGACCAGCCGACCGTGACAGGTCCCAACAAGAGACGCCGCACCGGCAAGACCCCCGTTTCCGCCCCCATTCTCTCTATCAACTCCGCGCCCCTTCCCTAGACAGCATGTCGACGTCGCCGGTGAACATCCCTCCGCCATCCACCACCATCCCACCATCGTTCCCTCCTCGTGCTGTTCTGTCCTGTTACTTGCGCTTCTATGTCTTCCTTCATATGTCTACTACCTTACACATCTGTAATACACGCTCTCCCATGTACATCCCATCGAATTGCAAAGTATAGTGTTCGCATTCAAGAATCTTATTTTTCCAATTCCGCGCAATGTCCTATCAATTCACTAGCATCATAGTTATTGATACATGGAGTGTCCGCTTCCTTTCGCTGCACGTTCCTGCCAACGCCACCCCACGCGCAGATGTTCACCACGTCCCGCTATAAACCGCTTCGAGGACTTCTGGGTGCCGCTCGCATTGGTTTATAAAGAGGTTCCCGATGGAGTATATCTGTATTGGCGCACCGCAGGACTTGAAATGTCAACACGTCGCATGCACGCATGCGGCGAGCGGTGCTTACCGGGAAGCTGTCTTCATCCCGCGTGCCTAGCTGTACGAGACACCGCCAATCGCAGTGCGGCCCTCCATCGCCTACCGTGCAATGGTCCCTGCCATCGTCGCCCATACCGTAGTAGTACTTACCTGTCGCCAAACATCAACTTTCTTGTCTACATGTGCATCGCTCACTGCCGACCTACCGAGCACCTCATAGCCCAGAAGCTTGAGACCGTCTACGGGAGCGTGCGCCTCGTAAAACGTCTCGTCAAAGTCCGCGCCCGTGCACGCCTCCCAGTGCACAGTGTCGGGGTTCCCGGCGATCCACTCGGAGATGACGCGCTCGGGAATGAGCTGGCCCTTCTCTTCAAGCCTCCCGTGCGCCTCGTCGTGAGCGGCAGACGCGGTGCCGACCCCAGTCGCATCCGCGTCGACGTGGACCTGGCGCACGAGCCACGACTCGCCCTCGACCTGCATGGTGAGCCACGCTTCGAAGCAGAACCCGGCGGCGATCTCCTCTACACAGAGAAAAACCTGGAGGATCGTCGCGCCCTCGGGAACGAGGGGCGGAACGTGCTGGCGGAACTCCTCGGGCGTCTTCTCGGAAGAGAGGCTGATCTGGAGGTACGGGATGAGGGCATGCCCGCAGGTCTTGCAGCGCGGCCATTCTTCGTCGGCTTGGAGGTACGGCGCGGACCCGCCGAGGACTGCGGATACCTCACCGCTCAGCAGGGCATAGAAACTGTCTTCGACGCCCTCAGAGTACTTGGGGAAGTAGGGGGTCAAGAGAGGTATCGGCACAACCTCCACGCGACCAGGCATCGATGATTGAGTACTAGTGAAAAGGGGTGAGCATTGCGTTCAACATCGACACACAGGCCTTATAAGGCTCGCACAAACGGGAATATTGGTGTTAGCTGACGCCTTCCAGTGCTTCCTGTTCATAGGCATGTTCCAGGTTCCCAGCACGAATTTCAGCGATGTAGTGATCATGGGCGCACGTAGGAGAGCGTCGGCACACGACTTTCGCTGCGAGTCCCCGTTGTAGCGTACCCAACCTCAAAAGCTGTAGGAAAGATTCAATGGTTCCGGTAAACATTGCTAACACACAGCAACTTGGACAGCAAACATGTGAGCCCGAACAACCACCGCCGAAGACAGGGACACGGAGACATTAATGTGAAAATACACAAGAGCAAAAGCAAATGCCAGGAGCGTGGATTGAACACGCGACCTCCAGAACTTCAGTCTGTTGCTCTCCCAGCTGAGCTATCCCGGCGATATAACCAGAGCCCTCAGTTGCCGTGATAGTCTGTTCTGTCGTTTCCTAACGAGCCACCGCAGGACCTTGTGCGTCCTCGGACTCGGACTCTCCTTTGCCATGAACCGCCATCATATGGCTGAGCTATTCCGCAAGCTATAACGTTGGAAGATGACAGACCTACTGGAGCTCACGACCCCCTACTTTCCAGAGTTCTCAGACCTCCCCAGCACGGACGAGCCCAGTAACCTGGCCTCTCTCCTCGCAGGGGTCTTCTCCGCCCTCCTCGGCGGCGCCCACGCCATGCTCCAAGAAGACGAGGAATGGCCGCACTGCAAGATGTGCGGACGCCCCCTGGTGCCCTACCTGCAGATCAACGCAACCACCGCGCACACCCCTGCCGAGTTTCGCGCACACCTCGACTGTCCCCCGTCGCGCACAGATGCCGCGACGCTCTTCCAGGTCTTCATCTGCACCGGGCCTGGGCGCAACGGCTCCTGCCTCGAAGACTGGACCAGCGGCGCCCACCCAGGAGTGGCCATGCGTGCACGCCTCGTGCACTGCGGCAGCCAGACAGCCGTGAGGCCGATAGAGACCCCCGAGGCCCTTGCAGGAGCGCGTGGGGTACTCCCACAGCGCGTCATCTCCGAGTGGACCCCGGGGAACCCGGAGGTCCCCCACTTTGAGATGCTTGACATGATGGATGGCGGCGAGTACGACGAGGACTTCTACGATGCGCACGAGCCCGCGGGCGGACTGAAGCTGCTCGGGAACGCCGTACTAGGTGGGTGCCTGTACGCATGCTGCGAGGCTCACTGCAGTACTGACCGGACGCCGCCTCCAGGGAAAGTGCAGAATTTCCCTGACACCAACGGGCGCCCGCCTCATGGCGAGGCCGAAGGGTATCTATGCTACCGCTCCCTAGTGCAGCTTGGCACGGACGACGGGGACATGAGCGATTACACGGTGCGTCACAGCGTGCGCTTACTGCTCCGGTCGGCCCAGATCTGACATCGCAGGGTTACGTGTAGTTCGTGACGGTGGGGAACGTTTTTGTACTTCAGTGCAAGACCCACCCGGACAACTTCCAGCCCGGTCGCAGCTTTAGCTGGTGAACGGACTAGTTTGTGGCCGATTGTCTACTGCCTAAGACGCACGCGACGTTCGCGTACATCGTGAGGCGGGCACTGCACGAACGCGGAACGGTACCGGGAGGAGCCCCGCACCCTGTCATACTAGCGCACTTCGAGTTCGCTCAGGTCACCCAGGGAGAGCCTCGACGCTAACAACCAACGATGAGCCTTTCTGGATTGTAGGCGACCATATATCGTGCCCTAAGCACCTTTAGCACGTACACTTGGAACATACTGGTATAAATGTATTGAACGCACTCACCACCTTCCTCGCGCAAGCCAATCGACGAACGGACAAAAAAAATAGCAATATTGCTACGCTGCGCGCACAGAGTTCAAGGAGGAAAAGCTACACAATACATACAGTCCGACGAGCGCACTAGTACATTCATATACAGGGCAACTTCTACGCTATCGTACACGGCAGGCGGACGCGACGGCCGAGCGCCAGCTCACGGATCCAACACGCAGAGAGCTAAGGCACCGGAGAAGAAGGAAAAGGGGAGGGCATGGAGGTAGGCGGGCAGGGGGCAAGGGGCGGGGAGCGGGGGGACACGGGGACGAAAAGCGGAGTAGGAAAGCAGGAGTACAAGATCGGCGAGGGGAGCGGGGAGTGGGGGATATACACGATGAGGCGGGAGGCGGGCACAATACTGTACAGTTTGTTATTGACTGCTTCGGTATCAAGCGAGTGTACGATACCACAACGTATGGACAGCGACGGGGCGGAGCAGAGACACCGGCAAAAGACCCAAGAAAGAACCACTCACTATCGTACACTCAGCAGCGAAGCAGGCACAGGCACAGGATAGACGTCGTAGAGGGGGCCGCAGGAAGGCAGGGCAGGGCGCTGATAGAACACGGTTACAAGAGTACAAGACAGCACGGCGGAAAACGTACACATACACACAGACCCAGGACAGACACAGATAGGCGGGGAGCGAGTGGACTCACGCCCCGCCGCCACCGCCCCCGCCCCCGCTGTTCCTCACGTCGCTCTCAGATATTTCCTGGATAGTTGTACCGCTCGCTTGCACAGGGGGCGGCGGCGGCGGGTAGGTGTTGTAGTGAGCCCACGGCACAGAAGGATACGTAGCATACCCATGCGGAGGTGGCGGCGGTGGCGGATAGTACGGAGGGTACATGGAGGATGTGGGCGCCGTGGACGTGGCCTCGCTGACGGGATAAGCGGAGTAGGTGGGCGAAGAGCCAGCCGCAGCGGGCCCAGGTGGGGACGGGCTATCATGTGGAGGCGTCGTGGTAGAAGTAGGCGGAGCGAGAGGGGGGTATGGAGACGAGGAATACATCGGCGGGGCGTAGCCAGGGGGCACTGGGTAGTAGTTGTAGGGAGAAGGGTAGTGAGAGACATTGGAATCGGCGTATGCTGGCTGCGGTTGGTGGACGGAAACCGCAATTGGCTGTGTCGGCGACTCCCCGCCGGTGGCCTCCTGTTGGCTGGAGGCGGAGTTGTTCTTCTTGCGCGAGCGTTTGGGCGCACCCGTGCCGCTGGAGTACGGGTCATATCGCTTGGTGCGCTTGCTTGAACTCGCATCGCCTTCGCCGTAGTAGCCACCAGCAGCCAGGGGCGCAGGCAGGAGACGCGGAGACAGCTCGACGTCATCGGCCTCACCGCGGTAGCGCGGGACGCCGTCGACCCCGATCTCGACTTTGGGAGGGTTGCGGAAGTGCGTTTTGTCGAGATACTCCGGGCTGATCGTCAGAGACGCCAGTTCCGGGAGCGAGGAGGGAGACCGCAAACGGCCCTGCTCGACGTCCTCGATCTTGTAGTAGGAAATGAGGTGTTGCGCGACGCCGCCGATGGTGAGCGAGAACGTCTAATTATGGGGTCAGTACATTGCCTATATTGGCGGGCTCTTGAAGACGGTCCAATGAACGTGCTCAGCGCCGTCAGTCAATGCGGACAGAGAAGCGCCAGGTCGGCGTTCCATCTAGAGGGCGGACCGCGAGAACGCTTTCATGGCGAACTGCTGCCGCCCACGGTCATCGCCCTGTCCCTGCGGTTTGCGCAGAAACATGGCCGCATGGCTCGGTGCATTGGCAGGAATGAACACACATAGGTGTCGAAACGCCGAATTGAAGCGCATATAGTCACCCTAGAGACCGCAGACTGCGACATGCACCCACAGCGGTGACGTCGGGGGCGCATACAACCGGTCCACCTTGCGAAAACTCGCTATGGCAGGTGTGCATGGCGCTCGCGGTGATGCCCGCCGAGATAGTGAAGCCCACGGCGCACGGACCAGGGCGACGCGACTGTGCTTATCGGTACTGGTCCGTGCGCGACAGACCGGAGAACGTGCGCTGCGAGGCCCAGCGACGACAGTGCGCATACAGGGATGGGGAGGAAGGCAGGGGTTGAGGTGGGGAGAATGCGCACCTTCTTCATCATGCCCCCAGGTTTGAACTTGTAGCTGTTGGTGAGGCTCCCAACGAGGACCCTTTCCCGTTGCCGGTCGATGCCCAGGCGGCTGGACTCCCCCTTTGGCCGAGAGAGCGACTGGCCCTCCTGCTTCAGGCTCTCTGCCTCCTCAGTCGCTGCGGCTTCGGCGCGAGCGCGGCTGTGACCCGCTCCCCTCTTCTCTGTCTCGCGATAGAGGAGGAAGTTGCCCAGGATCCTGCTGGGGCTCCAGAAGAAGCCGTCGGTCCACCGCTTGATGCCGCTCTCGTCCTCGTCGAAGACGAAAACGGAGCCAGAGGTGATCATCTTGCGCTCAGAATCGACAAGACGACGGGTGACGCGTGGAATAAGGCCTCGGCGGGCGGCCTCGAGGATGAGGAGGGCGTCGCCGGTCGTCTCGATCCATCCTGACCACGGGGGCTCGGTCCACTGGCCGCTGTTCTGGGAGTCGTGCCCCGACATGGGTGAGAGTTGCGATAAGGGCTGGACATCGTTGATGGCAGCGACGACGACGACGAAACGACCCAGAGAGTGACGGGGATGACGAGCACGACGACGACGACGGCCTCGACGTCAGCAAAAATACGAACAAAGTTTGGAAACAAAGTTGACTGACCGCGAGTTAGATTTCGTCGCGGTGGGCGAGGAAAAGAAGGTTCGCGCCCCGCCTTACCGACCACGCCACAATTGGTCCACACGCGACCTTCCCGATTCGGTCTCCGACGAAATTTCGCAGCCACTCGCAGCCCCATCAGCCACTTCCTCCTCGCCGTCCGTTGTTCCTCTCCACCACCTTCCGCGTTGTCGTCCATCGACCGATGTCTCTGCATGCCGTAGGCTCTTCGGTATTTTCAGGAATCTTAAGCTGCTGCTTTGCATATGCATTCTCCCCAAACCGCCGTCTGCACTCTCGGAGAATAACCTTCACTCTCAGCACAATCTAGCGGACAGAACTCGCTTTGCCATGCGCCGTCAATTTCGCGGAGTCTGTATCTAGCTCGTTCCTTTCACTGGATCTTTGCCCGTTCATATGGCACAGGCACACGCAGTCTCTTTGATATTCCCCGGATCTGCTTCATGATCCCGAGAGTCTTGACAGGCTGTGAAGTAGCCGTCCGCAGCTCCGACCCGGCAATCCAAAGCTCGTGTTTGTGCGTCCCAGTCGTCGCTCTACATCTTGTCTGTGTCGAGCTCCAAATGTCCACTTCTTTCTTTCCCCAACAGTCGCCTTTCAAAATCAGAGACATCTCAGGTGCCGTCGTTGTCTCGATGACTTCCAGCCGAAGGAAGTCGCATCTAAAACTCCTGCTTGTCTGCTTGTGCCGGTCTGGACCGCGGCCCCATTCTTTCCGATGCCATATCGCCACTCGAACTGGTCGGGGGCTTTTCGGAGGTGAGACCCGCTTAACAGCATCATTTTCAAGGGCCTTCCAGCGGTATGTGCTCGTAAGGGGGAGTCGAACAACACGGTATGTCAGTTATGCCCTACGTGCATCTCAGCTAAGATACACATGGACCATAGGACGAAACACGTGTGATACCAATAAAGTTCAGGCTGCTTTTCCCCGTGCTGTCGTACAAGTCTAGTGATCAGGGCGGTCGTCTGCCGATTAGACTCGCCCTCTACTGATTTCGCGAGCCAACGGTCATCGATAATCTGTACGACGATCACAATACGTATTTGCGGCAGAGCTATGCTGGAATACGGTTGAAGCGTCTCACGAGGAGGTCTCGTATAGTGTAAGTTTGTCAGTTGCGGTGTGGCATCACCTCATCCGTAAACATTCCCGTAGATATTCCGTTTGCCGTCTCTTCGCCGTTCCTCGCAATTGGACGCTGACATAATTTATCGTGTTTGCTGCACCTCCATCCGACCTGTTGTGAATGTACAGACCATGACTTTATCCCTCAGGTTGCCGCTGTAGCAGGGCCGAGCCAGTTTCGCACGGCTCAATCATAGCGACAGGTGAGTCGCCGTCTTGACGAGTCCGTGCCGCCTGTTCATCGATGGTCCATTACACAGGGACAATTTCGTGATGCGCATGGCAATACTAGGATCCTCCCGTCAGACTATACTTCAGGAACGTACGCGTAGCCGCAGCGGGAAAGTCTCTATCCGCATTCCCCAAGCTGAACAGTTCATCGTCATCTCTTTACCCATTGCAGATGGCATGTAGGCCGTGTCGTTCGTCGTTTTTATCATCTAGACAACGTATTTAGCTGGTGGGCAAATATCGTGACGGGGCCTGGCTCTGCCGGGAGTGCACAGACGGCGCCATTCCGCACACGAAATTCAACAACGAGATCCTCTTGTCCTCAGCCGTCATCGCGACTACATCTGGCTCACCAGAACACGTATGCGATACCAATCACGACTTCGCGGAAAACCTTGACGCCACCGTGTCCGACATCTAGTGGCCGTGTCTCAGGGCAACCCGGGCGACTGCTGGTGAGACTATGGTCCGCCCTAGCTACTAGTGCTCGTCGACGCGATCCCGGCGGGGGCGTCCGCCAGCCGCGATCAGGAGCCCCAATGCGGGGTAGCAGGACTTCGCGAACCCGGAGATGCTCGGATGGGTGAAGGATGGACATGCCACCGACCCTGTCCCGCCCGCGTACACCGTCGACACGCCATACGCCGCGACAGAAACTGCGTTCGCCCCCCCCCCTCGACCGGCGGCGCCGTTCGATTGTAGCCTGTGCGACCCGGACGGGGCTTCAACCGCCATTTCAGCGAGGGAATCCTCCAAGAAATTGCGTGCGTGGCCGCCGCGTCGCTTCCGCCCCAAACCCTACTGAAGAATCGACTTCCGCTCCCCGCAATTGGTGTGGGCCCTGCGGCTGCTGTTATGAAATGGGTGCGATGCAACTCCTTGGATGCGGCCCTTGCATCCACGCGGTCGGCCGCCGCAGCTGCCCAAAGTGCGCGGAATCAGATTACGACCCTGGAGCAGAGCCCTCGTTGGCTCAACCAAAACGTGAAAAAGGTAAGCAGCGTTGTGTTGTGTGCTCCTCCTGAAGGACACTCTTGGTCAGGACCGCTCCAAAAGCTCAGCTCCGCAGCATCTTCAGAAACGAGTCCCGTCCCCGCATTCGGCGATGTCATGCAACCTAGCTGTTCGCTTCGTTAACCCCAGGAAGGACTCGAACACCAACTCAGGCCCAACCGCTGGTGCGCCGGCCGCTGCGTGCTTCGGCACGGGCTCCGACGGCTTCCTCAAGCTGAGCGACCCGGACGGCTACCTCATAAACGAAGACCCCAAGGGGCCCATCCCCTGGGCCTTAATTCGATAGCAAAAAGAAAAAGAAAATAAAGAAGGAAAGCAAGGCGCCTGCGAAGCTGGTTAACGTCGGCTCGGACGCATACTTCGGACTCGCGCTCCTGAATGACATCGCCATCTCGTGTGTATCCCACTGTAACGACACGTACAGGTGGTAGGACGGCGACCTACAGCCGGACTACCAGATGGACTACGCGAGGATGGAGTTCAGCGCGTACTGGAGCGGGATGAAGCAGACAAGCTACGAGTACTTCACCACGCCCGAACTGTTCGCGCTCCTGTGTGAGAACAACGTGGGGAGCGTATACGAGTGTTTTCAGGGAATCGGGTTGTTCGGCGATCTGAACCCGGTTTATGTGGGTACGCTTGGAAGCAGGCCCCATCAACACGAACCTGGGAATATATGATACATGCAGGACTTCTGGTGGATGTTAATCGATAAAGTTGAATCTATGAATCCCCGTCAGCCACAGATGCAAGTCTCGCCTATCAGGGAACGCCAAATCCTCGTCGTTGCAGCCGCAAACCCTTCAAACTAGCCACAACCTTGCGTCATATTCACGGCGTTCTATACTGGAGCTCGTGTCAGTACTGCAGGCTGGTCGATACACGCTCAGGCATCAGTACTGACCAAGTCTTCCCACGCAGCCTTGTGGATTTCTTAAGTGAAAGCGAGGCATACGGCCACCTCCATAATGACGAGTTGCGGGTACCATCGTGATGTCATGTCGTTGATCTACCGCGATAGAACATTGCACTTTATGGGAGTGCGACGGTCGTGGTCGAGTTGTCATCGTAACCCGCACTTTTCTCTCACGGAAAGGTAGCTTTGGCATACAGGCCGGGTCGCGCATGGATGAGCGAGCGGAGGTTTTGCACTGACTCCACAGAGCACATTGCCTTCCGTTGATGTCTCCGGCACTGGATGAAGATGTCAGCAATGGTCAATCCGCGTAGCACGTACGCACTGTCGGTGGACAGCGCGAACAGGCCGAGGCTTGGATTGACCTATCCCCACCTATCTCTGGGAATGGAAGCCGAGCACTCCGAGCACGCCCATATTACTCATCCTCCAAGGTTGGTAGCGGGCACCGACAATTCCTCAGTACTACCGACCGTAGGACTCTGTGCTCGTGGTACTGAGGCCGACATGGCGTGCACACCGCAGCGCAGCAGACATCGTGGAAAACAGGTGCAGGACCTCATACATAGTGCGAAGACAATTTACGGATACTGAGGACGCAATTCAGCTGGTATATACCGCATTGAGGGTACACGTACCGAGTAGTCCGCGGGGACAGGCAGCGAGGAGGTCCGTGGGACTCAATGCTCCATGGGAAGCAGCTTTGGTCGGGGATCGTCCTCCCATGGATTGCGCATAAATTAGGGCAGCCCAAGAACGAGGAAGAGGTGTGCGAGAGCCAACAGCGACGCATACACCGAGCCTGCATCAGTCAGCATCGCGAGGCCAGCCGCTGCGCAGTGGCGAGCTATCAGCACTTCAGCATACCCAGACCCAGTGGTACAGAGGGCATCTCCAAGCACTCTTCAGGCACTCTCCGTTTCCGCATACACGTGATGTAGTGCCAAGAATAATGGATGCTTTATCAGAGACTCGTCTACTTGTAGCGCGGAAGAGGAGAGAGTGGTGGAAGTGGTCGAGGTGAAAGTCGCTCTTAGCGCTGAAACACTGAATATGGAACGACACCGCCACCGATATTTGGGGAGCCCGCTGCAGTCCCGAGTCCCGACTCTCTTCCTGCTCTCGACCTCCTCCACATGTATATGCATATGCCTTCAGCGTGCACCTGAAGTATCGTCTTTTATCGTGAGGGCTTACTGCGTGATACTAGAGAAACTCCTGTTTATGCTTTGCCTAACTCTCATGAAAAGTGATTCGAGCTTTCGGAAATGCCAGCTCAATCCCCCGGTCATCTTGTTGGCTCCTTCCCACGAACATCACCCTCGGGAGCCTTCGCGGACCACGATTGGCCCTCATGATATATACCGGGCACGTCCAGAAGGACCGCTATATGAACAGCCATAGCAGTCCATAGGCCTGTTACTATTCCCGCCTGCGCAGTCTCACGATGCACGCAGGCTCGGTGCGTCCGTTGCGACGGCCACTCATCCCTCCGGACGGGGTTCACGCGCAGCAGACCTTCTTTTCTAACCTGTGAGTACACCTTATCCGACGGAGGTGATCGTTCACTATTTCTCACGCGCCACCAGTGGCTGCCCCCCGGTATCCGAGAACCCCGACGCGCAAGCAGCGTGTGCGGGTTCACTCGATGACGAAGGTTTGGTATCGTCCACGGGACGGTCGCGCGCCAGGAGTGCGGACGACAGCTCCAGGATGTACGCCACAGACAGATAAAAGCTTCTCGGGCAGCTGCGCGGCGACTGCATCCTGATACCCCTCGGGTCCTCCTGTCCTGGGTCTTTGGTGCGCCGGCGTCCGCAGGATCGAAAATTCGTTCTATTATGTCTTCTTCGATCTTCAGCGGGCTGAGCAGGCTCATGCCTCGTTCCTCGATGAACGCGGTTGGTATCAACCTGGCGCTGGCATGCATCGAGAGCTTGCTCTACGGAATGTTCTTCGTTCTCGCCATGACCTCCCTCGCGGTCCTGGTCGGCCGCCATACAAATCGCGCTAGCAGCTTCAGCGGGCGCTCTTTTACGTCCGACAGGATATGGACCTCTCCCCTTTTTGTCGCAACCATGTTCCTACTCGCAACAGTGACGTCCGTACGTACCACAGCTGATCTTTCATCATCCACTTAGACTTAACACAGCTTTATCTATATAGCATTGGCTAATCACCGTGCGAAGAGTATTCGACGCCTTCGTCTACTACGAGGCCGGCCAGGACCCAATGGCATACTATCTGACTGTCGAGGCGCCAACTCAGGTGATAGGGACAGCCTTCGTGGTTGCCACTGTCATTGTAGGCGACATCATTCTGGTGAGTGTCCCTGTTTTTCATTGCTCTACGTCGCCTTCATTGACATTGGCTGAATCCTAATCGATAGACGTACCGTATTTGGACCGTCTGGGACCGGCGATGGGCATTGATCGTCTTCCCGACACTTTGCACACTAGCCTACACCGGTAAGCATACGTCCGATGTCCCTTCCATCGCTCCTGGCTGATCCGCGATATAGCGCTGGGTGTCAGTATGGTCCAGCTATTCGCCTCATACGAGCCAAACGAGAGTATTTTCATGTCCGCTGCGCGACACCGTGTCATTCCGACCTCCGCCCTCACTCTTGCGTACGTGCGCGTGTGCTATATTCACACGAACCTTTTCTCACGTTCCCGACTGCAGCACGAACCTCTATGGAACAGGCATGTATCCTCTATCTCTTTGACAGCTTCTCTGTCTGACACCCCTCGTCTATTGTAGGAACGATAGCATATCGGATATGGTCGAGCAACAGGGCTATGAAGCACAGTCACACGTTCGGCGGTGTGGGGCTCAAAGTCTCCGTACGTCGCATCACAGAGTGTCCATTCCATCTCCTAACGCGTCCCACAGGAAGGGCTGGTGATATTCATCGAGAGCGCCGCCTTCTACACGTACGTCTTCCCTGCTCACCGCCGTCACCATCCAGACTGACCCCAGCGCAGGTTCTGGACGCTCTTCTTCGTCGTCTCCTTCTCCGCAAATTCGCTCCTCGAGCAATTCGCGTTCCACTGCATCCCCGCCGCGACAGGCATCTCCTTCATGCTCATCGTCGTGCGCGTCGGCCTCGGCTTCCACTGGTCGCAGATCACGGGTGTCGGCATCAGCCCGGCGGGGCTCGCGCATGGCCGCCGCCCGTCGATGCGCAAGCCCGCGCTCACGTACCCGCCACGCGCGATCACGCTCAACGTGACACGCACGATCGAGCAGGAGACGGACTACGCGCTGCGGATGTCGCCCGAGCCTAGTGGTAGCAGGCACGACGTCGCAGAGATGTGTTGATAGGCTGTCGAGGGAATGTGGACTTTCGACGTTGCTGCGATGGCCGATGCCGCGGAGGTTCTTAGACGTGGAGCGCGCGAAGGGCGTCCGGCGTAGTCTGCGGTGGGAGGTAGTGTTGATCAACTGGAAGTCGAGACGACGCGCGCGCCCCTTTAGCCGTGTATATGGACGCCCATGTACGAGCCTAGCTGTATTCTGATTCCAAGTCACGCCGCGAGACCTGTATTTGTACCCAAACAAGATATAGACTGTTCCGGAGAAGAAACGCAATGGCACCTTTGTCTGTCCTGTGCAATTATACGAGTGCATCCGCTCTGTAGCCCCATAGCGCTCGCCTTCTTCATCATCGGACATGCGCTTCCAGCGCCGTGTACTTGTGTAACAGATGGTAGACTGGTCCTTCCTCGACCGATATCCCGCAACGATACAGCCCTAATTGAAAGCGCGTACAGCATCCCGAGGGACTATGATGCCTCGGAAAGGGATAGGAACGACGTATGCACCGGCCCCGGGTGGACATCTTGATACCGTGGAGCAAGATGTTGACTGGAGAGTTTGTTTGCCACGAGCGTTCGCCGCCGTGAATAGAGGTGCATCAGCTTGCCCCTTGATATGTAGCGGGGCATCAGGATCCTGAGGTCTTCAAAGCGCGTCTAGATGCTATGAGCGGCCTCATGACCTGGAAATATTATCTGTGAGAGAGTAGCGCAGGGGAAGTACACCGGCGAAGTACGGTGTGAGAACACTTCGTGGAGTGGATACGATTCACGCTGCCAGTTCTCTCACTATCTTCTGGTGACCGCGATAATTTGTGCATCTGTGTCAGGTTAATCAGAGCCCTTAATTATATCTCACCCAAAGTACAGTCATCCCTGGATTGGTTTCTGGTACGTGCTGAGTTGGTCGGCCGCCTAGTGAGAGGCGTTGAACGAACGGTCGGGCGGCGGGAACGGGGGGCCGATTTCCGCATTTGTCTTGGATCATCGCCACAAAGCGTAGATCTTATCTAATCCTAACATTTAGTCAGATTTGCCCAAGGTTTGCCAGGGTTTGCCGGCGCCTTGCTGCTCCTCTGCGGACTCCGCTCATCCTAGTACGGTTGGCTATGCCTGCCGTGTTCTCGTCCTTTTCGCTAGAAGAGATACTTATGCTGTCGCAAAATATTCTTGAACCTGTGCACCTCTTGCAGCGTATGTTGGCTGAATTGACTCCAGTAGTAGATCGCGTCGCTTACAGTCAGGGAAGTTCTAGTGGCAGGCTGCCCAGTGCAAGCTTCCTACAAGGCTCACGCGCACGGATGACACAAGTGCAGTCCCACGAATGCCGCAAGCAACAGCGTCCGAAATCACCTCCTGTTGATGTACGCTCTGCCATGTGGCGCGGTCGCTTGCCAGCTGAGAGGACGGGCTCGTAACAGCGGCGGCCTAGTTGACTCGCGTTGTCTTCCGCGACTATATTCTCGGAGCGGGATACGATCATATCTCCGCTCCGGTTGAACGAGCTGCGTCTGTTGCTGGCTCCTCGATATCGCCCACAGAGCCCCTCAGGGTCCGCGCAGCAACGCAGTTTGACGTGGCGGTGAGTGCTTCTCGTATCGTGAGAATCGTATATATGTATACGCATCTAACTTTACTATGATGCACCAGGATCCTACATCTCTCCCTTGCATGTTCCGTCGAATGTCCGACTGCAAGATGAACTCTGTGGAGAGGTGAATATCAAGAGGAAGGCGGCGTCATGCAGCCAGGTGACGGACGTTCACGCGCCAGCATCGATGTGGCCCCAGATCCGAGATGCCCTTGTGCGGCAGATAGAAGCTTCTGTCCACGGAGATGCTGGTATCCCTGATACTCTCGTACATCTACTGCTTCTCCGTCCCATGGCACCGCCTACGGCAGCACGGAGTTGCGCAGGTCACATATAAGCTCTATCATCTCTGGTCGAGGATGCAGGCCGAGCCCTCGATTCTTGACGACCATGCTCTCCGCCGTGAGCGTCAACTTGGCTTTGACGTGCGTCGAGAGCGCGTTCTTCGGCATCTTCTTCGTCCTCGCGGTCACCTCGCTCGCGGTGCTGGTCGTCCGCCATAGCAACCGCTTCAGCGCCTTCAACGGTGTCCCTCCATCCTCCGAGAGGATATGGGCTTCCCCCCTATTCATCGGGACTGTCCTTCTGCTCATGACAGTCACGGCTGTGAGTGCCTCCATATCACTTTCCCTCCACTGGTCTAATATCTCACTTGTGGATATGTAGCACTGGATAATCACCGTACGAAGGCTCTTCGAAGCATTCCTTCTCCACGGCGGGGGGCAGCATCCAGCCACATACTATCTCACCGTAGAGGCGCCTACACAAGTTGCGGCCACCGCTTTCGTCGTTGCGTCTGTGATAGTCGGAGACATCATCCTAGTGAGTTCCAGCTCGTCTACGTACGACACTCACCGTCCCTGATCTTGGTGCGTCGCAAGACCTATCGCATTTGGGTTGTCTGGGACCGCCGCTGGTCTCTCATTGTTTTCCCGGCGCTATGTACTCTCGGTTATGTTGGTAAGCATATACCTAACCTCGAACTGTCGTATTCGTCTCATGAAATCCTCAGCGATGGGGATCAGCGTTATCCAGCTATTCGCAGTTTATCGCCCGGGAGAAAGCCCCTTCGTCAATGCCGCACAGCGTCGCATCATAACTACCGCCGCGTTCACCTTGACGTGAGTGTATTGGCCTTCTTGTATATGCTATTCTTGCTTACGTACTGCGCAGAACCAACATATATGGCACAGGTCCGTGTAGAATCGCCAGTTCACCCACCGTCAAGGCTGACATTAAACTATCAACCTAGCATCGATCGCCTATCGAATATGGTCGAGCAACAGGGCACTGAAGCACGACCACACGCAACCTGGAATGGGCCTGACGGTATGCCCAGTCATGCTGCCTGCATGATGCGCTTCCTAACGTCCTCCCAGGAGGCACTCGTAATATTCATCGAAAGCGCAGCGCTCTACACGTATGTTGCATCTCCCTCCCTCGTTTCTCGGCTCTCTCTGACATGCGCGCTCTCATCACAGCGCATGGACACTGTTCTTCCTCGTCTCGTACTCCTCCAACTCGCTGCTCGAAGCCTTCGCTTTTCACTGTATACCCGCCGCGACCGGCATCTCCTTCATGCTCATCATCGTCCGCGTAGGGCTCGGCTTCCACTGGTCGCCCGCGTCCGGCAGTGGCATCGCCACACACGCGTCCACGCGCAAGCAGCCCGCGCGGCCGGAAGAGGGGTATCCACCGGTGCGCATGATCTCGCTGAACGTGACGCGGACTGTCGAGCGGGAGACGGACTTCGCGCTACGCCGCGCGCCGGAGAAGAGCGAGACGGACTCGGGAAGTTTGCCAGACTTCAAACCTTTCGAGGAGGTTTGAGGCATCGTGCGCGGAACGCAATACATTTCCATCTCTGTCTGGTTGTCGGGCAGTTTGGTCTGCGGAAGGCAGCACGGAATGTATCGTGTTGAATGATTCCTCTCTTCGTGCTCATCTCGACTTTTTGCGCCCGGGGTACGACGTCCCTGTCTGAGCTGCCTGGGCCACCAGTGCTGCTGTCCATGATTGCCAGGAACGTTAGCGATATCATGTGTATGTTTTCGAGGTCTTTTGACCGAAGTATGTGAGCCCATTATAAATGGGAGTAGAGACTCTGTCTGCATCGCCGGGATAGCTCAGCTGGGAGAGCAACAGACTGAAGTTCTGGAGGTCGCGTGTTCAATCCACGCTCCTGGCATTACATTTTGTCTCCCTGGCCGCCGTGATGATCCAGATCTGAACCAGGATTCAAAGACCGCGAGCCACAAGCATCCATTCACCTTCGCCAACTTCGAGTTACATTTCCGTTCTCTTTGTCGAAAACACGATGTTATTGCGGCTGCGACTGGCCGTGGTGTAGGTATGTTACAACGGCATGCACAGCGACTCATGCCGGCCGGTAACCCACGGCGAAAATTTTGAGTGGGTCTTTTCATCGCATGCGGTCTCGATCGAAGTTCAATGCGCGGCACTAACTCTCCCGATATTCAGATCTATACATATCCTGCAGAGACGCCTCAAAGACCACTGTCGCACATAGTGGGGTTACTTGGTGGTGGTCTATGGCGATGTTCAGCCTGTACGCCGTTGTTCGTTCACGACACTCCACACCGGACTCGATAGACTGATGTTGTTCATCAGGCTATGAAGCCGGCGCGACTTACGCCGGTCCTCCAAGGCTCAACATACTTGTGGCACTGTACGTTGTCCACTAGTATTGCACATGAATGGGCTGCGCACTGATGCTACATCCCAGGTCCTAATTCCGAGTGTAGGCCCTCGCCTTATACGCGAGCCAGCAGTTCGTGTCGCTAACGACCTAGATACACCTCGCCACACTGTCGTGGACACCATAACGCGGTCAGGCGCCGTAGCCTCTCGATGTCGATTTTGCTGCTTCCGGCTCAGGACGCCACAAATAGTAGCAATTGCGGAAGACGTCAAGAGTGCCGCCGTCAAGGTCTGATGCCTTCCGCCCGCTACTAACGCAGGTTTTGTTCTCAGGCTAGCTGCGTCGGTATCCTGCCACATAGGTAGAACTGTGTCCTATGAACTCAAACCCCCCGACTTTCCTCCACGCCAGGATAATGCAGCAGGCTGTGCTCTGTTCTTGTTAAAGCACACAAATATCTCCCAAAATCACTCGGCGCTGCAGAAGTATTCTATCGGACATCCCGGTATGTCCCTATGTTTGTATGTTGCAGCAACTGGAAGCACTAAAATGCTTTTTGAAGGGATGTTTGATCATTAATCACTGTACCCCTCGCTGTATACCATATCCCGAAAGCTTCTTATACAAACCACACCTATACAAACCACCCAGATATTATGCTGCTCTACTTGTATCTAGATACATTTTTGTTTCGCTTCGGATCTTCTTCCGCCGAGTGCATTCCTATCACTTCTAGCGACCATTTGCTCACTGCCCAGACCACAGTGCCCAAACTAGCCACTTTAATGTGCCTCGATTTCTCAGCTCCCAGGTCCTCGCTGGATATATAAACGGTACGCCTGGATGACCGCTCACTCAACTCGAGCAGCGCGTTTCATACACTTCGCCCTCCTTGTCACCATCTTCATACCGGGTCCACTTCTTCCCCAAGAGTATCGCTCTCCTCTACCGACATGTCAAACTTGCACATCACTTCGTCGCCGACATGGATGACTATCATCCTGAAGGACGATGACTTGAGAACCACTATCCGACCGTGGATGGTGGCTTTTCTATTTTGTGCTCTGACGCTCCTTCTGTCTACGGGCGGGAGGTTCTGGAACACGCGTCGAGGCAATATTGCCCCCGGACCGCTGGGTCTGCCACTGCTAGGCAAGTCAATCTCATCCTTCGCCCTGTAGCATAGGTAGCTGAACATTGAGTCTCTACAGGATGCTTCATGTCCCTCGCAAAATACCCTGAATTGAGTCTCGACCGATGGGCGAAGACGTTTGGCCCGATATACACATTCACTATCGGGAATCAGCTCTTCCTCGTCCTCTCCGATCCATACATGGTCAAAGACATCCTCGTCACGAACGGCGCCATCTTCTCCTCGCGGAAGGATATGTTCGTAAAGGTGCAAACTATCCTCCGGTATCGCGGCATCACGAGTACCCCATACAACGAGCAGTGGTAAGTCTTTGTGTCTCAGTTTGTTTGAATATCACTGATTTATAATTTTTGTAGGCGGAAGCACCGCAGGCTTGCGAACAATCTGCTCGTTCCCCACTCTGTCGCTACCTACAGCCGATGGCTAGAAATGGAGTCCAACGACATGGTCCAAGGGCTGATGCGCGACGGCAAGGCGGGGGCGATCTCGATTGACCCCCGGCCCTATGCAAGCCGTGTATCGCTGAACGCCATCCTCCGGCTTGTGTACGGTACCCGGACCACCTCACTTGACGATCCTACTGTTGCGGAGTCCCTTCGTATATCCCGCGAGCTGATGTGAATCGTATCCCTCCACGGCGAGTTAACTCCTCCTGACTGACCGCTGGCACTCTGGCGCAGGAATACGACTGGATCTGTGTCCAATCTCGTCGACTTCTTCCCCATCCTGCAGAAGCTGCCGAACCGGATGACCACGCGCGGGCGCAACCTCCACCGGGACATCCTTGCCTTCAACCGGCCCTACATCGCGGACATCGAGGCGCGTCTGAAACGCGGCGAGGACGTCGCGGACTGTCTTGCGAAGACGCTGCTCCTCACGCGTGAAGAGGAGCAGCTGGATGACCTTGATATCGAGATACTCTGCGGAGCAATGTTGATCGGCGGCGTCGAGACAGTATGTCGTTCGCCAAAGTACCCGTATGGAGTAACGTTGACTCTTGGCGTGTACGGTGTCAGACCGCGTCTGTCCTGCAGTGGTTCATGGCGCACATTGCTGGGTACCCGGACGTACAAGCGAAGGCGCACGCAGAGCTCGATAATGTGTGCGGGCGCGACCGTCTGCCCTCAGTGGATGATGAGCAGGACCTGCCCTACATCCGTGCCATTGCGAAGGTCAGCACCAGCTCCGCATCCTGTGCGTGATTGCTGAATCGCTTCATACAGGAAGTCGTGCGTGTCCACAACCCATTCTGGATTGGCACTCCGCACTACAGCACAGATGACTTCTCCTACCACGGGTACGACATCCCTAAAGGAACCGTCATCATCGTGAACAGCGTGCGTTTTCCCGCGTTCTATTTTGTTTCTGACGCACGCTCATGTTATTGTAGTGGGCGATGCACTTTGACCCTGTACGCCATCCGGACCCTTACACCTTTAAGGTAAAGCACTCCAAACTGCGCAAGAAAAAGCGACTCACATACTCGTTTCAGCCCGAACGGTACCTCGGTGACAACCTCACATTCGCCGAGTCGGCGCGTCTAGCCGACCCACTGCACCGCGATCAGTGGGCGTTCGGCGCGGGGTGAGTTCAAACGACTATGAACCCGGTCGCAGTTTACTGATGCCGCTGCACAATAGGCGTCGCATGTGTCCGGGAATGGCCCTCGCAGAGCGGCAGATCCTGCTCGGTATTGCCTATATTCTCTGGGCATTCGATGTCGAAACCATTCCCGACGATCCAGTCGATTTGCGGGAATACGACGGCGTAGCGGGGCGCTCTCCCGCACCGTTCCGTGTGCGTATGACGCCGCGGAATGAAGATGTCGCGCGCATCCTCGACATATAGTTATCCTTAGCGTTGCACGTACTTCTCGACCTTGATATTGTATGTATACACGCCGAGCACACCAGGGGCATGCTCAACACGTGTTGTATGATAGCAATATGTAATTACTGGCCAAAGCGGCCCTGAAATGATTCCACTACTCTCGGTTACGATTCGTACAGGCTTCGAGCAAGACAAAAACAGATGCCAGGAGCGTGGATTGAACACGCGACCTCCAGAACTTCAGTCTGTTGCTCTCCCAGCTGAGCTATCCCGGCGATAAAGACTCTCCCTTTGGTGCATCTACAAGTTCGTGCAGGGAACTTGCCGCGAGCGGCATGCCTTAGAACGCTGAGCCACTTTCTTCAAGTTGCATCTTGGCTCCTCCCTCCTCAGACGATGCGACCATCAATACGATATGCGCTCGTATCAGATTCTCTACGTCCAAATACCTCAGGAGAGTCTTGTGTGCTCATAGAAGACACGACGTTTCTACCCATAATTTGGACAGCTGGCCAGTGTTCTGCAGTCTCAGGCCACATGAACACAGCACCATGATCTCCATCTTCGACGCAGATTTCTTCATTCTACCGCCGTGTCTGCGTCCTGCTTCAAGAACAACGATCATGCCCTCTGCGAAATGGGATGTGCTGGCGCCATGTCACCCTACCTCTGTGGGATTTGGCCGCCTAACGATCTTCAGCCCCTTCGCAACAATTTGGAGGCTCTCCATCCGCAGTATCGCCACGACTTCTAAAGCCCGCCTTCCGACAGGCACTGGCAGTCGTGTCAAGTCCGCTGTCGCCGTGTAACGACTAGATCTGTGCCAGCCTGCGCTCAGAGTATAATCTGACAGATGAACGCGCCCCGAACACCTCTTTAGGCGACGCGGATCCCGCCCCTCCTCTTCTCTCTATCGCAACAAGTTCGATTCCCATGTAATCTTAGGAGAAGGCAGCGCCTTGGGGTGCCTAAAATTGGCCGCGATCGACACAAGCTCTCGAAGGCTCCCGCTCCTACTGGCTGCTTGAGCTTGAAGGCGATCGCAGCAGTACGTGGTGAGCGCTCCCAAACGTAACTGAAGGTTCCGAGATGCCTGACTCACGGTCTCCATCTCCACCAAGACGTCGCGCGCCCCACGTGTATGACAGACGGACGGCGAAGCTCCGTCATGGCTAGCTCAGTTTGCACAGGATCTCTCACCCTCGGGCGCACTCTGTGCCCCCACTCAGCGAAGAGCAGGCTAGGTTTGTTCGTAGGATCCTGCTAGATCCGCACCGTGGCACGGAGATGACCGTCGCAGCAACGCGAGACATACAAAACGACCCTGCCCCCTGGCGGCCGCCCTCAACAGTCTGACATCTCGGCATACCTGGCGTGTGCAGTGTTTGAGCCCCCCTTCCTCGGCTAGCAATTACCCCCTGAAGTTTCAAGTCGCTATGGACGCGGAGATGATGTCTGAGCTGGTGTCTGTGCAGCTCACAACGACGCTCGGGTCCGTCTTCCTTGGATTTGCGTGTACATGCGTGTACGTCGGAGCTTGTCTCGACCATGTCGTATGGCGTCGCTGACCCCATACCCGTGTCAAGGTTGTACGGTATAACCAGCTTGCAAACATGGATGTATTTCGACTACGATTTCAAGGATGAGCCGATGCTCAGTAGAACGGTTCGTCTTGAACACGGATCGTATCTGAGCCGTAACTGACGATCCTTTCTGCCGGTCACGTAGGTTCTATTCCTATGGTATTGTCGCAGTCGCAGTTTACAGCATATACCCTCACTTACTATCATCCAGGATTCTAGACACCCTCCAAGTGTTGTTTCTCGCTATCACCGTTTACCGCAACGTTGTGGTGGACTTCGGGAATCTTCCCGCCCTTCTCACGCCAACCTGGTAAGGAGTCGTCGCCTTACCATTCGGTGAATATCCCTCACGTATAAATATTTCAGGAGTCTCGCGGTAGGTTCTCTAGTCTACACGATCTCATCGAAACTTATGCGCGGCGCGTAGGCCATGGTCATCGTAGTGGCAAGTTACGTCTACCTCCATGTAGCGCGCGTCTGACATTCCTCTGAAGCTTGTCAGCAACCTCATTGTCCGAGCGTAGGCCCCAGCACCCTAGTACATCATTGGTAACACCAAGGCTCATACTTCTCACAGAATATTCGGGATGAGAATCTGGAAGCGTACGTGGATTCCGAAAATGCGGAAAGCCCGTTGATAAACTGAAACCACTCCCTAGTTAGCGGAGGGCACTGGTTCATACCAGTATGCATCGTGGTGGGTACCCTAACGGAACTACATGAGAGTCTTTGATTGACAATTCAACTAGAATGTGCTATCTCTTTTTGTTCTCGGTGCGTCCGTCGATGTGGCAATTAGTGCTCGATAATCATCTACACTGACGGCTTGCTTTGTAATAGGGGACGGAATATGTGAGTAGCAGGTGAACCAAATATAAGAAGACACGCTTGCTTACGGTTCTGTAATAGTCTTCGCAGTGAAAGGGTAAGGACTGAACTCTTCTACTATCACAAGGCTCACGCCTTTTCATAGCCTCTCTGTCCCTACGCTATTCGAAGTTCACGTCTACTCGGCGAGTCTCTCGATCTACGCGATGCGATTCAATCTCCAATGCTAAAACTTGTGTACAGTGGAGCTTCTACACAGGATTTAGCGCGGAAGTCGTTGCCGACACCATCATCACCGTCTCACAGTGTATGCTACTCGTACGCATGAAGACCGGATTCGAGAGGTAGCTTGAGACCTTTAAATCTAACCGAGAGCCCCTCTGATGCCTTCAACGTCAGGACGGACTCGTTGATATCGGTGATGATGAGATACAGTATCAACACCGGTCTTCTCACAAGGTATGCCGTCTGCACTCATCCCGGATTGATTGAGGTTTACCGCATTGGTCGCAGTATTTGCGCCATCCTAGTGCTCATCACGGTAGGAAGAATACTGCATCTTCGCTCTATTCTCTTGTTAATTTGGGCGTTAAAGTACTCGACACAACCGAACAACTTTGTATACATGGCATTCTACTTCGTATACAGCAAGTGTAAGTCACCTCATTCTTGTCCCCTCCAAGCCGTTCTTCTACGCATACTCCACAGTATACGTGAACTCCCTTCTTGCCACCCTCAACGCCCGGCGCTCGCGGCTCATGCGACAGAATCTCGGTGTCCAGCGCGTTGCGGCAACGTCCGTCACCGACATGACATTCAAAGCGGACGCCTTCGATCTGAGCCGGCCTGCTGAGGTACGCACCGCAACCGATCGTTGCGACGACCGGCCACTAACACGGTGCACAGCTTACTACGATCATCGACATCGGCTCGCGGCTGGCAAACTCCAGCGAGAGCCATGAGTTTTGACCGACTCGGATGGGATATAGGTCTTCTTTGAGTGGCATTCACATTTCTTGGTGCGAGCTTATACCCTGTATCTTATTTCTATGGAAAAGCAGGACTATAGAAGTATATAACCTCTCCGTTGAGAGGACTCAGCAAACGTTGATCAGGTCCTCGTCGGAGGTCCGCGGACAGCCTAAGCACCGGGCTCGATCCACACGACTTGCCCAATCTGTGCGGTGCGGATCAAAAGTGCAGCACCGCCACCCCGCCCGGTCAGCCAGCAAAGTCAGCCTCTCGGACGCTACTCATCGTCGCGGAGCACCGGATGTGCCGCATCGGGCGCGCGGAATGGATGGCTGGTCCCGTTTGCAACGGCACCGTGGCGGATGACCATATGCAGGATCGGCGGCCAGGAATGGGTGCTCACGACTCGGACAACGTCCACCCCGTGCTGAGGGCTATCTCTGTCCCGCCACGCACTTGCTTCGGTCCCGGCTTTTGCGCGACTCTGGCTGCTCACGAACGCCTCTTTTCAGCCTTACCTAGGGCGCGTCGGGTGGAAGGCTGAGGGAGTTTGGTTAGGGGATATCCAGGCTGTGGTCAGCTCAAGATAATGCGGTGAGTATCTGCGACTCGACATGCATTCTCATTTGATCGCTGACTTCCGCGCGTATGGAAGACATGGCACTAGACCTTAACGCGAGCATCGGTAGTCTCTTCATCGGCTACACGATTTCACTCTGGTGCGTGCCCTGCCCACCGCCCCAGCCAGGCTTATAGGCACTCACCAGACGTTACAGGCTGTACGGCGTTACTCTGTCCCAGATTGGGCTGTTCTTCCACAACAGCAGTCGAGAGAGCTCGAGGCATCAGAGAGTTATTGTAAGTCGCACACACCGCTATCCTCCTGCTGAGCTCATTCCTTGTTAGGTTTGGTTGTTATTGTGCGTAGTCACGGTTGACTTATCGCCTATTAACCTCACCGGGTACGCAGCGTGCTCGAGAACGCACAGACTATAGCCCTTAGCGAAGGGCTGTGGCTGTATGTCGTCAACTATCACGCAAATCCCACACGGCTCGCGAGACCGCCTCGGTAAGCAGCTCAGCAGGAACGGGCTTGCCGTTCGCCGTCTGACAGATTGGTGTCTTAGCGCATTTGGGGTAAGTGACTCAGTTTGAATGTCGCGCGCGCCGTATCGACCTCTAACCGGCTTCTAGGTTTTAGTATATACCACCGTGAGTCAGCCTCTTATTATGTCTGTCCGTCGGTACTGAGTTCAAGTCCAGTCTTTGAACAACCTGCTCGTGCGAAGGTCAGTGCATGTGTCCACGGCAAATTTTTGTGATCTGACGCCTTTGCCCAGCGTGTATGCGTATCGCATGCATCAACGTGAGTCAAATGCTCTCCGGAATCGCTTAGAAGGAGTTCTAATCAGTGCTTACTATCTCTTACACCACTTGTAGTCGGTGGATGTATCGTGCTACCCACAATCGTGGTTAGTGCACTTGATTTGCTCCGGTGTAGCACGCGCTGAAACCTCCCTCTCCCTTAGGTCATCTTGTCGATTCTGGTTTCGAGTGCGATAATGTTCACTTGATTCCATGTCATACGCTAATATTGCATATCTTGTTTCAGCCCTAGCGTGTAGTACGTCCCCTTTATCTCTATTTCTCATATTGAAGCCTTGAACATCATTACTGAAATATCGCGCAGTATACGGGACCCAAGGGTACGCTCGCAATCATGTGCTCTGGTTCCATACTAATAACACCAACCACTCGCAGTGTCACTATGGTAACGTGGGGATCGAGGAAAGCACTAGCGGTACGCATATACTCACCTTCCATGATGGTCCCCATGACCAATACTTGTCGCAGTGGACATTCTATGCCGGATATTCTTGCGAGCTAGCCGCAGACCTCATCATTACAGCCACCATGGTCATCATGTTCGCGCAGAAGAACGTCGGCATGCGAAGGTACGTACACCAACTGCTGCGCCACTCCTCCCTCTTCCTCATCATTTTCCTATACGCATGCAGCTCTGACCGCTTTACGCAAACGCTCCTGGTGTATTTCCTCAATTCGGGGTTGCTCGTTATGTGAGTGTTCTCCCCGATACCCTCTGACTTGCATTACTGATAATGAGCGTGTGCGCTCAGGATGTGTGTGATCGGTAGCACCGTCGCGGTAAGTGCCCATCGCGGGGACCATCCTCACGCAAAGCTCATATCCATCGCAGTACATCAAGCTGCCGAACTCCTTCGCCTTCCTGGGATTCTACCTCGTCCTTGGAAAGCGTTCGTTCCCCTTGTTAGCGTTCCGTGCGTCCAGCACTCACGTTCCTCCAAATAGTGTACGCGAACTCCCTGCTCGGCTCCTTCAACGCGCGCGACGTTATCTTTCCGCATGCGAACTGGGAGAAGGAGACGCCAAACAGTGCACCACTCCTAACCTCCGTCGTCGTACTTGACGAACCCGACGATATGGTCACGACCGTCGTCGGCGTCGCGGAGGCCGAGGACGTGAGCAAGCGCATGAACGGCTCGATCGGCTCCGAAGATACGCATGTGGAGGAAGGGCGGGGCAAGCGACACTCCAAAGAGGATGGAAAGGTGCAGATCGTCCAACGAGGTATGTGCTCTAAGGCACTGCGTCCGAGTGTTCTGGTTCCTGATGCCTCTTCCTTCAGTGGTTTCGCGCCGGACAGGTGAAGGCCAAATTTCGTAGAGGTCTCGTTTCATTATCTTTATTATCACGAACATTTTTGTATCATATCCATCTAGAGCTTCGCACCAGGTCATAATTCCTAGAGTATCCATGTGTATTGAGCAGCTGGCGGAGTATACGCGGGGTATTCTGTCAAGTTTATTGAACCTTAATTACCGAGATGGGTTACGCGTGACGCCGTCGAGAAGGCCTTGGCCGCTCTTTGCTCTTGACCTCGATGACCACAACGACCTGCATGCCCGCGCGACGATCCACTGGCCATACAGCATCCAAACGTCCTGTACACGTACACATAGGCCACGGGAGCGACGATCCAGCCGCGCAGGCGCCGACTTGCATGGGGTACGCGCTTCTTCTAGACGCGGGGAACCCGACGATATCGCCTATCCTCGATGTGCGCCTTCTCATGGACCTCGAGGAGGACCTGCGCATGTGTTTCGAAAGGTTCCGCAGGGCAAGTCGACCTTCGAATGTTCACGACTCGTCAAGCCGCTTACTCTCCACAGTGACAAACCGTTCCATCGGACGAGCACCCCGCATTCCGGGGTCCGATCCGTGCGATGAAGAGTTTAGGCGGGCCCACGGTGGGCCAGCGTGGGCCATCGGCGGTCTGTGACGGACGCCGCGTCGAACGGCGGCCAACCACGACGGCGCTGCTGACGACGGTCGGGGAAGCCGCCTGATGGGGCGCGGGGGGCGGGTTCTAGGGCGATCCCAGACTTCGTCGCGGCGGGCGACGAGGCCGAGCAGCGCAGGCCGGTTTCGAACGGCTTCGCGCGGCTGACGGTATTTCCCGCATCGGCGTGCGTTTCGTAATGCCTGATTGGACGACTCCACTCACCGTCGCCCGAAATTTGCTGGGTGAACAGGCGCTGCCGATGATGTCACCCCCCTCGGCGGGCTGCCTATAAGAGGTTTCCGCCTCTCATCCGCCCCTTCCCTCTTTATCTCTTTGCCCCATCGTCTCGATCGAGGGTAAGGGCTTCTTCAACGACACGCACGACCTCCACGACTTCCCATCATCGTTCCCCAATACCCCCGCAAATCCCTTCCCCACCCGCGCAGCACACATGGCTCTCTTTTACGTGTGAGTAATACCCTATCTCCTCGCGCGACTGTGCTGACTAGCGGGTTCAGAGATGGCCTACCCATTGGGTGGATAGCCATCATGCTGGCTGTCCTAGCCTCCATGGGAGGGTTCATCTTCGGTGTACGTGATCCGCCCTTTTTTCCGTTGCTCGTGCTGACCCTCGTGTAGTATGACACTGGTCAAATTTCAGATATCCTCCTCATGGATGACTTCAAGCTACGGTTTGCGCAGTGTGGCACTGCGGGCGACGTCAATTCATGCAACTTCTCCACCGTCCGCGAGGGTCTCATTGTCGCCCTCCTCTCCATCGGCACGCTCGCCGGTGCCTTGTTCGGTGCACCGTGAGTTTCACCTTTCAACTTATCCCGCGCTCTTTCCTCATCGCTTGTGTGCAGAACGGCCGACTACCTCGGTCGTCGGTATGCCATGACCGCGGAGTGCGGCGTCTTCATGGTCGGTGTAATCATTCAAATCACCTCCTTCCACTCGTGGCAGCAATTCGCCATCGGCCGTCTCGTCAGCGGCCTGGGTGTCGGCTCTCTCAGCGCCGCGGTACCCATGTACCAAGCAGAAACGGCACCACCCCAGATCCGTGGTACGCTTACTGCGACTTACCAGTACGTGGTTTGTGTGATGCCATGTCGTCATGTGGCGCTAACGTAGACGTGCTGTGCAGGCTCTTCATTACGTTTGGTATCCTCGTTGCCTGTACGTCGTTCCCGTCGTGCGTTATAATTCTCCGCCTGACCATTACATTCCACAGACTGTATCTCCATCGGAGCGCGCAACATCGAGGGCTCCGGATCGTGGCGCACAGTCGTCGGCATAGGTCTCTTGTGGCCGATCATCCTCGGCGTTGGTATCCTCTTTATGCCCGAAAGTCCCAGGTAAGCTCCATCCCCACATGTCGCGCACAATCTCTGACGTTGGCACGCAGATGGCTCACCGCACATGGTCGCTTCCCTGAGGCCCGTGCCGCCATCGCACGCACGCGCGGCATTCCCGAAGCTGAGGCGGAGAACCACTCCTTCGTCCAGCGTGAGGTACGTTCGGCACGTGGACTGCGCACGCATCAGAGCTGACTGGTGATTTTGCAGCTCGACGAGATGAAATCCGCAATCGACTTCGAGAGCAAGATCAAGGCCGGTTGGTTGGACTGCTTCAAGCCCCAGCGGATGTCGCTTTACCGCACGCTGCTCGGCATGACGCTGCAGATGTTCCAGCAGCTGACAGGCGCCAACTACTTCTTCTACGTCAGTCTTCCTACGCGCTTGTTCCCGGATCTTCAGCTAACTGTGTTACAGTATGGTGCCACCATCTTTACGTCGGTCGGCATTGAGGATTCGTTTGTCACCCAAATCATCCTCGGCGCGGTCAACTTCGTCTGCACGTTCGGCGGCATGTACGTCATGGAGAAGGTACGTTTCATCACTCGTGATTCCGTAAACGCCCTCTAAGTCCGCTGCAGTTCGGTCGCCGTTGGCCTCTGATCATCGGCGGTATCTGGCAATCCCTGTGGCTCTTCGTCTTCGCCGCGGCCGGAACTGCTGGAGACCCGCAGACGGACAAAGGCATCGGCAAGCGTATGTCGTTTATTTCCGGATGCAATACTGTCTGCTGACCCCGTCGCAGTGATGATTGTCAGCGCCTGCATGTTCATCTTCGGCTACGCCATGACGTGGGCACCGTGAGTACAATGCGCCTTCGCTCCTCTTTCTGTCAACTCAACGTCTCGTCCACAGGGGTATCTGGATTCTCATCGGCGAAACCTTCCCCACGCGCACGCGCGCCCGTCAAGCTGCGCTCTCCACCGCGAGCAACTGGCTGTGGAACTTCCTCCTCGCGTTCTTCACCCCCTTCATCGTGTCCGCGATCGAGTACCGCTACGGGTTCATCTTCGCGGCGTGCAACCTCACCGGCGCGGTCATCGTCTACTTCTTCCTGTACGAGTCCTCGGACTTGTCGCTGGAGAGCGTCGACATGATGTACTGCGACCCGACGTGCAAGCCGTGGACGTCGCGCACCTGGGCGCCCGCAGGCTTTAAGTCGCGCCAGGACCTCATCGAGCAGGGCCGCGCCGCGGAGATGCACAAGCCGCTCGAGGCTGGCGCCGGCGAGGAGACGCGGTACGAGAAGGCGGGCGAGTCGGCGTAGGCCCCACTGTCTGCCGCTTCTCCCTTCCCCTTCACTTCCCTCAATCATCGCTTTGAAAAGGACGTGCCCCGTTCCCTCTCATCCACGAAGTTTTGCATTTGGCAGTTATACCGCGTTGGAGTGTAGGATAGTCATTTACTGTAATACTTAATGCATCATCATTTCCTGGTCTTTTTGCCATCTTGTGATGTCGGTACTTAATGAACCTCTGATGACGAGGAATTACACATGGACCCATAAATGTAGATGACAGTTTGACAGGTAGCTTGCGGTATCTGTATCATGCGCCATGCTTCGCGGCGTACACGACACAGCGATTAGCGATTAGAACCTTCATGAATCAAACTCATACAGTAGAGTACAGCACTGCGCAACTATACTAGTGAAAATACTAAAACAGAGAACGAGCCATAACCATGTCTGAGACGTACAGCTCCGTCACCGCACGTCCGCCAGAGGCGCGCCCGACGCCGCCCGCTCGATGCCCCGGAACACGATCTGCACCCGCTTCTGCACGCCCTCCTCCTGCGACGCACCCACCGCATCCTCGTCCACGTCGTCCTCCCCAGGCCGCGCCGCCATGAACTCCGCGACGAACTGCGCGACCGCGCGCTCGCCGACCTCCGCCAGCGCGCGGGGGCCCCAGCGCCATTCGTACGCCGCGAGCGTGCCGTCGTCGTTCGCGGCGCCCGCCCCGCTGCGCCCGCGCTTCGTGCCCTTGCGCGCGCCGTTGCCGACGCGCGCTTTCTCGAGGAAGCCCTGCCGTGTGAGCTGCGCGAGGTGCGCGTCGATCGTCTGGTTCTGGGTCGTCGTCTGGCTGCTGAGCGGGATGGGCGCGTTCGCGGGGAGCTGTAGCCGCTTGAGGATCGCGCGGAGGTCATCTGCATGTGCATAAATCAGCTCACGGACCACGAGGGGTGGGGTGGGGGACGTACTGTCGCTTATGACGCGCCCTTCTACGAGGATGAGGGCAAGAATCACATAGAGAATGCCGACGGACGCGAGTTGGTCGGCGTGCTGCCAAGCAAAGATGCTCCCGATGGAGCGCGTGCCGACTTTGTTGTCGTCCTCAGCGAACTCCTCGTTCGCGTCGGGGTGCTCGGACTGCTCGAGCTCCCGGATCTCGGCGTCTGGGGCGGACGCCTTCTCGATGAGGGCCGCGTCTAGCAGAGAGCGGAGGATGTAGTTCTTCGTGCCGGTGGCTGTCGCTTTCTTCTTGGCACCGGTCGCTTTGAGCATCTCCGCGTCCTTCTCGCTGATGTCCTTGTCTGCGGATGTAGAGTGCAGCTCGACAAGCTCCATGCCGAAAGTGTCTCGTAGAATCCCATTCGCCGCGGCGAAGACCGTGTTGAACGAGCGGGAATTGGAGCCCAACACTGAGAGCTGGTGAATGCGTGCGGTCTCGCGAGAGGCAGGATCGCGCACCTTTCTTGGAGATCTCGTCCCTCTTCAGTGCTGTGCGTCGCTGCTCGTGGAACAACGCTAGCCGTACGAGGTCTCGCGCTTTCCTGTCTAGCTCCTGCAAACCCCAAGTCTATAGGAGCATTTCGCCCGCTAAAACGCGTTTACATACCGCTTGCACCTTTTCAGCTGCTATCTCCTCCTGCTCCCCGCCTTCACGTCCGCTCGCCATCTCCTCGTCCTCGTCTTCTTCGTTTGCACGCGACCGCCGCGAACGGCCACCCTGTGTGCCTCGCGGGGCCTGGGATTGTGACGCCTGGGGCTGGCGTTGCGAACGAGTTGCTTGTCTCGCCATGTGTTTCTATGAAATACGACAGTATGTCGCTGCCAGTTGACCGAGCTCGAAGGTGTAAACGAAGGATGTGGTGGAAAGAGACAAAGACGCGCTTGACGCGACTCGGACGCGTCGCGCGTAATTTAATAGGCGCCCTCTCGCGTCTCATTTATCGCTAGCGCTGGCGTTCCATAACACAACCTCCGTCGCGTCGCATAACGCAAAATTCTCCGGCTTCTAACGCCTTTAATAAACAGCAAAGACGCGGCAAAAGCAAGGCGCTACCAGGGATCGAACCTGGGTCTTGGGAACGCTGATATCAGAATCCCAAGTGATAACCACTACACTATAGCGCCGGGGGCTGCCCATTGGCTGGATTGAACAACCGACCTCACCATTACGAGTGGCGCGCTCTACCACTGAGCTAAACGGGCGATGGACTGTCGCTCGTTCCACCATATCTGGTCTCAGACCACCGTTATGGCTGGAGAGCTTGAGCCTTGAGCTTGAGCGATCCTAAGCACATCTTGTCCTCACCTCTCCACGATGGCGTCCGGCCAACAACAGATCAACGTCACGGACCTCGATGTTCCCCAACTAGCAGATGTCCGGAGGCAACTGGAAGAGGTGCGCGACTTTCCGGCCACCACCCCGAGAAACGCTCACCATATTTTCCCGACTGCAGGAGCTCACGCACCTGTCGAACTCGTACGCGCAGCTGCGGCAAGCGCAGGCGAAGTTCCGTGCCTGCATCGACAACGTCGGGCAGGTGAAGGCGGAGAACAAAGGTGCGTGCGCGACGCGATCGAACGCGGTGCGAGTGAGCTAATGCGAGGCCGTGTGAAGACAAGGCGATCCTCGTTCCCCTCACGAACTCTCTGTATGTCCCGGGGAAGCTCAATGACACGGAGCATGTCATTGTGGACATTGGCACGGGATACTACGTGAAAAAGGTGCGCTCCATGGCTCTTGACCGCCGGCGTACGGGAACTGAGTTGGTCACGGACGTGCAGACACGCGCACAGGCATTGAAGCACTACGAGTCGAAAGTCGAGTACATCCGTACGAACCTCGAGGCGTTGCAGGAGACGATTCAGAAGAAGCAGGAGAACATGAACTACCTCATCAACATCCTGCAGATGAAGTTGCAGCAACAAGCAGGCGGGAAGGAGGTCAAGGCTGGGTGAGCGGACATTCTGGTGAGTTGCATCGATGAGGCATAGATTTGCACTAAGACTTACTAACCTTACATCTCACAGCAGCCCATTCGCATACTCGTGTAAGTTCAGGTGTAACAGTAGCCAAGACAATATAGATTCACATATTCAACGGGACATACGAAGACGCATCGGGTAGAAGACAAGAGGAGAGGGTGTCATAGGGGGAGAGTCCGCATATAGGTGGAAACCGCGATCGAATCAAGAACTGCAAACGGAACGCAAGGGACCAGTCCGCATGATCAGAATCGGGCCATACTACGAAGAACAGGAAGGCCGAACTGCATACCGTGTAGCTTGGAACCTCGATCTGCTGGAAGCCGTACTCCGCGTTTGCGTCGCACGGAAGCCAATGGGAAGTGAGTCAAGTTCGTGTCCGGATCAGCCGAACCGCCCACACCGTGGGCAACGAAGTCGACTCGCGAGGGGTGCGGATGTGCGATGCGTAGACGCACCGCGTCCGCTATGAGGCGTGATCCAGGACGGATACCTCTAACGCTGCCAGGCAGTGTGTACTCCGGGGATCCTGCGTCCAACTGCGAAGAATATTAGCCACTGAGACGCGCGATATGAGCGAACATGCTCGCCTGTTGTAATCGGTGGTGTCCATGCATGAACTACGGGTCGAGTTTCTCACCGCGCGCGAGGACGCGAACGACACGGCTGGGCTGCGCGACCATTTCCATCATGGCCATGACGGCCGGTGGACGTTCGACCAGGCCCGTTCCCGTCGCGGGCGGAGGCCTAGCCCCTGGCGTAGTACCGCGCGAATTGCGCCGCCCTCGTCCAGACTGTCCATGGCTCTGCGCGCGCTTTGCCCGCTCGTCCTCTGCAGAGCGTCGGCCCTCTGCCGAACGCCGAGCCTTGAGAGGAGCATCTGTCGGAGCATTGCCGGATTGGGACGAGGGCGGTGCAGAGGTAACCTCGAGCACCTCCACGCCCGCCTTCGAGGCCCAGCGACCAACCAATGCGCCGGAAAGGCGTGATTCGTATTTGTTCGGTTGGGGCGCAGGAAGGGGGACAGGGGACGCAGATACGGGAGCAGAGTTTGCAGATTCAGCAGGTCCATCGGCGGGTGGGGAAACCACGGCGAGAACGACGCGGAGCTTCGAGGGCTTCCCGTCCTTCTGCGCTTCGCCTGCGTGGTCGACCTCCCAGCGAGCGCAACAGATCGTGCGCCGGACCCACTCCGGGGCAGTGTTCAGGGCGGACCCGGGTTGGTCGTCGAACGGGATGTTATCCCAGGGGACAAATGCGTCGTCCTGCTGCACTCGGATGCGCGGGTTCGTTCCAACCTGTGCCTCCAAGATGCGCGACGCGGCGCGGGCACGTTGGGCGAGTACTGTAGTTCCCTTCTTGAGGAGATCGAGAGTGTTCAGAGCTGTGTGGGGTAAATAAGTCTGATAGCCAACATGAGAGATAACGATACTCACCCTCGAGGGGGATTATGATGACCTCCTCCCGACCCTCCCTGCACCATTTCTTGATGTGGTAGAGGCCGTGGACGAGCACGGTAGCGTCGACAACGACCACATCTGCATCCTTCTGAACCTTGCGCTCCTCGCTCCGCCTATCCTCTCGCACCGCCGTCTCGCTCTCGGCCCTCGGCCTGTCTTCTCCATCGTCATTGCGCCTTCTCATGATCTTTGGGCCCGGTCCGGAGACGGTGCGCTTCGTCTCGCCGCGCCATGTCTCGGGGCTCCGACGGCCGCGCCAATTACCGCCAGTGTGAACAGTTTTCTCGAGTTGCTCGACTTGGTGATTCAGGAAAGCAGCACCGAGGGCACGAGACATAGCAAGTTTGTTCGGAGCGACCTTTGCGTCGGCCATGGTGGTCGTGGTTCAAGATTAAGCTGTAGCGGGCGGTGGCCCTGACCTGTGGTGGCTGACCTGAGGTGAACAGCTTTGCCTTTTTTGGGAAACGTCACAGCAGTTACAATGCTGTCACGGCCACATCAAGCAAAACAGGGGCTCAAGCCACAGCACTAGTCGAGCAACGATATTGTAATGAAGTGTAAGTGTACCTAGTATGTACCTCCTCATTATGGTGCACCCAGCAAAAATCAATGGCCAACAGGTACCGTGCCCTCACCCGCAAAAGGCTACTTGCCCATTGGCTGGATTGAACAACCGACCTCACCATTACGAGTGGCGCGCTCTACCACTGAGCTAAACGGGCGACATCGAAGAAAGGAAAGTTTGGTAACATGATTCTGTTGGAAACCTGGCTTCTCTAATAGCAGATCGCTCAGAAGCGTGCGCGTTGGACCGCGGGCGTACGCGTCTGCAGCTTGAGCACTCTCCATCACCTATCCAGATTCAAATGGCGGACGAAAACAACAGTGCGCGCAGCTCTCGAAGCCCATTTTCACTACCTTCGAACAGTGGACCCCGTATAGGACGTGTAGGTGCATGGGGGGCGGGATCTACATCGTCCTCTAGGTACGCCTCTGGAAACAGCCTGCTTCACGATAATCCCTATGACAGCCTGTCTAACTATGATTGCACGAATAGAACTAACAGCAATGGCGGTGGTCGGCGCATTGCAACGCTTGGTGACATTGCAAGCGGCGGCGGGGGCGGCGGGGCACCCCCAATGGGCGGTCATGCCGGGCACGGTCATGCACACGCGGATGATGAAGATGAGGATGATGATGAGCGTCCCGAGGGTGACCAAGGAGAGAATTGGTATGCCGGTGGCGAACGGAGGTACGTTTCATGCGAGTTTGTCGTGATTACACGAGAAACAGATGGCGCTGACGCGTCGCAGTGGTATCTCCGTGCAGAACCCCGATAGACCTGGCGCGGTGCCCGGCGGAAATCTCGTTCGCGATCTGCTGAGGCGGGCTGCAGAGTATGTCCGGACCTAGGCTTCCCAGGCTGATCGGCATTGATATGTTGGTGGTAGAGCAGGTCCTCCCCAACCTCCCCCAGGCAGCACAGCGCCTCCGCGTAGTAGCGCGTTTTTTGGCGGTGGTCATACGCTCGGCAGCGATGAAGTTCAAAGCGAGTTCATTCCTGACCCGGATGCTCCTGCTGCTTCTGGTGAGTGCCGAAGAAGCTCGTATATACGCCCTACTCACGAAACGCAGAATCCGAAGAGGAGACGGCTATCCGCCACCTGACGTTCTGGCGGGACGGGTTCACGGTCGAGGATGGCGAACTCATGCGCTACGACGATCCGGCGAACGAGCAGATCCTGGCTGAAATCAACTCGGGGTGCGTACCGCGGCGGCGCGATACCCTGTCCGAATCCTTACGCCTTATCGCACCAGACGCGCTCCTCCGCAGATCCTGAACGTCTCGCCCGGACAGCCCGTCGAGCTGCGCGTAGTGAAGCGGCTTAATGACGACTATGTCGCCTCGCCGGGCGTACGTCAAGCGAAGGTTTTTTCGGGGCAGGGACACCGCCTGGGCTCCCCCGTTCCGGAGCTATCGTCCCAAGCAAGCACGAGCGCAGGCGGGAGCGCCATGCCTGGTGGATTCCCTCCTGCTGCCGCGGGCGGGAGTTCGTTGCCGACACAGCGCACGGCGGACAGCATCAGCACGCTATTCGAGGTCGACCAATCCAAGCCGACAACAAGCGTACAGATCCGACTGGCTGACGGGACGAGGTACGTGCGATATATGGACATCTGAGTGACCGTATAATAACATTTTCGATGCGTAGAATGGTTGCCCGGATGAACCTTACGCACACCGTTGGCAACATCCGCAATTTTATCAATGCGTAAGTCTTCATAGACCTTGCATTCATGACGAGACTCATGTAGTTGTAGGTCCCGACCTGAGAACAACGCTCGCCCATACGTGATCATGACAACGTTCCCAAACCGCGAACTGCAAGACGAGAGCCAGACTATCCAGGCTGCTGGGCTGGCAAACAGCGTCGTTGTGCAGCGGTGGTTGTGAGCACTGGGCGGTGTGATGCGTGTGAGGAGCTTGTTGCAGTCAATAAGCATGTGCGCTGTACCATGTCTGGACCGATGTATCACTAGATTGTTGAAGTACCTTGGGTCAAATTGCACGATATACGAGGATATATGAGGGTCAAAAATCATTCATCTCACTGTTCCCCGAGCCCAGATTGCCAAGCGCCGTTTGACCCTGACGCGAGCGCTGATGTCGTCTGCGAATCCCCACTTGCCAGGCTTCTATCACTGTGGCGACCGACGACCCTGACACTGCACCAACGCTACACAGGGCACTGAAGGCAAGATTCGCGGCTTGTGACAAAAAGGGACGGCGGGACGCTCAAACGAATTTTCGGAATTTCCTTTTCTCCGTATCCTCGGCTCGATCTAAAACATTTTCGGACGACCCCCGCTCACTCAGCCCGCCCTGGAGATCCGACGTCTGAACTTTGCTCTTGCCCAGCAGGGTGTCGAGGTCGTCGTGCGCATCGACGAGTCCCACCGCCCGCCCGGTTCCGACATCCGAAAAGCCTATCGCGGAAATAGGAGTGCATATTGCGCCGACACGACATTGACCTGACGCGTGACGGGCTTCGGTAGGCTTCGGTGCGTCGTCCTTTTTTACACGCGCAAAAACACGCTGATGGGAACGCGCAGGGCGCAGGTTGTGCGCAGACCTCGTCGCCTCGCATGAACGCGTCCGCTTCGACCTCCGTACTCGACGCGCCGCGCTCGATGGTGCAAGCGCCAAGCATCGCACCCGCAGCCACCAAGCACGACGCAAGCACGAGTGTCAAGGGCTACGCGACGCCGAGCACAGTCGTACGCAAGACAAAGAAACCCTCGGGTGCAGGTGCGAAACGGCTACCGGGGCCTCTCAAGTCTTCGCGTTTGTGCGCCGATGAGTCGTGCAAGACCGTGCTCACGCCGGGATGGAGATGGAGGAGGTGTCAGACGTGCAGAGGCGGCGGGGTCAAGCGTACAGTGGTGAGTCTTTCACCCGAGTTTCTTGCCCGGAGGGCCCAGATCCCTGTGCGTGTATCGCTACTCAAGCTCGAGGACGACCAGCGGCAGCGACTTAGCTGCACAAAGAACCCTTGCAGCAAATTATGCCGCTGCAATCTCTAGTCGTTGAGTGAGGGATAAAGATTGTTTATGTATCGCTGATCGGGCTCGGGGGCTACCAGCTGTAGACCCCTGTGAGAGCTCATAGCGGTGCGATCTGGTCATAGTGGCGACGAGCAAAGACAAACGCAGGTCACGACAACCGTATCTCTCCCCGGCAGGTTATATGCGTCCGGCATGCAACTGTGCAAACCGCCCGGACACCTTCCGAGCGCTGTCCTTTCCGATCATGTACCCCTCCCTGGCAGATTATATACGTTTTGCAAAACCCTTTCACACCGTTCGGACGATTTCAGTGCCTTGCAATGACGCTGATATCCAATCTTCGCAGATTGTCTCCTGCGCTTCGTGTACCACTGCAGTGACAGTGAGCGCATCTCAAGCCAATACTGGGGAGCCCACCTTCTGCACTCTGTGTCGCCAGCGCACCCTCGCCGCCCAAGCGGGTATCATGCTGCCCCAACCGCCCCCCTTCTTGGTCATGGGACCGCCTATGGGCAGGCCATCTGGTCAACACACGCGCAAACTTGTGCCGATGGTTGGGACCCCGGTCAAGCAGAGCAGTCTACTGGAAGAAGCTATGGCTTTCATCCACCCTGACCATCGGCGCGCCATTCGTGCTCGCAATGGTGCCCCAGACCCTAACTTTCCGCTCCAGTCGCCTGCCCCTGCATATACTCCGCTGGTTCGTGATGCGAGTACTATAGCGCCGCACTACGGTCCCAGAGGCGAGATCCTGGCCGTCCTGCCGACTTTTCTGTCACAATCCCCTGCCACGGGTGCGCACACAACTACATGGCCGCTCGTTCCCCTTCAAAGTGGCCGGACTCGTGCAGACAGCATCGTTATACCAGATTCCAGCGATAACCCATTCAGTGCTCAGGTATACGTCATCGTAAAGCTTCATAAGTACGCATATACTCACACCATCTTTCCAGAGTACGGACAAAGGGCCCAATCCGGTGACCATCACACTGGTAGAAGCCGACTCGGTAGGTCCCTCCAACTACGTAGTTGCCACAAGATGCTCATATCACCGACAAGAGCAACTCCAAGGGATTCTCATCATCGAATCCGGCACCTCATCCTCCTGTGGTGCGTAGTCGCTCGAGTTGCATCTAGGTCAACGCCTCGATGTGTGTGCTTACCGTTGGTTCAGTCCGCGAGCGACCTCGCTGCTCTGAACGCTACACTCCGAAAGAAGAAGCGCAGGCGTACTCTGGCTCCAAAGGCGCCCGGTCCGCCGCAAGAGCGGATCTGCGCCTCGTCAAGTTGTGGCCGCGCCCTCTCGCCTCAAGACCAGGGGTTTTTCTGCCCTGATTGCGGCTTTCTTCTGTGGCGCAAGCAGTTCCGTGCGCGCGTCGCGGGACTCGGTGCAACGATATCTGCTGAGCCTCCGAAGGTAGACAAGGGAAAGGGCAAGGAGAGAGTGGTCAAACAAGAGCCAGCCGGTATCACCGGGACACCCGTAGCGGGGTGGACTGCCCCCGAGGCTGTCATTTCTGCGGAACCGCCTTCTGATCCATCCTCATCGACGTCGAGGCTCCCAGTGCAATCAACGGAGCGGGAGAGTATGAAATCTAAACGTCGCCCACTGACGTTGAAGCTGCCCGCCATGCGCGCGGTCGGCCCTGGGACGTCAGAGGCGAAACCACGAGTGACCACTACAGTCGCAGCGGTCAGCGACGACTACATGAGCGATGACGAGGAAGAACCTTTGTCTGTCACGGTCGCGCGCAAGCGCAGCATGACCGCCCTCTCCGAAACCGCGGTTCCTGTCCCTCCTACTCCCGATCCCCCAAAAACAGTAGGCTCAGTCATCACTCTCCCCCAACCAGTGGTCTCGGTCCCAGTCCTTCCTGAACCAACGCTCACAACCCTTCCACCTTCTGAGCAAGAGACCCTGGTCACCGCTTCTCCAGAGCAAGTTGCTTTGACCGTCCCTCATCCTGAAAATGTGGTCCCAACTCCTCTTCCGCCTCTACTCACACATAGTCCAGAAGAGCAGAAGCCCATTCTACCCATCCGTCCACGGATCAGGCTGATCCTGCACCCTCCACGTCCTCCCCCTCCGGAATCATCTGAGGGCGACGATGAATCTTCCTCCGAAGAGTCGTCATCTTCGAGTTCTTCGCGATCTGGTGCGGCATCGCCATTGACCCTTGAGGCGCTTCAGCGGCGTGCACTACTCGTCTGGGACTCTGACGAGTCCGAGCTCACCCCTATTGAGGACCTTACCGATATGGGCGAGTCCGAGGTCGACCAGTCCGAGAGCGAAGACGAGGTTCCTCCGACGGTACGCTAGCTCTCTCCATACTTATCATTCGAGACTTACGCTTCTTCCGTAATAGCCTAAGGACATAGATCTTGCACCCCAGGCCCCATGGTCACCCCCGCCGAAGCCCCCGCTGAAGCATCGCGGGATCTGCAGCGTCGTGCGGTGTATGAATCTGCTTCCAGAGAACACGCGTCTTAAGTTCTGCCATACGTGCGCGGCGCGTAAACGCGTACTCCTGCGATATCGGCGACATACTGGGGAGGTTGCCCAGGACACGGTGGAGGACGAAGGGATGGTTATCAAGGTACGTCTTTCGTTGGTGTACGAATATCCGCCCTGCTGAGTACGAGACCACAGATGCCTCCTGACGGTGATTTGACCGGTGCGATATAACTCTATCAATGTATGACGATGCGAATTGCTAATCGATCGTGCAGGCTTCAGGAACTGTAACAAGAAGCACTGTAAACGGCTTATACCCCCGGAAGCGAATTATCGCTGGAAGACGTGCCCGCCGTGTCGGGTGGATTCTCGCAACCGGGCCCGGTTGAGGCGTGCAGCGCCGCTCGATCTCCCAGAGGAAGGCGACGATGATGATGAGGAGGACATACCCCTCGCCTCAATAAGGGCTCTCCGAAAGCTTGCCTCGCGAGCTAAGGAGGCGGCTGCTCCTGCTCCACTGGCTACCCACAACCCAAAACCACTTGGAAACTCGGGAGAAGGGAAACAACTCCCTGTTGTGGTGCGTACTTCAAACCGCCAGCGTCTCGTGTACAGCGTGTTGATTGCGGCCGCCGCCCTGCAGCCTGCATACCAGCATTTCGCCGCGCTCCTGACCACCTTCCGCGCACGCTTCACCGAGTTCGTCGTCGCTCAGGCGTACTACCTTCGCTTCAAGGCACGCCAGGACCCAGCCAGCTTGGCGAAGGCGCGCCGCAACCCGATCGTGTTCCGCTTCGACGGCGAGTACTCCATTGTCGCGGACCCGTCTGGGGGGCTTGTCGACGCCATCGTACAGTGCGCGGTGCGGAACGTGCAGGCCGCGCTCGGCCTGGAGTTCAGGTGCGTACTCGTTGGTCTCGTTGGGTGTCGCGCAGCAGTTCATGTAGACGTCCGTGCCGTGTAGTCCTGTGGCGGTCAACGCAGGACCGGAGAGTTCGGTCATCGCAGTGCTTCGGTGCATGTACGGCGACCAGGTCCCTCTGCAGCAGAGCTCGCCTAAGGCAGACGCGAATGGCGACGGCGAACACCCCGCCGATGCTAGCGTGCCCGACAAGTTATCGGTGAGGATGGTGGGAGAGCTGCAGGTCTACGTCGCGTGGGATCGGCGGCATCCGCTCTTCCCCGGACAGCGGGTTATCGTGCGGTTCCGTCTCGTAGGGTAAGCCTACCGGATGCGAAATTATTGTGTGTATACTGGACGATGAGGTGTGTAGGAGGCATGAGACCCAGTGCTATGTTATTCTTGTTATAGTCGTCGATACATGTGTAAACTGTAGTCGTATCTTACTAGCGGTAAAACCATTGCTTCTTGATGTACTGCTACCCGCCTGTCGAGCTTGCGGACGCAACACTGCGTTCTCCTAGAGTCGCCGTCCTCACGTCGCTTCGTCGTCTCATGCGGGGGCTCCGTCGAAGAAGCGCTCGCTCGGCGTGAAGACCAATTCGTCGACCAACCCCGCAAGCGCATCCACAAAGTTCGCTTGCCGCTCGCTCTGCGACACCACCTTCCGCGCTGGATAGTGCCAGGTGTCGGAAACACGCAGGTCAACAGACAGCCGGGATAGGCGCCGCCCCCTCTCGAGCCTGGCTTGCAAGCACGCCGTCGTTTGCTGTAAGACTGCTGCATCTGCCGACGCCTCGGGTGAGACGATCGCAAAGTGCTTGAGCGCAGGGCAGAGGTCTACGCCCTGCTCGCACCCCGAGAGAGCCTCGAGGATCGGCGTCTGCCCCACGAGGCCGCGGAAGCCGAAGGGGAGCGGGGTGACGGCTAGTCGCTGGAGATATGGGAAGCGCAGGAGGGTGCGTGTCCACTGCGCTTTGTTGGAAAAGGATTTGTACCAGACGTCGTCGAAGCGTGTGATCAAAAGCTCGGTGACCGGAGAATTGCCGAAGATGTTGGTGAGATCCTGGATGATGTTGGAGCCTTGGTCGCGCCACGGCGGGGGAGCGTTTAGGTCGATAGTATGCTCAGCGGCGCGCCCGGTGAGCCGAATGCGCCGTGCCGTGGAAGGTGCGACCTCGTGCAGCAGATGGAGGTGCACCACGGCCACGTCGTTGACAACAGGGAGATTGCCCATGTTGGGCGGGAGAGATGTGGACAGAGGTTCTTGGGAGGCTTCGGTGGGTGAACGGTCATCGAAAGGGTCATGCGGATCGTGCAGGGCTGCTATCGAGATGTTGGTTGTCGGGGGAACCTTCAGGCCCTCGAGCATTCGTGCGTTGTACCAAGACATGTCTTCGACCACCAGGGTCCGCAACGCAGGAGAGAGAGCTATTGGGACCAGCGGTGCTTCTGCAAGGGTGTCCCCGCCCCAGAAGCCATCGCAAGGGCGAAACTTGTGCAGCACAAGTTCTTCCAAGACGGTGCTCGCAGAAAGGAAATGCAAGAAGTCGGCCATATGCAACGTGTAAGAGATGCATTGCCGAAGCTCGAGCCGTCGGAGGGTAGAGAAGGGTGTGGCTGGAGGTATGAAGCTGACGGTCGTCAAAGAGAGATTGTGGAGACGTGGGTAAAGCTCCGCGTCGAGCGGGATGGATAGGACTTCGTCGTACCGGTAAGTGAAGTCGTCGGGATCCCTAGAGGATTGCTCGTCATCGGAGTAGTCGATATCATTGTCGGACTCCACAGGGTCGACTTCGTGTTCGAACCCTGCAACGAGAGTGTGCAGTTTTGGCATAGGGAACGCAGGAGCCAGCACTTTCTCCATCAAGGCAGCGTGCTCCGGTCCTATAGAAGGCCCAACGTTCAAAGAACGAGTACGAGGGAGGTGAGGGACGAGAGCAGCAATGTCGGCCCGATCAGGAGAGCGAACGGTAACGTCCAAGAGCATGAGTTGCGACCTGGACAGGAATGTCTTGAGAGGGATTGTGTTGAACCGGCTCTGGCCTATCGTGATGTTTGTCCAGAGCGCTGCGGTGCGACACGCGACGGTGCGCCAGTGTCGGCAAACGGCCAGGATTCGGCACCACTGCCCCCCAAGATAGATATGCGATACGTCGTGAACGAGGGTGTAACAGAGTATCTCGACTAAGAGTTCTTCGGGAAGCTTGTTTACGGGGACGGTTGCATTCAGAAGAAAGCTGTTGTGGATGATCTTGCGTTCGAGTGCCTCTTTCTGTTCGAAGAGTTCGGCCCTTGCAGCTAGGATCCCCGCACGGGTCAGGGAGACCGCTGGAACATTTTGGGAGGGTTCGCGGAGGTCGTCGGCCATACTACAGGCAGTGCTGTGTGAAATGTGTGCGTCAGATTCTGTTATGACACGGATATTGACAAACACCACCGACGAAATATTTTTGCCAGAATGGTGCGAACCTCAAAACTTGAGTCGAAAGTGTGTGGTATACACACGTAGTACAAGCTAAGTAGCAGAAGCTCCAGCTGGAGTCCACTCAAGCCTGACAGTTCACCGTTGCGAGGGATCCTAGTAGGAGCGAAGAGGGTGCGTGAGGCCACTGGCATAATCAGCACGCTCGTTAAGAAGTGACAAAGCAACGCCGGGATAGCTCAGCTGGGAGAGCAACAGACTGAAGTTCTGGAGGTCGCGTGTTCAATCCACGCTCCTGGCATCCATCTCTCTGACGGATATTTTTGTTTGCTGCACCTATGCCATGACCTACATGCTACCAAGTGCTGACTCACGTATATACGCTCTACATAAAGCTTTCATGGTTGTTAGCGTCCTTTCACGTTTGAAATTTGCTCTTACGTGACATAAAAAACTATCCCCGTGATAAACGTAATATTGACACTCCGATACGGGGAATCGAACCCCGAGCTGCCGCGTGAAAGGCGGCAATGTTAGCCGTTACACCATATCGGACTATTGCCTCGGAGCGTACTGCAAGCCATAACAATCCTTACAACGTCGCTCATACCACCCAGTCTTCCTCACGCCTGTTCGGCGACGATATTTCTGACTTCAGTCGGACTCATGGAACAAGAATCTATCAATGAGGAGACTAAGACAAAAATGCATCCGCCGGGAGTCGAACCCGGAGCTAGGCCATGGGAAGACCCAATGTTACCGCTACACCACGAATGCGCTACAGGGTGTGGTACCTGTCTAGCCTCAGATATATTTGTGATCGGTATCTTCACCATGAGCCTTTCGAGGACTTGGAGGTTTGATCAACGCAAGGATCAACGCAATATGAATCATGCTCGGACTCCTGCAACTCATTTGAAGAACTGTATATGTATCATACGACTTTCGAGTACTCTCAGGCACCGAGAAAGCTTCCATACCGGAGGGAATCAACTGCTGCGGGCGCCCACCCGGAAACGGGTGTATCGGCAGCACTGCCTAGGCGGATCGTGACGTACATCCGCTCCAGAGCCGCAAAAGCAACTCGTCTTCTGTTCTCACCACACACTCTGTAGCCTAAAGAGACCTCATATTAGAGCTCTAATCCCCGAAAAGCATGGCAAACTGGTAAGTGCCAGCGTCGACTTCTCCAATCACCGCAATATTGATCCGTACGTGGCTGTACAGGTTTGATTACCTCTCTCTCGCGGTCGTGCGTTGTGCAGTCACACCGCAGATGTCTGTACGACTAACACTTGTCTGTTTTTGCAGACACTGGCCATCATCTCTGCGCTGGCGTATGGAGGTTTTCTTGCCTCCAAAGCCATCTCCAGCGCGGTAGATTCTGCGAAAGACTCGTGCGTCTTGTTTCATATTTGTCGTACAAACCATGCTGAAAGGTCGCCGGCTTCCTCTAGGCTCAAGACGAAGGGTGTCGATGTTTCGAGGGGCGGTGTGTCCGTTAAAACAAACAAGCGGTATGACCGCGAAGATTACCTTGATGCCACCCAGCGGTCAGTTTGGCACACTGCGAAGTTTCTGCAGACGCTCACGCACACACGTTCCCGCTGATCTCCAGTGGGTTCATCAAAGCCATGAAGGCATCCTCCGGAGGCAATCAGGCTGGCCAGGAGCCGTCGAACGGGCAGCTCGAGCGGGAGGCCTCGGTCAACGAGAAGCAGAAAACCCGCAGTCGACGGTCGCAGGCCGAGAAGTGAAGGCTATGACCATGACTCACTGCCCGCGCTGCTATGGACGCTTCTCCGCTGGACTTTCATCATTGGCTGTATATTGGCTGTATATGGGCGCGGAACTTGGGCGCGAAAACCACAGCTTGGCAGATAGGACTCTCAAGCCCGCCATGTCATGTAACTTATATCAGTATTTGCGGACGCTCGCTGCCTCTCATGTCCGCTCTGCGTGTCCAATGTCCGTCGAACGTCCTTCCAACTCCCGAGGACAATGTCCCGATGTGCCCGGCGATGTACGGGGCGTCGTTCGAGGTCCGCGACGGACATCTGTCCGCAGAATGATCTCCATCACCCGTCGTAGCTACAGTCATGCATGGCATCTTGCTCGTCCTCTGCGCTCGTCCGCGTTCTCAGCGTCCCTCCTGAACTTTGCTCTCTTCTTCCGCTGATTCTGATGGCCTATCATCGACATCTGCACCGTCTGCATGTGAGAGTTTGGGTGACCGAGATGTCTGATAGTTGAAGACTGCTCGCCCGGTCTCCGTTTCCGCACTGCCTCCCTCTCGCCTCCCATTCTCCTTCCCTTTCTCTTTCTCTGCAGCTCCTGGGTGCGTGTTGTGGCCGCGGCGAGGTTCCCGACGCAATTTGGGTTCATTTCGGCTATCGCGAGCGTGTCATTTCGCCAACCGGTGTCATAGAAGACGCTCCGCCGCTGCGCCACCTCCAGGCTGTTCTCTCTTCCTTTCTGCCGCCTCTCGCTCGCTTTCGCTGTTCCCGACGCCCCTTTGTTGAGGATGTCCGACGAAAAGGTAGTGTACCCCAAGAGCACGCTCGCGAGCATGCTCTCGCCGACGAGCCCCGTCGTGGCGGAAGCCGTGTTCGGGAGCGCCCCCCGCCCGCGCCGACCGAGCACGCCCAGGTCTCCTCCCGCCAGCTTGTCTGCAGCGACCTCCTCCTATGTCTCCACCCCCGTCAAGAAAGACAAGGGCCTGCCGCCTGTCCCGGCGTCAGCTCCCGCGAAGCCAATGGCAAAGCCGTCGCGGATCCGCGGGGCGAAGCGTCCTGACAGCCCCGACGTCGAGACGATGATAGCGCGCACGCCGCGCCCGCGCCGCAAGTCCTCCGCCACGTTCAACCCGCCGATCCTGCGCTCGCGCTCAAACTCGTCCATGGCGGTGCCGTCGAGCTGGAAGGGTTTGCCGCCGAAGGGGAAGGACAAGGACAAGGTGGCGGACGACAACGAGTCGGTTGCGTCGGACTATGGAACGTTGTTGAAGGACGACGACAGCGATATGGAGAGGCAGCTGGAGGGCGACGGGAGTGAGTCGGACTCGAGCATCGATATCCACACGCCATTGCCGTGAGTGCTCTCGTTATGTGTGGATGTGTACATTCTCAGACTCGGTAAGCTAGGCATCTCATGTTCCGGGATGGCCTACTTTCTCCGCGATCGAAGCTACTTCCCGGCGGCAGTGCGCCCCTATCCCTGTATTCGGAAGACGGTGCAAACGTCAAAAGGGCGGACAGCGTGCTCAGCGTTGCGTCTACGGGTACGTTCTCTCCGTTCAATTACAACCACGACCGCGCGCTGACATTTCCGTGATTGTGAATCCCCAGCGACGTCAACCATGACCAAATCTGGCGTATATCGCGACCCGCGCGACACCCAGCGGCGACGGATCAGACACAAGGATCAGACCCTACTTCGCGCCGGCATGGGGCTGACCACTGGGCTGGGCTGGAGCGACAGGTTTGTTTGCAAATAAATATACTGTGCGCTCGTGTGCTAACATACAGTATAGCGAGGACGAAGATGCACCATCGATGCTCACGCGCAAGCTCATTTCAACGTCCATTGCACGACAACCTCCGTCCACCTCTGTGTCGCGTGCGCCTTCGCAGCTCACCAAGTCGACGTCGGTGGGCAGCCTCTCCCATGCGCCTCCCTCGTACTCACCTATGCCTCGCACTGGTTCACGGGCGCTGTCTCGCTCGACTTCTGCGAGCTTCTCCAACGAACGACTAAGCAGTGTGGACACTGAGAGCGTCACCTCCGTCGAGGTCACCCCGATCGGGAGAAGTCGCACCGAGTCGAACGCGTCCGCGAGCTCGATGGTGTCCTCTGGTTCGCGCGACAGCAGTGGCCCTGCGCACTCTGTTGCGAGCTCGCAGGCGTCCCAGGGGCGCACCGCCGTACCACGCCCCCTCCGGCTGCCCCAGACCGCAGGCGTTCAGACCGCGGCAGCTGTGCGTTCCACCTCAGCCTCCGACTCGCACCCGCCCGTGTCGGGTGTGTCCAAGATCGGCGGCCCACGTCCTCTTACTCGTACACGCACCCGCACGTTGTCCAACCCGGGCTCGCGCGCCCCAGTCAATGGCTCGGTTCTTCCTCGTCCAACCGCGGCCAAGGCCGTGCCACGACGCTCGGTGTCCGCTGCGGTCATGGCCCCCGTCCGCTCCCGGTCCATATCTACCATCGGGATGCTGGAGCGGAGCAGTGCTATGAGCGACGATACGATCCTGGACTTCCCCCTGCCCCCGGCCGGCAACTCGACCCCATCAGCGCGCGGCCTCGTACGACCAAGCCCGAGCCTGAATACCCGGATCGCGCACTCGGCGACCGCGTCCCCCGTCTCGCCGCCGTCCGCGACGATGCGCGCGCTGAACACCGTTGGGACGGGCCCGCGCCCACCGCGCATCGGCACGGGCATGGTATATCGACACAGCGGGTACTCGAGCTTCTACGAGACGTCGAGGATCTCCCGCGCCTCCGTCGCCTCCTCCGGCAAGGAAGTCGGGGTAGTCTGACCGCTCCCTCTGCCTCCGCCCTTTTATTCCCGTCGCTATTTGGCCTACGGCTTCAAAGCCAGCCCCGCCCACAAAACCCACGCTCGTTGTTCCGCTCACCGCTCTCCTATCTTAGTCGCAGTCGTTATATTTATTCAGCTATCGCATCCTGTTCAGTATGGTAACTCGTTGGAAGGTTTCATGTCGATGCATATGTAGTAGATACTCTGGTCGTAAACTCCGTCCGTCCCGTGTTTTGGCGGGGCGCAAAGTATACACCGATGTCGTCATGCGTACGCTAACTTTGAGATAAGGTGACGATATTGTGCGGAAGACATGGGCGCAGTGCGCCTCGGGGCGTACGGTGCCTACCAACGTGTGCACAAGCTTCGCCGTAGATCTAGCGGTTAACAAAAACTAAAACAGGAGCGAATGCCAGGAGCGTGGATTGAACACGCGACCTCCAGAACTTCAGTCTGTTGCTCTCCCAGCTGAGCTATCCCGGCAATGTTGAAGTAGCTCAGCAGACACTTCCGGCCAAGGCAGAGTTTGGGCAAGTACACCACAGCGTGAAGCGCCGGATTCTGGCGCGGGAGCATGACCATAGGATCCCAAGATCCTTCACGGATCCTGCCCTCATTCCGATCAGATTCTCTAAGGTCAAGCATGACATCGGTTTCATCACGTTCCGACGGCATTGCCGTGACATTCCGGGCGTATTTCAATGACATTCCGCATTCCTAGCATCTGGGGCCGGGTCCCTCGCGCGCTCGCACGCGCCCATTCATTTTTCAATTGCTTCCCCCCGGCCCCTACCACTTCTGGTTTCGCGCATATAGGTACTAGGGTTTAGAAGAGTGTATATATAAACCCCAAACACGGCAGTAGGCCGAGTACACTGTGCACAGGGAGCGATGATACAAGGCAGAAGGTTCGGATACATGATACAATACATGGGCGTCGGGAAATCTCGAAGTCCAGCATATACTCACCGTACATATACTCACCGTAGGCTAGCATGGGGTGAATATCATGGCAATGAATGTTGCAAAAATGCGCACCTTCTGCAGCCAGTATAACCTGCAGAGCACTAAGAAGTAAGAATGCACTCACCGCAGTCCACGGAGAAACAGATACAGGCCTAGCCCCCAGAGATGACAAGACCAGATGCCAGAGAATCTCAAGACGTTGCCGAGACTAGCCAGAAACGAAGAGAAACCAGGCCGCTGGTGTCAGTGATGTTAGATATTCGTGGCGATGGAAAGTCAGCACCCGCGCCGGCAAGCGTCACCGTGGATGACCAGTCACTCACCTGCATGGATTCCCAGGCTCCAGACTTACCTTCTCGCAGACCATACATGCGGCCCTTACTCACATAGTCACACGCGTAAACTTGGCGAGATGATCGCGGGTTGGGGGGTCGTCGTCGGGGAGTGGGATGGCATGAGGCCGCTGACCTGACAGTGGGGAGTGTTGTGGGACGTGGCAAGCCATCGATGCCAGCTGTGGAGCATGCACCGATATTTGCCTCGGTTTGCGCTGCTGACGTACACCCCGCCCAGGAGAAATCCCTATAGCATCGCCATAGGATCCTACATTACGATGAGATTGCAGGAAAACGGGAATGTCTGCGAAATGTCTCCCGCATCCGAACAGAATGAGGGGATCCCACGCGGATGCTCCCGCGCCAGAATCCGGCGCTTCACGCTGTGCACGCGTTGGACTGTTCTTCGCGCGCGGCTTCAAAAGTTGAAAGTTTCAACATCCGGCAAGGCTCGAGAGCTAACGGGAATGACTACGACGCTCGTAGTTTCTGGATAACATAGGGACCTACCCCAAGGCGGTAAACTGGAGAGAAAAGAGAAGGAAGTGCCCCGGACGGATAATTGACCGCGGGAGGCGGCCAAAGGCATCCGAGCCCCGACAGGAAAACAGACGAGTTCCTATGTACTACGTGAACGGATCCGACAGCTACCCTGCAATACCTACCGAAGCCTTCGCCTCCGCCTTCCCCATGATATCCTTGATCTTCGTACGTGTGATCCACTCTCGTAGTATCTCTGCGCGGCTGCGTCCAAAGTCGTCGTCGACGATGGCTTCATTTGCCTCTTTGAACACTTTGCGGAATACCCTGAGGACCGGTCTCAGGCGCTCGAAACGCGGAGTCATCGGCAGGCTCTTCAGCTCGGTCCCAAAGAGCACGTCCTCCTTGTTCCACGCGATCGCTTGGTAGCTGTCGGTCTCCCATTTCGTGGCGACAGTTTCGACCTGCTCCTTCAGCTTGGGCGCGATGTCGTGCTCCGTCTTCATCGTGCACCATGTGGCAACCCAAAAGAGCGACTCGTAGTCGTGATGGAGTTCATGCATGACTCCGGGGGAGTCGGGATGTGCGTGCATGTCTTCGAGAAGAAAGACAGACATGAACGGCAATGTGCCAGTTCGATGCTTCGCCGTCGCTTCCATGGCCGGAGTGCCATCCGGGTTCAAGCGGACTGCAAGGTCAAACCCGTGGAGAACGAAGTGCCCCTGCCCGTTGCCCGTCTCTTCCCACATGATGTTCGTGTTGCTAACGTCACAGTGCAACATGAGCGCATCGTAGCGCAGGGAATGCAACGCTGCGGTGCAGCACCATCAGCTTTTGCGACGGTACGATTGCTGGCACTTACCATCCGCGATTTGATCCACCATCTCGACGATATCGTCGGGATGCTCAGCGAGCCGGACGCGAAGCGGCAGGTATGTGCTGAGGCTGATGAGGCTTGCGACCTGTCCTTCTATCCCTTCATCCACCCAGAGGTCATCTGAGTCTCTGGACCTGAAAACGCCGCCGTGTACCCCGGAGAGGCTGACGGCATCGCAGGATATGTGACCTTTCGAGGTGCGCAATGCGTTCTTCGGGTATGCAACTCTGAGGCAGCCATCCACGGCACCGGTCCCCTTTGCCTGGCGAGGCACCGCAACGACAGTCGTGAGCGTACTGCCGCAGTGCTTGACCGGAAGTCCTGGCCGCGCTTCGTGAGCGCATGTTGTGAAACTTGAGTGGTCCATCGATAGCTTGTATGACTTGTGTATACTTATGCCCATGCGGCCGCCCCGGCCGTCGTCTCGGGTTGATTAATGCCGGAAGGCAGAGAAATGGTGCGGTATCCCTGAAGTTTGAGGTGACTATCTACTATGGAGATTTATGGCGAGTATGGACCATATGTGGTTTGGGTGCAAGGAGAGGGCAAGAGGAGCGCTAGCGCTAAAAGTAGCTAACATAATGGCATATATGCGTCTCATCCTCGTGTGTGCTTGAGTTTCGACGAGAAGCCTATCAGTAAAATGGTGTATCCTCTGAGTTTGTCCCTATGCGCTACCCAGCGGTACCTGGGCTATACGAATTGTGGTTTTGACACAACCTTACGGGACTCACATATAGAACCATAAGTAAATCCGATGGAATGGAAATAAATCAGTTGAGAGCGCAACTACAAACACAACAGCCAGATCCGAATGGGTAAAACGTCGCGCCGCGCAGGGTGGGGATGGTACAGTGCAAGTCCGTCTAGCTCGTCATGTCGCTCACGCATTCCCACACGCCCTTGAGGTTTTCCTTCCACAGCGTGACCTTCCCGTCCCCGCAGCTGACCGCGAGGATGTTGCCCGCGAGCGACCAGGAGACGCGCCAGACAACGTCCGGGAACCTGCCTGCGGGCGCAGGCGCGGCCGCCGCCGGCGCCACCGACGCGGACGGGTCGAGCGCGGTCTTCGTCCACGGCGCCGTTGGGGTGTCTTTTGACCAGATAAGCACCGTCTTGTCCTACAGTAGCCCATCAACGTCAGCGTCAGTTCGCCCTCGCGCATAGGGAGAGGGGACACGCACCTGCGACGCGGTCGCGATGTAGCTCCGGGGGAGGCCGATATTCGGTGCCCAAGCGACGTCGCGCACCCAGTCGGTGTGGCCTTCGAGCACGTCCTCCTCCTCCCATTCCTGCTTGTCGTCCCGGAAGCCCCACAGCTTGACGAGGTTGTCGCAGCCGGCGGACGCGAAGCGCTTCACGGACTGCACCGCCGCGGGCTGCTGGCCGGGGACGGTGTTGTTCGCCTGCGGGACGATGAGCGAGCCTGGCTGTACGGCGGGCGCCCAGGAGACGGCGTTGCAGCCGATTGCGTGGGCTTCGAAGACGTCTGCGCCCCAAGTGCCGTCGTCTGGGGAGCCGCAGCGAGGTTAGACGCGTCGTGGGGGTGGTGTAAACGCTATAAGTAGGGCAGGAGACGTACTTTTGAAGGTAAGGACAGAGACGCGACCGTCGGAGGACGCGCATGCGAGGATGGCCCCGAGCTCGTGGGGTGCCCAAGAAACGGAGTTCACTGGGCGCGTCAGGATGGAGTGCACGGCGAGATAGGGTCGTTGACATACCCGAAGCTCTGTGGAGGGTGTGCTCTTTGATCTTCGCCCAACCGCCCGCGGCCGCGCCAGGACCCTGCGCCTGCTGCTCCTTCCAGATGATGACCTTGCCATCGTACGAACATGACGCGAGAATCTGGCCAAACTTTGGGTGCGCCCAAGCGACTTGCCACACAGGACCGGTGTGGCTGGTGGCATGGATATATGCTTAGCTTGAAGGCGAGAACACGGATTGGCGGGACAAACTCACCCTTTGAGAGTGTGTCCGGTGCTCCGCTGCGTCTCGCCGTCCACAACATCAAACACCTTCACTGTCCGGTCAGACGAACACGTCGCTAGCCGTTTCCCATAGTAGTCCAGCTGTGCATCATGCTGTTCCGATGATAATTCGCGTCTTGGATGTTAATTCGCGTCTATGATGAGCAGGACGCGAGACGTACGATCATGTCCTCATGGGACGTCTCAATAGGGATGGGCTCCCCCGCTGTCGTCGACGGCTAGAACGCTGGTGAGCTGTACGTCCTCGCTGCGACATCAGGACACTGACCATGATGGCGGTGTAGGGTAGAGAGTAAGTATTGGAGTGCAATGCAAGCGGCGACGTGGACGTAGTCGCGAATTCAGCTCGAGGCGGCGAGCCGAACCGGTTCAGCTTACGTATTGCTGTTTTCGAGCGCCATGGCGGGCGCTATATGGACTTCGCACCATCTCGCTCTCCTGCCGCTCGCTCTGACCCCATCCAACTTGCGAGCACCATATCTCCCTTAATTCTCATTCAAACGTCTCAATTTCTTCTGATTCTGACTGCTCCAGCCTGTGCGCACAATCTGGTGTGGCCTTTCTTTTTGGAATTCACTCACGTTCGAGGATTTAGATCAGGGATGTAGCTTCAGTGAGGACGAGGCAGGCGGAGCGCGAGGCACCATACCATAATACTTTTGACGTTGGTGTCTTTTTGACGTCTTCCCCTCGGTATTCATGGCATAAAAGCGTGAGTGGGACGACATATCATTACATTTATTTACACCGCGATCTCCTCTCTCATTGCACAGTAACACCCAAGACCTCTGTCTTCACGACGTCGGGCGGCCCCTCCAGCAGCTCGTCTACCTTCGAGAACAGAGCCTTGGCCACCTCTCCTTTCAGATGCAATTCCAGCCCGTTGATATCGGGGAAGAAGTCGATAATGCCGAAGACGTTCGTGCCAGGATACTCGATGGCGTACCACAGCGGCGTCTCTGCCTCTGCCTCGACGAGAGGAACCGCGCTCTGTATACACGCCGTCAACAACTGCGGGTGTCATCCGTGGACCCATGACGCATACCTTCAGGAACTCCCTTACAACGTCAATCTTGCTCGCCTTCGCCTTCAGCAGAACACGCAGCCCCTTCGTCACCCCCCTCTTCACGTCGCTCTCCGCGCCAGTGGGCTTCACCTTGCTCGCCAGGATCTCGATGTGGCCGCCAGCGATGTCGGGGCTCTGAGCGAGGAGGGTACTGGCGTTCGCCCTGAGAGCGTCAGCCACCTTGCCGTCGATATGGGCTTTGCGGCCGCTCTCAGCCGCGAATGTGTCGAAGATCGCGTAAACGGGCTGGTCTTCGTATTTGACCGCGAACCACTGCAGCGTCTCGGGCTCCTGGTTGCCCGTCATCAGGGTGTACCCAACGCCGAGGAAGTTGGCCACGGCCTCGACTTGGTCGGGCTTCGCGTGAAGAGGAACGAGGAGACCAATCCTTGCTACCGTGGCAGGTCAGTAGGCGTATGGTAGATCTGATTGAGAGGGGTGCGTTTACGTGCTGCGGACATCGCTTTACTGTTGGGATTGCTCGGTAGGATCTGATTTGTGGGCGGAATGCCCCCAAATCCTCTGCCATCAGGGTCTATATACCCGGAAAGTCAGTTTCCGGGTACCGGTTGCCGATCGGCGACCGTGTACACATCTTACTAGGTTCACAGGCCAGGCTGCAAAAGGTTGCCTTCATAAGTACGTTGATGCATCGTTGTTTGCGAGAAAGTCTATTGCGCCTCTTTGGCCACAGGCTTTGCGCTTGCTGACCAAAGGGTGGACAGCCTGTTACACATCTCCAACAGAAATGTGTCATGTTCGAACCCATCTTCCTCAGCTCTCTCTCACTCTTCATCATCCTCGCGACCGTGCGCCACCAATCTCCACATCGATGCCTGTCCACGTGGTAACCAAGCCTTCGAGGGCTTCCAAGGAAGCACCTCCCATAGCCCTCATTCGCAGCCTGGGACCGTCCCAGGACAGCGTGAGTACCACAGATCGCGACGACTTACTGACCATGGGAGTTTTTCCTCCAGAGTGCATTCCCCGGCTTGGCTCCTTCATCTCGGCGCTCACCTCATGGCGTGTGCGCCACAAGCCTATCACGGTGCAGTATGCGAAGGAGACCACATCACCTCTCCTACACGTCACGCACGCCGAGTGCAAACTGGAGGGCGAGTCTCAGCAAAGCCTCCTGCAGCAACTATTCTATGTGGACAAGCTCACGAGCTACGACATAGAGGTACCCGTGTTCGGGCCGAAATGCCTGAGAACGATGCGCGCGCGCGCTCTCCGGGAGGAGCTGACCATGCGCGGCGAGCTGCCCTCGATCATCCAGTTCCTCTCCGCGCTTGAGGCCCTTGAACTCCCCAAGCTCGTCGTACGCTTCCGCCGCAGCCAATTTGAAGCATCCGTGCGCGTGCAAGACTTCGCGTACTCGCTGCAACTGCCTTCAACGGCCTACGTAAACCTCCACACGGTGGTCCTCTCAGAGACCGAGGCATACGCGCGTTTCTCCGACGTTTCGCTCACCACACTGCTGTACCCACTTTACAGCTTGCGGCGTCTTGAAGACGTCGAGCTGCGACTCGAGAAGTCTGGCCTGCATGCCCCCGATCGCGACATCGAGAAGCTCGCAAACGCGTGGCGCAACCTCCGCCGCCTCGTCCTCGCGTGCCCTCGCTGCACGGCGGAGATGCCCACACTCGACTCCCTGTACACGCTCGCAGACACGTGCCGCAGCCTGCTGGAGCTCTTTTTCCCGCAGCTCGATCTCGTGAACCTCGGGGAGGACATCAAGCGGTGGCCGCCACAGGAGCCTATGGACAGCGCGGTGGGCCACCCGCTGCGTTTGGTAGACATCGCGTGCAACTCGACGACTCGGATCACGGACAGCCAGGCCATGCGCATCGCGCGCTGCATCGACAGCCTATTCCCAAACATCGATATCAACGAGAGCTTGGTGCACGACGGCAGTGTGGAGGCGATATTGTCAGACTGGTACTCGATCCGGGTGAACATCATGGCGACAAAGGCTCTCCGGAAGCATGCGCCTGGGCGAGTGAGTCTCCGTCTTTGTTGTTTGTCGTGGCTTATACGCTGACACATGCGACACTAGGCATATCTCGACCGAAAGTAACCTGTCTGGCTGCCCGCCCGCGGAAATACTGCATGGCGCCCGGTTGTATGTCTGTCTCTCGTCCATGAACACTTCACATATATCCTCTCTCTCTGTAGCCTTACTCGGATAATATCCAATTCTGTCGTGTATAAGTGCAGCTTTGCGCCCCGATCGACCCGTCACCCCGCAACCGTGCTACGGTCCTTCAGCGACCGGTATTGGTTGGCCTTCGTGATGTAACGGATGAACGTACTAGTACTGTCCTCCATGCTTCCGAAGAGCTCCGCAGCTAGACGGACTTGCAAGTACTGTACCATTCGCACCACATCTGCGCTTTCTAAGTATTTCATCGTCATTTCATCAAATATACCTCCAGTTCTGTGAGCTCCTCCAAGGTGTGCCCAGGACCGCAATGTGTATAGCCGGAGTTCTGATGGGCAATGAATGGGGATAGAGGATGCATCAATACTGCTGGTAGACTTCTCGTCGAAACTCAAACACACACGAAGATGAGACGCATATGTATGGGGGGCACCCGCGGACAAAAGTAGTTCTGACTTCAAACCCGGATGAAATGTAATACTTTTGTCCGCGGGATCCCCTCATAACAAGCTACAAACCAGCAAAGGAGACTTCACTGCGGTGCATGAGCAAGGCAGCCCTAGCCTCGCTCACTGAAGTCTTAATCTTCGAACGCGTGATGAGCTCCCGTAGTACATCTGCCTAATCCACCGCGTTGTTTCCGTCGTAAGCTTCGTTCTCGAGGGTGCCGCCACCTTCAGTTGACAAGCGTAGAACCACCGGCTTTTAGCGCTAGCGCTCCTCTTGCGATTGCTCTCTCCCCTTCCTTGCACCTAAACTACATATGGTTCATACTCGCTATACATTTCCCTCGTAGATAGTCACCTCAAGCTTCAGGGATACCGCACCGTTTCTCTGCCTTCCGGCATCAATCAACCCGAGACGACGGCCGGGGCGGCCGCATGGGCATAAGTATACACAAGTCATACAAGCTATCGATGGACCACTCAAGTTTCACAACATGCGCTCACGAAGCGCGGCCAGGACTTTCGGTCAAGCACTGCTGCAGTACTCTCACGACTGTCGTTGCGGTGGCTCGTCAGGCAAAGGGGGCCGGTGCCGCGGATGGCTGCCTCAGAGTTGCATACCCGAAGAACGCACTGCGCACCTCGAAAGGTCACATATCCTGCGATGCCGTCAGCCTCTCCGGGGTACACGGCGGCGTTTTCAGGTCCACAGACTCAGATGACCTCTGGGTGGATGGCGGGATAGAAGCACAGGTCGCAAGCCTCATCAGCCTCAGCACATACCTGCCGCTTCGCGTCCGGCTCGCTGAGCATCCCGACGATATCGTCGAGATGGTCGACCAAATCACGGATGGTAAGTGCCATAAATCGTACCGTCGCAAAAGCTGATGGTGCTGCACTGCAGCGTTGCATTCCCTGCGCTACGATGCGTTCATGTTGCACTGTGACGTTAGCAACACGAACATCATGTGGGAAGAGACGGCCAACGGGCAGGGGCACTTCGTTCTCCACGGGTTTGACCTTGCAGTCCCCTTGAACCCGGATGGCACTCCGGCCATGGAAGCGACGGCGAAGCATCGAACTGGCACATTGCCGTTCATGTCTGTCTTTCTTCTCGAAGACATGTGGCGAAACCCCGACTCCCCCGGAGTCATGCATGAACTCCATCACGACTACGAGTCGCTCTTTTGGGTTGCCACATGGTGCACGATGAAGACGGAGCACGACATCGCGCCCAAGCTGAAGGAGCAGGTCGAAACTGTCGTCACGAAATGGGAGACCGACAGCTACCAAGCGATCGCGTGGAACAAGGAGGACGTGCTCTTTGGGTTTCGGCTGAAGGACCTGCCGATGACTCCGCGTTTTGAGCGTCTGAGACCGGTCCTCAGGGTATTCCGCAAAGTGTTCAAAGAGGCAAATGAAGCCATCGTCGACGACGACTTTGGACGCAGCCGCGCAGAGATACTACGAGAGTGGATCACACGTTCGAAGATCAAGGACATTATGGGGAAGGCGAAGGTGAAGGCTTCGGTAGGTATTGCAGGGTAGCTGTCGGATCCGTTCACTAGTAGTACATAGGAACTCGTCTGTTTTCCTGTCGGGGCTCGGATGCCTTTGGCCGCCTCCCGCGGTCAATTATCCGTCCGGGGCACTTCCTTCTCTTTTCTCTCTAGTTTACCGCCTTGGGGTAGGTCCCTATGTTATCCAGAAACTACGAGCGTCGTAGTCATTCCCGTGAGCTCGAGAGCCTTGCCGCGCGCGAAGAACATGAATAATTAACGCGTGTACTTCACTCCTCAAACGTGGTTTACGCTTTTTCAACTGGTTTATTGTTATGGCGTCGGATGTACCCAAGAGTCTATGCGTGATTATACGAGATCCGTAAGGTTGTGCGAGAGCGTAATATGTATGCGAGGGCGGAGCGGGGATAATGGGGGCAGATGGGAGCATACGCGCGCAGCGTATGCAAGTCGTCTATAAGAACGGACGTGCACGCATGTAGCAGAGGGTTGCTCCGTTTACTTTTTGGGCTGGCCGAGCGTCTTCTTGTACGCCGTCTCGAGCTCGGCCTGGACCTGCGGCATGACCGGCTGGTGGGTCTTGTACTCCATGCTGAACTCGCCTGTGATGCGGACGCGAATCGATCAGTACCCTGTCTAGACTGCACGTTGAAAAACGAGAGGCGTACCCTTGCCCTGGGTGATACCGCGGAGGTGGTTCGAGTACCCAAACATGTCGTTCAAGGCGACCTCCGCAACGCACGTGAACTCATCCTCGCGGACCTCGCTATCCATGATCGTGCCGCGACGCTGGTTAATACCACCGATGACAGCACCTAACATACACAGAGCGAAGGTTAGTGAGATGCGGCATGGCATTTAAAGGCTGAGGCACGCACTCTGGAACTCGGAGGGCGCGACGACCTCGACGGTCATGATCGGCTCGAGGATGATCGGCCGCGCAGCGTTGTAGATCTCACGGAACGCGCCGATGACCGCGAGCCTGAAGGCCAGCTCGGACGAGTCGACCGAGTGGGCGAGACCGTCGTTGAGCACGAGACGTGCGCCGCAGACGGCATTGCCCGAGAGCGAGCCCTTCTCTAGCGCCTCGAAGAAACCCTAAATGACGATGTTCAGCTGGGTGGAACACGGGACACGATCGACGCTCGCATACCTTCTCGCAGGCAGGTATGTAGTTCGAGGGGATGTTGCCACCCATGACCTGGTTAACGAACTCGGTGTCCTTGCCCGTCTCCTCGTCCATAGCCATCGGCTCGACGAAGCCGATGACACGCGCATACTGGCCAGCACCGCCAGACTGCTTCTTGTGCGTGTAGAAGAAGTCCGCGCGCTGCGTGATCGTCTCGCGGAACGCGACGCGCGGCTTGCCGGTCGTGCACTCGACGTTGTACTCGCGCTTCATGCGCTCGACGTAAATCTCGAGGTGCAGCTCGCCCATACCGGAAATGATGGTCTAGGGTAGGCAGGTGAGGGCAAGTTAGGACAACGGGTATCATCGAACATACCTCCTTGCTCTCCTTGTCGATGTGGACGCGGAAGGTGGGATCCTCCTTCTGGAAGCGGTTCAGAGCACGCGAGAAGTTAGGTGTCTCCGCCCCGACGGGCTTGAGTGCGAGCGAGATGACTGGCTCTGGCACGAACATGTTCGTCTGCAGTGGCGTGAGCGAACCGCGCGGGGTGTCATACCAATTGCCAACACACCATAGAGAAGCTTGTGGAGCCATCCGTGAAGGTGTCGCCGGACGCGCAGTCGATACCGAAGATCGCGCAGATCTCACCGGGGCCAATTTCTTGAATGTCCTGTGGCAATGGTGTTATACGAAGTCGTGGTGTGGACGACACTGAGACTTACCTCCATCTCGTTACTGTGCATGCGCACCAGACGGGGAACTTTGACCTTCTTGCCAGAGCGCGCATGGTAGATGAACTGGCCCTTGCGCATGGTGCCCTGGTAGACGCGCATGTACGTCAACTGGCCAAAGCGGCCTTCCTCGAGCTTGAACGCCAAAGCGACGAGAGGAGCAGCGGAGGCTGGTTGGAGCGCAACCTGGGGCGCGGATGCTGGCAGCGACGTGTCATGGGCGACAACCTTCGACTCCGAGGGCTCCGGGAGGTAAGAGCAGACGCCGTCCAGCATAGGCTGGACCGCGGTATTCTTGATCGCGGAACCGAGGAAGACAGGGGAGAACTTGAGACTGACGGTGGCGCGGCGGATGGCGTCGGCGAGCTGCTGGGTGGTGGGGTCCTCGTCCATGATCAAGAGTTCGCCCATTTCCTCGTCGACTTCCGCGAGCTGTTCGATGAGTTCGCGGCGTTTCTCCTTGGCAAAGTCCAGAACCTCAGCCGGGATGTCGTCCGACTCGACGACCTTGATGCCCTTCTCGCCCTGATTGTAGATAGCCTTCCAGCGCACGAGATCGACTACACCGCGCAAGCCATCCTCAACGCCGATGGGAACCTGTACCGCTGCGGCACTGATTTTGAGTTTCTGCCGGATTTGGTTGATGACGCGCCATGGGTTGGCCCCGGGTCTGCAGAGGCTAATGAGAAATGTGTCGGAAGCAAAGGCGTTTCACATACCGGTCCATCTTGTTGATGAACGATATCCGGGGAACGCTGTACCGCCGCATTTGCCGATCGACCGTAGTAGTCTGACTTTGCACACCTGCTACGGCACAAAGAACGAGGATAGCACCGTCCAGGACACGGAGAGCCCGCTCTACTTCGATAGTAAAATCGACGTGACCTAGGGACAGGATGAGCGACCGTACTCTCGCGTTACCATACATGCCGACGTACCTGGTGTGTCAATAATGTTGATAGCGTACTTTTCCTTGTCGCCAGATGTCGGTTTAGTGGCAACCCAATCGCAAAACGTCGCCGCGCTCTGGATAGTGATGCCCTTCTCCCGCTCGAGTTCCATACTATCCATCTTGGCACCGACATTGTCACGTCCACGGACCTACACACGGGACGAAAGGTGAGTACGGTTACATGCACACGTTCAAGGACATCGACGGCTCAGGCGAAAGGACGTTGGACATAATGTGCCCCGGGGCGCATACATGTCTTGATCAATGAGCAAGGCGACTACTATCCTGCTTCATGCTACTAACTTCACCCTTCTGAGTACCCAACTAGTCGGAGGCCCAAAGGGACGTCTAACCAGAATGCAGGGCAACGTGCCTTGGCATGTTTCTGGGGAGAACTCGAGGCTTTCTCTGTCGTGATAGCGTGGTATGTGCGATCGTCACAAGTCCGGAGACGTGGCCATGCACGAGCCGCGCATATACGTTTCATTCGATGAAAACACGAGCAGCGGCGGCCTGATAAGAGATTGCATACAGAAGGCAAGACGCACCTCATGGATGTCCCGAATACGACCAGTGTAATACAATATCCGTTCCGTCAGCGTCGTCTTGCCAGAGTCGATATGCGCCGAGACACCGATGTTCCGCTGGAACTTGAGCCGCCGTTTGTCCTCCTCCGAGAGCTCGTAGACCGGGTACTCCTTGACAAGCTCCTCCGGGGCCTCTGCGGGTTTGACAGCAGCAGCGGTGGCGGCGTTCCTACGCAAAGACCAGAGACGAGCGGGGAGAACAGAGGAGTAGCGAGTGTGTGGCCGTGTCCGGAGACATGTCTGGAAGATGTTCGAGGTCAACATCCTCGCCAGTGAGCTCAATGTCGCCGGCGGTGAGCAAGGTACCAGCCTGAGAGCGAATGTTGCCCCGGACATTTGGGAAATTTAGACGCCTATTGGATCGAGATCTGATTGCTTGGCCATGTTTACGATCGGTGGCACGGGATGTGTCTCCGAGCTTGTCCGACCGGCGACAACCAACACATGGGGGGGATTGTTTTAACAAGCAAAATGGCTATTGGTACGCACCCCAGTCCACACCGCCGTCGGTTTATAGCCTTGATTTTTCAACATGATGTCGCGCAGATCTTCGCATGACATGCTCAACGAAGCGAAAGCCACTGATAATACTAGACGTTGCATTGACTCTAATGTGCTATTCAAAACGCGCCATATCGATATACTGCCGAGGAAGGATCCACGACACAGAAAGAGACGTTCTCGGCGCTGAGATGACCAACGCCAACAGCGCCCATCCTAAGTTCGGGGCCAATTGCCAGTTAAGAGGCATACGAAATAGCTATGGACAGAACAACGTTCACTTGCACCAGGTACCTCGACTCATTTTTTGTACGTCCCATGCACGTTGCAACATGCCAAGAGTATTTATATGCGCGGATGCAATCTCAGATTACTTATATGCCAGATTTCCACGACGTCCACATGTACAGGATGCTGAAAAAGGTACACAGCACCAGCTTATCGAACGTGCCCCGCGATCCACGCGTGCACGCGCTAGTGTTCTCCGAACGACATGGCGCACTGCATCCAAGAAGCTTACGTTGCAAGGACCATATGCCATCTCGGCGTCGGTGCCATATGGCACTTGCAGACATGCTCGCTTCCTGAGATAACCGGCGGTTCGCTTAAATTCCCCGCACCCGCCGACCCCACTGCTGCTCGACCGACCCCTTGCGAACTCCTACACCGAACACTTTGAAGCTCATCCTACACAATGCGGTCCTTCCTCATTGCTGCGTACGCCGCTGCCGCCTGTACTCAGAGTGTGGCTGCGTGGGGCACACTCGGCCATCAAACCGTTGGGTAAGTCCCTTTCTTATTCTCACTGTGTGGCCCCTGCTGAAATGCCTTGCAGCTACGTCGCCCAAGAGGTGAGCGATCCCCGCCTGGTGCGATCCCGTCAGCGCTATAGCTAACGTCGTGGTAGTTCCTCGCGCCGAAGGCTTTGGCCTTCGTCAAGTCCTCTCTCGGCACCACGTACAACCAGTCGCTCGGCGCGGCTGCATCGGTATGTGTGTGCCACTTGCTTATGGTCAATGCTAAAGCTATCGTGTCTCTAGTGGGCAGATAGCGTCAGGTCTCTGGCCGCATACAGATGGTCGGCACCGTTCCACTTTGTCGACGCTGAAGGTCATTCGGAATCACTGATCATCCTCGGGCATATACTCACCCCTCTACTTTGACAGACTCTCCTCTGTCCGGATCGTGCTCCGTCCAGGAGACGCGCGACTGCGGCTCCGGAGGTTGCATTCGTGTGTACAAGTTTTTTTATCCGTGCCGCCCGTGTGCTGAGACTGTACTTGACCAGTGACTGCAATTGCAAACTACACCACCCGCGTAGCGCAGACCTCCCTCAGCGCAACCCAAAGGCAGGAGGCGCTCAAGTTCCTTGGTACGTCTCGATCGTCTTTCTTTTGGTGAATGAGCACTGAATCGTCGTTTGATAGACCATGTTAGTACATCCATGAGTTACCGCGTTTCCGCGTTCTCACTATCTTGCTCAGTTCCTCGGAGACATCGGACAACCTCTTCATGTCGAGGTATGCATCCCTTCAATTGCCCGACAGACAGACAATGACGAGTTTGTAGGCATATGAAGTCGGCGGTAATGATATTTCAGCCAAGTGCTCCGGGAAGACCACCAACCTACACGCTGTACGTCCACTTCCCACCGCATATACTGATCACATCTAACGCCGTCTACTAGGCATGGGGTATGCGTCTCCGTTGCCCGCTACTACATGCCTGAGCTAAATGTAACCCAGACACCGGCATGGTGAGCAAGAACATCGACGACAACCACGGTGGCACGGTCACGACCTACGCTGCGGACCTCGTCACCAAGATCAAGGTCCTCTCTCTCCCCTCCAACGCATCGCTCATCCGCTGACACGCCGTGGCGCGTGCTTCCCGCAGAAGGGCACGTTCAAGTCGCTCACATCCGACTGGCTGAGCTGCACATCCGTCACGAAGCCTGCTTCGAAGCGCTTCTTCCTTTCCGACGCTCCGCGCGACGTCGAGGAGGATCTGCATCGTATGTTCGCGCGCGCGGAGGATGTCTCGGAAGCGAGCGTCACGCCGCTCGCGTGCCCACTTGTTTGGGCGAAAGAGTCCAACTCGTACTGCTGCGTGCGTTGTTATCGTCCTACCTTTTGCGTGGCGTTTGGCTGACGGGAATTTGATTGCAGTCGACCGTGTTCACATATACGACGGGCCAGGATTTGTGCACGACCAGCTACTTCACGAAGGCGGTCCCGGTTGTAAGCCCCATCCTCGTTGAGCGCTGGGGTTGTGATAACGAGCGTACGTCTTATTTCGCAGATCGACCTCCAGATCGCCAAGCAAGGTTACCGCCTCGCGGCTTGGCTGAACGTCATCTTCGATGGCGCTACGAACCTGCCTTGAGCTTGGGCCTCCACTCTAGGTTTGTTAGAAATTCGTCGGCGGTCAGAAACTTTTTGTTGTATCATCTCTCGTATGGTGGGGTTGAGGGTCCGATGATTAGGATATGTAAATAGCGCTTCAATGAGGATACGCTAGAGACTGCGGTCGACCTTCGGGCGGGAAATGCATGTATTGCGAACATAATTTGATAATTACCAGGGACCTGTTCTTTGTCCAAGGCGCGAGCTACTGGCTCGGGTCTTACGTTGTGCGCGACCTCCTTCGAAACCCGATTGCTACTGGTATCCGGATTGTTCCGTGGCTAGAAATAGTATGCATGCTCATGGACCCCACGGATGGAGTACGGCTGATGCTGGTACAGAGCATTGCTATCGATCTTATATGTGTTCTTTCCTCGCAATCATTGTCGCGGCCCCCGGCACGCTCATGCGCAGCGTGTGCACGTAGTTCAGTCAGGTCAATCCTCCTGCTGCCAGAGTGCCCCGGCGACATGACCGTCGCAGGATGGTGCTTCCGAGTCTGTGTCGCTGCTCGTGCACAGGCGGCTGAAGTACATTCCCCATGTAAGTTACATTTGTATATTTTCTGCTCGTGTTATCAGTGACAGTTCAAGGGAGCCGAGTTTACGTGTCTTCCGATGCTTACCCGTGCTGTGCATCAGGTCTATGCTGATGCTTACTGGTGGGCTAATTGGAGGCTAGGCGGAATTTTTTGAGGTTGCACGACTTGCTGGTGTCCTTCTCCCCCGAAGCGGCCGTCGCAGGGTGGCGCCAGTGCTTCATCGTCCTCTTGCTGGAGCACAACAACGACGCCTCCGCCAAGAAGGCGTGCCCAACGTCGCTGCTCGCCCACGGGTGGCCAATCGACCTCAGCATTCAGTCCACGTTAGGGTGGATGCCGCTGCTTGTTGCGTGGCGGACTGGAAAGCCTTTCCATCTGCTTCACGGTACGTTCCCGGGGGCCGCGTTATTCTGCCGGTGTTGTGCAGGGCTAATGGGTATACGGCTAATTCGAGGTTGCGTGCTCCTTGGATCGTGTTTCCTAGTCAACTATGTGACTTCAAATGGGAAGACGAACTTTGCAGAGGTGCGCACAGCCGGTTCAACGCGGTTCGCGCTTAGAGCTCACATCGCGGTTGCGATCTATTTATCTAGGGCGTGACTTCGATCACCTTCTATGCCATGATTGTGAGTGTACCAATGCCTTTGCATGGTAAGAGGGTGCTCACAGCGGATTTTTTTTAGGCGATGGCGGTGTAGTTCTATCCGGGTCAGCCCCAGATGGGCTCCCTGCTCAGCCGCCCACGCTCTGTCGCAGAAGCGGCGGTCGCGAGTGGTGCTAGAAACGCGCTGGTCGTGCTGGTCGTGTCGTTGGGATCATGTGGTGAAGTTATGCTTGTCAATTTCGGACCTTGGTGCTGTGTAATAATAGAGACACCTGTGGCCTTACGCTTTTGTCGCGGTGTCCGGAATTTGTAGGAGCACTTTCAAGTCGGTCGAGTGCGAGCCCGAGCGACCTGTTGTGGTGAAGTTCTACTGGGCTTCCCTAATGTTCTGTTAGTAAGCGGTGTCGAATCTATGTTATTGTCCCAGCCAGGCTCGGCGCAGTAGTGGCAGATGCGAGAGACGCCGCCATCCTGGATGAAGTGGGATCTTGGCTTGAGCATGGGCGTCTGCGCAGCTTCGGCAAACGCCGCCATGCGTTCCTTCGCCCAATCGGGCAACTCTCGTCTTCAACCTTAGCCACCACCATCCGCACTCTTTGTTCGGAGTTCCTACCCTCGACGCGTCCCATTGTAAGCCGCTTTTGTGAGTGACTCAGATAGTCCAGTGACGCGTTGCCCATTGATCTGAAAAGCATTGCAGGCCAGGATTGCTTTTTCATCCTACTCCCTCCCCATCGTCCCGCCCACTGTTGTTGGGCCACACTCGACCTCATATAAAACCCCGCTAACCAAGCCTCCTATCGTTCGTCTTCTCTTCTACTCACACCCCACCGTCTATTCTGACATGATCGTTCCTCAACCCAGATCCACTCCAGTCTTAGCCACCGCTTTCAAGGTGCAACACGACTCCCAACGCGGCCCAGGATCGCTCGCAGGAGCTCGTGTACGTCTTTCTCAGTATCGCGCCGCCGCAGTGGAAGATATGGCACACAAGGCGATCAGGATGGAGCCAGAGGAGTTCCTCTGCAAATTCCTTCGCCGCACATGGGTCTTCGATCACGATGAGCCAGGGCCTCCTCAATGGGACCGCAACGTATTCAAGGGCGTGGAGGATGCAGCCAATATGAAGGAGGACGCGATCGCCGAAAAATTCGTGAGTGTATCCGCTGCGTAGCCACACATCATCGCCACAACTTCTTCAACAGATTGCTGCAGTCAACGAATCAAATCTCGCACCCGGCTTCAAGATAACAGGGTCGAAGGACAAGCCAGATGCAGACGGATACTCCAAAGAGAGGATTGATGCCTCATTCTTCCGTGACGGTCGCGTTCCTGGCGACAACAGGCCAAACTGGGCCGAACAAGTCGTTTCACTGGAGTTCAAAGACAACAAAACTGCGAACGACCCATTCGACGACAGGGCCGACGACAAGGTCGAGGCAGACGCCATCACACGCAAGAGGGTACGCGGACAACTCATTAGCTACGCCGAGCTGGTTTTCCGTTACCAACATCGCACCGCCCTCTACCAACTCCTCATCATGGGACGACACTTCCGTTTCATTCGTTGGGACCGGTCTGGTACGATTGTCACGAGGGCGGTCGACTATGTCGAGCGACCCGATCTCCTGTGCGAGATGCTGTGGCACATGGCCCAGCTGGTCGACGAACAACTTGGGATGGATCCGAGCGCTGTTCGCATTCGCCAGGGCGACAGAGATTACGCATTGATGGAACAGGTTGCTTTCCCACAAGAAGAAGACTGGGAGCACGAGGAACGCCTCATCGACGCGCTCCCCGGGGGTGACCAGGTGTTTCGGTACGTCCGTGACGCGTTCCGAAACTCGTTGCATGAGACATGGTCCTGGCCTCGTTATCGCCTCGACGTCCCAGACGGCAAGGAGATCCGGCAATACCTTGTGGGCAAGCCAATCTTCCATGCATCGGGGATGGCGGGTAGGGGCACCCGCGGCTATGTCGCACTGGATTGTCAAAGTCGTCGCTTCGTGTGGCTCAAGGACGCGTGGCGGGCGCACTACGACCTCGTGGACCAGGAAGGTTCCGTGCTGGAGAACTTGAACAAGGCGGAAGTACGCAATGTCCCAACACTTGTCTGCCACGGTGACATCCTTGAGCAGTCCACAAAGACGCCAGACTACTGGCCCACGGGGAAGGATCCCGAAGTTCCGACAACGCCCAAGCCCCGAAAGCGCAGCATATCCGAGGTGGAAGACACCTCGGAGGAAGAGTGCCCTCTACGACGGTACCGGCACTATCGCCTCGTGGTGCAGGAGGTTGCTATGGACTTAACGGCGTTCCGGACTGGAAAACAACTGGTTTCGATCATCTACGACTGCGTCACCGGTGAGTGTACTTCAAGTTGTCTTGTCTCTCACGTTTTGCTCACTGGACTGCTAGCCCACGACGAGGCAACGACGAAAGCCAAGATCGTCCATCGCGACGTCAGTGGGGGCAACATCCTCATCTTCCCGAAAGCAGCTCACCTCCCGAACGGCAACATGGCCGTGAAGTGGAAGGGGCTGCTCGCTGATTGGGAGCTTTCCAAGCCGGTCTGTGATGATCCTTCCCGCTCGCGCGCGAGGCAGCCAGAGCGGACGGTATGTTTTCAAACCCGTCCCATTGTCGCATGTTTTGATGGTCATTCTCAGGGAACTTGGCAATACATGTCCGTTGCCGCGCTTGAGGACCACGCCAAAGTCATCGAGACCTCGGACGAGCTGGAGTCATTCTTTCATGTGCTCCTCTATAACGCGGTCCGCCATCTGAAGTCGAACTGCCCCGATGTGGGCGTCTTCATCGAGGATTTCTTCGATACGCACAGCATCCGTGATGACCGCTATGTTTGCGGGTCAAAAAAGTCCGATACAATGCAAGACCACGGAGAGATACGGCTGATCGGGTCCAAAGACATCTTGCTGTTCGAATCCCCGCTGGACGGTTTCTTTTCCGAGGCTCTGAAATGGTTCAAGGCCCACTACAAAGTGCAGGCCTACCAGAATAGCCTTACCCCGCCCCCCAGCCCCCTCGCCCCCCCCGCGCCCCCCTCACCGCCAGCCAAGCCAGCCCAAACCCTTTCGCCACCGTCCTCTCCCCAATCTGGTGCCTTCGACGACTTCGGGGAGCGTGACAACGGGGCTCCTGTTGAGCCGCTGCGCATAGGCGGAGTAGCTAAGGATGTGCCGAAGCCAACCCAGAAGGAGGAGGATGATGCGCTGAAGGTGTCCAATCACGCCGACATGTTAGATCTCCTTTTCCGGGCGGGGAAGTCCAAGTGGACAGCAGACCACGCCATAGGCGACAATGTGCCCCTCACATTCGAGCCTAAGCGTCCGGTCGGCCCCGCTCGTTTCGCGGCGGCTGTCAACGCCCCCCGAAAGCGATCGCGGATCGGGGTACCTGGCCCGAAAGACGCGCAGAATATCGTTCTCCCGGCCACTATAAACTTTCCGTTCGTTTATATCCCGCCCGGCGCGAATCCCAGGACCCCTCGCCGTGACAGACCCGACCTCAAGCCCTCTGCGACCGATTGGTATTAGTCGTCGTTCCCTCACACCGACGTACTACCACTTCCTCGTTCAACTGCTGTTCATTGTGCTGTTTTTCGCTCTCCTCATCCAAGTTCCTCGTTCCCGCCGTCGACTGACATATACCTTGCCTGTATCTTGCTACTTATAAGAACGGTCATCCCCTACCAGCGTCCTCTAGAATAGTATCGGCCTTGTATCATCTGTATCCATAGATCTATCTCACGTTTCCGTTCTATCCGTCAACGTTTCCTGCCCAGTGAAGTCTGTTGTGATCGCAAGACCCTCTCCTTCAATGCTCACTAATGGAGTGCGGAATTGTAAACAGCTCAAGAAGTCTAGGTCGTCTCGAGGACCATAACCGATATCGACTCGAAGGACAATTGCGCCGGAGGGCTCGCTCATCATTTACTCTGTCCAAGATCGAAGATCACAACGCAACATAACTGCGAATACGTCTCATATAGATACAATGCCCTTACGAGCCACGAGAACATGGTTTCAGACTTCTAGATAAGCTGTCTGCGCTCCTTCTCCATCTTCTTCTTCTCGTAGCAGTCGAGCGTGATGCTCGCGAGGAACCCGGGAATGCACTGCTCCTGCTCGACCCAGTAGTGCTTCAGCTGCGGCAACTCCTCGGGGCCGCCCTCGCCCTGCGCGACCAGCTGCATCTTCATGCCGTCGCGGTTGGGCTGGAAGACGAACACGGACGTCAAGTCGTACAGCGACGTGACGCGCACCTGGCCGTTCGGGTAGAACACGAGCTTCAAACCGATGATCGACTCAATCGCCGCGCGGAACTCGGAGCTCTTCGAGTGGTACACCTGCGGGGGCTGTCACGATGCGGCACACATGTTCGTAGAGACCAGGACGTACCTCCTTCAGGCGGAGCAGAGACTTCTCCTTCTGCTTGAGCTCGTGCTCGAGCTTCGTCTTCTCCTCCGCGACGACTACGTAGCTCGCGCGCGGTACGAGGTCCTCTTTGGTCGCGTTCTCGCCGGTGCTCCTTGCGCCACTGTCCTCGAGATCTTTCAGCCGTTTCAGTAACGCCTCGTTCTCGCTCTTCAGGCGATCCATCGCGGCCTTGCTGAGGTCCTCCCACTGCTGCGCGGGGTTGTCCTTCAGACAGAGCACACGCGTGCCGGGAGGCAGGTGGCGGCCCGCGCCAATCTCGCCGCGCAGTTCAAACAGGGTTTGCTCGAGCTCGTCGATCTTCTCCAAGTGTTTCTCGGTCTCTTCTTCGACGTCCTTGAGCTCTGTGCACAACGTTTAGCGCGCGAGAGGGGGTTGGGGCTGCAGACGTACGCTTCTCGAGCTCGACCTTAGCGGCGCGTTCTCGCTCGATCTCCGCTAGAAGCTCTTGCTTGGCCTCCTTGTCCTCAACTACGACAGGGGTAGAGCGCGCGTCTTTCAGTTGCTTCTCTAGTTCTGCGACGGTCGCCTTGTAGTCCTTGACCAACGCCTGAAGCTCTTGGAGAGGTTGCGCCCGCTCGTCTTCCGATTTCACGTCGCCATGAGCGGCTTCCTCGGCATTGAAACTGGCCTGTAGAACACTCAGTGCACACGTACCAAAACGCAGTCGCCGCGAACTTACCACCATCGCTTGCAAGAAACTGATCTCGCGCTCGGCTAGCGAAACCTTGTGGTTGCTCCGCGTCACGGTGTCCTTCAGAGTGCGTACCTCTGAGCGCAGGTCCTTGATGGTGTCCTGTGCCTCGGCCTCGCGAGTCTGAGACGCCTCCAGCACTTGTTCGCGATGATGTAGCAGTGCGACGTTTGATCCGTGCTCCTCAAGCAGACGTGCGTGGGTGAGGCGAAGGGTGGACAAGCTCTGCGTAACAGACACAGGTGTCTTTGACGGAGTGGCGGGTTCGGATGAAGCCCTACGCACGCGTTAGCGTTACAAAGCGCGTTGAGTGGTGGGGACTCACCATTCTTCCCTCTCCTTCCTCGCGGCGTCAAGCTCGGCCTCGAGCTTCACCACCCTATCGCGCATCTCCTCTGCGCCGCGAACCTTGCGCTCGAGCTCGCGCTTCTGCTCCTTCAAGACTTCGACGCTCGTCTGCTTCTCGCGCAGGCCGTTCAGCTCAATTGTCATCTTCGTGTTTGCGGTCTCGAGTTGGCGCATGTACTTGGCTTGCCGATGCAGTTCCTCGCGAAGGACTGTCCAGTCCTCGTCTTGAGCGCCGTTCTGGACAAAGCTGCTTTGAGACGCGCCCAAGTCGTCGAACTGGGCCTGAAGCTCCTCAAATGCGCGTGCGCGGTCCTCGGCGAGCCGCCGAAACTCTGCGACTTCGTACTCGAGCAACGAGACCTGGCCGCTTAGCATAGATATACGCGACTTCTGCGTGTTGATGGTCTGGGACGTGGTCCGCGCGAGCGATGAATGCTCCTCCTCGAGATCGACATGTTGCTCCCGAAGCGTCTGCAGTGAGGCACGCAGCGTCTTGAGCTCTCCATCTGCTTTCCGCTACACATGCACATTGTATGAGCAGCGCATAGAATAAGGGCAGGGCTGTGTTGCGCACCTTGTACTCCTGATGTTCCTCTCGCTCGCGTTCTTTCTCTTCCCTCTCCTCCTTCTCGCGTTCCGCAAGCCACCTCCGGTCTCCTTCGAGCCGCTCGATGACAAGTTCTTTCTCGCGGACCTTTGACTCGAGCTCGAGTTTCGCCGCCTTTGCTGTCGCGAGCTGCCTCTCCAGCGACGCTTGGGACATGTGAGTTGAAAAGGCCTGCGTGCGCTGCTGTCGCTTGGCGGTCGAAAGCTGTGGATCTACCAACGTGATGAGGGTCACCGACCGCGTGGAACACGGCTGCCACTCACCTCGCTCAAGCTCCGCCGCGAGGGAGTCGCGTTTGATTGCACTGCTGCGCAGAGTCGACGACAGCAGCCTGCTTGTCGAAGCCACTGGAGTCGTGAACTTGTCGCGGCTGCTCATTGTGGCGGAGAACAAGGAACGTTTTGGCGCCGTGTGCGCGAGCCTTGCGGAGCGCGTCGCCGGCGTCTCGCGTCTCAGCAAGCCGCGCCTCTTTCCTCTCACTCACCATCATCGTTCTAGTCGAAGTCTGCGGCCATGGCTGGTGATCCCGTTGACTCTGGCTCTGATCTCACGGAACTTGAAGACGACGAGGATATTCCTCTTTCGCAGAGGCAGCGAGGAAAAACGAGATCACACGGCAAATCTGACACTGGCTACAGGCTCCGGGGGGCGCTGCGAGTGCCTAGAGCCACAACGTACACATGCAATGCGCTTTATGGTGCGTGTCGCGAAGTTCAATTCTTGGAAGGCGCACTCCTTATGAACGCGATACAATCCAACATAGAACAAATCTGCTCGGGCGACATTGACTTGCAGCCCCCATACCAGCGAGGTGTGTTACAATCCCGCGGGCGACGCGAACGTCCTAACGAATCATTGCGCCAGATGTGGTTTGGCCCGACACCAAGCAAATTGGTGTGTATAATAGCTTCTCGTGTTGCTGTTTCAGCTGAGCGTTCTGTAGGTCTGATTGACTCCATATTCCGTAACTTCTACGTGCCGCCCGTGATCTTCGGTACGCCGCGCAGTCGCATGAAGTGTCCGTTGCGCTCTCATCCAGACTCTGCGTAGTGGTGCATACAACGGACGACGGCGGGGAGCGTCGGGTGTGCGTTGACGGCAAGCAACGCCTGACCTCAATACACAGGTACGTCTATATTGCTTGCTATTCCTGCGTACCTGCTCATGAATGTCGCTACGTTTATGAAGATTCATCAGCGGCGAAGTGAGTGGCTTCTATTCCCTCATGCGTGTCCACGTTCTTACTGCCTTCGTCTGTAGATTCCATGTACGTTTGTCGTGCATTGTATGCAGCGTGTAGATTTGACTGTACATTTTTCGATCGCTGGGGTCGTTCAGACAAGGATGCGTGAGTATTCGCACAATCATGATTGCGAACATTAACAGACACATAATCAGGTTCACGGGGGACAAATTTGTGTTCCGAGATGACACTGCGGTCAAGGGTCAATTGTTGCCAGAGAAGTATAGGAAACTTTTCGTGAACAAGCAAATTGTGTGTCGCCTCATTGCGAGGTTCCGCGAGTATCGTCCTGAGAGTGAATATAGGTATGCATGGAATATCAAGACATCACCTCTGAAAATGAAAGAGAGATTTTCCAAGTGAGTCTACATCATAAGGACTTTGTATAGGGTCTGATCACGTTTTACAGAGGGTGCAACTTGGGATGGCCTTGACCCCTGCAGGTTTGCACATCATGCGCTATTCTCAGCGTCGCCGAACTCAGGATTACCCCTGGTTTACAGAGAGGCTCCAGGCCGTCAGCAGTCCCATTGCCAATTTCGTCAGGGAGCTTCTGGAAAAGTATGTTGAAGACCAGCTCTCGACCACGATAGAGTGGGACACCAGTCGTGCAAACGATTTCCGCGGACTGGCATCCTCTGTCTACACCATGTCCAAATGGCCCCACATCACCACGTTGCCGTCTATTGGTGTCATCGAAAAGTGGCTGCACGATTCTGAGGCTCTTGATGAAGAACTCCAACAGGATATCCACAACACCTTCGAACTCTTCTGCCAGCTGGCCAAGGACAAGAAGCTCAATAAATGCTTCTGGCTTCCTAACATCAAGAAGGTTGCTCCCATGGAGTTCCTATGTATATCTCTCCTTATCCATTCCTTCAAGAGGAAAATGACCATGGCCCAGCTATCAGAGTCTATCTCTCTTCTCAGGAAGGACATTAGGACTGAGGAGAAGGATGTTAGGCAGAATTCTAGGACCATGAAGCAGGTTTTAACATTCCTGAAGGGCCTCCATCCCTCACAACTGAAGGCACAGTCTGGAGAGCCTGCAGCTAGCAAGAGGAAAAGGAACTCTTCAAGTGAAGGTGTTGACCATCCCCCTTCCAAGAAGGCTGCTCCTTCCAAATCCCAAACCACCAAACCTTCCAATCCTCCCCCGCCTCGCTCTGCACCAACACCACCCAGCCCCTGCCCTCCCATAGACCCTCCTACCCAACCTTCATCCTCCATCCGCCCCCCTCCCAATCTTCATATGCCAACTGGGCCGTCAAGCGCCCGAGCTCCGCCAACGGGTCCACGCAACGCCGCCGCATCACCGATGCCCTCGTCCATTTCATCCCGCCCTATCGCCTCCTTGCCCCCGCGACCGCCCATCGGCCCGCCTGCGCGACAGAACTCAATCGGCGACACACTGATGGCGCGCATGGCATCGGCGCCTTCCCCTGCGTCACCTCCAATGCCACGCTATGGGGGCTACCCCAGCCCTTCAATGCAGTTTCACCCGGGGCCGAACGACCCGCAAGGAAACCGCGCGTACGACGCCAATCGAGACCCACGGCACCCGGCCTACCACCAGGATGGACGATATGGCGCACCCGGACAGCCACCCGGACAGGGCTACGGACGCCGCAACTGAGTACTGAGCTTCCGGTCGCCACGGTACGCGTTTGACTTGTGTGTTACTCGTGAGCGTGCTGATGACCGCTGTCAGTGAACACGCTTTGCTATAGACTCCCCTCCTCGTTGCTTCGCCTTCCGTATCGCTTCGCGTTTAAACCAACATGCAGTTTGTAATATATCAATTCGATTCTCGACGTATGTGACAGCCGGAGACAGCGTTCGAGCACCAACAACCCGAACCCATGCACTCATCCATAGCCATCCCTCCACCAACTCCCCTGGAACCGCAGCTCCAGACCGGTCACGTCCCGGATCCGCCGCATTATCGTCGTCAGCGACGTCACAAGCCCGTACGGCCCCCGCTCCGGTATCGCATACAAGAGCGCCACGGGCGTCGACGTCCCGCCGTCGCGCTCGCCCGCCCGCCCGACGGCCGTCACGAGCGCGCCCGCGTCGCCGCGCACCGCGAACCGCACGCCCTTCCCGGCGGCGGGGAACACGGCCCACTCGCGCGCGACGTGGCCCCCCAAGACGACGCTTGCGGGCGCGCCGTTGACCACGCCGTCGCGGTACGGCCCGAGCGGGCGCTCGAGGTTCGGGTCGTTCACCTGCATCGCGACCGTGGTGCCGCACTCCAGGCGCCCCGGGTGCGCGCGCAGCGTGACGGCGTTGTCGCACGTCTTTGCAGACATGCGGATGAGCGCCCACGAGAGCAGGTGCGTGTGGTCGGGGTCTTTGTCTTTCCCTCGTGGGGAGGGCCGTGCCGCAGAGCCGCCGTGTGAGGAGCCTTGCGACGAGGCGCGTCAGACATGCGGACGATACGGGACATTTAGTGAACTCACTGTTGCATGGCCGGATGAGGGCCTCGGCGGCGCACGCCTGGCCGACGTCGTATTCGTGCGCCCGTGCAAGCGAATCTTGCAGGATAACGCGCTCGAGGTCGTGCTGGCGCTTGCGCGCGATATGTCTGTCGTTCGATCGCGAACTCGTCGCGCCATCGGAGCTGGTAGGGCTCGTCGCCGCGCTAAGCATTTCGCGTTGGACCGCCATGAGCTCGATCGCGCGCTCAACGATCTTGACGGCGGGGTTTGAGAGCGGACAGCCGAGCGGCTGGAGGGCGAGCTGTGAGCTGCGCATGCGCCGCTGGTGCTTGTCGGGACGTGGCAGGAGGTGTGGATGTGGGAGGAAGCCAGCCTGGGAGACGACGGCCTGCCCGGCTGTCAGGCCGTACAGCGCGCCGTCGTCGGGCAGGTGGAGGTACGCGGTGAACACCGTGACGCGCTCGGTGCTCGCGCAGAAGATAGGGTCGCCCGGGCGGAGCTCGCTGGGAATCACGAGCTTCTCCGGGCTGTAGGCGTCGAATGGGGTGCCCGTCGTGAGCGGGTCTCCGATGTAGAGGTGTACGGGGATCGTGCTGTTCATGAGGTGCAGCATCTCCAGGACCTCGACGTCGAGCAGCGTCGCGTGCAGGACGACAGGGAGGTCCTGCATGTCGCGCTCCGCACGGTGCAGACAGGGGACGATAGATGCACGACATCCGTGCAGCCGAACGAGGACGCGCACGATCTTCTCCAGTGCGTGCTCCGCGGCGGGCAGCGCGGGGTGATCCTTCGGTATCGCTTCGTAGTGCACGCGGACGGAGCGCAAGTTAGGGTTATGTATGAACCTACGTCTCGCGGGACCGGCGATCAGCACACGGGGACTCCGCGACGATCAGTGAGCGCACCAGTTGTGTCCGAGGGGTATAAGCTCGTCCTGACCGCTCGTCGACCCCAGGTGTGTGGACGAGGACGAGGCGGACATGGATGCAGCGGTGAGGGGCGTCGGGGAGCCACGGTGTCCCCTGTGCCCAGCGCCGGCCCATTAAGTATGAGGGCGGAGAACGCTAGAAAACGGTGGACGCGCGGGTGATCGAGGGAAAGCGCAGATCTAGAGTCGCGTGCGCCCGATCGTCTAACCATACTTGTGCGGCGAAGGCGCAGTTGGCGGGATGCTCGGATCTTGTACCGCGACGCGCATTGAGCCGAGCGTTCAGTAGACCTCCTTCCCTTGTAGGAACGCGACGTTTTGCAGCTGTCGGGAGGCCTCAAGACCAGCGGATTCGGTCAGGAGCCCCGCTGAGGCCTATGCACTCCATGCCACGGTTCCTTTCCCCTGAGCTGCCTCGTGAGACAGCTGCAGGCTGCCCCTAGGCAAGCTTGCACCGGAGTGCGGGCCAATGTCCGGCGTTCGTGCGATGTGGCCTGATTCGATCCGTGGGATAGGGTTTCTTGTGTGGCACGAAGAATCCGTGTACATCAGATGGAGGAGCGAGCGCACGGGCGCCTCCCTTATTGTCTTGTGAAACGGCAGGCGTTCAGATGTCGAGCGTCGAAAATTCCTGCACGCAAGCGATAGCATTGATCAGATTCAGCCTGCGTAGGCGAGTGGCACCTTGTCCATCCCACTCACTGACTCAGGGGCACGATGGACGCTAACTGCAGTCGATGAGTACGCGGAGACTCGGAGATGTGTTGTATTATTTCGGGTGCGGTACGAGGCGAATCAGGCTCGAGTTCTGGGAATATGGAGGTTTAAGAAAAATGAGCAGATCACTTCAGCTGTCGATTGTGTCGCCCGAGATGGGTGGACGATGCGCGATGGAATCTTGCTGAGCGCGTTCGCGAATCGCTCCGGGTCCGAGTGGCTGCTGCGCTTGCACGCGATCACGTGGCATAAATGCGTCACTAATAAGAATTTCACCTCTAATTCCTGCAGTGCTGTGCTCATTGCTCAAGTGTGCTCCGAGACCTCCGACACGTCGCCACCTTTGCAAGCTCCTCCTGAGCGCGTGAGTACGCCCGTCTGCATAAATCTGTTTCTCAACAACTTCCACCCACAGCTGGCGTTCAAGTTTGACATGCTTGTCATCGTTGATGAAGAGGCAAGTCATTTTCATTTCGCTCAATAATACGCTCAGCGACGAATTTGATGCTGGTACATAGTCAGGATCATGGGCATCCGGCACACAGGCCGTGAGCAAGAACGTGGCAGATCCTAAACCTCTGGTCGTCCTTCTTTGCCTCGCTTCCTACAATTTCTTCAAGGAAACCAACTCGCACCTCCAAGCAGCTCTCGAACAGAGATCCGAAGTCCTGGTCGCGACAACCCGGTCCGAGGCGGTGCGCTACCTCACCAGCACCTCGATCCCGCAAGCTGTCATAGCCTGCGATGCAGCCGTGTCTTATCCTGAATATCACGATGTCCTCCTGCGCTTGGCCCAGTATGCTCATGGCGGGGGCACTGTCGTATACGCGGGGAACTTCGCCACCTTTGTTCGCTTTCCGGAGATGAAGGCCATGTTCAAAGTCGCCTGGAACTTGCCATGGGAGATGGACGTCTGCGACGACAAGGTGTTCGGCCTGAACTTCACAGCCAGGCACCTGGACGTCAGGCCGCTGCCGAAGAAGTACGCTGTGAAGGGCATCCAAGTCAGGAACGTACTGCCCGAACTCGCTGTCTACTTGGGACAGAACCAGCTCAAGAAGCTTGCGAAAGATAAGAACGGTCCTCTGGCGAATGTCCCTCTCAACGCCCCGGTTGCCTTTTGCAAAACTGGTCAGGGCTATGTTGGGTACGTCGGCGACTACAACTCCACCGAGCCGACGACTGCCATCGTCCTCGCGATGTGCTTCCATCCTGCATCTCGGGCACGCGTAGCACCCGGAACGGTCTTACCCAGCGTGGCGGTACGCATCCGCATACTATTTCCACCGCCCGTATGATCGGTGCAGCTTACACTAATTCTAGCTGTCCACTCCTGGAAGGTCCCTCCGACGCAATATCCTAATCGTCTCGCTCGAGCAAGGATTGATGGACGAAAGCTACCAGCCGCTCTATCGCGCCATACGCAAAAACGCGTGGCTCACCGAAGTCGAAGATGCCGAAACAGCCATCCAGCTCCTCTCTTCCCAGCCTCCCCCCTCCGCTGTCCTCTTCACGGACGGAATGATCACCCGCCCCGAGAACTCTCGAGTCCTCACGCGGCTCATCGAATACGTCCGCGGTGGGGGGACGGCCGTCTTCGGCGCACAGTTCGGCAACACGGTCTCGGTGCTCGACCTCAGCCCGTTCTTCAACAAGTGGGGCCTCGCATGGTACAGAGGCGACTACCGGCGCGATGCGTTCGCACTGAACCCCGCCGGCGTGCCCGCGCCACTCTCGGCCGCCGCGCTGTTCCCCGAGGCGAGCATGAAGGCCGTGCTCGTGAAGGCGCCGCGCGCGTGCGCCGTGTACACGCCCGCCTCCAGTGAGTATGCGCGCCCTCCCGTGTCTGCACCCAACGGCGAGCGGGTGGAGGAATGCCCCGCGGCCTTCGGGCGGGTCGGGCGCGGCTTCGTGGGGTATGTCGGCGACGTGAACGGAGAGCAGGCGTCGATTCGGGCGATCATCGAGATGCTCGGGGTGAAGATCAACCCTGGGGACTTTGGCTCCAGGATAGTCACGAAGAGCGTGTCGTTCCGTCCCGGGCAGGGAAGCACCGCCACGTACGCCGAAGAGGAGGAGATTCCTCTTCCGGTCGCTGCTCCCACTGCTCCCCGCGAGGCCAAGGTCAGAGAACGCAAGGAGCGGCGCGCGAAGACGAGGATGGAGAAGACGAGTCGCGGTAATGAACTGTGGGGAGAGGTGAGATCCCTTATGACTGGAGAGAATCCGACGTTAACCATTTCGAATAGGGTAACAGGTTCTTCGCCCAGAAGAAATGGGTTGAGGCGGCGACGAAGTACCGCGAGGCGGCGATGCTTGTAGGCCCTCACACAATCCATCTCGGGAACCTCGCTGGCGCGTTTCTCAAAATGTCACTGTGAGCATCATATGTCGCTGCGCTCGTGTGTCGTTTGCTGACACGTTCGATGATCCGCAGTTGGGAGCTTGCGGAGAGCGCGACCTGCCGCGCACTTGTGCACGACCCGTACGACGTGCAGGCGTTGTACAGAAGAGCTTTGGCCAGGAAGGGGCTCGAGCGATTCTCCGCAGCGGAAGCCGGTAGGCGCTCTCTTCGGTCACCTAGTGATAGTACCATGACGTTCTCATGTGTCCATGTTTACGTATGCAGATCTCAAGCGCGTCCTCGAGCTCTACCCCGGCTATCTGGACGCGCAAGAACTACTGGAATCAGTCGAAGGCGGCGGTCCAAGCAGATTCAAGTGGCCGGGGGACGACGAGATCGGCCTCGAGGGAGGCGTGGGCGACGACGGGCCGCTGGAGCTCGAGGAGGAGTCCGACTCGGAGGACTTCGAACACGTCGGAAACGGCAACCCTTGTCGCTCGTACAACCACGATGGGTGCCCGCGTGGGCAAGGTTGTGCCCTCAGTCATGCCCCAGACGCAAGGAGCGTCAGGGATGAGCTGTACGTGGCCTCTATCCTGATACCTTCTTATACTGATGCTCGGTGTGTTTTCGCATCCTCATGTACAGAGGTCGGAACGTCTGCGTCTACTGGCTGCTCGGCGAATGCCGCTTCTCAGACGAGCGGTGCTTCTACGCCCACGACAAGTCTTACCTCCCCGCCAAGGGCTGGTGGACGAACAAGCACCGCCTCGCCCGCTTGTGCAAAGAATTCGACGACGCCGTGGCTACGGCACCCCGTCCTGGGATCAAGGAGGGCATCCTCGCCGAGGCGCTGAAGCCGGTTTCGTGGCGGAAAGACGCGTGGACCTTGACCCCTGCGGACTACGCGGAGCTGGCGAAACTACGTGCGGAGGAGGTTTGGTAAAGCGCGATAGGGGCGGGTGATTTGGTGTGTTAGGGGCTCGGGGGAGAATGCCAGGCCTGACGGTCATACGACTCCATCCCGGTATACTGAATCAAGCCGCTACTGGGTTCCGACGCCATGGTATATGCCGCTTGTTGACTGTTATTGAGTTATCTCTCACATTAGATTGCTTGAGAGTATAGACTCCAGGACAAGTCGCGCACTTAACTAGGATAGTAGGTAGTACAACGCGTAGGTAGGCCCTGTTCATGAATACGCGATCACGTGTATCGCTAATGAAGAACTCGACGCGGCGCGGTCCTTGACGCTGGAACTGCGCTTTCCATCCTGCACGGAGTCCACATCGACAACGCCAGTATCCAAGAGTCAAGCAGTCTTGGGTGGCCGCAGCCTTCCATCCTTTAGGTGAGGATGACATTGCGATAGACTACCCTTATGCTAACATAGGCTGCACAAATTGCAGACCTCTCACTGCTGTCAACCGGCGTCACCGTGACGAATCGGTCAAGGACTTCAAGGAGAAGAGCGGGCAGCGGTCCCACATACTCAGTCATCTTTTGGGGGTTTAGTGGTGATCTTCGGCACAACAGAGAGTGAAGAAACAGGGGAATTGAAGGTGCGTCGGTCCTATATCACTAGCGATCATGAATACTACACGAAACGCTCAGGCATCGTCAACTCAAGGCCCGCCATGTCGAAACCAGTCGTGGTCATCATTGGTCTTCAATACGCCGACATGTTCGAGCGTATCTACCACCATTTCCTCTCTGCGCTGCAGCAGAAAGCAGACATACGTCGAGTGACATCCAAGCCGGACGCTCTGCGCTACCTCAGCAGCCCCTCTCCCCCTCACGCTGTGCTCCTTTGCGACGCTGCCATCACCGAGAAGGAATTCCGCGACGTTCTGGACCCACTGGTATCCTACGTCAAGCGCGGAGGCACCGCCGTCTGCATGGGGGTGTTCAGCGGTTGGGCTTCCCCGGACGACCTGACCGCGATGTTCGCGACCTCGTGGGATCTGCCATGGAGCTTCGAGACCTACGGGCGCTACGACTGGGTGGTGAGCCCGTATCCAAAGGGCCTGGATGTCAAGGGCCTCGCGAAGGCATACAACATGAAGGCGGTCATCCTTAGCAATGTCCCCGTCGAGTCTGCTGTCTACTTCGACCCGTACTACGCAGAGCAGCTCAAGAAGGGAAAGGGAAAGGCTCGTGCTGTCCTTCAAGAATCTTGCGAGTGCACTGCTGCGTTTGCTGCTGTCGGCGACGGCTACTTCGGCTATGTCGGCGACGTGAATGGCGAGCCGGAGACCACTGCGGTCATTCTCGCCATGACCTTCCACCCTGCCGCGCGCAGCAAGACATCCGTGAGTCTTAGTACGCAACTGCTCGTGACACTGAATACTCTTCTGATAGCGGTGCGTAGACAGCAGCTCCCTCTGCCGCTCAGGGCTCAGGACCACCGAAGCCGAACGTCCTTGTCATCTCTCTAGAGAAAGCGTCTTACACAGATGACATGTACGATCAGCTCTACCGCGCGCTCCGCAAGAACGCAACCGTAACTGAGGCCCTCCACTCTCGTTCCGCGAACAAAGCGCTCTCCGGAACCCCGCGCCCCTCTGCCATTCTCATCTCCGACGCCGCTATCACACAGCCAAAGTACGCGGCACTCCTTGCGCGGCTCATCGAGTATGCCCACGGCGGCGGGCGCGTCGCACTAGGGATGCAGTTCAGCAGCCACTTCCAGCTAGACACCGTCGGCCCCTTCTTCCGCAAGTGGGGCCTCGCGTTGGACGAGGGCTCGTACCACCGCACGACCTTCGCGCTCAACCCTGCGGGCGTGCCTACGCCGCTTAACCCGAACACGCTCTGCCCGACGGTCAGCATGAAGGCGCTCCATCTGAAGAACGTGGCGCGCGAGTGCGCGGTGTACCTGCCCATGCCTACCTCGCGCCTTGAGTCGATGGTCTACGCGCCCACGCAGATCACGGGAGACAAGGCGGAGGAGAGTCCGGCGGTGTGGACGCGTGTGGGCGACGGGTACCTGGGGTATGTCGGGGATGTGAACGCGGAGCAAGGTTTGATCCGGCTTACCCTCGAGATGTGCGAAGTGAAGATCGAGCCGGGAGACCTCGGCACAACACAGCGGAGTACTGTAATATGCATACATCCTGACGGGCAGCAGGAAGTTGAAAAACGGCTGGAGGAGGAGGTCCCGCTCCCCTCCTCTACGACGTTCACATCTACCTCGGACGTCATGTCTTCTGCGATCGTAAACTCGTCTTCTGCCACTAATTCGGGCTCAGTCAAAGGCTCCTCTGAAGGACCGGCGCTCGTCCCCACCACTCTGCTAGTAGCCGCCACCACCTCAGAATCTGCTGTTAGTCCTGCGCTCGTCCCTACTATTCTACTGGCACCCACGCCCGCATTCGTGCCCCGGTCGCCCGCCCGCCCGCGCGAAGCCGAGGCCATCGGGCGTGCGGTGCAGCGCACGAAAGTCCGCGAGGAGAAGAACAAACGCGCAGACGCGCTGAAGGAGGAGGGTAACGTGCTCTTCCGAGGGCAGGAAGGACAGTGGGCGCAGGCGGCCGAGAGGTACCGCGCTGCGGCGCTCGTCGCAGGTCCGCAGCCCGTGTACATGTCCAACCTCGCCGCGGCGTTCCTCAAACTGCAGAAGTATGTCTCCACTCTTCTAAGGTGCGCTGCCGAAGTACTACTAGAATGCTGACGTGTGGGCGGTAGGTGGACGCTGGCGGAGAGCGCGGCGTCGCGTGCGTTGATGCGCGACCCGGACCACATAAAGTCATTATTCCGCAGGGCGCAAGCGAGGAAGCAGATGTGCATGTTCGCAGCGGCCGAGGCTGGTATGCGCCACATATTCTGCTCCACACACGCGGGCTATCTCACAAATTCGCCATATCCACAGATCTCCGGCGCATCCTTGCCCAAGAAAGCTCAAACGCGCTCGCACTAGCCGAAATGGAGTCGGTTCTCGTCATAAAACGCATGGTGCCAGGCGAGGACCGGACTAAAGACCACGACCTGATCGAGGACGTCCTGGACCTCGAGGAGGAGTCCGACTCGGAAGACTACACGCACAAGGGGAACGGCACCCCATGCCGTTTTTACAACCGCCGCGGGTGTACGCAGGGCGCGCGCTGCCGCTTCAGCCACGCACCAGACGTGAAAAGCGTGCGGGACGAGCTGTGCGTGCCTACCACTTTCATGATCTTGGGACGCAGTTCCCCACTGACCTGGAGTCTGGCCTCATTAGAGGACGGAACGTGTGCATGTACTGGCTGCTGCGCGGATGCCGGTACAGCGACGCCAAGTGCCAGTACGCGCACGACCGCACGTATCTCCCTGCGCGGGGGTGGTGGAGGGACGAGGCGCGGAACGCGCGCCTGTACGATGCGATGGAAGCGACGCGGGACGATGCCGCGAAGGCGTTGCTTGTGTGGGCGGCGAAGCCGCTCCCTTGGCGAGAGGAGCCTTGGGTGACCGCCAAGTTTACAGACGCGCCAGGTATTCCTAGTGCGGGTGCAGGTACGGGTGCAAGTGCAAGTGCAAGTGCAAGTGCAAGTGCAAGTACGGGTGCAAGTGCAAGTACGGGTGTGAAGAACAAGAAAAACGGGAAGAAGGGGAAGAAGACTAAGAAAAGATCTATGGGCATGCCAGGACTGTGCGAGTACGGTGCCGGCTCTAGCGAGTATAGTGGGTACAGCGGGTACGGCCACGATCCCGACGAGGATGACACGCACGAGGGGCATATGAAGCAGTTTCACGAGGACATGCTGCTGCAGGGCATCAAGCCACGGGAGGTGGATTCTATGGTGAGTGTCACTGCGTGGTGTGCTGCAAGGTATCGACATTGACTAACTGTCGGCTGGTCATAGAATGATCTCGTGGAGATAGATGGGACTCTGTATATCGATGGGTACTAATAGGCGGAGGCTCGTCATATTTAGTTGCTCTAGTACCAGTACTGTAAGTCCTTCGCATGTAGATGCATCCTATTTAGCATATGTGATTGACGTTTTCCCGGCCCTTGCAGAATTCGAATTATCTTGAGTCGTATCTTACAGACGTACTCGTAAATGTTTTGTACAGTTACCTGGAGAGGCCCACCGTCGCTGAGTGTGGCTCTGCTCATCGATGTGTAAATCAAAACACCACGGTGGTCATTAATATTGTGCTTTGTAAATGCCGCCGGTTGGGAAACACTTCATAAAGCGTGAAGCAAGGCCTTGTCGTGTGCTAGGTGTAATACACATGAGACAAAGATAACTGTACAGTCCGAGCTCGTCAAAAGGATGCCACGAGCACTGAGATGAGTATCGATATCGTCAAGGCCCCTTGCAACTTCAAGCTCAAACGCCCGGCGAGCGCCCTAGCGCCGCTCAGGCGTTTAGGAATACGCGATCACGTGCATCGTTAATAAAGCGATCGACGCGGCGCGCGCCTTGGCGCTGAACCACTCTTTCCATCACCGAGTCTGCACATCGACATCCCCAACACCGAAGCTAGTCGAGGTATCTCTGTACTCGCAATCCGCCAGAATTTGTGTAAGGACGCTGTTTTTGTATTCCTGTTCTGTGCTGACGCAAGCCGCATAACCTGAATTCGCAGATATCTCACCGCTGGCAAACAGCACCACGAATTGGACTGAGTGGGCAGCGATCGCACATAGTCTACTTCAAGAGGATTGAAAGCAGATTTTCTGGAAAATAGCGAGCGGGAAACATCGGAGACTCGAAGGTCCTACCACCTACCACCGGTGAGTCAGTCTCATATTACCACCAATCCCCGAAGAGCTCAAGCGCCACTGTCCGCCGCAAGACCAATCATGCCAGCCACGTCCAAGACAGCTGGAACATCCACCCCCAACATCCTCGTCATCTCTCTGGAGAAAGAACCATACATAGAGGAGATCCACGACCAGCTCTACCGCGCGCTCCGCAAGAACGCGACCGTAACCGAGGTCCTCGACTCCCGCTCTGCAAACAGGGCGCTCTCCAGCCCCACCCGCCCGTCCGCCATCCTCGTCTCCGACGCCGCAGTCACTCGCCCGGCGCACGCTGCGCTTCTCGCGCGGCTCATCGAGTACGTGCGCGGCGGGGGGCGCGTCGTGCTGGGCATGCAGCTCAGCAACCATTTCCAGCTCGACACCGTCGGCCCTTTCTTCCGCAAGTGGGGCCTCGCATGGGACAAGGGCTCGTACCACCGCACGACCTTCGGCCTCAACCCTGCGGGCGTGCCTGCGCCGCTCGACCCGAGCACGCTGTTCCCGGCAGTCAGCATGAAGGCAGTTCATCTGAAAAATGTGCCGCGCGAGTATGCAGTGTATCTCCCGACGCCCGCGTCGCGCCTGGAGTCGATGGTGCACGCGTCTACGCCAATCACAGGGGACAAGGCGAAGGAGAGTCCGGCGGTGTGGGCGCGTGTCGGCGACGGGTATCTGGGGTACATCGGAGACGTGAACGGGGAGCAGGGCACCACCCGACTCACGCTCGAGATGTGTGAAGTGAAGATACACCCGGGCGACCTTGGCTCGACAGAACGGAGTATTGGGATAACCATCCATCCTGACGGGCGGCAGGAGGTCGTGAAGCGGCTGGAAGAAGAGGTCCCACTCCCCGCCTCGACGACGCGCACATCCACGTCTGCCGCCGTTTCAGCTGCGATTATGAACTCGTCATCCGGCGCTCTCTCTGGCGCAGCCTCGGGCTCCTCTAGCGGCCCTGCGGCCGTTCCAACCACTGCGCCTGTATCCACATCCACACCCTCGTTTGTGCCCCGAACCCCCGCCCGTCCACGCGAAGCCGAAGCCATCGCGCGTGCAGCCCAACGCGCCAAAGTCCGCGAGGAGAAGATCAAGCGCGCAGACGTGCTCAAGGAGGAGGGAAACGCGCTCTTTCGCCAAGGGCAGAAAGAACAATGGGTGCAGGCGGCAGAGAAGTACCGCGCGGCGGCGCGTATCGCCGGCCCGCAGCCCGTGTACATGGCCAACCTCGCTGCTGCGCTCCTCAAATTGCAGCGGTATGTCTCTGGCGGTGCTGGGGAACGCAATAAAAGCTAACGTGCGAACCAGATGGATACCCGCGGAAAGCGCCGCGTCACGCGCGTTGATGCGCGAGCCCGACCACGCCAAGGCGCTGTTCCGCAGGGCGCAGGCGAGGAAGGAGATGGGCATGTACGCAGGGGCCGAGGCTGGTGAGCCGAGTTATCCTACCTCGCACACCAAAACTGGCTCACCATAATGCTGCATGGGCAGACCTCCGGCGGGTTCTCGCCCAAGACAGTACGAATATCGCAGCCCTCGCCGAGATGGAGTCGGTCCGCGCGCTGAAGCGCATGGCGCACGCCGAGGACATGTCCGACGACGAGGACGACCTACCCGGAGATGTGTTTGACCCCGTGGAGGAGTCTGACTCGGAAGACTACACGCACAAGGGGAACGGCACCCCGTGCCGCTTCTACAACCGCCACGGGTGCACGCAGGGCGCACGCTGTCGCTTCAGCCACGCGCCAGACCAGAAGAGCGTGCGAGACGAGCTGTGCGTGATTCGCCCATCTTGCTTCAGCGCGCACTCCCCCGCTGACCCCGCATTTCACACTTTTTTGCAGAGGACGAAATGTGTGCGTATACTGGCTGCTGGACGAGTGTCGTTTCAACGACGCCAAGTGCCAGTACGCGCACGACCGCACGTACCTCCCCGCGCGCGGGTGGTGGACGGACGAGGGGCGGAACAGGGAGATGCGCGAGCTGGCGGACAGGACGTTCGACGTCGTGCCGCGCCGCTACTTGCCCCAAGCGTTCCTCGCGGAGGCCGCGAAGCCGCAGTGGCGGCAGGAGCTGTGGGCGACTGCTACGTACATGGATGCGTCGGATATCCCTGGTGCGAGCACGGGTGCAGCTGCGACTGCGACTGCGGCTCCAAACGCGAGCGCGGGCGGGATGAAGAAGAATAAGAAGAAAAAGGGGAAGAAGAACAAGAGCCGATCTATGGGTGCGGGCCCCAGCGGGTATGGCGGATATGGTGGGTACGGTTATGACTCCGACGAGGATCACATGGAGGACTTGTACGAGGAGATGCTGTTGCAGGGCATCAATCCGTGGGAGGTGGATTCTATGGTGAGTGCTATTGAGGCGTGTGAGGTTCGGCTTTGACATTGACTGAACACTTGCTGGCTTCGACAGGAGGAGCTCGCGGCAATCCATAGCGTTCTGTACGATGGATATTGATAAACAAAAATTTCTCGAGTATATGATCATTTTATAGTAGTCTCCTTCGTACATTAATAACGTGTTATACTCGGTACATGCTAAGTACTGACGGTGTCCTAGACGTCTTGAACTATCTCGAGGTGTATCTTACAGCATGTAATCGTAATCATCTGAGACGTTGACCTAGAACTCCAGTATCCGGAAGCTTTCACGCGAAAGCGTAGGGTGTGTAAGGTGAGTCCAGTCTATCCAGAAGAAATAATCCTCGCGGACGCGATCACGTGGCAGCGGCGGCGCGGGGTGACGGGGACGCGTCACTCAAGTCGAGCAACGTTCGCGAACCTTATTCAAAGACGGCCTTGCACTCACCCTCACGTCGCTCCCTTCTGCGTAGACCCAACGCTCCCTATACATCCACCCAACCCGATTTTCTACCAGAACTTGCGTCGAACAGCGGCCTGGTCAAACCTTAAAGTAGCAGGTAGCGTGCTATTGCATTACTGGGCCGGCGCCGCCAACGCCTAAAACCTTAACTACCTCCAGGCCCTTTTTTCAAGAGAACGGCATTTGGGTGACGTTGTCGCAAGTACTTTGGCGCTCAATTGCTATCTAGTGGTACGAAGAAAGCGAGTCATAATCTCCAACTCTTTCAGCTAATACGTCGACGTTAATACGTGATCAAGAGCACTAGCAGCCACTCCACACGAACGACGTATCAACCGTGCTACAGCAAGAAGATGGCAGACTCCAAACCGCTGGTCGTTCTTCTCTGCCTTACGGAATACGAATGTTTCAAGTCCAGGAATTCACACCTTCTAGTCGCTCTCGGTGAGAGATGCGAGGTGCATATAGCCAAGACCCGATCGGAGGCGCTGCGCTACCTCACCAGCACCGCGCTTCCACAAGCAGTCATCGCATGCGATCCTTCCGTGGCTTACCCCGAATACCACGACGTCCTCTTGCCCCTGGTTCAATATGCTCATGGTGGAGGCACTGTCATATACGCGGGGGTCTTTGCCACCTTCGTTGGGTATCCCGACATGAAATCCATGTTCAAGATTGGCTGGGATTTACCGTGGGAGATGGCCCTAGGCTGCAACGACGATAAAGTCTTTGCACTAAACTTCGCGGGCAAGGGCTTGGACCTGAAGCCGTTGGCCAAAAAGTACAGCGTAAAAGCCATTCAAGTCAAGAACGTCATTCCAGAGCATGCCGTCTACTTGGGACAGAACCAGCTGAAGAAGCTCGCAAAGGACAAAGAGAAAGCCCTTGCGAATGTCCCGCTCAACGCCCCTATTATCTTCTGCAACGCTGGCCAAGGTCGTGTTGGGTACATCGGTGACTACAGCTCCACCGAGCCTACGACTGCGATCGTTCTGGCGATGTGCTTCCATCCCGCTTCGAAAGCACTCGTAGCACCCGGGACAATCTCGCCAGTTTCGGTACGCATATACCCATGTCACCGCTCGAAAAATGGACGTAACTCACCATGTTGCTAGATGACCGCTTCTGGCGGCTCTCAGTCGAGACGCAGCATCCTCATTATCTCGCTCGAGAAAGTATGGATGAGCGACATGTACCAGCCTCTCTACCGCGCTATCCGCAAAAACGCATGGGTTACCGAGGCTGAAGACGCCGAGACAGCAATCCAACTCCTCACCTCTAACCCTCCGCCCTCAGCCGTCCTGTTCACGGACGGTACGATCACCCGTCCCGAAGGTGCCCGGATCCTAACGCCCCTCATTGACTACGTCCGTGCCGGCGGCATCGCAGTCTTCGGCGCACAGTTCCCCGGCACGATCTCCGCTCAGGACCTTGGCCCATTCTTCCACAAGTGGGGCCTCGCCTGGCACAGCGGCGACTACGTCCGCACCACATTCGCGCTGAACCCCGCAGGTGTGCCCGCGCCCCTGTCCGCGGGCGCACTCTTCCCCGAGTGCAGCATGAAGGCCGTGCACGTGAAGGCGCCGCGCGAATGCGCCGTGTACCTGCCCGCGGCCGGCGCACGCACTCAGTCGCTCGTGTGGGCCCCCTCTCCGAGCACTGGCACGAAGGCGGAGGAGAGCCCGGCGGCCTTTGGGCGCGTCGGGAGCGGCTTCGTGGGATACGTCGGCGATGTGAATGGGGAGCAGGCGTCCATCCGGGCTACCATCGAGATGCTCGGAGTGAAGATCAAGCCTGGCGACTTCGGCGCGAGGGTTATCACGACGGGCATGTCGTTCCGTCCCGGGCAGGGAAGTACTGCGACGTACGCCGAGGAAGAGGAGATACCGCTCCCGGCGTCTTCCCCGTCACGGCGTCCTCGCGAGGCGGAAGCAAAGGCGCGCAAGGAGCGACGCGCGAAGGTACGCAAGGAGAAGACAACTCGTGCTGATGCTCTTAAAATTGAGGTGAGTGCTTTTAGCAGCTAGTCCTGGGATACCGCGGTGTTTACCGTATCCATCAGGGCAACGTCTTGTTCACGCGGGAGAAGTGGGTCGAGGCCGCCGACAAGTACCATGCGGCGGCGATGCTCGCTGGCCCTCAACTGGTGTACGTGTCCAACCTGGCCGCGGCGCTCCTCAAATTATCGCTGTAAGTGTCCTACCATCACTGCGCTTGCCGGGACCTAAGACACCTTCTACGATTTGTAGTTGGGAGCTCGCCGAGAGCGCAGCATGTCGCGCTCTGCTACACGAGCCTAACAACGCCAAGGCGTTGTACAGGAGGGCCTTGGCGCGAAAGGGGCTGGAAAGATTCTCCGCAGCCGAAACCGGTGAGTGATTCCATTGGCCTCTGGTGCTACGTTCTCCCATCGATGATGCTCTGCATGTAGACCTCAAACGCGTCCTTGAGATGGACCGCAACAACGAAGTCGCACGAGAACAGCTGGAATCCGTCGAAGGCGGAGGTTCAGGCAGATTCAAGTGGCCGGGAGACGACCAAATAGGCCGCGCGGGCGGTCCGGACGAAGATGGACCTCTGGAGCTCGAGGACGAGTCCGACTCGGAGGACTTCCAGCAGGTAGGAAGCGGCGAGCCGTGTAGGCCACACAACCACGGCAGGTGCGCGCAGGGGAAGCGATGCGGCCTCAGCCATGCTCCAGACCCAAGAAGTGTCAGGGATGAACTGTGCGTGCTCTCCGTATCGTCACCTGCCGCCCGTCGGTACTCACTCACAGGTTGTTTGATGTCTAGCGGACGGAACGTCTGCGTTTACTGGCTGCTCTGCGAATGCCGCTCCGGAGACGACCAGTGCGGCTACACACACGACAAGGCGTACTTGCCGGCCCAGGGATGGTGGACCAACACGCGCCGCCTCACGCGCATGTGCAAGGAGTTCAACGACGCCGTCGCAGCATCGCCCCGTCCGGGAGTATCCGAAGGCATCCTCGCGGAGGCGCTCAAACCGTTCTCGTGGCGGAAAGACGCGTGGACTGGGGGAGACTACGCAGAGCAGGCGACGCACCGCGCAGAGCAAATCCGAGCGGACGCGGGCGAGGAAGAGCTGGAGCCGTGGGAGCAGGAGATGGAGGAACGGGGGATGTACGGAGGGCATACGAGAGCGGACTTCAACGATATGCTGATGTACGGCATCAAGCCGTTTGAGTTCGACGCGTTGGTGCGTATCATTCTTCGGACTTGCGTTTCTGGCAATGGTTTAGTGCTGACATGCGTACTGCAGGACGAGTTGCAGGCCGTACGCCGCGCGCTCAATTCGGACTGAGTCTGCAGGGGCTTGCAGGAATCTCTCGTTTCGACATTCCATCGCGACGTGTAGTATTTTCAAAGGTGTGTGTACAATAGAGAGCAGAAACGCCTTGGTGGCAATTGTGAGATGTTTGCGGAACGCCTTGAACTGCGCGTCAAAGCGCGTTAGCCAGACGCGATCACGTGGAACCGCTAATAAAGGGTCGCGACGCGGCACGCTCGCCTCATCTTAGCTCTCCCTCTTCCACCTCTCACCACATTGCGCCACCACTGACCACAGGACGCTCAGTGAATGTGTATATAAACAATATTGTTGGTATGTCTGTATCTTCATGCATATATGGTGCCATACTGACGCTTGATAGGTGGCTCTGGAAGTATTTCATCCACCACGCTATCAGAACAGAACCAGTAAGTGACCGGTTCCGAAAAACATACATGGGCAAAGGTCTTGACCATGGGTTTTTTGACAGACTTGTATCGCAATCTGTACTGTTGTCCTAAATACTCCGGAATCTTCAGGTCAGTCAGTTTCGAATTAACATGACATGCGAAACTCAGCGAAGTCGCCCTCAAGCTAGCCATGCCAGCCACCCCCCAGAATTCAAATGGCGTGTCCGCCCTCGCCACGCCGGCTGCCAAGGACAAAACGTCATCCAAGCTTCAAGTCCTCGTTATCTCTCTGGAGAAAGAAGACTCCACAGAGGCCAAATACGAGCAGCTCTACCGCGCCCTCCGTAAGAACGTGGGCGCGACCGAAGTTCGCCACGCCCGCACCGCGAAGAAGGCGCTCTCCAAGCCCACCCGCTGGTCCGCTGTTCTCGTAACTGACGCTGCCATCACATTGCAAAAGAACGCCCCACTCCTCACGCGCCTCATCGACTACGCCTGCGACGGCGGGCGCGTCGTGCTGGGGATGCAGTTCAGCAGCCACTTCCAGCCTGACACTGTGGCTCCTTTCTTCCGCAAGTGGGGACTCGAGTGGCACGCAGGCTCGTGCGTCCGCACCACCTTCGGGCTCAATTTCGCTGGTGTGCCTGCGCCGCTCGACCCCAACACGCTCTTCCCGTCCGTCAGCATGAAGGCGCTGCACCTGACGAAGCCCTCTCCCGACTGTGCGGTGTACTTCCCCACCAACACGGGGTTCCTCGAGTCCATCGGATACGACCCCACCCCTCTCACGGGCTACAGAGTGGACGAGAGCCCGGCAGCATTCGCGCGCGTCGGGGACGGATACCTGGGGTATGTCGGGGACGTGAACGGCGAGCAGGCCTCGATCCGGCTCACGCTCGAGATGTGCGGGGTGAAGATCCAGCCGGGAGACTTGGGATCTGTAGAGAGGCTGATCGGGGTGGTCGTTCATCCCGACTGGACCGTCGAGCCTGCGAAAGAACGGGAGGAGGAGACCCCGCTCCCTGCTCCTGTAATAGCTCCTACCTCTGCTTCTGTGGCCGCAGCGATTCTGAGGTCCCCTCCAGAAGCCACCACAGGATATAGCTCTGATTCCAGCTCTACATCTTCCCCTACCACCTTGTCGAGCGCCGCGCCAGTATTTGTCCCCGCGCATGCGCGGTCGTATGAATGCCCCCGCGAAGCCGAGGTTATTGCACGAGCAGCGCAACGCGCGAAGGTCCGCGCGGAGAACGTCGCGTTCGCGGACGCCCAGAAGGAGCAGGGAGACTTCCTTCTCGGAGGCACGGAGAATCAGTGGGTACGAGCGGCGGAGTATTACCGCGCTGCTGCCTTTACGGTGGGCCCGCGGCATCCCGTGTACTTGGTCAGCCTCGCAGAGGCGCTGCTCAAGCTCAAGCTGTGCGTGACCTCTGTTTCTGGGCCCAATATCGGAATTTGCAGTGCTAACGTACTCGTCCGGGTTCATAGGTGGAAAATTGCGGAAAGTGCAGCGTCGCGTGTCCTGTTGCTCGAGCCGGACCATGACAAGGCGCGTCTCCACAGGGCGCAGGCCAGAAAAGAGCAACACCGGTTCAAGGCCGCACAGGCTGGTAAGCTCGTTTCCTCACCCTACACACTAAGACTACGCCGTTAACTAACCTCCTTGCGTCATCAGATCTTCAGCGCATCCTCGCCAACGACCCCACGAACGCACCCGCGCTCGCCGAGTTGGACGCGATCACCGCTCTGCAGCGCGCGGCGCGGAGCGCGGGCCGTGACTTGCCCGAGGACGACGAGCCGTACGAGGACGTGCCGGACCTCGAGGAGGAGTCCGACTCGGAGGATTGCACGCACGAGGGAAACGGCATCCCGTGCCGCTTCTACAACCGCAGCGGGTGCATCTACGGCGCGCGCTGCCGCTTCAGCCACGCGCCCGACAAGCGGAGCGTGCGCGACGAGCTGTGCGTCCTTCTCCTCCCCGTCTATGTGTTCTCTTTCTAAATACTAACAACTTCTTCCAACCCATTCCAACCCACAGAGGCCGGAATGTGTGCGTGTACTGGCTGCTGGACGAGTGCCGGCTCGGCGCGGAGCAGTGCATCTACGCGCACGACCGCACGTACCTGCCCACCGGCGGGCAGTGGTGGGAGGACGCGGCGCGGAACGCACGCGTTCGCGCAGGGATGCACGCGATGCACGCGGCCGTGCCGTCCAGCTACTGGGAGGTGCTCCTCGCGGAGGCGGCGAAGCCGGACCCGTGGCGCATGGATCTGTGGGCGACGGGGAAGTACGTGCTACCTGCAGCCGCCCCGACGGGCGGGGCGAAGAATGGGAAGAAGACAAAGAGGGGTCGGTATGCAGGGGCTCGCAGGGCTCGTCGTCACGATGGCGACTACGAGGACATGGACGATTTCTACGAGGAGATGATGATGCAAGGCATCAAGCCGTGGGATGAGGACTATTCGTATGTGAGTGCGGCTCCCGCAGTGCTAGTGTCTGCTCGAAGGTGGTTAGTGACACTGACTGGTTCTGTGTAGGGCGGACTCGCATCGGCTCTGTACTGCTAGTTGGGCGGAAGGATTCCTCATCTTTGGTTGTTTCGGACGGTTTGTTATTGAGGACTCCGACCGGGTTTCTCTCTCGTGCATCGACGCGTTGTACTATGTAGTGTTTGCGACTGACAGCGTTCTGGCTCTCTTAGGACTATCTCAACGTGTACTTGGTCTGTACTACTTATCTTAGACATGTAATAGTAATCATTTTGATCGTTCACCCCAGGTGTTGATTTCCAGGTTGTCGAGTGCGGTTTAGCTCACTTTGCAGATGAGGATCATGAGGAGTGCAAAGATCATGGTAGTCAGTGCAAGAGGGCCTTGCGAAAAGCGCGCACCGAAGAAAGCGCGAGGCAAAGCGTTCAAGAGGTACGCGATCACGTGGGCCGCTAATAAATAGCTGGCGATCGCGACGCCGTCCTCATCTTAGCGCCCTACCAACCAGAGCCTCTTCCCGCCACTCGCGGTACCCACAACCTGCCAGGTATACACGTATGCGTAGCTCTTACTACGTATACGACAGCGGACTGACACTTGTTGGTGTGCTCTGCAGGGATTTCATCCACAGCTTCCTAGCACCTTCCCAGGGGTGCCGACACGTAAACAACTTCAGTGTATTGACGACACCGCCCCTCGCAGTCCTGGAGTACCACTCAAAGAGAATACCCCTGAACATATAGGTCCGCCATACACACGGTCAAATAACACGCACAACTCAGCGAACTCGTCCGTAGGCCTGCCATGCCGAACGCAGCCACTCCCCAGCATTCGGGTGGCGCACCTTCCGTCACCACGCCCGCAATCAAGGGCAAAAAATCACCCAAACCCGGGGTCCTCATTCTCTCCCTGGAGAAGGAATCACACACGGACGAGCTCTACGCGCAGCTCTACCGCGCGGTCGTCACCGAAGTCTGCCACGCGCGCTCCGCAAACAAAGCACTCTGTTGTAAATACGGTCTTACGAGAATGAGAATGAGCTGAGATAGAATCCTTCGTCGACGAGTCCTCGAGTCGAATGGGCGATAGGGCTGCTGAAGAGGTAGCGTGTATAGTAGCGCGTAGCTTACTATGCTTACTTCAACCTGTAAACAGAGCTAATCTTGTCCACTTAGAACGGCGTTAGATCACACTTAGACGCTGAGAGCGCGGGTACGTTGGATGGTAAAAAGGCTGAATTCCGAGGCTCTGAGAGCCTGTCCTTATATACATCTTGAGATACAAACACTAGAGGCTTCTACACAAGTCGAGAGATCAGACAGAAAGGTCAAAGAAAGGTTGAGCGAGAAGGAGAAAGGACGAGAGGGACAAAGGAATCAAATAGAAGGCACTCGAAACTAGTCGAATTGACCGTACGTGTCGAGACTAAGCTAACCTAGTGTCTATTGTAACGTAATCCACAACATACGCCCCCCAGTCTCGATACGTACCTGCTCCAATCAGTGGTCGCGGTCCAAGGGAAACTCGGCGGCGACACCAGAGCGTCAAACCAGATCGGTGCAAGCGAGTGAGGATCGTCAGCATATCCGGGTAGAATAGGCGAAATAGGAAGCAGAAGTTTTGAATGATGAACTCTGAACCTGGAAGGCTGTAAGCCGCACAAAGAGAGGTCTTCAGTCTGTGAGAGAACGACTATGATTGCATAGTACTGTACCTGTAAGCCGCACAAAGAGAGGCTACAAGTACTAGTAAGTAAACATGTAAGGAAGCATAGGTAGTGTGGACTTACTCTT